TGATTCAGCTGGGTCAACATGACAAGACTGAGAACATTTATGATATTTTACTCAACCAAACATCAGATGACAGCGACGAAGGATTGATTTATTATCAACTTGGTCATATTCGATACAACCAAGGCTTGTTTCAGGAAGCCACAACATTCTATGCCAAATCACTTGTGCCTCTGGAAAAATCAGTTCCCGCAAACTATCCTAATATAGCCGCATCCTACAACAGCATCGGCTCAGTGTATGTCAGTATCGGAGATTATCGAAAAGCACTCGAATACTATGAGGAAGCTCTTTCAATTGAACAACAATCACTTCCTGCAAACCATCCTAGTATAGCCACATCCTACAACAACATCGGCTCAGTGTATGTCAGTATGGGTGATTATCGAAAAGCACTCGAATACTATGAGAAAGCTCTTTCCATTCGACAACAATCACTTCCTGCAAACCATCCTGATTTAGCCACATCCTACAACAACATCGGCTCGGCGTATTACAGGATGAGTGATTATCGAAAAGCACTTGAATACTATGGGAAAGCTCTTTCCATTCGACAACAATCACTTCCTGCAAACCATCCTGATTTAGCCACATCCTACAACAACATCGGCTCGGCGTATTACAGGATGAGTGATTATCGAAAAGCACTCGAATACTATGAGAAAGCTCTTTCAATTGAACAACAATCACTTCCTGCAAACCATCCTAGTATAGCCACATCCTACAACAACATCGGCTCAGTGTATGTCAGTATGGGTGATTATCGAAAAGCACTCGAATACTATGAGAAAGCTCTTTCAATTGAACAAGAATCACTTCCGGCAAACCATCCTAGTATAGCCACATCGTACAACAACATCGGCTCGGCGTATGACAGTATGGGTGATTATCGAAAAGCACTCGAATACTATGAGAAAGCTCTTTCCATTCGACAACAATCACTTCCTGCAAACCATCCTGATTTAGCCACATCGTACAACAACATCGGCTCGGCGTATTACAGGATGAGTGATTATCGAAAAGCACTCGAATACTATGAGAAAGCTCTTTCCATTCGACAACAATCACTTCCTGCAAACCATCCTAGTATAGCCACATCGTACAACAACATCGGCTTCGCGTATGACAGTATGGGTGATTATCGAAAAGCACTCGAATACTATGAGAAAGCTCTTTCAATTCAACAACAATCACTTCCGGCAAACCATCCTAGTATAGCCACATCCTACAACAACATCGGCTTGGTGTATGACAGTATAGGAGATTATCCAAAAGCTCACTTCTATTGTGAACGCGCTGTTCAAATTGCTAAGTGTTCAATGTCACCAAATCATCCACAGCTTTTAACGTTCGAAAGAAACCTGGAACGTGTGGACAATAAACTGCGGCGCTCTTCTTTTCGTGCTATAAAATAAAATCATCCCTTATCTTAAAATCACATGTCATCATATAACTTTTCAGAGAAGCACTCTGTCGATGTCTTTCCATTAAAATGCGCCGAGAACGTTTCCATGAGAGAAGTAGCGATAAGTGGACACATTGAATGTCTTTAGATAATCGACATTGCTAGCATGAATTATGTTACGAAGGGTAAATCTTACGATTGAAGTCGGCGACGTTTGACAAATCGTATCCGAAGTTAATGTTGAAGCCATAGAGGTCGTTCTATAGAGACGAATCTGTTTAAGTTCTTGTAAGTATTCTTGAGAATGAAAGAAATGAGCTCTTGGTAAGGTGAGGTCGATATGATTGTCTATGCGAATTCTACTGAAGGGAGGAAAAGCGAGAGTTCAGACTTGAAATACTAATTGAAGTAGATGACGTCTTGTTTTGCCTCTTATGATTGTCAATGACTCGATCCTGAATGAAAAAGGGTTTCTTAAATCAGACGCGTTTTAATGCATCAACTATTGAAAACACGCCTAAGCGTGTTAGGACGCGTTTATTTTGTGTTTCAGAGTTACGTAGCTCGTATTGCTCTACTTTAAAAAAAATGTTTTAATATTATCGAAAACAACGATCATATTGCTGAATCGTGAGCAGTTATAAAACATTTCTTTGTTCTCTTTTCTGAAAGAAAGGGCCATAGCGTCAAAGGTACAGTCATGAAAGTACATAAAGTTTGTTTGTTTGCTTGCATAATCCAATCAGATTGCAGCGTATTATAAATCAAAGATCGGCCACTGACGACGTAATCCAGCTCGAACATCCCGAATCCTATGTTAATTTTCGCAAATACTAATTAGTTAATTAGCTAACGATTGGTTCTTGTGTTGTCGAATAAGGGTTGATCGAAAGGATCATCTGGATGCAAGATCTCGAATTTATTGTTAGATTTTCAATAAAAATATTCTATGTTGTGTTTTTAGACATAGGACGATTTTTTGCAAGGAAGTTTTTTTAGGCGATAGTGTTTGAAGCAGCAATATGTAGAACAAAACGGAATAGCTGATTAACTTCGGATTGTTGGATATTCATACACATCAATACATTGATAACATCACAATTATACAAACAGTTATATTACACAAACATTATCTTATGTAAACCACTCAAAAAAAACAATACTTCCTCTACCAAGTTGTTCTGAACAGAAGTTAATCATCGATTCGCAAGAACATATCCGGCAGCCTTTTAAGGTGCCTGGTGATGAAAAGATGAATGGAACCTTTAGCAGAGGACGGTATACCTATAATGTAAAGTTCTTACGGTTTCGAATATGAATTGCTTTTCCAGAGCGGACTTCTTTTCAGATAACATCTTCACTTGAATAAAATGAAAATAGGAAAATACATAGAAACGGCTAGCCGTAAGTGGCCGACAGGAGACAGGCCGACGAACGATTAGGCGGTTATTTGCATTGCTTCGAGGAGATAAAATAAGGGAAAGTAAATTGATTTTTTTATAAACAGTGTTTGTTTTGTTTACGGCTTTGGACAAATAATTTGAAAGTAATCTGACATGAATGAAGCAAAAAATGAAAGAATGAGCATAAAAGTAACTTCAATTCGAAGTCAATTAGATTGAGATCTAAATGAGAGCGTTTATCTACTAATTTTCTGGTACTTTCAGAAAAGGGTCAGCGAATCCAATGGATGAGCGCTACTTGTGAAAAACATATGCAATAGTGGTGAGTTCTCTCTTTATCTTGACTTAGTATTTTCGTGATAAAATTTCCAATGTTGTATTGTTACGTCAGAATCTCACTGAAGCTCGAAGATAAGACTGGTTGGGCATTTGACTGCTGAATTATACAGAAAATATTGATAATTCTTCTTTCCGATTTCTCATTGCCTTGCATCTGATACATTTTTTGCAGCACATCTAGCTTTCGGATAAAATCTAAAATGTTTGTATTGATTCAAGTCTGTTATGTGCTTGACATATTCATTAATTAAGATCATGAACTATAGTTAAAAGGATGAGTATAAATGAACTATAACCATTGTTTTAAGTCATAGTCCATGTAGAATTAAAACCAGTTTGTTTCTACTCATCCTCAAATATGGTTCTTTCAGAAAAAGAGTCAACGAGTTTCTCCGATGGGCGTTACATGTACTACCTGAAAAGTGTTGACAAGACAAAGTTTTAAAAAAACAACCAAGTTCCTAAATGAATTCTTATCTTCTTCGTCTGTTTCGAGCGTAGTGATATGACTTTTTTTATGATTGATTTTTTCATCTTCTTTGCTTTTTTTTCTTGTGAAAATTTGTTTAAAAACCAGCAGATAACAGAAATATTCTTTGTCCTCGCAAAGAATTCAAGAAGAGAACAACGTCATTCGCTGCCTTTATGAAAAGAGAAGCAGATTTCTTCATTTTCAAAAAAAAACAAAAACTATGAATTTCAGTTTATTCAACAAAGTGGGCGCATAAAAATCAAAATCAAGTTCTACAACGACAATCCACACTAACCGACCGCGGCCACGTATGCTGCAAAACTACATCTTAGCTTGGGTGAATGCCAACACCGATGAAAAAGAAAAGGGCTGTCAGAGCACTTTGGCGCACTTGCGAATGCGCTGTCAAGGATGTCAGTATATACGCTCAATCAAATACTTGTCTTCAATTCCTCAACGGCATCGTTGACGAAAAAGCTTTCGTCATCACATAGAGATTCACGGCATTCCACAAGTGAATGCCATCTACATCTTCTGTGGCAACAAATCAAAAAATGAAACCTGGGCAAAGAACTGGTCAAAAGTTAAAGGTGTCCACACAAATATTAGAGAAATCTGTGAAGCACTGACCACGGATGTTAAACAACACAATCAAGACTCCATCGCCATGCGTTTTGTCACTGTAAGAGAAGAAGGTTCCAATGTAAATCTCAATCAATTGGAACCCAGCTTTATGTACGCGCAAATATTTAAGAAGACTCTCCTCGAAATGGAACACGACGAGCAATCAATCAAAGACCTAGCCAATTATTGTAGTCAGCGTTTTCATGACAACTTCACACTTTGGATGGCGAAGTCATTATTAACATGGGATTTTTCTTCCATGATTTACACAAACAAATACAACGGCTATACCACGAACAGGTCAGAAGTTGCAAACGAAAAACTTTCGTAGTCTACCGTGGACAGGGACTATCCAAGACAGATTTCGACCAGTTATCTGTAGGTATAAGGAAAAGCCCGGAGAATATCTTGAGGGTGAGAGTGTTGGTGTGGTTCCAGTTGTCTCATAGTTTTATGTCCACCATACTATCTCTGGAACCTTACCTAGACTTACTCTCTATCAATATGTAGGGAAGTAATCCGTAAGTTCTAGAGGTTATTTCCGTGAATTGGCAGAGATAACACTACACCTTTCGCATTTAATTACCAAATTTGTAATTCTCGAATGTCTCACGATTCATGGGAACTTGCGAGATCTACATAGTTTGCCACATTTCTTTTTTACATAATGAATCGCAGTTTTTGCGCACTATAAAACTCGTTTTTTTTTCTTCGCTTATTTCCACTATATATCTTTTACTATCATAAGAACAAAAGCCGAATGGATCGTGAACAAAAAGCTTCATACTATGAAGATTTTCAGCATGCATTATATACATTGAAAATAGCGGTTGAAGATCTGTGGCGTGTCGAACTTCAACAATTCAACCAGCACAGTGCTATTCCTGTTAATCTGTCAAATGCAAAACTAGATTTGCAAGTTCCATCAATCTATTCCTGTCGAACAATTTTGCCGGGAGCTGGTGAAAAAAGTCTGTGTGTTCCGCCGAATGCAATCAGCGATAAAAATCTTCAATTCATGTCCTCGAAGGAAGAAGCACTGCGCTCTTTAAGTAAACATCCGAGACACTATGTATCCAATGACAGTGCTATTAAGAATCGTAAGAAGAAGGCTTCATTACATCTAAAATTTCGGTGTCCACAGCACATATGACAAACGGTTTAAACTAATCATAAAAATGAAAAATGATAGAAATTGAGTTTCTATGGTTCATCTAGTGTTTTTGATGGCGCAGCAGGTACAGGTTCTAAAAGAAAATATTCATAACAGACAAATAAATCGGAAAATGAAACTCGACTCATTACCAGCAAGAGGCACTGCTTCGGGAATAGTAGACTTGTCTGCATCTTTTAATGCCCATGGCTGCACATCACCTGAGCCAATGAACAGAAATACGATCATTCCGATTATATAAATTGCTGCACAGATAAAGAAAACATAACGCCAATTGTTCGGATCCTAAATATTTCACGTACGACAGAAACATTGTGTCTATTACAAATACATACTCGTTCGGTAAGTGCGCCAACTACATATGGACTAATGATACCAGGTAGTGTGGCAAATGTGTTCGAAATACCAAAAATAATCCCTGCATAGGCAGGAGCAATATCGTTTGCTGTAAGCATAAATCCTCCGCCATAGCAACAACCTCTAGATTTTTTTATGGAGAAAGAGATCATTAATACAATAGAATCAATTATGATCCTACTCACGTAAAAGTCACTCCAATTGTTAAAAGAGTTACGGCAACGTATTTTGTTTCACAGGTCATAAATGCTAAACCAATAACAAATATTGCCGGAAAGAGATTTCCTAACACATTGAATACTTGTCGTGTTCGTGTTCGTGTTAATTTTTCCTTTCGAATAAGCATATCTGCTATAGCACCTGACAAATTGATATTAAACCAAAACATGATGTATGGTAACGATGAAAGAAAACCATTCTAAACCAAAAGATATTAATTCAATCAATTTATATCGCTTTTCTTCTTACTGATTTAATATCGAATTTCAATACTTCTGCCATATATTTTGGTATTGATGTTAAGAATGTATAAGTACCCCAGTTGTTACATGTATGCACAGCAAAAAGTGCCCAACAAGCCGGTGATGTTAAAATTGCTTTCCATGGCGCCTGAAACTCATTCTTCGAATGATTTGATAATTGTTGTTGTGTCTCATGAAGAATATACTCTTTCTCTGAATTGCTAATACAACGCTGATCACGCGGCGAATCAGCATAGAAAATTATCCAAAAGATACCCCAAACTAAACCAAGAACGCCTGTTGAATAATAGATCAAAGGCCAGCCGCCAGCAAAGTCCCATGAGCACATTAAACCTCCTATGGATAAAGTTATTACGTTGCCAATCTGAGCACCTACAAATAAACACTTTCCAAACATCACTTTACATAAACTTCATCTACCAGCATTCATGAAACCGACAAGTTTGCCTCGCTCGTTTGGTGGTGCCCAATGTGACATAATAACAGCCATACTGGGCCATATGACTCCATGGGCAAGACCAACAATTAATCGCAAAAACCAAACTATACCCCAATGTATACTTGCACCCCATGGTATCACCACTGAGAACAAACTGGCAATAATCATCGCGCCACCGAATATAAATCGAGCTCCGTAACGTCCAGCTAGATATCCACCAGGCACCTCAGTGATTAAATACCCCCAAAAATAGCCGCCAAGGACGATGCCTTGAACATTCTTTGACCATGGATATGGACCTTCCTAGAAACAAACGAACTAGGTGAGAGAATGTAATCAGTATTGTGTGTCTACAATCTTCGCAGCATTGCTCAAAACTGGACAATTGAGATTCGTTGGTGCCAATGTTTTCGAAAGAGAATTCTGTGGAGTTGCAATAGCAGAATGATTCACCATACAGACAAGTGCAATACCAACACTTATCTTTTGTGAATAATGTGCAATCATCCCGAGAAATCCGACGAATGCAACAGCAACACGAATTGAGCACCAAAATGACACTAAAATCCATATTCAATCTTTAAGTATCATAAGTAAATTCTCTCGAACGTTTACCTGATTTAGTTCGTTCGACGTCCATTTGTTTCATTTCGTTCTGGCTGTCTGAAACCGAGTTTTGTTGCACTTTTTGTGTCTAAAACAAATATTTATTTGGCGCGTCTCAACTACGGCAATGTCGTTGATCGTAGATTTAATGCAATCAGAGTAACATTCTCAAGAGCACATTTTTTCCTTTCTTTTCTTCTTTGCTGTTTGACTGGTTGCAACGAACGTGTATGAATTTCACACCTTTATCAATACCATTTTTTTTCTCACTCCAGATTTATGTCGCATACTATCCAATAGAACTTACTCACTGTTTTATTTTGAGACAGAAAAAAGATTGAAAATGTCAATATTTAGAGCGCGCACACACACACACACAGAAAGAAAAACGAAATTATTAAACAAAATTGATAATGATAAAAATTCTTGATTATGTCATTTGATACACAAATACGCACAACAGATTGGCTATCTGAGACACATAGAAAGCAAATTAAGGATCAGACTGAATATGTTAAGTGGTAGAGAAACTTCAAATATGTCAGATGTGCGAGCGAATACAAAGTAAAAAGCATCACCGGAACAGATTAGAGAAGTGCAAAAAGATAACTATGCATTTTAAGTGCTCGAAACATTCATTAACATTTTTGCTTGAGAAAAATGTTGAATGTCGACAATACAGGGCCCTTCTTCAAATGGTTCGCCGTCGCATTGACACGGAAAACGACGTTTGATTGTTAGCTAAAACAGAGATCACTTGTATTGATCATGAACAATCAAGAAAAATCGTCTCTACTTTAACCCGACGGGCTTGTCCAATACGAAATGGGTCGGCAAGACCAACTTGCATCTGCGCAATATGAAATGAACTGTAAATACCAAAAACTTCGACCATACCATCATCAATTCTAAATAGAACGAATTGAGTTTTTTTCCTCTTGAAACCATTCTTTTCTTTCTTACTGTTGCACTGGAATATTATCTCCCGAACCCCAAACACGAACACCAGCTCCCCATGATGGGATATTCAATATACAAATACCTTCTAATGCTGGAAGATTATTAATTATTCGTCCATCCATTTCAAGCTAAAATATGCGAACTGAACTTCTTTCATGCAGCAAACAAACCTCGGCTACATACGATCACATTGTTTTGTAAGTCTTTACATTCTTCTGCACAAAAGAAAAACGGACATGGCTGGTTCAGTTCTTATGCATATGAAAGAAAACATACTTAAGAATGTATCTACCGTGCCATAATGAAAATAATGTAGTTTGTTCACGAAGCGACTGGCGAAAAATTCCGGAATTTTATCACGACGACGATGGAAATTCAGAGTGACAAGTGCATCGCAGCCGACGGAGAAATAATTCGACATACGCATATTCTATACAGTTGAACAACTGGATAAGAATTGAAATCATCAAACAACAAAATACATACGCGTGCACTTGCTGTTGCCACACCAAAATGTCGTGCAGTGGCACATATGTCTACGGACCATCTGGTTTCAAAATAAACAATAAGTAAATAACTGATCGAAAAAGGATCTTACCGATCGAGAGCAACGACTCTCGCAGTATTTAATCTTTTCAGGAAGAGACCAACATCCACGGCTGAGTCTTCACCGTGGCCCCATTGTAAAATACGAGCTAAATCATTGCCTGTACCCATTGGAAGAATACCGACGGCTGGCTTTAACTAAATAAGAAAGAGAAAAACAAATCACTCATTCATGGCTCATTGAGTACTTACGCCTGATGTTGTATTTTCAATACTTTCGAGGATCCAATTCACTGTTCCATCACCACCACAGACGAGAATATAGAAGCCAACATCTGGAAGAGAGTTACACCATTCAAGAATTGAAGTAGGTGCAATGGTTGAGATATCAATAACCTAAAAATGCAAATATGATGAATAATTCATATTCGTTTGTTGTTGTATTTTTACCTGGACCGAATTTAGATAAGTTCGAAACGAATTTAAGACTAGATCAGTATTAGCTCCACCCGATTTACGATTTCCAATGACTAATAATGGTCTCCAATCTTCAATTCCGCACGGTAAAATACGCTCGACAACTGAATGAGCATAGCCAACAATTTGTTTATTTCCTGTTCGAGAAACCACCGCATTCGGCTAAAAAGAATCTTTCGTACATAACCAATTACACAGAAGCTTTTTTCGACTTACCGGAATAATCAATTGACGAAATTGTCCGAGATCACAGTCAGTCGATAGTGCTCTCATACATGACTCATGCACAATCCGTTGACACCATACGCATCGATAATCGCATAGCCGTGGTTCAGCTCCACATGGCCGATGACAGATGACGCATTCGGACTCTAATGGTAAATTACCACGAGTCCATTGATGTTGATGTTGTTCTTGCTTGCTACTTGTCATATGTTTGCAATGATATAGTCGTCGAGCAGGACGTACACAACGTTCATGCAAATAGATGCCACACGATGAACAATGAAAACCAGCTAATAATGTCGATGAGCACACATTACATAGAGTCGGTTGGATAAGATAATCATCAAATGGCCATAAATGATGAACGTCGTCAACGAGACGGTGAAGATGAAAGTATCGGCGACGACGTTTTGTTAAACAAGAAACAATAATAATAAAACCGGTCACAAATGAACAAAATAAACCTATCGACCAGAAATTATCTGTTAAAAGTCGAACACGCATTTTTGTTTACGAGATGTTAAGGACATCTGAAAGAAAGAACGGGAAAATAGATAAAAAGATTCTTACACTAAAAATTAAAAACAAAGAATTGAAATTGCGAGTTTCTTTTTTTTCAGATTCAGTCGCATTTTAAGGATGGATGCGTTTTAAGAAAGTCATCCAATTTCTCTTCGAGCATTGATGTTGATTGAGTGTAAAGAAGTTCAGTAATCAAAGCATTTGCTTGACGCAAATCTTCATTATCATTCAATAGTTTTTCATAAGTATCGAATCGAACAAATGGTTCAATCGTATTATTATGTTTTTGAGTTTCCCGTATATGTCCGAAATTTCGCGATGTAGATCGATCTTTTTCTCGTCTTTCTTGCATTTCTTTGTGTTTATTGATGAATTTTCTCACTTCATCAACAGTCACTTCGCCATTGCAAATACGACGACTGTGATTTTGCATCGTTGGCATAGACGATTGCACATTCGTTGTTTTCGGTTGAAGAAAAAAGTGAATTAATAAGCCCATGTCTTGTATATCAATATCATCGTGTGTGGGATTGTCTTGCGCGTGATATCGTTTTTCGATTTTACTCAGGATATGTTCGGCGCAATCAGGAGAACCCAACGAATCACGTAGAAGATCGAGAAAATCCGACGGAATTTCTTGTTCCGAAATACCTTAAATGAGAAATTTGATGGGAAATGAGCATGAACATATTTTACGTACTTGTTTTCAAGTACATTTGATAGAGTTTATCCGTCATTAGTACCAATGCATAGTCTCCGGGGAAAATTTTGAATTTATAAACAGTGGGCTCGCATATCAATGGATTACAGCGAGCTTCGTTCACATCGTTTGCTGATGCAGCAGATGAGAGTAGTTTTTCCGATAACTTCCTGGAAAAAAGCAGTGGAAATGCACGAAGAAATGTATCGACTTACCCAACACAACGTGTGAATTTCGATGATTTCCTATCCAAGCCTTCATTTTTCATCTTTTCCAAGTCCACGTCAAGACTCTTTAATCGACGGTATTCATCATCATTATCAATCGTATGTAATGAACCTGTTTGATAGTACTGTGGTCGACTGTTTGAAATACTCAATTCTCCATTGTTGTTCGAGACAAGAAAAGCTCGAATTGTTCCTACGAGAACAATTTGAAATCGAGTCAGGTGAAAAGAAAAATGAAATGTATCCTACCAACATAACCGATATAAACATATGATTGTGTAACCGTAGCAGCGAATAAAAATGCTCCTGATTCTGCTTCGTCCAGCGAAGGTAAAAGTTTTTCAGGCTCACTTCCACTCGAGGGCGTTGTTGAAATTTTCTCTTCAGCTTGATCGAATGTCATTTGTAAAAGGCGATTCTCGATTTCATAAAAAATTTTTTGCATTATATCATTGATCTTTTCTTTATAGGATTCATCATCGAACGAAACTTCACTCAATTGTTCGACAAGCAGATTAACACTCACGTCGGATGCAAGTCTGTTTGTATCAATCGGATCAACAAGGGCGTATATTGCCATGCTATTATCACGTGTTCGCAGGCGACATACACGCGGAACAATTTCTCGTTGTGAGTTCTGATCATGATGCTCTTGTTTAGTTCTCGTTGCAACAAATGTATGCTGACATGGATTGAAATTGGCCAGATTACTTGAATGTACTGGAGTGTCCGAAGATGGAAGTGCGCTGGCCATTGATAATCTAGAATAGAAGCTAGAATGAGTATGCTTGTCCGCTGAAAGCTGAAATCGAGTACAGGATTTTCAAGTTGAGTTTTTTTTGAATGATAACAACAAGACTAAAAACAGCGAACAACAAACGAAATAAAATATAACATCGGAATGCTAATACAATGAGTGCTTCAGAAAGATAAATATGATTTTTATTTTGATTGCAATCACCATAAGTTTTGGCATTTTTTGACTGACTAGGAAGGCAGAACGCAAAAGCAAGCAGTTACATATTGAGTCGATCACCACAGCAGAGAGTAGAAGAAAACAAAGAAGAGAGCAAGTTCCCTTCTTTGTGTCAGAGTTCGATATGATTTCTCAGACATGTTTTGAATACATGTTCTAGTCGATAGATGCTGGTTGATAATTGAGTAAAGCCATTGAATAACGAAACGATTTCCGATCTTTGTAATTGAATGGGACTTTCTGCAAAAAGAATTTTCAACGATGTTCCTAAGAAACACAAATGAAAGTCATTTCCTATTGAACAAATTAGTTTCCTTCATTACCTAAAGCTTGTACTTGTAATTTGCCCCACAATTTGCACTTATCACATCCGACACAATCCATAATTCGACTGATATTTCGAAAGTGTTCACGAAAATCAGCCTTTAACTCTTCATTTCCATTCTTGAAAAGATCATTTTCGTTGAAATAATTTGCAAATGGCTCGATTTGCTGAAATAAATTTTCGGTTAACAACTGCTTTGTATGAATATCATCGGTTTGATTTCCGGTAAAATAATTTTGACTATGAAAATAATCTCGTGCTTTGTAAATCGCGCGTAACTCAATCAAATAGATAAAGTAGAGATTTTTCAGCCATCCTGGTCCTTCGCCATCAGTTTTTTCCGGATCAAAACGGCGTCGAAATTCGTCAAGATTCGGTCCCCATCGTCCATCTGAACCCGAATACCCACCGCCAACACTGGGAAAGAAGTATTGGGCACATAAATGTATGCTGATGCTCGAATGAAGACCAGAGATAAGACGATAAAATGTTCGACCTTCAAGACATAATTTGTCTGCATTTAAACGTTTTTGTCTTAGATTGTAGTAAAGTTTTGATTCAGGGAGAAAGAAGCAGTTTTCATTGTAAATTGCCGACCATATTCGTTGGGTTGATATACCTGAATAACCTGTGAAACGTTCGATATTGAGTGATAAATCAATGTATTCCATATCCGATGTTGTTTCATCATCAACATCGCAGAAGTTTTCCGATTGAATATCATCAAATTGTTTCCATTTTTCAATTGTTTGCATATGTTCCTCACTTAAATCTTTATTAACCAAACCCAGTGAAGCATTGTTGTCATTCGGTGGACATTGTTCTTGTTGTTTTTGCTTGTCTTGTTTGCTCATACTCGAACGACTGAGTTTGTTACTATTGAATGTTTCACGGAGATTTTCAGGTAATTTTTCGATTGGACACGATTTGATTGCACACGTTCGTAGTGAACATTGACCATGGTCTGACCAAAATTGACATGGCTTTTTTAAATTAACTGGAAAGAATCGAAAATAATTTTTTTTAACTATCTGTCGTAATAATGGATATAAATTTTGATTATTTAAATCGTTAATATCAGATATGCGACAATTACAATCGTCGACCATATCATTTTGTCGCGATAATTGGCATTCTTCATTAGTTGAAACGATATTTACATTATAAAAGCAGACGAATGTTACAAGAAGTGTTAAAGAGATTTTCAAAGCCATAGATATCTGAAGATGGTGAAAGAATAACTTATTTTCTGTTATATACTAAAATTTGGACTACGTGTCACTAGAATTCTGATTCACAATCTGTCAGACAACCAACAAGACAGGCAAAAAATAGCATGCAGTGAAAATGCCCAATCAGTAATATTCACGACATATCAGTCAGTTTGTCAACGAGGAGAACCAACAAATCAAAAGGGAGGTGATGAAAACAAACGTATTCACATGAATCACAGCGCTCGGAATTTGGTTGGTTGAGAGCCGACCAATCGTATTATTCCTTTTCATTTACAGCAGCTTCTCATTTCTGTTTTCTATTATACTCAACCTAAACTCAAAAGTCCAAGCTAAGTGAACAAGCTTCATTCCATTCTCCGCGAATCCAATATGTCTTTTACATTTGTAGCTTTTGCCTACCTTGCTGCACTCATACTTACAGCATTACTTATCTTTTTCGCCATATGGCACGTAAGTTATCTCATTATTCTCTCCTATTCTCCGCACATCTTCACTCACTGTCATAGATTATTGCATTCGATGAATTAAAAAATGATCACAAAAATCCGATTGAACAATGCAAATCTTTGAATCCGTTGATTATACCGGAATACGCGACGCACGCATTCATTAATTTACTATTTCTATTCGGCGGTCAATGGTTTACACTCTTTCTCAATATGCCATTGATTGCTTTTCATATCAATAAATTTCGCAACCGTCCAGTCATGAGTGGATTTGGTATTTATGACCCCACAAGTATAATGAACGCTCAAACATTGAATTCTCTTCAACGTGAAGGATGGATCAAACTTGGTTTTTATGTGATTACGTTTTTCTACTACCTTTACGGAATGATTGCTGAATTAATTCGTGATTAACTCGAGACCAACTCGTTTTTCCCTTTTTTCAAAATAAACTCCGCATTTTTCCTCATTTTGTTGTGTGACAAACAAAAAATTCAGTCAATTTTCACTTTCTAGATGTTGAATAATCAATCGAGCTACTTTCTGAAACTATCAACTCAACCAATTATTTTCGAGCCGATCAGTAATGGCACCAGTGTGTTCTATGACAAAGATAATCAACAGTTGTTTTGCGTTCGCGGTTCCGGCGCAATGGGTAAGCATAACAGACAATACATTTTCCACTGATTCTTTTTCAGATAACACATGTCATATGAACAAGAAGAAAATACCGATAGTTTTCGTTTTACTCGACGTAAAAAACAAAATCGTCGCACGATGCTTGTCAATCCTCCAATCGAATCATCCGTTTTCGATCCGGAGCAATTACTTAAAAATCTCGAAAATAAAATTCAACTGATTCGATCGAGTTATTTCTGGTCACAATTCCAAGAACATCTTCGGCAGTGGATCTATCGGCAATCGACATCGATTGATATCTTGTGTTACGGTCTTGGTCATATCAATCAATCTCTCTCCTCACAATATCAATACGCGCTACTGAAATTGATCGAAGAAGGTTTCGAAGATCGAATTCAGATTATTTACCTTTATGATCCGATTTGGACTAGCGATGAATACGCTTTTCTCGAGAAGACAAACCAGTTCTCTAAGTACGAGCTTATTCGAGAGAATAATCAAGCTTTTCAGACCATCGTTCGACCGTCCTTGTTCTACATACCGTTTTGTTCCAAGCCAATTCACAATAACCTTCTCTACTCAAACTGGACGAAAGAGAAATTGAAAGAAATTGTGATATTCGGAAATAGTCTGGAGAGATTCTCCAACGATGTTCAATTTGACGAGAATAAATACTTTTACATTCATCAAAGCACAAGTTTTTCAAACGAACTATTCTTACCACTATTCGAACATTATACGAATGCCTTTCATGAACAAGTCTTTACGACATTTGATCGAACCGAGATTCCAATCATCAGCGAAAAACCCATCCGATTATCAAAACGCGATAAACAGACAAAAACTTCACTACCTAAAACTACTATTGAACAAGCGTCCGAAGAAGTCTGGTTCATGAATATCAAACCAGTTTATTCGAACGATGATGAAATTGTTGTAAGATAGAATTCTACTATCTAAACTATTAAAAAAGAAACATAATTTGTTGAAGAATAAAAACAACATGTTTGTTCTTGTTTATTTTAGGTGTGACTGTGAAAGGTCAACGACATGAACAAGCATATTCATTTCGTCTTGAAGATAAAGGTGCAATTCAATCGATTAAATTCAATCCTGATCTCTCGGTCTTAGCAATAAAACGTAATTCCAATTCAGTGGAATTTCTCAACTTTCCATCGATTCCGTCAGTGCCCACATCACCTCGTTCACCCTCGTCATCAATGGCAACTACAGCAACTATTCTTCAACCTGATACGATCGAATATTCACAATTATCAAAAACAAAAGCAAGTAAACTATACGATTTCAATTGGTTATCTGATAAAGAAATTGTCTTTGTGACTGACCTTTCACTGGAACATTACGTCTTAAGTGCAAAACAACGAACTTTGCGGCAATTGAAAACGCATGAACTTAGCAATATTCATTGGCAGTTGTTTTCACGCGAAATGAATCTTTTATTGATATCAGCTGGCACACCGTCAGGCAATTCATTGATTCCATTTTCATTCCATAAGACACAACAACAGCAATTAATTAAACTACCGAAATTTGAAGTTGATTTACCACAAGTGACAAACCTACGTTCGAATTCTACAGCATCCAATGCAGCGAATCAATCAACAAGTAAACGATGCAATGAATTGACAGAACGAGATTGTATGTTAGCAAATATCTATGGCAGATCGTACCTTTTCATTGTTCGACAATTGTTTCGAGTTGCTGGTTCGTGTTAAGCTCAACCTTTTCTTCATGAATCTCAACTTTTTCTCCTCTAGGACAAGGATCGATTGAGGTCGTTCTCTACCAGATCGAGGATGATCATAAACCTGCTCAAAAACGTCATATTCTACGCTTGAATCTACATGGTAGATGTGCATTAAACGTTGTAGATAATCTAATCTTGATTCATCATCAACCGACAACTTCATGCTATATTTATGACATTGAAGATAAATCGACGTCACAATACGATGGATTTCAAACTATACACGATCCTTTACTTTCGCAACTATCAATTCAACCGGTAAATGTTAATTGGCAATTACTTTCCTCGACGATGCCAACAGCACCAGCAACTATTGAACTCTATTCATCCAATTGGATTGTTTTCTTACCCAATGTTATCATTGATGTCAAAATGGGTTGTTTGTGGTACCTATTAACCAATCTGGATTATTTATTGGACATTATACCTGATCGGCTACTTTTAATCGATATTTTACTACGACGAACAAGTGGTAAAGCATCCATCTTGACATTATTACGAACATTACTAACAAATATCACTGCACCTGTTCAAATTGACTCGAATAATGTTTCGAACATGAGCTCGAGTCATGTCTTAGATTTGTGGATTGAAATGATTGACCGTATCAATCGTGTTTTCATCGAAAACTCTCCTAATCGTCCTCTACTAGATCAATCGGACATATTTTCCGTTCTTTCACTATTTTCTACTATCGCGTCCATATCAGCAACAGGCAGTTCGACAAAATTCCATCGTTCATTATCGATCACCTCGAATGATACAACATTAGACGAACATGATCAAAATCATTCGTTAAAATTCGCTACCAGTGTTGTCATTGAGTACATTCGTTCATTAAATGATTATAATATCTCGGTTCAATATTTTATCTACGAATTATTAGTTAATTTATTAGTAAGAAATAATCAATTTTTTCAGCTACAACAGTTAATTCAATATCAAGTGTTAGCTGATTCCTTGCAGCTCGGTAAGAACCCGTTCTCCCTTTGCGTTTCATAATCCTCCGCTGAGAACAGAACAAAACAGTTTTAATAATCATTGCTTTTGTAAACAAGTGATTCATATTCCTTATCTTTGGTATTTTCCAGCCATTCGCTTCGATTGGTCTTTAATCTATTTACACTTATCTTTCTAGCTTGTCTGCTTCTATCGCTCTCGAACACTCAACAGCCCACAACGCAACTAGCACTTGATATGCTTAAACGTTTGACGAATGCTAATGAAGAAATAGTCGAAATTCTTCTTGGCCATAATTTTATCATCGAAGCTCTGCATTTTTGCATCGGTCATCTGCCGATCACTCGAACATTGGCACGGAAACTTTTAGAAGCGGCGATTAAATCCGATGAACTTCTGTCCTCGACAGCATCCAATCAGAAGATTCTTTTTTATACTGTTTATACATTCTTTGAAGAATATTTTCAACGTACAACAACTGTTAGTGCTTTAGCTCAATCGACAAGTAATAATGAACAAAAAGATGAACTTGAAATGTTTAAATCCCTATTTAATTTACACTTTCGTCATCAAGAATCAGATGTGCCCAATATTCAGTGATTAATGCATGTTTTTCTTCGTGTTTAGTTTTTTACTTCCATTTATTTTGTGCTCAGATTCGTTTGTTCATTCACTGATTCGATCTTTCATTATTCTTTCTTCTTTTTAGATGGAGCGAGCTAATTACGCGTTACGTACACTTCTATTACGTATCGATCAGCAATTAACCAATGACGAACGACGAGATCTATGTTTTCTTGTCGGCTGTGAAGACGTTCCACGTCGGATTCTTGACCCTGTTATAAAAGACAGTGCAGCGCCAATGATCGAGGTGTGGGAAGCATTGTTCGATCGGCGAAAAATTACAACTGGCAATGTGGATTATCTAATCGAACGTTTAACGCGAATAAATCGCTTAGATTTAGCTGAATTGTTGAAAAACTTCTGCCCATTGCCCTTTTCATTATCAACTCGTCCGTTACCACAAATGGCAGGTCAAGTGGAACAACAAGTAGCAATGTCAACTGGATTTGCACAAGTCGATCTGTAAAATATGTTTCACCTCTGTGAACTTGTGAATACTTTTACATTCAGATTTCAAGCGTATTATATAGATTGTCTTTTAAAATAAAAATTAAAACCAAGGTATGATGTTTAGAACTTCAGCTACATCTGTATGTGAAAGGTATAGTAAACACCATATGTATAGTGCATTAGAATGGCCTCTAGAACGAGGTCGATGATAAGAATATTACACGGCTGCAAGGTACATAGAATTGATTTCTATATGACAACACTTCATACAGTTGAGCTGAAGAAAACGAACGAAAACATTTATACTGACGTTCTAACGTGTGAGCGTAACTATTTCATGTCCTAATATTTATCTATAACAAGTCATCCATGACCTAGTTTATATACGTATACACTACTGTCAGTTCGTATAAACAGTTTTCGCCCAATGACTGGTTTGGACAATGATCAAAATGATATTAAGCTTCATGTTATCGAGACAACGCCCCCGAAAGACGAGTCTTTGACAGAGAATATTGTTGAATATCAATCGAATTCTGACTTAGATGATCGGAAACTTCTTCGTAAACTTGATCTTCATCTCATTCCTACAATGACAGTGCTTTACCTGTTGAGCTATCTCGATCGTGTCAACATTGGTCAAGCCAAGATCGATGGTCTGATGGAAACAATCAAACTGACAAGTGCTCAGTACAATACCTGTTTGAGTGTTTTCTTTGCCACATATGTTCTATTTGAAATTCCGTCGAATCTTGTTTTGAAAAAACTACGGCCAAGTCGATGGATTCCGATGATAATGATTTCATGGGGTATCGTCATGACACTAATGGGCTTAATAAATTCATATGCAAGTTTAGTTGTGTGTCGATTATTGTTAGGCGCAGCCGAATCGGGTCTTTTTCCAGGTAAAGTGATAAGTAGCTTTCAATAGATATATAAATGTCCGTCTAGGCGCGGCCTTTTATCTGTCCAGTTGGTACAAAAGAAGAGAATTATCGTGGCGTATAAGTATTTTATTTTCGGCTGCTGCGTTAGCTGGTGCGTTCGGCGGTATTCTTGCTTTTGCTATCGGTAAAATGAGAGGCATCGGGGGACAAGAAGGCTGGCGATGGATTTTCTATCTCGAAGGTATTCTTACTGTCATTGTTGGTGCATCGGCCTTCTTTCTTATCAACGATTTTCCATCTGATCGACCGAAATTTTTAACCGAGGAAGAATGCAATCAAATCATTGCACGTCTTCAAGCCGATGCTGGTCCCGGCGCTGGTGAACATTTCAGTTGGAAACAAGTCAAAGCAGCATTTACCGATTGGAAAATCTATGTGTTTTGTCTGTGTTACATCGGCATTACGGAACCATTTTATTCGCTTTCGTTCTTCTCTCCGACAATCATTCAAAGTCTCGGATATCAGAGTTATCAAGCACAGTTGATGACTGCTCCACCTTATGCATTCTCGTTTATCACTACAATGGCGACAGCATATTTCTCAGACCGATATACTCGACGTACGATATTCATTGTCTTTTGGTTAATGATCACCATCATTGGCTTCATCATTCTTATCATTGTTGACAACTTACATGTCAAGTATTTTGCTATATTTCTCACGGCAGGTGGAATATCACCGTGCATAGCAACCTGTATCACATTTTTGTCTGGAAATATTAGTCCGCATACAAAACGAGCAACTGCGCTGGCGTTTATGATTTCAGTTGGGAACAGTGGTGGTGCAATTAGTGGTCAAATCTATCGATCGCAAGATGCTCCGCGATTTGTTCTTGGCCATAGTATTAATCTCGGATTTTGTGTATTGGGTTTGGTTACCGCTGTGATCCTGTTTATCGGTCTTCGATTGGAAAATCGTCGTCGCGACCGTCTGTTTGGTTTAGTATCCAATGTAAATAGTAAAACTAATCTAGTAGCAACTAACAGAAAGCAGGTGACGGCTAATGTCTGTGGAACTGGAAGTGAAGAAGATCGTCGACGATGGGGTTATGAACATATGACAGAGGTAGAGATTCTAGATTTAGGTGATAAACATGTTGGCTGGCGTTATATTTTATAATAGAAATCTAGCTTTTTTGTATTGAATACCATTTTATATGAGAAATTCTACAATAAAAACTTAACTGCAAACCCTAGAGACGATTCTTCTCTTTCTTCTCTGTGATTATTGTTTATCTCGACGAGGAAAACAAAGAAACGATGCATATATAGGCATTCTGTTCTTCATTTATTCAGGCCAGATTATGTACATAGTGAATAGAGAATGTTCTTAACACGACTATTCGATTTTGACGAGAATGAATTAAATAAATCCCATTCTATTTTTCGTTTAAGATATCGAATGTCGCCGACAAAATCCGTCTTACGCTTTGCTAAGCTTAGCGAAAATGCCTATCCACCAATGAAAGGTTCAGCTTATGCAGCTGGTTGGGATCTTCGAAGGTTGGACAAATACGTGTTTGTGCCTCAACTCATACCGATTGTTTTCTAGTGCTTATGATTATGTATTACCAGCACGTGGCAAACTAACGGCCTTAACGGACATTCAAATTGCCGTGCCAGAAGGTTGTTACGGTCGAGTTGGTGAGTATTAGACAACGATTCGATGAAATGTACAGAAAGAAAAATTCTTATTCCTTTAGCTCCACGATCTGGTTTAGCTGCAAAATTCGGCATTGATACTGGAGGTAGGATTGAAACTATCCAAACATTGATTCATCATTGATGTTTCCCCAATTAGCTGGCGTTATTGATGCTGACTATCGTGGCAATGTTGGCATTGTTCTCTTCAATCACAACGATTCTGAATTCACCAGTACGACAAAAACTACTTTTCTGTAATTCATTACCATGAATTTCTTCATCTCACTTTAGTTAAAAAGGGCGATCGTATTGCTCAATTGATTTGCGAAAAGATTGAAATGGCTGATCTAACCGAAGAACAGGTTCGTTGATTTACATTTCAAGCTCTCCTATGCACAGCTTCTGATGTTTGTAGAAACTTGATGATACCGTTCGTGGCTCAAATGGCTTCGGCAGCAGTGGTGGATTTTCACACATTGCTAATGGCAATGGCATTTCACACTAATTCACAAAATAAAACATTGATCTCTATTTTTCCTGTCTGTCAGATAATCATATTTGAATTCCTCGTGATAAATGTTTCAATAAATTTCGAAAGCTGAAAGAAAATATAGCAATAAATTGCAGTTCATATCCAAGAACTGTTATGAAAATTTGACTGTAGATATGAATATCTTCGTTTCACAATTGTCCTGATCAGAAGAACATTGATTAATGCATGACTGTTGCGAAAACACAAATCCGTAACCGGAACATACCAATTCAGTATGAGCGAGTAGCACATAAATATAAATCAGTTTGGACATTCTTTGAGATGGAATGAATTACTACGAATGTAATATTGGACTTGATGATCAGCTGATGCCAGAAAAGAATCAAAACATCTCGTCAGCTGAATGAAAGCGTCATTACTATAGACGTAAATACCAAAACATGACCATTAAATTTGATTTAGATTATATATAGAGTACGAATGCTCGATATTATCCGAATACTTCAAAATGAAATGTTTCTTTATGTAATCATTTCGATTTTTTTTCTTCTATGTTCGATTGTGTTCTTATATAACAATGCCAAACAGAAAAAAAGAAGTATCATATGAGTTGGCATCAATTTCCTGTACTTGATACTTTCGTTTTTAAAAGATGATGATGATGAAGAAGAAGATCCGTGTTAAATTCTTCTTCTCAAAGTAAACCAAAGAGAATGACTAGAGATGAAAAAGCCTTGAATCTGGAAGGTTCTTTCTCTCTACATCAAACACTAACAAGGGCTTGGCCACGTCAGAACTTCTTCTTTCCTCCGTTAACTCAGTGCAACTGTAACTTCACAGCTGCTACAACGTTCTTTTCATTCTCTTGCAAGTATACTGTGTTACCCCTCTTCCATTTTTTCTATCCTTCTGTAGACTCGGCGATTCGTTTATAGAGAATAGATCAAAGAAAAAATATATATAACGCTCATTTTTCTAGATTTCTCTTCATTTTTTCAGTGAACTACAAGTATAAACTCTTTCTACATAGCAGTGTCAGTGAGTACATTCCATTTCAAAATCAAATCACAAACTTTTGTACCTAATTTATTTGAAGAGAAATCATGGACGCAGTCAAAGCTGGTATTGAAAAAGCTAAAGAAGCTATGGACCACAAAACAGCCGAAAAGAAACAGGAAAAGGCTAATGATCCAAGTGTGAAGCCAAGCGAACGTTTGGATGCTCAATTTGACGCAGATAAAGCTGCCTGCAAAGCAGCAGAACATCATGTTAAAGCTGAACATCACCATGCTAAACATGTTGCCAACTAAATCGTGTTTTTATACTTTTGATCAAAACTGACTTATCTCACATCGTATTGTAATTTGACTGTTACATAGACTTTTCTTAATAAACTTATTCCAGCAGTACACTTGTATTAGATTTTTCTTATCGCTTGAAATAGATTAGTACTTTGTTTTAACCAATCGTGAAGTTTTTTCTTTTGATGATGCATCAGAAGAACAGTATCATGCGTTAGTTTTTGCTTTATTATTTGATTCATGTAAACAGATAACAAAAGCATGTCATCATATTGGTGGGTGAAAAACCATGCTGAAGGTTCACTACTTCGCGTTGCAGTTTTTGAAGGCACATCATCAACCGATGGGAACGTGTCATCAATTGTTGAACAAGTCGAATTGCAAGCAAAACGCGCCAGTCAAGAGTATTCGACACATTTACTGGTATTTCCTGAATTATTTCTTTCGGGTTACATATTAAATCGGGATATAATGTTATCTGCTGCACGGTATATCGTCGAAAAGGATGTCATCGGTCACCTTCAGCAAGTAGCTCGTCAATATTCCATTGCGCTTCAAATCGGATATCCTGAATTAGATAATGATGAGAAAATATATAATACTGCAGTATTGATCAATGAAGATGGCAAGATCCTACTTAATTATCGAAAAACACATCTATGGTCGGACAAAGAACGTGAAGTCTTCGAAGAAGGAAACGAGCTTTCTCCTGTTGTTGAATTTCATGGCGTGCGAGTTGCCATAATGATATGTTATGATTCTGAAATGTGTGAAGTTGCACGTTCTCTGTGTCTTCTCGGTGCTCAACTTTTAATCATATCTACAGCTTTGTCTTCGTCGCCAAGAAATAAAAATATCGCACGTCACATGATACCAACACGTGCTCTAGAAAATCACGTTTGGATTGCTTATGCTAATTTAGCGTTACCGGATTTCTATGGTCTGTCGCGTATTATTGGACCTGATGGTGACGAATTATGTCGAGTAGAAAATGATCCACTGATTGTGGCTGATTTAATTCCGAAAAATTATTTAAGTAGCATCGCATCAACGCCCTATTTAGCCGATCGTCGTCCATTACTCTACACAGCAATTCATGATATAAATTATCATGTTCAATTACCTGCGAATTATCAATACACCGATGATTAACTTCTTTATAATTGAACTGAAAATGCAGTTGACTCGGTTGTAAGAAGAAAGATACTATAAGACACTTCCTCGGTGATTAACGTTGATTTCCTTCGGGATTTCCTATACAGAGTTTTGTATTGCCTTAAAACTTTTATTCAAAGATTAAGAAGATTTTTGTGCGAACGAGCTTAAACTCCTAGGAATCGGCGAAAATCAGTTAAATTCATCACAGTTCCCGGTACATTTGTAGATTTCATATCAATGAAATCGTTGATATTATTGGTCGATCCTATAAGAGCTTGACACTAGTTGACAAAATATACACAATCAAAACGCGCTCCTACTCTCATTAGATATTGGAGGATATGTGGGCGGTGGTGCATTGTATGTTACTTGATCTTTCTTGAGCATATGTGAACGATCTGATGCAAATGTGTCAAGATACTGCTGAGCTGGTATCACTCGAAATTCACTAAATAGAGTGATAAAAGGTAACATAATCCATACAAATCGCGATTGTTCATACCGATGATATTTACGTAAGAGATCGCTTTCATCACGAATAGCCAGTTGCAGGTAATCATTGACGGAAACAGGAAATGGAAGTGTTGTATCAAGATCATATATCATTGTTGACGAAGGTGATTTATCGACTAAGATGACATGATAATCCTACGAAAGTCAATATTTCTGTACTAGCCAAGTCCAATATGTTAGTCATTTACCCAAATAACCAGATGATCATCACGAGAGGAAGATTTTTGTTCCCATACGGGAATTTGCCGTTGTTGATTTGAAATAAACACTGCATAGAGAGTAGTTAAATGATTCGCATCATTTTGTTTCCATGATTCACATAATTTCCATATATTTTCTTCACTAAAAACATTAGTTCAAGCAAACTCATATACCATCAAAGTTTTCTTTACCAATAGCATGCGGTATATACACATCGATCACGTTCTACTCGCCATGTATCCATTTAGATCTATCTGAAATACTCTTCGCTATTTCTGTCTGTTCAAGTACTATGGACACACGATGAGTGTCACTGGATATGAATTACACGTCGAAAACGAGACGACGATGACATAGTTATTGTCAAATTTGCGTATAGTAGGGGAAGAAAGTTTAAGGCACTTTAATTTTGAGTTTTTTTCGACAACGATAATAGCTCGACGAAATCCAACTAGTGAATCGGATAGCCCGTGAAATTCTCTATCGAATGCAGTATGTGTCAAGTATTCAAAAAAAAATTTTTTCAAGATGCCGAACCTCCCATTTTTAGGTCGTAAAAAAAATCGACAAAAATTTTTCTAAATTCATTTGAAANGAAAAAGTAGAAAAAATTACGATTTTTAGCAAAATGTGGCAAAAAACACGTTTTTTTCGACTTTTTCGGTGCTTATAACTTTACATAGAAACATTGTTGAGAGTCGAGCAGCACGTCATTCGATTCAGAATTTTCTTCTCTTTCAAATGAATTTATTTAGAAAAATTTTTGTCGATTTTTTTTACGACCTAAAAATGGGAGGTTCGGCATCTTGAAAAAATTTTTTTTGAATACTTGACACATACTGCATTCGATAGAGAATTTCACGGGCTATCCGATTCACTAGTTGGATTTCGTCGAGCTATTATCGTTGTCGAAAAAAACTCAAAATTAAAGTGCCTTAAACTTTCTTCCCCTACTATACTTTCATGTCATATTGTCCAGACAAACCTTTCGAGAGAAGTGTTTTCTTCGTAACTTGAGGTTCTTTCTTTCATTAATTAAAACATTAGTTTGAACATCACCAACTCTTACACAAGAGATCTATTTAATTTCATTCTTCTTTCAAATACAAGATGAGCAAGAACGACGAAATGGTTGATCCGGAAAGAAAAGAGAAGACATTAAAAACAAAAGAGAATACTGTTCTTATGTTGAAGATTTTTCGTATAATGCTAATGGAAAATGATCAGGATTTTGACGGATATGTTCATTCATTTCTTTCATTTGCCGTTGTAAATGTGGTTCAACTTTATCGAATATATTTTCGAACATGGTTGTAACAGGAGCACGTTTCGACTTTTCGCAATTAGCAAATGCTTCCATAACCTACAATCGAAAATGTTGCACTTTACTCTCAGTTAAACTAACAGATAATATCACGAACCATCTTTTGAGAATCTTTCGTCCATTTTTCTTCCTTTTCTTCGTCCCAACAACCACGTTTCGTCATATATTTTCGTAGTCGAACGATAGGATTATCTCTTTTATCTCTTGTGCGTACTTCATCAATCGAACGATAAGCCGAACTGTCGTCCGATGTTGAATGATGACCAACTCTACAATTTTTATTACTTAGACATCGATGTGAAAACGAATTCTTCGATATCTACCTTAGTGTCATTGCTTCGATCAAAACTGGACGCATTTCACTTAAAGCTAATTCTCTTGCCGCTTTCGTGACATTATAAACGCCGAATAGATCATTTCCGTCCACACGAATAGTTGCCATACCATAACCGGGTCCTCGACTAGCAATACCGTCACCACGATATTGATCAATCGTAGTTGTTGATATAGCATAACCGTTGTTACGACTAGACGAAATGCAATGAAGCGTTGAGAAACAAAAATCTATCAACTGACCAGAAGAAGATGACAGGAGCTTCGAGGGTTGCTGCAAAATTTAGAGCCGCATGGGCATCACCCTCACTTGCTGCACCTTCACCAAAATAGCAAACGACACAAAGACCATTCTGTGCTCTAGAAAATACGAAATATTCACGAAATGTTCGACATGGAGGACATTTCTACCTTTTATACGCGTAGGCACTGCCAACAGCTTGCGGCATTTGTGTTGCTAATGTTGATGAAATCGTTACGAAACTAAGATTAGTGGAACCGTAATGTACGGGCATTTGGACACCTTTACAAGATGCGCGAGCATTACCAAAACATTGATCGATAAATTCATGTAATTTAAAACCACGATACATGAGAACACCTACAGCAAAACGACTTATTTGAGAAAGAAAAATGGACAGTTCGTGAGTGATCATCATACCCGCTTCACGATATTGACCGTAGACGAGATCCTTTGGGTTCAAAGCAGCTGCACTGCCAATAGGCGTAGCTTCTTCGCCAAAATTCGTCATATAAAATGAGATACGACCTTGCCGTTGGGATTCATATAAAATTCGATCCAAAACGTTGAGTAGAGTCATATCATGATACATTTTAACCAAATGATCATTGGTAAACTAAGTTTTTTCAAACAATCTACATCGTGTTGAAATAAAGAGTTTCGTTTCTTACGTCTGGTTCATGACTTTTATCCGTGACAGCTCCATCGGGATCAAGAACTTGATAAATTGGAAGAGGTGTGATGTTTTCCGGACGAACGAACTCCAAAGTATTAGTAATTGAGCCTTTAATGTGCCCACTGAAGATTGACATTTTCGACGTATTAGGCTCTATCGCCACTTTTGATGTTGCCGCCGGTCCATTTGTAGATAATGATTGCTGTCTCTTACTAGCCTGGTTGATAAACGATCTACATAATCCATATAGTGTTCTTGAATGGCCCGGTAAGCGAAACATTTCTTGATCTATAATTAGACATACATGTATATTACTTCTTTTGGAGTTAACGCTTTATTTGGTAGTAGGCGATTAGTTCACACGAAAAGAAAAACACAGATAAAAGAAGCGATAGAGGGAAAAGACGAAAGTAAACAACGAACAGACTGGTCATAAAGCTGGAAGAGAAAGACGAGACGCATGGTTTATGTTTCGTAGTGAAAGGAAAGAAAAGTGTGATACAGAGTGGGATCGAACGTGTGATGTTGGAGAGCAATGTAGCGGCAGTTTTTTTTCTCGAAGAAACAGCGACGTATATGTGGAGGAACGAGCCGATAATCGCCTTTTCTTCGTTTTCGACGCTAACGTTAATAGCGGAAAGTGTTGAAGGCGTGTTTAATCTTTGTTGATTGCGGCAGTATCAATATACTGGTGAATCAGTGATGTTGCATATTCTTTAATTTTTGATATTTTGGTTATTCAGTGTATCTATTCGACAGAGGCATAGATCAGTACGCCGAAGGTAACGCGAATCGCTTTGTTTTGGATGATTTGAAGCCAAAACCATACTTTGTCATCTGCTGTTACCCACGTTATTGTGGCCCGGTCGGTTCTGGCTGATTAAATTCGTTTTTCGGCCGGAAGTTCAAGCAAAGTTTCCAGTGACTTCCTGACCATTTCCTACACTCGACCGGAATCCGGCGACAAGAAATTTTTTCGAATCCAATCGAAACCTTCTGGAATCGCCTGAAATTACACCGAAACCGACTCAGGTGTAAACGGATCCAATCATCGGAATGATCGACCTGCATAGTATTATTGGATATCCATATGTCATCTCTGGTCTTGCAATTGCTTTGAAGATGTTTATCATCGTCTTTTCGTTTGGTTCTTGCCCTGATTTGGCTGAGTATCGTAGAAGACTGATGCATCCAGCCATTTTCGAATCCAAATATTGTGTATTACTTAAATCAATCATTCTGCTTATATTTTATCAAAAATTGTCGGCCAGATTTGTTTTCGGCCTTTGCTTGACATCTAAAACGGTTTACTACACGAAAAGAAAGTGTTATAGTATTGCACATCGATAAGATAAGGAAAATTACAAATAGCAAAATAGAAAAACTGAGTAGGAATTGACTTTAATCATATATAAAACTAACATTGCTCATGCGACACTGAGAAGAAAGAAAGTACAAATGCAGACGACTAACAACATGCATAGAAAATCAATTTCGACGTGTTACGCGTGATTATAATCCATCGAAATCATCTTGTTCTCGTTGAATTCGTTCCAATGCAGCAGATATGTATTTTTCACGTTGGTTTTCATTGCTTACATGGTTATCTGTCGCGTTATGGTTACTTTTATGTCGATCATTGTGTTGCACAATGGAGCGACTGACTGCAGACGAGTGCTTATCGTCATTTAATATCTGAGTTCTTCAAATCAAAACGAAAATACATAATTTTACTACAAAAAAAAGCAAGAGAAAGGGTTTTCATCCGACTTACGAGAGTTGTCGACTTCTGGTGTCATTGATTTGTAAAGTTTTCTTGTACGTACTTAGCTGTTCGTCAATTTTCGAGAAAAAATCTTGATAGGAAGTTGTTGTTATCGTCGGAATCGATGTGTTACTATCAGATGTTCGAATAGATGACGTACTATCATCGCTTATATTAGCATTTCCCGATAATCTTCGTGCGCGGTTCGTTGTTTGGGATATGTTTTGCACAATTTCTAAATTTGGATTCAATGCTCGTAATGTCGATAGCTGAGATGAATTCACAGGAATATATACATCTTCAAGAAGACTCAATTCGGCATCAGACCACAGTCTATTGATTCGTTTGATTTCTTGGATCTTGCAAAGGAGAAAAACAAACGTCGATTGGTTCCGTTTAGAAAAATATCTTACATTTCCACTATATTTCAATGCCAGTCTCTGTAAAGTATCATCTACTTCCACTGGATGGCAAATGTAAAATGTTGGTTGCAATTGTGATTTAGCCAAACTACCATAGCCTCCACCAGAACGTTTGGTACTAGGTATAGCTTCACTAAGAGCACGTTTTTCAGTTGAATCCATTGATCCGTTTGTTGGAAATATATCAGTTGACATTTTATACATAAATAAATTCACATAGAGCGAAAATGGAAGATAGCACTTGTATGACTAGCAGTTTTATTTGACTTCTCCTTAAATATATATATATTTGTTCTAGAGGAAAGAGAGTCACTTGATTACATTACAGCGAGCTGGTAATAGCTAGCGATGCAATTGAAAGTAAATCCGAATCCTATTGGAGGATTTATTTGCCAATTAATGTTCGCCTGCTATGTGTTGTCATCGATAAAGAGGAGTTTATGAGAAATGGTTTTCCTTAGTAACATACACTTGTAGAGATTGAGAGGAACTGAAACATTTCTTTTCGTTCGAAGTGATTATCGAATAAATTTTAAGTAAATAATTTAGAAAAAAGATTGATCTCCCAAGTTTTGAGAACTTCGTAGTAAAACAACTTGTTTGAAATTCTATCAACGAATAGTTTCTTATTGACTGAATGTACGAAGTATTTCATGGTTCATTGATGACAGGAATGGTGTCATAGTCAAAGACAAATTTTCATCTACTACTATGTGTCATGTTGTTTTCAAAAACGATGACAAGATGCGAGCGTTGGCCTTGTTATGGGACTTCATGTATCATAATATGCATGCAAGGACAGTGGGACAGAAATAAAAAACCACCAATATAAAAAAACCACCAGTATAAATACAGTATTTTACGTTTGCATACACCACAGTTGCCTATATTCATTCTATAAACCATAAACATTCTGTGAGGATAATGATCAAGAAGATCATAGAGCGACGTGGCATCGATTTAGCAAAAATTCGCAATGTTTACTCGATTTGGTTAGACAAGACTATTGACGCTAATAGCGGTGATTCTCAACGTGTACTAAAACGATTTCGGGATGTCATGGGTCATGTCGAAATATTTGTCGATGATAAGAAATGTATGGAATTTCTTGAAAATATTACGAATGATAAAATTTGTATGATCGTTTCCGGCTCGTTTGGACAACACATTGTGCCCCTTATACACGATAAACAGCAGGTGGACTCTATCTTCATCTTTTGTGGTAATATAACGTATCATGAAGACTGGGTACACAAATGGCCGAAAGTGAAGGGTGTCTTTGCTAAGTTGACACCTATTTGTGAAGCGCTGAAACAGGCAGCTCATGAGTCTGAGCAAAACGCTATTCCAATGAGCTTTGTGACGCTGAACAAAAGATTAGATCAACTTGAGCCAACTTTTATGTACACTCAAATCTTGAAAGAAATCCTATTGACTATTCACTTCGAAAAGAAACATTTTAACGAATTTATTCATTATTGCACCAATGTGTTCGCTGATAATGAGAAGGAACTGGAGAATGTCAAGCGATTAAAAAAGAACTACAACGAGTACACACCCATTTGGTGGTATACGTGTGAAGGTTTTTTGTACCCTATGCTCAATCATGCGTTACGGACAATGGATGGAAATATCCTAACACGCATCGGTTTTTTTATCAATGATCTTCATCAACAAATTTTACAGGTGCATAGAGAACAATATCTTGACAATGCTTCAAGTCAAACTTTTACAGTTTACCGTGGCCAAGGTTTGTCACATACCGACTTCCACCAACTGATAGAAACAAAAGGTGGCTTGCTATCATTTAATAATTTCTTGTCGACAAGCAAAACGCGAAAAGTTTCCCTTCATTTTGCTCAACAGGCAAGCAACAATCCTGACTTAGTTGGAATTCTTTTCGTTATTACAGTTGATCTGACGCAATCGACTACGCCATTTGCGTCGATCCGCGAATTGAGCTACTTTCAAAATGAAGACGAAATTTTATTTTCTATGCACAGTATCTTTCGTGTCCATGAAATAACACCGATGGGCGACACCAATCGGCTCTATCAGATTGATATAACAGCTACTAATGATAATGACAAAGAACTGAACATACTTACTGAATACATTCGCAATGAAGTTTGTCCGAACATGGACGGATGGTATAAACTTGGTTCATTATTAAAGACGATGGGTCAGTTTGACAGAGCTAGCGAAGTTTATGAGGTTCTCGCTGAGGGAGCAGGTACTGATAGTGACAAAGCGTTCATTTATTTTCAACTCGGGGCAATCAAATATGAACAAGCAGATTTTCATAAAGCAATAGAACTTTATGAAAAATCAGTTGCCATTGTTCTGAAACTACACTCCTCCGATCACATTGATCTGGCTTTATATTACAATGATATCGGTATGGTGTACGATGCTTTGGCTGATTACTCGCAAGCGCTTTCATACCATGAAAAAGCTCTTTCGATTCGACAACGATCGCTTTCCGTTGATCATCCTGATTTAGCAATGTCCTACAATAATATTGGTATGGTATATGACAACATGTGTGAGTATGGCAAAGCACTTGAATCTTATGAGAAAGCTCTGGCAATTTGTCAACAAGCATACCCATCCAATCATCCGCATTTAGCGATGTGTTATAGCAATCTTGGTCTAGTCTATGATAAATTAGGTGAGCAAGCACAAGCGTTGTCATCGCATCAGAGAGCTTTGACAATCCGGCAGCAGTCACTTCCTCCCAATCACCCTGATTTGGCAATGTCTTATAATAATATTGGTACGATATACGATCTAATGGGCGACTTCGATAATGCACTTTCATCTCATGAAAAAGTCATTGCTATCTGTCAACAAGCGCTTTCTGCCAATCATCCACACCTAGCCATATCTTATGATAACATCGGTGCAGTGTACGAACATATGAATGATTTTGTCAAAGCACTTTCATATTATGAAAAGGCTCTGGCAATTCGTGAAAAATCACTTTCAGCCGCACATCCTGACTTAGCTGCTTCTTACAATAATATGGGTATAGTGCACTGTAGTATGAAAAATTATACCGAAGCACTCTCATGGCACGAAAAAGCTCTCGTGATTCGGCGAAACTCATTTCCTTCGAACCATCTGGATTTAGCCATATCCTATGATAGTATTGGTATGGTATATCATAAAATCGGTGATTACAAAAAAGCTCTGTCATATACTAAAATGGCTCTCAAAACTTTGCAACATTCACCTACCCTCCATCAGCCCCAATTAGCTTGGTGTTATAATAACATGGGTATGGTGTACGACAAAATGAACGAGCATACAAAGGCACTATCATGTCATAGGGAAGCGCTTGCAATTCGACAGAAGACGCTTGATCCCAATCATTCTGACCTGGCTGAATCTTATAACAACATTGGTCAGGCATACGCTGGTATGGGTAACCATGAGAAAGCCCTATCCAAGTTTCAACGTGCTATAGATATTGCTAAAAAATCTCTTCCATTAGACCATCCTGACCTTCGGCAATACATCAGCAATTTAGAGAATGCGACGAAAAATAAGTTCGAAGCCACATTGACTTTCTTCTGAATATTTTTAATGTCCAATCAAAATAAAATTTTAACCATACAGATTCGTTATAGCTGCTTAGACGATAAATTGATAACACATAAGCTGCTCACACTCACAATAACAGACAATTGGTTACATTGAATTAAATAGAAAAAGAAAAAGTGAACGTTATATAATACGTTTCGCATTCGTTCTTTTGTCGTCACTTTTGTGAATGAACATGTTCGAATACCTTTTTGTCTTTCTTCTTCTTCTTCTTCAGCCAATACTGCCAATCGCGGAACGACAAACTGATCCAAACAATGTGCATCCCTTATTTCTGGAGATATTTCGCTTGCTTGATCAGTTGCATTTCCAAGTGCATAAAATGCAAGTGTTAATCTCTCGAACAGACGATATGATCGATCGGATTCCAATTGATGTCCGTCCGACGTTTTCAGACTGTGTTTCAGAAACGTATAACGCGACAAGAATGCAGTATTCCATCAATTTGAATGAAGCCGAAGTCACTCGCATACCAGAAATAAAAAGTCAATTGAAACAAGCTATAACCATCGAACAACAATGGAATGCAATGAATAAGACAGATCGAATCGTTGCAGATATTACTTTAAATGTTGTCAAACCAAGTTTATCATTCCTAACAGGAATTCTCGAGTGTTTGAAGAGAAAGTCACAGATTATATTCACGTGAACTGTCTATTTCTGTTTCATCTATTCAATAAATTCAAAGCAGAAACTAACTTCTTATTCTTGTGCATATGTTTGTATCGGTTACTATACAGTCGGTTACTTAGTTGTATAGATATTTACATCAGCCGATGTCCATCATTGACGTATGCTGACCTCTGTAATCGTCATCTATTTGAACAATGTTTCGATCAATCACATATCATATGAAATTCATTTCGTTCTTTAATCAATGACTAGAAATCAGTGTTAATCATTTCATCAAGAGTATTTTAATGTCTGGTAATCCACCGTCTATCGTTCTCCTTCCAACATCATCCTCATCACCAACGCCTAATTCTTCGGTTCCAACGATATCTACACATCCAACTGTACGATCACCGTTAATTCTCCATCAGCAAACGATACAATCGAATGCGTCAACCCCATATAAAAGTGTTGTTGTCAAACCGTTTCGAGAAAGTATTCAACAAGCTTTAACAACCGCAAGTGGTGATGGGCAACCGATTGTTTTAAAATCAGTATGAATATTGATATGATTGGATCTAACTATGCAGCTTTATTTCATTTTAGAATGATTATCTCGAATCTCATCAACCAAATAAACGTCTTGCTCTTGATTCATCGGATATAAATAATTCTAACATAACATTTTCATCTATATCAAATACTCTCTCACTTGCAACAGTAATTCCACAATCATCGCCACACTCAACGCTACGCCTTGTCACTCCATCGACAATTATCAATTCCAATGAACTATCAACAAGTAAGACGAAGAGAATCCTCCGAGAAAACTTATCTGATCATTGATTTCTCTAGTACAAACATCTGGTCAACAAATTTTACTTCAACAACGTGGTAATCTTGTCATCACTCAACCGATTGTTACAGTAAATTAATTGCATAAACATAATTTCTATTCGAGATATTTTTGTTCTTTTCATTAGTTACAAGTTCAGCCAGATCCAAATTTAGCTCAAAAAGAAAATCATACAAATACTATACTCTTTCCTACAGATCAATCCCAAACAAATACCACCAGGTTGGCTTTCATAGTTCCTTCGACCGATATATTCTGACGAAAAAATTGTTACCTACTTTTAGAATATCAACTACAGAACATCTACCAGTTCAATACCAGCGGAAACCATGTAATTGTACGAAATCAATGTGCCTGAAACTGTAAGTATTTACTATCTAGAATAGCGTGTACAACATTTCTCAACTAGTTATTGTGATTGCTTTGCCAATGGACTTAATTGTCAAAATTGTGCATGTCTCAACTGTCACAATGACGCAAGACATGAAGAAGAACGTACAAAAGCGATCAATGCCACTCTCGAACGTAATCCCAACGCCTTTAAATCCAAAATGTATAAATTTGGTAATTTTCTCTTCATATTCTACTTGTGATGCGATCATGTTTTCTATTTAAACCAATAGCAAACACTACAACTGTTCAACCCGATCGACCTCTGAAGGGGTGTAATGTAAGTTTCAATTTTTTTGATCTCTAACCCATGATGCTATGAAGTTTATCATCTAGTGCAAAAAATCCAGTTGTCACAAACGATATTGTGAATGTTATGAAGTACGTTGATTTTGTTCTCCTTTGTGAATCCTACATAAATTTCCTTCCGTAGTCTAGAGTACCTTGTACAAATTTATGTAAATGGTAAATATAAAAGCAGATACCAAAGCAGACTACTGATTTTTTTAAAAATTTAGTATTGGTTGTAAGAATACGGAACAATCAGTACATCCGCTGAATATCGGTTTTTATCGTTCTGGTCAACCAAAAACAACGACACAGACTCCACTGGATCAAATACCTCGGACTGGACCTCCAACAGAGACGTAAGCTACAGTTAGTTCAATGACAGAGAAGTCTTCTTCTTCGTTTTAGTTCTATTCCAAACAATGTTTTCAATATGGAAGTAACTGAAGCATTGGCTACTTGTTTGTTAGTCACCGGTCAACAGTGTGAAATGAATCCAACGAGTGACCTTGATACTCAACAGACTATTCTGAAAGAATTTCAACGATGCATGCATCAAATTGTACGATCAGCACTCGGACGTCCTCGTAAGTGAAACGAACAGTTGTGTTATTCGAACATATGTCACTTGCTTTTTCTAGCTCTACCATCAACGGCATCATTTGATTGACAAATTTATTAGTATTTGATGGATTTTGGAGGATAATTACAATGTGAATTTTTTCCTGTAACAGTCATTCATTCATTTAATTAGTCGTATACTTAATAAACTCATTTGTCATCACATGAACAACAAATGAGACATAGATGAATTTTAGTTATCAATCCAATTGCTGTATCTCAATAGAGCTATAGATATAGTATCAATAAATCAAATCACAACAACAATTTACAACAATCTCCACACATTTGAAGATTGTTTACAATTTCGATGAAGTACGGTTTGGAGCTTTGACTTAATTGAAGAGAAATAGCAAATCTCTCGGCGTGCGTCCATAATACGGATTCGTCTGTTACATTATCAGTTCATAGTCTCGATATCCAAGATTGATCAAACTGATAGCCATGTTGAATAAGTTCGTCTTTTAACCCATCTAATTGATGATTTGTTTAAACGAAAAAATCTCCACTTAGCCCATAAGTATTTGCTGATTCGAGAGCAGTTGTATCATTGAAAAATAATAATCGGAAACGATTGAATACTCTTAGAGCGAAGTCAACGTCTCATCTATTTCTTACACCGGATAACACTATCACTAAATTGATTCCGTTGAATAAAGCTTCGACAAGTTCATTTGAAATTCTTACTATTCATAGGCTAAAAAGGAGAGTGAATTTTTTCAAATTCATCAATTAAATCTTGTGCGCGATCGAAATGAACCAAACCGTTCATCTATTTTCGAAATAGTTTCAACCAATATCAATGGAAGAAAATGGATGTTTCTTATACTAACCATACTAGTATAGTTCTTCGTCCATAGGAAATTCGATTAAAAATTTCTTTAACTTCGTCAATCAAACCCGAATGAGAACACGCATTCAATACACAAACATAAATCCAATGATTAATAATTCCTAGTGGAATTTTATTAAGCAGTTCAATTGCCTCTGTACCCTTTCAATTCAAAGCATATGCATGAACTAATTATGAGATTTTTTTTCCAATAGAAAATGAATTCATTAACAAATATGAATCTTGCTCATCGCTGAAAAATCTATACTGGTCGATTTCTTGATTCGCTTAAAAACTCGTTGTGCTTCCTTGACTGAGTCTGCTTTACCCTAAATATATTCAGTTTGTTATCTTCTCTCATCAATTCGGTACGAACTCATTCACATATCTATCAATACAGTTTGAATCCAATGATCATCAAGTAAAGTGGCTGGTATTTGCTGAACAGTCGATTAAGATAAAAACAAAATCGACTCTTTCATAAAGAATCTTAGCTTTGGAAATATCCTTATGTTGGAAAAATGCATTGAAAGCTGATTGAAGAACAGTGTTGTCAGTGTGTCATCAGGTTTATCGATGAGACGAAAGAGATCGATTGTTTATTGTGGTAATTCATGTAAAAGGTAATTTGAAAGGAAAGAACCAAGCAGCTGGATATTCAAACCCTTCGTCATTATTATCTAAGTGATGTTATTGTTCTCCATTTGAGATTTGTTCATGTTGAAGAAGTAATTGTAAGAATGAAGTTGAAACGATTGAGACATACTTTTCATATTGCTTTTCCGAATTCCAATGTTTGACGATCGAATGAGTGTGCACAAAGTTTAAATATGATATACTGTAAGTATGCGCATTTCGTGCATTTAATATTTGTTCAAACATTTTCAAAGTTTCTCTTTCTCGATGGTGTTATATCTCAATGAATTCTTAATTGATTGTTAAGTAACGATGAGGATAATTCTTGATGACTCAGTTCTGCGCGTTGGAAATCACTCGAATGAATAGATACGCGACGAGCTTGATTGATAGCCAGGGAAGTCATTCGTTTTAGATATTGATTATTAAATGAAGAAAGTGCTGTACTAAATTGTTTTGTATAACTTAACTGTTTCATTTGTAGACCGAGATCAACAAATGTCGCATATGAGTGGGCGAATCGGAACGATAACATCTAAATATGAACGATGAAAACCTTTGATTTAATCATTATCAGTGAATATGAACTGATCTTGAAAATACAAATATCGCGAAAATCTTAGATAAATTTATACAGTTGACGCCATTCATTCTATAGAACTTAATAGAAATTCCCGAGAATATTTCATGATGCCACGTTTAAATAGAAAACAAATAATTGGTTAATATACAGTCGACGTATGTCGGAATATAAAGTTTCAAAAGAGACTGCTTATTTGTATTATACTTTTTTGTTGTTAAAGTTAATGCCACACCCACACCCTCATTTGCATTTTTACGCATTAATATTCTATGTTTACACTACTATTTAATGGATTATTTCCATATTCTATGACCAACATTATGATAAATTTATTTAGTTAACATATGTTCGCCACTATTCTTACAATTTCATTCTTTTTTTATAATAAAAGATCCAATATGAATATTTGCAATGCTGGATATTTAACACCATCTGAAATTTTAGCTCATGTATCCTTTTTTAATAATCAGTACATCTATATGGAAATCAGGAGTAGAGACTTGTCGATGTGAGCATAATAGTTTATATGTGGGACATACATAGGAGCCAGATGCCATGTGTATTCACACTCATTTCCTGAGAAATACCCTCTTTCTTGATGTGTGATTAATGAAACGTTAAATGTTCTTTTTCAACCGTTTGTAATAACGTTTATTTTCACTTGATGAGTCTTCTACATAAAAATAGAATTTCGCTTTGGTTTTTGACGCGGCTAGATGTCGATGTTACTGGCGAGAAAATATATTGGCTGAGAAATACTCGAAAGAAGCACATTTTTATCATCTCCCAGTCTGTGTACCAAAACGTTCTTTCCTTTTTTTTCTCTTCTAGTACTGGTAAAATAAGTCTTCATCGATATATTTTTGTATTAATGCCAATAAATCGAAATAACGAACTTTGTTTTTGAGCTATTTCTAACACGGGTAGTCAGAAAGATTTTATAGATAAGAGAAAGTTAATTATCTGCTTTTGATTCTTTACAAAACCTCTAGTATTTTCTAATCCAAATGTATTCATCAATGTTCTGAGAAAAGTATAGATGGCGTTGGATAAATCTTTCGTCTCGTTACTTTTTAGATTGATGTTATAGTGTGTACGCATACGCAACAATGCCTGAAGATATCCCAGCTGAGTATATTCGACTTCTTCGACAATTTGTAGCATTGTGTGATGCACAACCTGAACTACTTCAAGCACCTGAACTTGATTTTTTTCGAGACTGGCTTTCTAAGTAAAAACTACCATTTGTTGATCGTTCGTATGGAAAAATAAGTTGATTTTGTCATTGGTCGTTGTTTAGATTAGGGGCAACAAATTCAGCTGCCGAGACTAGTTCTACCATAGAAACTGAAGACATTCGTAATGCTGAGGAAGAAACCACTACGTCGTCAACAAGTCAAGAGGAGACACCAAAAGTTGAAAGCGAAGCAGAAAGTGAATTGGGTATATACGAACTTTCTTTTCTAATTCTATTTTTCTTCAATGATATACCTATTTCCTTAGAACTGGATATGACTGGTGTAGTTGAAGGTGACAATGATGCACCACAAGCTATGTGGGATACAAATATCGAAGTAGAATCGATTCTGACCAACATTATCACATGCATACTCTATGTCTTGTGTTAGGTGACAGATGCCATGTTAGAGCAAGCTGATGTTAAACGAAGTGAAGCTCAATCAAAACTTTCCGAAGGTGCATTTGAAGAAGCTATTTCGCTATTTACACAAGCGATTGAAAATAATCCACAATCAGCTATTCTGTATGCGAAACGTGCGCAATGTTATATCAAACTTCAAAAGCCAAACGCAGCGATACGTGATTGCGATCGAGCTTTAGAACTTAACGAAAATTCACAACAAGCTTTGAAATGGAGAGGCAAAGCAAATCGGTAAAAGAAGAAACGAGTTGAAAACGACTTATTCATCTAAATTCTTTTGCTCTGTCTTTCTAAAGTATGTTGGGTAATTGGGAAGCGGCATACAGAGATTTCTGTAAAGCACAGATATCTGATTTCGATGAAGACGTACAAGCATGGCTTAAAGAAGTTGAAGTGAATGTAAGATCCTTCTATTTCTTCCCGTTTTTCTTGAAATTAAAAATATCTTTGTGCATGCGTTTAGGCAAAAAAATTGGGTGAGCACAAGCGCAAATACGAACGACGTCGGGAAGAGAAAGAAATTCAAGCTAAACGTGAACGCATTCGTAAAGCTCAAGAAGCCTATGCTAAAGCGCAACACGAAGAAGATGAACGACGAGCGCGTGAACAACAAGCGCGGTTTGCTGGTGGTCAACAGTATCCAGGATTTCCAGGTAGTTTTTTTTTTAAAGAATGACTTAAAATTGAGATACTTAATCTTCGCTTTTATTCAGGCGGTATGGGTGGCATGGATGAAGCAGATTTAGGAGGACTGGGTGCTGTTATGAATGATCCAGAAATATTGGAAGCTTTGCAGGATCCAGATGTACAAAAGGCTTTCGCGGTACGTTTTCTTTTCTAGTCTGCTTCTCAACTGAACTGATAATTCCTGCAGGACGTAAGCACAGATCCTTCGAAATTGGCTGCTCATCAGAGTAATCCCAAAGTACGCAAAGTAATGGAAAAACTAGCCAAAAAATTCGGTGGAGCTGGCGGACCCATGAGCGGCGGTTTTCCAGGCTTTCCAGGTAAACTATTTCGTACGCGTACATGAAACATGGACTTCTTTTTTCGCATGTAGGTGGGATGGGAAATGATTTTGGTGGAGCTGGTGATGTAGATGCCAACGATCTCGACTAATAGATTTTCTTCTTTGACATCATATGAACAATACATCTTTATTCTTGCTTTTATTTCGATGGTTTCTTTTAAGCAATGAACGATTCAGGATAGCGTTGATCTAGTTGATAAAAAACATCACTTGCAATTCTTTTTCTTTTTTTTATGTAATAAAAGTACTACGCTAGTCGACAAACGAGAATGAAGCTAGAAATTGCGCGAGATTTTCACAGTTTTTGTTCATTTTCGATATGTATTTCGTATTTACTTTATTCTATTAATACCGAGAATCGATTTCATGGATATATCGAAATCAAGAGAAAGTGTAACAACAGATCGAGGGCAAGATTCACAACTTGTCAATGGTTTAGCAGAAGCACCGAGAGGAAAGAGCGAACATACCGAACAGTATCAATTTGACGTGATTGTTATTGGATCAGGACCAGGAGGTAGGTATGTGCAAGTAGGTCTTGATTGAATTGATACATTATGTATCGAAATTATATAAGGTTATACCAGTGCAATCCGATGTGCTCAGCTGGGTAAATCAGTAGCAATTGTGGAACGTGATCTTCTTGGTGGTCACGCTGTCAACTGGGGCTGTGTACCGCTGAATTCCATGATTGCTTCTGCACGATTGATCCGTTCCATTCATGAATGTGATCGATATGGCATTAGAATACCATCTTATCGCATCGACTTTTCATACATCGCTCGCCATCGCGATGAAGCCGTGAAGAAAGTTCGTTCTCAAGTTAAGCATTTTTTAGACAAGTACTTTCCACATTTTATTATCGACTAATTAAATTAATTTCTTCCATTTGATTGAGATATCATATTCAAGTATACACTGGCAATGCTTGCATTGTCAATCCACATCACGTCTTAGTCAAACCAGTGCAAAAACGTACCTATGCTACAATTCGCGATGCCAATGGTCACAGTCCTTATGAAACTAGCGATTACACGTCAGTCAGAGCTGATGTAGAAATTACTGGCAACAATATTATTGTAACTACACGGAATCAACTTTCATTATTTATGGTCGTTGTTTAGATTGCCGCAGGGGTTGAATATGAATTACCTCAGTTTGTCGAGAAAAATGATAGGAAAAGTGTCGATCCTACTGAACTTCTCTGGCGTCGGACTATTCCTGAATCATTAGTTATTATCGGCGGAGTATGTATTCGTAGCCGTATAGATAACTTCATGATCTCATCTTATTGCTTAGGGTGTATTAGGATGTGAAATAGCTTCGCTCTACAGCCACCTACGTTCAAATGTGATTTTGATCGACAAAAACTCACGATTATTAAAATGTATGGACGAACAAGTTTCCTTCGCTGTTGAAACATGCTTGAAAGCAAATGGTGTGAACATTACACTCAATGCTAACGTCGAACGAGTAGCAAATGGTGAAGTGATTATTCAACTTCATCAGGCAAACATACAGCGTACTATACGAGGCGCTTTAGTTGTTGTCTGTGTTGGCCGTAAGCCTACTTTTGATTACAAATACTTGGAACAACTTGGCATTCGGATTGATCATGAACGGTCAACAATTATTACTGATGAAAAAACGTGTGAAACATCAATACGAACCATTTACGCATGTGGTGGAATTGTTTCATCATGTTGGTCCTGGGTATGTTAGAAGATCAAATCAAAACTCAACCAGATGTTTATATTTCTAACCTAAGGTATCCTGTGCAGTGCGTCAGGGTCATATAACAGCAAATGCCATCTGTTGTGTGAGTGAAAATACAAACAATCCGAAGTTTCATATGGCAACTAATCCAGCTGCACCTTTCGTTATCAATGTTATTCCCGCAGTGGCGAGTGTCGGTGAAATACCCAAATCGACAGATAATGTTCTGATTTATATGTACAAATTTCATACTGATCGACGAGCCATTATTGATAGTCAAACATGGGGTTTTGTCAAAATGTGGACAACATCCGATGAGCCGAAACGATTCCTTGCCGTACAATTAGCTCATGAAGCAGCAGCAGAAATTATTGAGTACTATAGTATGATCATTTCACTGAGTAAGTTACACGAGATATGTAACAATAAAAGAATCTTATTGATCTTTATAAAGATCTTTCAATACGCGACGTATGTTTTCTCTCATTCGCACATCCGACTTATACCGAAAGTGTAAAAGAAGCTTGCGAATATGTACTCGGTCAATCCATGAACTACGATGAAAATCTAAGATTGTGATCTGTTGGTTGTTTTTGTTTTCTTTAACGTTTTATAATTTTATTAGACGTTTTTTTGAAGTAGTACAGAAATACAACGATGAAAACACAATATTTTCCTAGACAAAAGAAAAAGACGTGTATCTCTGTATATGTTAATAAAGAACTGAAGGAATTTTTTGGTACGAGAAGGAATATAACAAGATGAACAACAATAGACCTACACGCACATACATGCACATATACCGAATCGATTTCTTATAAATGATATTTATCCTTTTGCGTGTGTGTTTGTTTGTTTTCGTTGTGATTCTTTAGCTATCAATTGCACGAAATCATATGCCATTCTTATGTGCATTTGACGAACGAAATGTCACAACACGTATGTATACAGAAAGACAAAATAACAAGAAAAAATATATATGAAAAAACATCAGTAATTCGAAACTTGTAGTTTCATCTTTGAACGAAATATATGTATGCATGTGTGTATCTACTCGTCTGAAGTCTAAATGAAGAAAAAACGAGGAACGAAGAAAGAGAAAAAATAAAGATGTTTAATATAAGTTTATTTGTTATCATCAGAATATAAGAGAAGATCGTAAAACAATTTTGTTGATGCTGATGACGTTGATGAAAGGACAAGAACGGATGTCTCTCTTTTAAATTAGATCGGCAACGTTCATTGGCATTTCTTGAACTTGAGTGTTGTAAAATTGTTCAATGTCACGTAATGTTCGTCGATCATCATCGGTAACAAAATTGATGGCTACACCTTTACGACCAAATCGACCACCACGACCAATTCTAGACGAGAAGTCCATAAGTGAAAGTCATATTGCTTTTGCTCAATCTTACCGATGAATGTAATTCTCTCGATTATTTGGTAGATCGTAGTTAATAACAAGACTGACTTGTTGAACATCAATACCACGCGCAAGTAAATCAGTTGTAATCAATACTCGACTAGAACCGGTACGAAACTCCTTCATGATGACGTCACGTTCTTTTTGATCCATATCACCATGCTAGAAAGAAATCCAAAGAAATTTTGTTAATCAATATTTGTTCACACTAAGTATTTCAAAAGAAACTAATAGGATGACTTTACGATTGATTAGGGGTTTCCTTTTTGGCCAAGTCCAGTACATAACATTTATAGCAGGACAAATGACATGCTTGGTAATATTGGCCACGTGAATGGAAAATGCTTTTTTCCACTTACCATAGCAGAGACAGTGAAATCACGTCCACGCATTTTTTCTGTTAACCAGTCGACCTTTCGACGTGTATTGCAGAAAATAACAGCTTGTGTAATTGTTAATGTTTCGTATAAATCACAAAGCGTGTCCAATTTCCATTCCTAGAAGCGACACTTGCAAATCGAATCAAGTTTTATCAATTCTTGTTTACCTCACGCTCGACGGTAACGTAAAATTGTCGAATACCTTCAAGTGTTAATTCTTCTTTTTTAACGAGAATTTTAATCGGATCGTTCATGAATTTAGTTGTTACTTCGAGTACATCGCTTGGCATGGTAGCTGAGAGCAGAATGACCTGTATGTTCTGTGGCATAGTTGTGAACACATCGTAGATCTGTTCTTTGAAACCACGAGATAACATTTCGTCGGCTTCGTCTAATACGAACATTTTGATAGTTTTACTGCCTAGAATAGTAAACGGTAAATATTTCGAAGTATGATTCAACAGAACATACGAAGAGCCGATCGATTAAGCATATCATAGACACGACCAGGTGTACCGACAACGATTTGAACACCACCTTCGAGTCGTTTCATATCATCACGTACATTGGTACCACCAATGCAAGCATGACATGTGACGCCCATGTAATCACCAAGTGCCAATACTACCTTCTGGATCTAAATGATTACCAGAAGAAAACATCATAATGTTACATCTACGAGTTGTTAGACATACTTGTTGGGCCAGTTCCCGAGTCGGTGCTAAGATTAATGCTTGACAATCTTTCGATTCCATATCAAGCTGTTGTAGGATTGAAATAGCAAATGTAGCTGTTTTGCCTGTACCCGATTGAGCTTGGGCAATGACATCGTGACCTGAATGGAACGGAAGTCATGCCATGAGAGAAGAATGACACATAAGAAATATAGCGTACCCAAAATACATGGTTTGATCGCACGTTGTTGAATAGCTGAAGGTCGTTCGAAACCATAGCCATAAATACCACGTAGAAGTGGTTCACGTAAGTTCATTTGATCGAAGTTTTCGACCACTTCATTCCAATTACTCTCGATAGTTCCGTCTAAACATTCCATAATCATTTGTTAATTTGAACTGAAGTCTCCTATAGTGTCTTACCAGGTTCCATTGATGGAACCCCCGAGCTCGAGTTTTGGGGTGTGTCATTCCTAGAAAGAAAAATACCATTTAATAAAACATTATCTTACAAACAACTTGAAGAAACTTGAACAACAAAAATTTTTCTAAAAGAAGAAGTTTCGTACTTGTCCTTAGACATCTTGTTTGATTGGTGACATAATCTAATTTAAAACGGATAAAACAGACGATAATTAAAAGTGGTCATTTGAATTTTCGAAAGAAAAAATATGACAAAATAGAAACACAACGCTACACACACATCGTGCAGATAGATATTTTCGAGAGTCAGGCAAACATATAACCAAGATGGCGGATCGATAGAAAGAATATATTCTATTGTACTATCAAAGGACTAGTCAACATCGGTAGAGAGGACAGGATTGGAAAGTAAAAACTTTGAAATATGAAAATGGCAAATTTCTGCTAATTTCTTTTTCTTAAACACTTACTCCAGCGGAGATGTCGTTTTATAACTGTTCGTTTTCGATTTCGTTCGATTGTCGCTCATAGATGAAGAAAATCAAAATGGTAATGCATTCCAAATAAAGACGATCTAGAAAATAAGGAAGACAAAAATTGCTTAGCAACCCGGAGCAATAGCGAATAAGAAATGGCTTAATTCACAAATCAGTAGATCATGATTACTTGGAATACTCCATTGAAGTTCGAACGGAAATGAAAACAAATGAAATTTTGCGAAGGCAAAAGCGAAACATCGCAAATTAGAAAGGAAAAAAATATTGAGTAGTGCGAGTATATATAGAAATGTAATTTCCAACGTTGTTGAGTCAGAACATGAGTAGACTCGTTAACCGTAAAAAAGCACCAATGAGTAAATAAAATTTGAAGGAAAAATCTCAGTGGAAGAAGCACTGGGAAATTTTGAAATAAGAATCCTCATTCGTGTAAATGACCTGATGGTTCTGTTCTGTTCTTTAATCGAATGCGATCGTGTCCAACTCGACATATTTGCCAAGATGGAGAGCGCTAGAATCAATGTGATATGTAAATCCAATGGGATGCGAGATTCTTTTTTTTCTCACTGATTAAGAAAAAGAAAGACAGACAGTAGACACTTTACTTCAGTTTTTTTCCTTTTTGATCTTTTTGAGTTGAAATTATGGCTCACACTTCCTACCGTCTTCGTTGTCAACTGTACGGACATGAATCAGATGTACGTTCTGTATCAACAATAACAGAATACGATGGTATTGTTAGCGGATCGAGAGATAAAACTTCACGAATCTGGCGTCCGACTGAGTAAGTTTTTCTAAACGATCGACTTCTGTATATTATCAACAAGAATCCTTATCTAGTAAAACTTCCTTTGAACAAAGAACAGTTCTAAAAGATCATACAAATTTTGTTATCGCTACATGTTATATTCCCTCCAATAACCAATTTCCTGACGGGTTAATTATTACAGGTGGTAATGACAAGAAAATCTGTGTTTATTCCGCCAAACAGGGCAGTCATCTATTCACACTAGAAGGACATGAACAGACAGGTAAAAACACCCAATCTGACTAACTGAACATACATGTTGTTTCTGATTTCCTCTTCAATACAGTTGCATGTTTATCTCCTGTACCACAAAGCGATCTTCTATTAAGTAGTTCGTGGGATACAACTGGACGTGTTTGGTCGTTATCGAGCAAACAATGTGTACAAGTTCTACAAGGTAACTACGAACGATTTGTTTTATTCTTGATCTTGTTTTCCTTTCAAAGGTCACAGCAAAGCTGTCTGGGCAATTCTATCTATGAACGATAGTGCGGATAATTCGAAGATCATCTTGACTGGTGGGGCTGATAACATTATTCTAGCGTGGAAAAATCAAACAAGAACCCATACGTATCAAGGTAAATGGTTGAATTTTGATTAGAAAATGTACTGACATGACGCGTTCTTGTATTCCTTCAATAGGTCATACAAACTGTGTTCGATCGCTATTAGCATTGAATGCGCAAGAATTTTTGTCTTGTTCGAATGATTTTACGATAAAACGATGGAATTTAAATTCGAGTCAATGCTTACAGACCTATGAAGGTCACACAAGCTTTGTGTATAGTATTGCAATGGTTTCTCCCGATCGGTTTGCATCTGTGAGTGAAGATCGGTCATTACGTTTATGGTCAATAGGTAAAAGTGATTCAATTCAAACTATTCGACTCCCATCAGGAACTGTTTGGAGCGTTTGTTCATTGACTAATGGCGATGTTGCAGTCGGATGCAGGTAAATAAGAACCGTCGAATGAATAAGTTTGCTGGTTTTACCTTCGAATGAATTATTTCTAGTGATGGACGTATTTGTGTTTTCACCCAAGATGAATCACGAATGGCAAACATGGAAGAGATCGCCGGATTTGAACAAGAAATTGCTTCTACTACTATTCAAACAAAAACGGGCGATTTAGGTGAAGTGAAAATTGATGATCTACCAAATGAAGATGCATTGAAAAAGCCAGGAACTCGTGAAGGTCAAACGACGATGATTAATAAAGGCGACGGTCGTGTTGAAGCGTACCAATGGAATATGCTTGATCAACGATGGATGAAAATCGGTGATGTGGTCGGCTCAGCCGATAGTACAGCACAAGGACAAGCATCAGCAACTGGTGAAAAGATTCTGTTCGAAGGAAAATACTATGATTATGTCTTCAATGTGGACTTGGATGAAGGTGTTCCGTTGAAACTTCCCTATAACGTCTCAGACGATCCATGGTTTGCTGCCCAAGCATTTATACATCGACATGATTTAAATCAAATGTTTCTCGATCAAATAGCGCAATTCATCATTACAAATACGAAAGGAATGGTTATTGATCAAAGAGCATCGGATTTTGCAGATCCATTCACTGGTAAGAATCCTTTGAAACAAACTCTTTCCGCATGAGTATGATTGTTTAGGGGGAGGACGCTACGTTCCAGGTGGCTCAACAGAAAAAAGTACAAGTACCGCTCAAAAAAGTAACCATGATCCATTTACAGGTGCTGGACGTTACGTTCCGGATGGCCAAGCCTCTACCACGAAAAAACCAAACAATATCAATCAAGATCCATTCACAGGTGCTGGACGTTATGTTCCAAATGGTGATAATAATCAATCGTCGAGACCATTATCAGCTTCACAATCATCTGTTATAAGTAAGTGTTTACTTCTGATTAAGTAATACACTGATGTTTTCCTGTTTAGAATCAGATAAAGACGTCGAACTATCGGCGACGTTTCCTCAAACTCAATATGTTACTATGAGTAATGCCGATACCGCAAAAATTCTAGGTAAACTCAAAGAATTCAATGAAAGTGCGGCTGGTGATGTTGGTCTTCGTTTAACCGATGTTCAATTACAAGAAATAGATGGATTAGCTAATGGAAATATCGATAACCTCGAAGAAAAGTTCACTCTTCTCTTTCAACTACTCAAATGGCCTATAAGTAAAAACTCTACCAATCTTTAACTTCTTTCTTTCACTTCATGACATTATTTTTTGTAGATAAAATCTTTCCAATATTAGATATTATTCGTTTGCTCGTTCTTCAACCAAATGTATGCAAATACTTGTTCGAAACTGAAGTGCGTTCGAACCAATTTATTTCCGAACTGTTCTCCTTTCTTCAACCTGATCAGCCGGCAAACATCATGTTAATATTTCGCACATTAACCAATTTATTTTCGAATGATTTAGGCGAAAAATATCTGATCAAAAACAGCAATTCAATCTTAGCTAAAACATTGATTTACCTCCCATTGGCGAAGAAAAATACACAAGTAGCATTGACAAATGTGATCTTAAACTATTGTATTTACGCTTATCGAAGTAATGATCAACGTCTTTCGAATTATTTATACGAATGTTACAAAGAATTTGTCGATATTCAGTTGGAATCGGACGGTGCTCGACGACTCTTACTCGCCCTAGGTACATTGTTTCTAACCAATGCCGAAATTGTTCTCAATGTTCAAACAACCTCTGATAATAGTGCGAAACGGTTTTTTTCTGCATTGGAAAAATCAGCGTCGCAGTTTACTGCCGAAACACTCGAATGCTTTGAGCGATGTCGTGCACTTGTTAAAAGTTTGTGAATTTTAACGACAAAAAGAAAATGCCACCCACAAGTTTATTCACCCCCCATCTCTAAATAAATTCCAAACTTTCTTTTTTTCTTTTCTATACTAAATAAACACGAAGCATAGTTCTCAAATCAATTGTCTCTCTTCGATCTAGATGTTTTCGCATTCGTCGTCATTGTGGACAAAAAGTAAATCAAATAAGTTAGATCGACCGCGTCCACCATCGCCATGGACAAACGATCTTGCTGATCAAGGACTTGCTGTTTTCGTTGTGCAAGCAAGTAGATCTACTAACCTGAATGAAATAATTGCCATGTACGCTTGATAACAGTCTGCTTATGCATTAGTGCTAATCACTGGGAATGACAGAATAAGATTTTCTCTTTTCGATTGTTAGTGTGCGGGAACGGTGGATCTAACACACGACGATGATGTCGACTTTTCCTATAAAAAGAAATTTCTGCAATTCATTTACCAATGTCAGGTAGCGTAAACCGCTGATGAATGAGAAAACAAGCAAAGCATGTCTATACCGTAGATTGCACGACGGTTACCGAAGAAATTATCGGAAAAATCTGCTGTACACTTGCATATCACTGCGGAACAAATTAAATTACTCAATACTCATCAAGTACGTACTTGTTGTTAGAGAAGATCTTTGTATTCTCTAGTTAATTTTGATCAGAAAACAATTCTTTCGATTCCTTCACATCACATTATTGCTTGTTACTATGTTGAATACGACAAGGATCATATTGTAGGAATGAAATATGGTAGAATGGATTTTCTTCTCATTGTTGAATGTTTCTTTGAAATGGATTTGTTTAGTTTCGGCTAAGGATAAAGCTTCAACTGTTGAACTAATCATTTTCTTGCTCAATGATCGACACGAAGCAGATGAACTATGTTCGTCCATGGACTTCTGTTTTCGTGCAATCTATATCACAAATGAACAAAACTCTGATATTAGTAAAAAGTTATCTTTATTAACAGTTTCCCTTTCTTCAACACAACAATTGCGCAGTTCAATTGGTTCAACAACATCGTCGTCACCTTCAACTGTTCGTTCCCTGTCGGTGGCATCGGCATCATCTTCATCAAGGGTCGTTGTACTAGATTCTTCAACAACTACTACCAGTGATGATGCATCAACACCACGACGAAGACATCGGTAAACTAATTGACTAATTTGATTTTCTAGTTTAACCAGGATATGTTTAGACGACCACGCGCGCGACATGATGATGCCTCTCCCAATCGATCATCAGCAAAAACTACGGCAAAAATCATTCAAAATTATCTTCTCGATGTTTGTATTCCAACACTTGTCTTCTCCATAAGGATATTCTTGTTGTTTCTAGTTACAACTGGAACTGAAAAATAGTGAATTAGTTGAATTCGGTAAATTATTGACGGAATGGCAATCGAATCAATTGACAACGAAATCATTTGTGAAGAAAACTGCTCGGCTTTATGGCGAATCGCGACGAAATCTACTTGATGGTATCGATACTAAACTTTCCTTTATCTATGACATACATATCGTCTATAGGTTTACACGATTTTCTTCCAATCGATGAACAAGTATGGTTTCTTGACTACTTGGATAATCTCAAAACAACGAAACCATCCTTATTTAACAGTACTGAATCACTGGAGAAAGTCGAGACGTTGTAATCTGCCGTTTTTGGTATTCATTTGAAAATAAACCTATTCATACGAGAAAGAAAAGAGATAAACACGTGGTTCAGTTCGTTATATATAGTAGTGTTCAATACATGCACAAAGCATAAAACATGACGAGCCAATTATTTAGTCAAGGACTACATTTGATTGAAAAGTCCGATTTTAGTCTATTACGATTGTACATCGAACAGGAAGTTTCAAATGCTAGTTTACAACAATTGGTGGAAAAAATCCAGAACTCGAGCGACTCGGAAGTAAGTGAAGTAAAATCAACTAGTTATAGATGAAATTTCCAATGAATATGTTAGACATGTTTCTTTCCGTTCGATATTCCTATTCGATTGGACAGATGTTATCAGATATCAGGTAAAGATGGGCCGATTTTCGTATCGAACGAGAGAATATTTTGTATAGATTGCTTTACTGAGTTTATCCTTCATCAACAAAGACGCGCAACTATCTTTGCACAACAAGTATCAAGGAAATAGACTTGTTTTCACAAACATGAGCGATTTAGTTTTTCAGATTATCTATAAGAATGTGAGAAGTTTGTGTTGTCATCCAAATCAAATCGCAATTCGATTTATTTATGATAAACTACCACCACGACCAGAGTAGGTTACATTACTGTTCATATTCGACTGATAAAAAGATCAATCGTAGATTTCGAGTGTCATCCAACACTTCACAAGCTGATCTACTTTCTCGTCCGCATCCCATTCGTCTGAGTGGTACTGTGATTGCATCAAGTGCTGTTTTGCCGTACATGTATGTCTAGATTAAGTTTTGCATGGTATAGTTTTGTGAATACTGATCATGAGGCTATTTTAGACGTGGATTAAAGTACGTATGTCATAGTACGTTGTGTCCTTTCAATGATCGAAAACGACAAAGATTCGTTTTGTTCGATGTTGAACATCCACATAGTTGCAAAGTTGGAGAGTAAGAAATGCGAAATAGAATGGAAAGAAATTTGTCTGTACATGATTGATGGAGTTGTAGAACTATTCTATGTGAAGGCTGCGATTTGTTTTTAAACGAAGATATTAACAAACGATGGATTTCTGGTGAGAACACTTTCGTTTCAGTGTGATAATGTTTCTGATTCTACTGTTTGTATAGAGAAAATTCTTATCGCAGTGAAAATCAAAGAACCGAAAACACCCATTCTGGCTTCTGGATACAGTCTTGAGATGGATTCTGTCTTATCACATACATATACGATTACCGTTCGTGGTAAGTTACATGTCATTCTCTTCTTGGATACAAATTGACCTTTTCGCGTAGACGAATATGTTGCGCGTATACGTCTAGGTGGCAAATATAACTTCATCTGCTATGCTATAAATGATTCTCATTCGAATAGAGTTATGTTTGAAGTATGTATGAATGATCAAGACGTCTCCTAAGCATTTCTTGTGCAACTTGTAGACATTACATTGTGAATTGATTCAACCGTGTCGTCTTTCACTACCTGAGTCCATTCGTCAACTACATTACACTTTTGCACATCGTCATTCATTCAGTTTTCTTAATCTTCTCTCGACACTTTTCTGTCGTATGTGTCAGTTTATCGTTATTTGATTTACTAATCAAAGTTTAATTCTAGCGCATATTCAATTGGTCAAATATTGCACTCACGTCAAAATGGGTCTGATATTGAGTTTGGTTTCATCATCACTTCATATTCTTCTCGTCGGGAATGAAAGTCGAGCAGCTGATGTACTTTGCCAAACAGCACTGAAATATGCTGAACATGGAATTATTCATCGACAACAGTATCCTCTAACACTGGCATCGATTTCAAAAACGAAACATCGATCATTTATTGTTTCTGGTGAGTTCGTTCTGTATTTCGTTGATTACTTGTCAGGTATTCCTTTGGCAGCCGGTTCAATAGCGATCGCTTCGGATGGAATCACTTATTTGGGAAGTATTGATAGTTTAAGTAGAGCGCAATTAAAACAACTTCATTTTGGTAACTGATTTATCTATACAGACCTTTGATTTCTACGTAATGTATAGCATTCGAAACCAAAACACTTAGTATTGAAGTGAACAAAAGCGAAGAGTCTTTAAAAATTGTCTATAGTATGCCATTTAACAGTAATATTTGGGCTTATCATGATAGTCGTTTGTGGTTACAAGCTGATCGAGTGACTGAACCAACAAATGATCTGTCGCCAGCAATAACCGAGTAAAACCTTTTTTTTGTTCTTGTATTCTATATCATTGATGACGAAACTCAATTTTCTTCAATAGTGCGTTCAGTTTGGTGTTACCACTTGATGAGATCGAATACGAATACGGTGAAAATGTTTACGAATATTTACTTTTCCTTAATAATTAATGCGTAACTAGAAGAAACAGTGGAGAATTATTTGGATTCAATATTAACAATGGACAATCAACAAGAATCAGTGGACCAGCAAACCAGTCAATGGATCGATGATATTCGTAGTGTAATTTTGTAAAAACTTTCCTATGCACTAATATATTCGTTTTAATTAATCTTTCTAGTTTCTCACCTATGCTCGAACGATGGAAATGCCATTGAGTTACGAAGCTGAACAGCTTCTAAAGAAATACTTTTGTGCATGTCGTCGGACTAAGCGTACTCTTTTTTCCTATACTGAACTTCCAGCAACGACGACTGATGTTTTGTAAATCATTGCAAAAGTTCATTCATCTATACATCGTTCGTTGATTTTAGAACTCAAGTATGCGAAGCAATTGCGAAGTGTAATGCTCATATCGAAGCGACTGATACGGATATGATCCTTGCCATCTATCTATTTGAAATTTCCACAATGACTCGACTGGGTTGGACATTATAGTTAGACTCGAAGTCGTTTTGATGCATTCCTTCATTTAGGCTGTGAGAATCTCGTTAAAGATCATTATCGATCGCCACCTGTGCTAACTGATCCAATGCTGATCGATGCAGTGAGTCTCTTCTAACCCTTCTTGAAAATCTGTTCCATTGGTTTTCAGATTGAACAACGTATGATTTTATTTTCGCAAGAACTCATGATCTTCTGTGATGAATATACATCATCGACGAATGTACAGTCATGTTCATCCTCGTTTTTCTGACTCTCTCCTCTGTTTAATCAGATCTGTTCGTCGGCGCGTTTTTGAAAATGTCTGAGGACAATCGTTCGGCTGTTTTTCTTCGCGATTTCGAACCGTCTGCTGTTCGACTTAAGCGTAAACTTCGTCTGATTCTTAATAAAAATCTACGACAAGAAAAACTCGCTGAGAAGAACGTAACTCTTCTTGAATTCTTTGTCTATTTAAGTAAAACCTATTGCATCTCTTCCAATTAACATTCATTTCAATCGATATAGTTTTACTCATCATTGCCACGACTATTTGCACCACATATCACCTTTCTCAAGATCTTTTTTACGCTGATAGATGTATACGACGGCTACTGATCAATAAACTTCAATTATACAATGTCAAAACTGTCGATGAACTTTGGCACTATCTACTTCGGTTAAACGACGAAATTTATAGTACGAATATTCGACAATTGTCAAGTTTAAATGTTATTTTTACTTCTCCATCTCTAGATACCATTCTGATCGTAAAAGATACGCAAGAAAGTTCAAGCTCACAGATTCTATTATCCAATGAGAATTTCATTTTTGGTACTCCTCGTTTGCGTCAGTTGCGTGTAAACAATTCATATTGTCAGCTCATCAGAGATCTCAGTAAACAAGCAGTTCATTGTCATGCCCCATATCATAAATCAAAAGAATATCGAGCAGATTTCAAGGCCATCAATGGACTCAAATATCTCTACACGTCATCAAACATCATATCTGCGTTTCAACTAAGGAATAAATATGGCCCGTACGATGCCGGTGGTTTTATATACCAGTTTCAACAAACAAAAGTGATGAATTTCATAAACATGCATATTCTAAAGAAAGGTGGATGGCTCAATGTCGATACTCGAGCAGTTCTTCTCGAATTCATATATTTCAATCCAAATACAGAGTTATTCACTTCAATCAATATTCTTTTCGAGTTTCTCACCACTGGTACAGTCTCTGAATGTACTACGAATTGACAAAGACAATCGAATTGACTTTTAGGTCTGATCGAAACGAAAGATTTCTTCTACACTATACCCATCAGCAGTTATTTCATTGGACGGAAATCATGGCTAGGTGTCTTTCAAATCTTATTCCTTCTATACTACTTTCTCTTTACATTTTATTATGTTGGCAGTATTGCTAGATATCGCCTATGGTTCGTCGTCTCTTCGTATTGGAATGTATACGATCTTGCTCTTCTGATTCTTTCGACCATATTGATTGCTTTTGATATTCGATATTTACTCAATATTGCAAGCGTTTTGACATGTTTATCGAAACCAAAAGATGACGTTTACAAAGAATTAGTTCCATTTTTTGAAATACAGCGAAATCGCTTGGATTTGCAAGCATATCTAACAGCACTGATTCTCGTACGTTTACTTCGGTTCCTACCACACTTTTCACATTTGATTGCCAACTTACTCAATGTCTTTTATAAATCGATTCGCAATTCCATCGGTTTTCTTCTCTTGTTCTTCATCATTTTCATGTCCTTCGTCGTCTTTGCAACGTTTTATTATGGCGATGAATTGTACGAAGTAAGTTCATTTCTTTCGCATCGTTTCGCCGTTCCCTCGTCTCATTCTTAGTTTCACACATTTACACTAGCTGCGTATACGCTCGTTCGGTGTACTCTAGGCCAATTTGAATACGATCGTGCGTATCGTGTTTCTCCAACTTGGACTCCCGTAGGAACATTTGTTCTCCTCGATCTGAGTACGGACTTCATGCTTTAGATCTTCTACATGTTATATGTCTGCGTCGTCTTTTTTGTCTTAATCAATCTGTTCATCGCAGTTATCAACGAGACTTATGTATTGGGAAAACAAGAACAAAAGCAAATCGAAGATGATATTCAGGAAGAATATACTGGAAGGAAAAAAGGTCAACGATTAAATACTTTTCGTCGGTCGAAACGACCAGTTCTTCAATTCGAAGTAATTCAAATAATTAATCATCTTCTGAAACTGTTCTTCAATAAATCGATTGATCTGAATGATGCGCAGGCTAATGACGATGTTGACGACGATGATAATGATGATAACGAGAGCATGTCTTTAGAAGAAAAGCAAACAATTATTACGGAGAAACTACGAAAAAATCTTCTGAAAGAAGGGTATGGACAAGATGTAATTGAAGAGTTCTTTCAACGAGTGTTAGGCGAGAACGACGAGGAGGATGGAGATGATAATGATGATTTTTCTATATTAAAAATGGAAGAGAATCAAGCTATCAAAGTTTTTTATGATGAATTCAAAATATTTAATGATCAATATGAAAAATTAGCACAGGATTGGCGAAAAACAGCGACAACCGCACGAGAATTAATTCTCGCCGATTCAATCGATGTTGAACAAGCAATTTTAATGAGAAATCATTTGAATAATCTTGATCAACGTTTCGAAAACTTGAAAACTATCATTCCGAACGTACTGAAGAGTATTGTTGATTTTTATGTGAATCGTTTATCAACAAATCAAATAAATAAAAAGGAAAATTAAATTGTCGAAGTACTCATCGGCACTGACGTTGGCACAGACGATGCCGCTGACGCAGGTAACGTTACTGATGATGCCATAGAATCAGTTTGAACCATTAGACTAGATACAACTTGCTCGAAACGTTTCGATTTCAATTGAGTAACTGGCTCATAGAACGGATTCGATATACAATCAATGTATGCTTGATGAAGACGCTGGAAAAGTAGTTTAATATCAGCATCTTTCAAAGATATCGAAGTTGAATGTTCGAATATTAAGATAAACTTGACACGTGTCGGCGAAACATAGCCATATCTAAATGAATATGTGAGAAGAGACGACAGTTACCGAAGATTTGACTTACATCTTGTATTCTTCGACTGGATAGAGTAAACCTAGATAGAAATCTTTCGCATCACGGTCACCACCGGGCTTAGTCAATTGGTTCACCTTATCATCCAGTATATCGATCGACGCATGAATTAGGAAAAGAAATTTCAATTCTTCCGTCGATCGTCGAAGGTAAATCAAATTCTATAGAGAAAATCATCTCGATTATCATTTATGGAACTTCATGATCATTTACTTCTTTAATCAGAACTGCGACACAGCAAGCCATTGATAAAAATAGAATTGAACTGAACGAAAGACGATAGATAATGTGAGTTGTATTTCTATTGGCTATGAAGATAAACTAGTAGGATAAGAAATGTGTCGCCAGAAGTTAACGACGTGAGTACATAGTAACGGCATCGTGACAACGATTTCGTCGATGGTTGATAAATTTTCTTAGCAGAAAGTCTCACATTGCAAGATTTGATTAAGCAATAGAATGTCGCTTTTTTCCAATCCATTCACTATCAAGAAAACCAAACCGCGAAAGTATGTTTCGCGTAGCCCACTCAAACTACCAGCTGATGAAATGGCTCGTGAATTAGGCCCACGCTACGGAGAGATTGATGTTAGAGTAGCCGAGAAGAAGATTGTCTTCGATCTTGAAAATGGCGATTGGAATACTGGTAGGTGATCTTTGAGACCATTCACATGATTAGTTCGATTCTTTTTCGTCTAGCGGGCGCAGAAAGTCTCGGCAGTGGAGCATCGAGTGCTTCGGCACAAAAACTCAACAAACAAGTGACAGTTTTACAAGAAGAGAATAATATGTTAAAACTAAAAGTTGACGTTTTATTAAATCTTGTTGCCGAATCTATTGCCGAATTATCATCTACACAGAAGTGAATGTTCTATTGTGCGTTTTGCTTTTCTATATGGTTGAAAATCTTTGTGGATAGATAGATCTTTTCGTCTAGTGTTTGTTTATTTCTTAATTTTTTTCTCCGAAATAAACAAATCCCTTTGTTCGAACGCAAACGACCGGTTGGATGAACCAATCATCTTCTTGCCGTTTTTCCATTCGATAAAAGATCTTTTGACAGCTGATGAAATGATTCATTCTGTTCGGACATTGTGTTTTATATTTCATTTCTATTTCGATTCAAGTAAAATATACAATTGAGCACTTTTCCGATGCATCCGTATGTACTTGATGGCTTGACAGTTTTGTTTCCATTTGAAGCTTATCAATGTCAAGTGGATTACATGAAAGCGGTCGTAGCATGTCTAATGAGAGGACAGAATGGTATACTCGAAAGTCCAACTGGTAAAAGCGACATTTGAGCGATGATTTGTGAAGAAAAATCAAAATTTTAGGTACTGGAAAGACGCTTTCCCTTCTCTGTGCGTCTCTTGCTTGGCTCGAACAATATAAAATCTTGAATGCAGAATTAAACGGTAGAAATCTATTGAAGAATTTTGTCGTGTTGTAAAAAAACAGTGATGTTTTAGAGGCACCAGTTCAGATTATTTACGCGTCGCGCACTCATTCTCAGTTGGCACAGGTTGTAAAAGAATTCAAATCAACCGATTACAAGTATTTCGATAATCAAACATGTTCAATTGTTGAAATTATAAGTGAATTGTCTTTTCTTCTAGTCGGATGAAAATAACTGTCTTAGGTTCACGTGATCAATTATGTATTCATCCCGAAGTGAAAGCACTGGAAAACTCGTCCGATAAAATATCTGCCTGTCGGGAAAAAGTTCGTCAGAAAACATGTTTATTCCATCGAAATTTCGAAAGTATATTATCAGAATTCGAATTCTCACTTTCATCCTATTGAATTCTAGTGACAAAGCCTGAAGTTGTCAAATTACCACCGATGGACATCGAAGATCTCGTCAAAGAAGGCACTCAGAAAAAGTAGGAGTACTTGTTCGAATAGCATCTTGTATCATCGAGCGTTTTAGATTCTGTCCGTATTTTGCCGCAAGAGAATTGAAAGAAAAAGCTGATATTATCTTCATGCCGTACAATTATTTACTCGATGCTAAGGTATATTTCTTCTAGAAGAAAACCTAATGTTGAACAATGATCTGCTTCAGGCTCGGCGTATTCATAAAATCAACGTTCGAAAGTGTGTGCTGATATTTGATGAGGCACATAACATCGAGCAGCAATGTGAAGACGCTGCTTCGGTAGTTATTAGTTCATTGGACTTAGCTGGTTGTCTCGAAGATATTACGAAAGTGATGCAATGGATGATTGACTCTCAATCCGAAACAACAGCACCGGTAGATGAAAATGACGAGAAAAATGTTGATGCAAATGGTAATCTATTCACCGATTAACATTCGGATTCTTTTGCACAATTCGTAGAGATTCTTTTCAGCTTTAACAGTGACACAAGACCAAATTTGTAATCTGAAATGTAAGTAAATATACATCCGACAAGACAAAGTGATTTGATTCGAATATTTTTAGTAAAAGTCGTCAAGTTGGAAGAATTGTTGGATAATATGAAAACAACCAAAGGAAATATTCCATCGCCTGGCGAGTATGTTCAGTTTGAATAAAAAAAGCAAATCAATGATAGAATTTCCGATTAGCACGGCTTACAAATGGTTAAAAAGTGCCGAAATCGACTTCAATCCTCAAGGAGATGTTCAACATCTACTAGACATCAACCAGTTTATGGCTGCTCGATGTAAATATCAGATTCTGGAAAGAAAATGTTAACTTCTCTCTGTATCTGATTTAGCCGGTACAATCTTTCGTTCGAATGGACATTCACTTCTGAAATTATCAGAATTTATCGAAGTATAACACTTTCTTCAATATATCTAATCGAACTTTCTTCATTTCTACATTAGACTGTCTATCCATTAGATGAAAATGGGCAACCGTTATTCACACTCGATATGGATGCTCAACGGAGAGGTGTTTTCAAAGTAAATCATTCTTAATTAATGCAATTCATAATCCCTAACGTATGTATAGGTCTATCTTGAAGAAGAAACATCAAATAATGAACAAAGACCATCCATCATTACTGCAAAACGTTCGTGTTTCGATCTGAAGAGAACTTTCCTGATGATTTCTTATATTTAGGACCAAAAAAGCTTCACTATTGGTGTTTATCGCCTGGCTTTGCTATGCGACAATTATGCATGCAAAATACACGATCGATTCTTTTAACTAGTGGAACACTTTCGCCGATTGACTCGTTCAAAGCACAATTAGCAATGTAACTATTTCTCTTCTCGATCGTCATGCGTTTTTATACTGATATAAATACTCATTCTAGTCCATTTGATATTGTTATTCAAAACAACCATATTATCGAGCAGAATCAACTGTTTGCAGGTATTTTACCTCGATCAGCTGGCAACAAACATCTTCTTACATCTGTTTATCGTACACGGTAATGTTCTTCTCTTTGACGAGAGCCAGAACATATATATTTGTAATATAGACAAAATCCTGAATATCAAGAAGCATTAGGCCAAACTTTACATAATGTTATAAAAAATATTCCCGGTGGTGTCCTGGTCTTTTTCCCTTGTTATAAGATGATTGAAGAAGTTGTCGCAACATGGAAGGTAAATTTCGTTGCAAAGAATCAAATGATGAATCCAGCTGTCTTTAGAATAATGCAACATTCGAAACTATGAATCAACGGAAACGAGTTCTTATCGAACAGCGAAATAAAGCGAAATTTGAAAGTCAAATGAAAGAATTCAATACAATAATTGACAACGACGAAAGAGGAGCTATGTTGTTTGCAGTTGCCCGAGGCAAATTGAGCGAAGGCATAGATTTTAGTGATAAATCTTGTCGAGCAGTAATCATTATTGGCATCCCATTTGCACCACATCAAGATCGACGAGTAGTTGCTAAACGACATTATCTGGACGAAATCAATCGAGGAAATGTATGTGAAATTGTTTGGATGCACTGTTTCAACGTTTGTGTATAATAGAAAGATGCAATGCCCGGTGATATGTGGTACAGTCAACAAGCTTTTCGAGCAATCAATCAATGTGTTGGACGTGTAATTCGACATCGACGTGATTACGGCGCTGTGCTATTTTTTGATCAACGGTTTGAACGAGTTTTCATTAATTGACTTGTCACAGAAATATGTTTTTGTGGAATAGGTTCGAGAATAATAGGGATAAACTGTCGAAATGGCTTTGTCCATATGTTCATACAGTTGATTTTACCGGTATGATGAAAGGTTTAAAAGACTTCTTTGCCCAAGTAAGTTGTCTTCTTGCCTTTATCTTTGAGTCGTTTATTATTAAATTTTCTCTAGTATCCATCGATCCCCGCTGCTGAACAATCCACACGTCCAATCCAACAAGCATTCTTTGCATCGATAGGACATATAACAACGACATCAAAATCGTCTGTGCAACCAACAGTTTCGTCGGAAGATATTTTTCGCACAACCATAAAACAATCTAGTAAATACTATTGTTCATCATAGATAAACCGCAAGATCTTTACAGTTTCAGTTACAGTAAAAAGCACAGATGAAGATACTTCTAACAAATCCAATCTTGTCCATAAGTCTTTATTTGACGCTATATCTTCAACACAACGAGTAAGAGAGACAGAAAACTTGCAATAGAAATATAGATGTTTCGTTTATTTCTTAGACCGGTCCTACAGCAGCTCTGCAAAACACTGGAACTGATGATGTCGGTACTCACACTGAATTTCAAATCAATTCATTTTGATGTATATTCTCTTAGAAACAACGTGATTTCGATGCGATGCTGGAGGTGAAGCGACGAGAAGCAACGCGGGTCGAATCATTACCTCGGAAATTTTTTCGAACTACAGAAACAGTAAAACAAGCCTATATATACTTCATAAATTCCACTAGTATTGCTTATTTAGTTCGAAGATAATTCATCGACTTTGCCAAACAATACTCCGACAACGCCGGTAGCAAATGCAAAAACTTCGGAGTACAGAGAACTGTTGAGTCAAGTAATCACTAACCGAAATTTGAACTCAACCTAACGATTTAATTGTAGCTGAAAGCTGCCATGTCACACGGAATTTATCCTCGTTTTACTCATATGCTACAAGATCATAAAACTCACAAAACAGATCGAGAAATTTATCTAAAACTACAAACACTTCTAGTTGAGAGTCTCGCAAAACATCATCCGAAACTCTTCATGGGTAATATTTACCATGTACACAATGACAAATAACTACAGAAAAAAAATCTCATTTCAGACATGGCTCGACACATCAGTGCTGAATTTCGACAAGAATATATTCAAGCAGGTCAAATTTATTCTTCATCGAATAACGCTCAGCAGACTCTCACAGTTTTGAGTAGCAACAAAAGAAAAGATCTTTCATCATCCAATGATCAAGATATGCCCTCACCAAAAGTAATTAAAAGTAAGTCGAATCATGATAAAGTGCGAATGCTTCGAAATGATGTGTTTATTCTAGCAGGTCAAAGCATTAATCCATTTCGATGTAAATGATTCATTCAATTGAATGTATCCGTGTTCATGTTTCAGTTAATATTATCAAAATAAGATGAATTATACATATATATATTTTTTTGTGTTTTTCTATTTTTGTATCATGGAAATAGAACTATAATCATATTTGTTGAATCAACTGGTAATTTCAATCGCATCTTGGACTTTCCAAGTACAAAGTCAATCTGCTATGTGGATATTTTGGAGTACGAATGAAATTACAGTAAAGACGGAGATAATTGATTTCATTTATTGTAATATCATATAGCTTCTAATAGATTGAAATATCTGGAATACTATTACATTCTGAAATAAAAAAGCTTTTAAGAACCATAAGCAATAGTAAAGGGTGTGATAGGGATTTTTCTATTGCATCACAGCTAAGTGATTTTCTTATATCTCGACGTTGACAACTGATGCCCTCTATCTTACCCGTTCTTACGGTTAGGATAGTTAACCAACAGTATAGTCGAGTCCTTGAATGCCGATCCGATGCACATGTTCTTCTATCATCTGCGCGTCAAAAGAACCTAGTAGAACTTCAAAGTTTCTTTCGATTGCTTCACGTACAATTCCACCTATATCATGGGTAACACAGCATCACATAGTACGACGACGAATTCCAAAAAGTCAGACAATAAATCTCAACATAAAGATCAAATCTATGAACAAATCATTGGTTCATTATCTAAAGTAATATGATTACTTGTGATTTGTTCGTTCGCTCAATGCAGAGATTTTAGATATGCACTGATGATCAATTTCCTTTGAATATATTCCGTCAAAAAGCGGATATATCGACGCATCATCGCATTATCGAAATCGTCTTATCTCCACGACTCTCTGATGAATTTTCCAGTCTTATAGTTCAACTCTACTGGAATAATCGTTCAACTATCTCTCGCGACGGTAAGAAAGTTCACTTCAAATGATCTAAACTGATCTATATCAACAACTAGATGTGACAAAACTAATTCGTGATTGTTGTGTGTTCGATTTAAAACAAGTCTTATCAGAGCATGGAAGCACAGTTGAATCTAACATGATTGAAAACAATTGTTTCATGGCATTGACAAATAGCATTGGCACAGTAGAAAACACACAGATTGAGCAAGAAGAGTTTTATCGTTGGATACGAGTACAGTTTCCAACATTGTTCTACTGTCTGGAATTGTGGCTTCGAAAGAATGCTACATTAGCAGAAACGACAAAAGAGTCCGCATCGGTAGGAGAAGCGAGCGGTACGAATTTCTTTCGAATCGTTCGTTTTCGTCTTTTAGAATCGCACATTGATGAAAATGGATAATATTCTTAATCCAACATGGGTTTGGTTATTAGCTCATCAACTTCCTATTGTATATCTTTCTGCTGACAATACTTGTACGAACTTATTCGATCGAATGTCTTCACTCTTAGTAAGAAAATGCAATACTTTGCTGTAGATGCGTTCTTATTCGAAAATATGTTCTTTATCTAGCACGGTCGCATGTGGGATCATCTGTATAATAGCCATCGTGATGGTGCTAGTTTAAATCGGTATAGAAAGTGTTTTTTTTAACAGGAATGAATTATCTATCGACAATGTGCAACTAGATTTCAACATCATATTTTTGGTTATAAAGCGGCATTAGTTATGCTTTTTGAAATTTCCGACGGTTATTTATTCTGTTTATGTTGTGACGAAGAGTTCAGGTATGAAAGGAACTAGACGACTGAGATTTTATTTGAAGAGTATTTTCATAGAGAATCGCCGAAGTATTTTGGTGGAATTCAAACGTGTTTATTGCAATTAAAACCTGTTTTTAAACTTATTCTTGGTGAGAGAAAATTCGAACTGTTTTGCTTTAGTAAGAATTTTTTCGCTTTTCAGAAGGTTCACATATAATTTTCATGAATACAAAATTGCGTAGCATTTCAACACTGGGCCTGTGTGTTGGCCGTGATCATGGTCATACATTCTTGAGCATCGACGAGGACTTCTTTAATGTCAAACATATAAATGGTGAAGGACGCCTCGTCGCTATTGATGTATGGGGTACTGGAGGAAAGAAGAGTTCCGAAGAACAAAATGATATGCGTCAATGGGAAGAGAGACAGGTGGAAAAGAGTCGAAAAGTAAAGATGTGAAAAAAGAATTGTCTTCTCTTTCTATGATTTTCGATATGTAGGTGAAACGATCTTATGAAGAAGAAGAAGCTGTTCTCAACATGGCCGGCATTGAAACACGTCATGCCCAGGACCAATTTTAAAATTTTTATTTCGTGTATATCCGCAATACAGACTAATAAAGAATTTTACAAGCGGGATTGTGCAAGTATACAAATGAGTTATGTTTGAAATGTTTTAGATAGATCTGAATGGCCAATGTTTTCCGTCAGTTTTTACTCGATGCCGAAAATGGTGATGTCGATGCAGTCAATCGAAATATCACAAGTGGAATTGATTTAGAAACGCGTGATGAAGTAGGAAGTACTTGTCAATGAGAAATAAGTTAAACGGGAAAATTTAGGATCAACAAACCGCACTTATTCTAGCTGTACGTTGTAATCATTTGGAGTGTGTCAAAGTACTTATCGAAGCGAACGCTGATGTCAATGCAGAGGATGTAGTAAGTTGTATTGATAAATGAAATTCCTGTCTAACCGTTTGTTCTTCTCTCATCTAGGATAATTGGACAGCCCTATTAAATGCAGCTCAGAATGGAAATCTAAGTATTATTCGACTGCTCATCGAACATGATGCACAGATTGACCATTGTGATTGTGTGAGTATCGGATGACCTTTTTTGACAATCGGAAGTCGCATGAATTTCGCAGGGACAATTCACCCCGTTAATGTGGGCAGCTTATCAAGGACATGCAAGAGTAGTAGATTATTTATTGAGTTGCGGTGCTAATGTTGACGCAGTTGACGAACACGGAATTTCCAGTTTAAGTTGGGCAGCGGGACGAAATCATATTGAAATTGTTGCATCACTACTTCGAGCTGGCGCCTCACCTAGTTTATGCGATAAGAATAACACAACACCATTGATTTGGGCTAGTCGACGGGGTACGTATTATTGGAAGTGTGCGAATGAAACTGGATCGTATTTATCCATTAGGTTATACGGATATTGTTGATCTGTTGTTGAAATCGAATGCTAGTGTAAATAATATCGGAATGAAAAATATGACGGCATTACTCATGGCGACGAAAGGCGGACATACAGAAACAGCTCTTCGTTTACTCGAAAATCGAGTTATTGATATTAAAATTCAAGATAAAGTAAAAATAAGAAGCTTTTTTTCCTCTTATTTTCAACTAATCATTGAACAGGATGGACAAACACCATTGAGTCATGCATGCGCACAAGGTCTGACAGACGTTGTTGCTGAACTTGTTCGACGTCATGCTTATGTTAATACAGTCGATAAGGTATGATTGAAAATATGGCTTTCACTTTCAATAAATAGCTGTTTTTTTCTCTCTTCAGAATGGCGATCCTGTTCTTTTCTATGCTGTCAGAGGTGGAAAAGAAGATTGTGTTGCAATAATTCTAGAGAACCATGCTGATGTCAATGCGATTGGTGCTGTAAGTATTCGTACTTATGATACTTTTACTGTATTGTCTGATCAACTATCCAATCAAGGAAAATAAAACAGCCATTTGGTGGGCAGTTGAACGAGGTCGATTAGATGTTGTGAAATATCTTCTTCAATTTAACCCTGATGTCGAAGTGGGAGGTGGTGAAGACGATGACACACCACTTTTACTAGCAACAAAACGCAAACGTGTAGCAATAGTCTATGAATTAATCAAATATGGTGCTAAATTATCTTCTACTGATCGAGTAAGATTTCTGCTTTATCTAAAACATCTTGTTGTAATCTGCACGCGTTTATTTAGTACGGAGACAATAGTTTGCATATTGCATTACGTAATCGTAGTCGTGATATCGCAGATATTTTACTTTCGAATCCACGTCATTCGAAATATCTCTATCGACCTAATAAACGTGGTGAAACTCCGTATAAAATTGATGCTAGCTTACAAAAGAGTATTTTAACGACGATCTTTGGACAACGTATGTGAACATTGGAGAGATTGAATTGATGAGTTAATGTTTTGCTTCGTTGTACTAGGAACATTAAATTTGAATGATGACTCGATTCTGGGATATGATTTGTATTCATCAGCATTAGCAGAAATTCTAAGCGAACCATCGCTTCGAACTCCCATCACTGTGGTAAATAAAATCCGCATTTTTCTTTACCTTCTGAAAACTTTCCATGTCTAGGGTCTCTATGCTAAATGGGGCAGTGGAAAATCAGCATTACTAACACATTTAAAAGGTAATATTCTGAAGAATTCAATCGTAATTATTCGGGATTTTTTCTTTCAGAGGAGATGTACAGTTTCGCGCAATTAACAGGTACACATTCCGCACGACAACTTTTCTTTTGCTATGCCTGAAAATGTCTTTAGATTTTCCCACAATGAAATTTTCTCCATTACTTCTATCAGTCATGATACTATGTGCAATGATTATTGGTCTGATTATTGGTTTTACTGTTCATTTCATTGTCGGCATAACACTTGGTGTAGCGACAATGATTAGCATTTTGGCATTTCTTTTTCTTATTCGATATCTTCTCCGTCATAAAGACTACATTTGGACTGCGAATGTGGCACAGTTTATTAAAAAGCGTCTGGAAATCTTACGATTTTTGCTACAAGTACTTTTTATGAATCCATACGCTCATCGGCGCTTAAAAAAAAATGACACGATTGATTGTCAAAAGATGAAGTAGGATAAACCGGAAAACACACACTAAATGTGTCATTATTGTTTATGCATTTCGATAGATTTATTTATACCGAATACGGTAAAGTTTCAACAGTTGAAGGTGATAAAGCAAGTGCTGGAATGATTGCTGAATTAGCTATCAATGTCGAAGAAACGTATGGCGTTGTAGCAACACGTCTTTGTCGAGCGCTTCATTCAAAAGGTTTGTTACAGAACGATATATTGATCAATAGAATAATCTGTATATTAGATTTAAGTCGCCATCGATTCCGGCATATTTGCTGTATTCCAGCATTTATTTTTGTTTCTATTCAAATTTCACTCGTTGTAGCCCTGAGCATTTTGGCTGTAATCAATGGTAGGCTTGATTAAAATACTCGATGTGTTTATCGAATGTTTATAGGAATACCGGCAAATAGACGTTCGGTGAATGTCGCTTATATTTCCTTGACAAGTGTCCTTGGTGGTTCGATATTGCTGAGTTTTGCAACATGGGCACGATTGTTATTGGCATTGATGAAATCGCCCAAATCGAAGATCATGAAATTTTCGGACAATTCAACACGTTTGAACGATAACTCGATTTATCGACTGAAGAAAGAAGTTCGCAGTTTTTACTCACGAGATTGATCACTACTTTGTTATTTAGGTCAGTCAACTATCGTACATTATCAAATCTGTCGAAGCTTTTCTTGGAATTAACACTCGTTTGGTAGTACTTATCGATGGTTTAGATGTTTGTGAACAGCAACGTATTCTTCAAATACTTGATGTAAGTTGTGCAGATTAAGACTACTGAACGAAAACTTGAATGATTTCTTTTAGCAAGTACATGTGCTGCTAACAAAAGAAAATGATCCATTCATAACGCTGATTGTTTGCGATCCACACAAAATGATGCAAGATCTATCTACAAATGCTGCAGCGACAGCAACGATCGCGCAGAATCAGGGTTTCGATACGAATGTCAATGGTCATGATTATCTACGATCAATTATTCAATTACCAATTTATCTACAATTAAATCTAAGTAAAACAAAACAAATGAAGAAGAACGCCGATGGATTTCCCAAGAAAAGACAAAATGTTTGTGTCCTTGATCATGTTCTTTTCAAAATATGAACTTATATCGTTTTAGACACTGAACTATGGTGCATCAATTCTCGATGTTAGCAGCAAATCAGCCGCTACGACCACAGCAGCAACAGCAAATAAATTACCAAAGAATAAGCGTCGTCGCCAGCGACGAGATACATTACCAAACAATAAACCTGTAAGTTTCTCCTATTTTCTCGTCTACGACTAACATTTTGTTGGATATCAGGTAACAACATCGGAGTTAACGAATCAATTGCTACAATCCGATTACTTTCTTGATATTAATCCACGCATTCTCCAACGATTGATCAATATCATCGGCATGACTGGTCGATTACTACGTGCTAATCAAATCCTATTCAGTTGGAAACGGCTTGGATGTTGGTCATATTTAGTTGAACAGTGGCCGTATCGCATTACGTGGATCATCGTATTTTACGAAGATCATGAACAGGAATATCCAGATGATACCATATTGAAAACGCTCTACGATAAGTAGGTCTTTTTATCATATGAACGTATGGAACTACATGTGCATTTTTAGAATCAAGCTATTTGTACCGACGGCAAATGATCCTCTTCTGGAACTCGATCGTAACGGGCGTAAATTCGAATTATGTCTAGAACGTGGTGAGCCTGTTTTGAATGTCACTGACTTAAAGCAATTTCTTCCATGTACATGTAATCTGGATCCATATTTAAACAAACTTATCCGAGGTAGGTTCGTTTGGATGAGAATATTGCTATTGAAATCCATCTATTCAATAGATTCTGCTGCTTATTTTTATATGAATAATTCCGATGAGAACGGTTTTATCAATGGTGATCCGTCACGGTTTTTCCTTCGGCGTGACTCCACGTATGTATATTAGCTGTTAGAGAAATCATTCTACGTTTTCATTCAGAGATTTCTATCAGTGCCATTATAATAACGGGTAAAACTGAGAATCAAAAATATCATCATTTTACCAATGCATGAACAAAGTTTTCTTTCTTACGTTTCACAAACTTTTCTTCCCAGATTTATTTCATCGTACACAGACACCATTACTACTCGTCTTTTCTTTCTAGTTTTTCTGGACGCAGTGGATTCTTTCCACAAGGAGCTATGTCACGACGTAAAAGTCAGTTACATCCAAGATTCAACAATAATGGACCTGAATTTCTAGGTATAATATGAGAATTTCATGGAAAATCAGTCGATGTAAATTTCCATTTTAGCAAATCAACATCGTCCATCGATCGATTTTCTCTCTCAACGTTTATTTTCTCAAGTGTCAATGAAGAAAAATGTTGATGACGAAGAAGAAAGTCATGTTCGAACATCTTCCATGTCATCAACATCAGCGCCTGTAGTTGCACCCCCACCCTTGATCAATTCCAAAATTATTAGAAACACTGAAACTTCAGCAAATGTCAAAGTAAAACGATTTTACAAAGAATTCCTTCACTAAAAATTCTTCGTAGATCGATCTATCCCCACCATTGAGTCAAATGTCTGTTAATGACGTGTGCGATTGTTTAAAAAATGACATTGTTGGCTTGAAAACAACAATGATATCGGCCTACATTCACGATTTCAACGAATACAATATCAGTGGACGAGTACTAGTCACATGTGTGCTTGATGAATTGAAACCAGTATGTAGAATGACTTGTCTGAATGTATTTGCATGTGTACGTTGTTTTTTTTTCTCAAGGTTCTTTCTATGACATTTGGTGATTGGGTTTTGTTCAGTAATTGGGTTGAAACTAAACGAGAAGAAGAACGGTAAAATTGATGTTTGACTTACTGAATTATTTAAGCTTGTTTATTAGACGATCTCGATTTCAACGTCCACCGCAATCAACATCCAACGTCAATCAGAATAATCGTGCTACCGACGTACTGAATGATTATCAATTCTATACTGAAAATAGTGTGCTCGGTGCCGCACTCAACCGTCTGATGTCATCAACTACAGCCAACAATTCGATGGACGATGCACGTCCGACCGGCAGCGAAGGTGTATCAATCGTTTCAGCACCAAAAAATGTGAAATTCCTCATCCCGCTCGGTCGATCTGGTATCACATCGAATGAAAGTACCTTCGGAGTCGTTGAGTCAACAACGCGAACGATTACTCATGTGAAAGACATATTTCCTTTGCAATCTCAGACATCAAATGCTGCCGATGAACCTTTCCAACTTGCGACGCTTTCCTCATCAACTTTTGAATCGGGCCGTCGTCAAGATGAAAACGATTTGAATAAGAATGATAATGAGCAACAATCGTTACTCCCCAATGACAATTGAAACTAGGCGAAACGAATTTTCGAGATGATTAAATCAAAACATCTACAATGATCTTTTAATTGATTTTCTTTTATCACTACAGATCGAAATTTTTAACGTAGTTCAGTATTTTTTAATTCTATCGATCCATTTCTTTTTCTTGCTATGTATTTCACGACAGTCATAAGTTTTGTCAAATGATTCCGGTGAATTTTTAAAAAGATAATATCAATAAACGAATTTTATTTGAATCACATCACGATTTCCTCAGTAATCGACTGTATATCTATATACGTTTCTTGAACGCAAACAATCTCATCGAAGTCGAGCGACATCTATCATTAATTGTTGTTATTTTTCTTTGATGTATTCTTAGACTTTTTACAAAGGTATTAACTAAGTTGACCATAATTGGTTAAAATTTTTCAAAATCTTGAATAATTCTTCATATTTGTTATTTTTCAACAATTCTCTGTTGCATTGGCAGATGACAAAGATGATGAGGAGATGATATGTGAGAGAAAGAGAGAGAGAGAGGGAGAACGAACGAGCGAGGAAAAAAGAGAATAAATAAACAAGTGAGGACGGAAAAGAGAAGAGCTGTTGGTTAGTTCAATCCGTGGGTTCACATAACAAAAAACAGATGTTTAAAATTACATTTTTAGCATTGAGATTTGTCGGGAGGCGATTTAATAATGTCGATTTGTGTATTTCATCATTATTTTGTTTGTTTTTATTCAAGTTTTAGAAAAAAATCAATAAATTTTTAACATCAATAACACTTTCTCTCCCTAAAAAAATCAAAATTAACAAAGCAGCACGCAATAAAATAGGATGAGCAATGAGTAAGCTTGTTTTTTTCCTCGACTTAGCTTTTCCATTTTCGTTGTTTTTCCATCTTCATTTAGTCAAGATACAAAATCGCCGCAACAACAATTACGCGGCAATTCCTTTGATAATTCAAGATTTCAGAACAATAATAACGAACAAGGTAACAATGAAAATACCTATGCTGGAGGATACAACCGTGGAGGAACTCCCGAATCCCAACAACAACAGCCACAGTCTTCGTCACAACCCTATCGACCGCCTCATCTGCAAAATCGAGTGAATTCATCAAAGTACAATTACTGTCGATCAAGTATTTCTCGTTCACTTTTCATTTTATTTTTAGCGGTAATTATGTTAATAATAGCAATATGAATAATAGTGGCGGCAATGGCGGTTATCGAGCAGCAAATAATGCTGGTCCAGCACATTCACAACAAAATTACGGCAATAACTATGGAGGTAACAATACATATCATGGACCTTCTCCACAACAGCCCTATTACGGTCAAACAGCACCCCAACAGACTCAAATGTACCATCAACCTATGTCGAATGCATATCAACAAATGGGTCAATTGCCACGCCCAATGAATCCACCACAAGCACTTGATTCTCGAGGATATGGTCAGCATCAACTACCCATGCAAAATCGATCGTAAGTTTGCTCAATCTATTCTTTGCGTGTTTTTTTTTAAATTGACAATTTCATATTCAATTAGATTTAATGACATGTCACAAATGCAACAAACATACAATCGTCAAGGTCCGAGTAATAATATGAACCAGCAAGCGTCTCAGCAATCAGGTGGTGGTCGATGGGACGCTATCTTAGCTGAAAGACAAACGTCCAACAACAACAATAGTGGAAACAATTCGCATCAACGTGGTGGAAGTGGCTATTCCAACAATTACAATAATCGAAATGGTAGAGACAATAACAGTGGATACGGTGGACAACGTGATAATAACTATGGTCGTCGTGATCAAGATTCTCATAGACCGTATCATTCACATGTTGGTAGTCAATCGGGTGACACTATTGGAGCTGATTGGAATACTCCATTGCCACCAAATGCTAATCTTGAAAGGTAATCACTTTGTTTTTTTGCAAAGTAAACATGTTTATCACTATGACATACAGGGAATTATTCGGTGTTCATCCAACTGGTATTAATTTTGAACTCTACTATGATATTCCTGTTGAATCATCACATATGGATCATCCACCAATTGATTCAGTTTGTGTTCTTTGTTGATTATGATTTCGTGTATTTTGTATTTATATTTTTATAGTTCGATGATTGTGATTTTGGTGAAATCATCAAAAATAATGTTACTCTAGCTAATTACGGTAAACCAACACCAGTACAACGTTATGCGATACCAACTATTTTACTACGACGTGATTTAATGGCCTGTGCCCAGACTGGTAAGTGAACGTATTTGATGAGTAGGATGAATTGTGCAACATTTTCGTTTGTGCCAAAATAGGTTCGGGCAAAACAGCAGCGTTTCTTCTGCCTATCTTGCACATGATCTTTTGTGAGGGTCCAGTGCGTAATCCTCCAAGTGCAAACCGAAATAACCGTAAGCAGTATCCACTTTGTCTTGTTATGGCACCAACACGTGAATTAGCTTCACAAATTTATGATGAAGCACGAAAGGTAGTCAGATTTGTGAGCAGAGAATCATACCTGTGTTGATTTTTATAGTTTTCTTATCGATCCATGGTTCGTTCATGTGTGGTTTACGGTGGAGCTGATATTGGCTTTCAAACACGAGATTTAGAAAAAGGTACTCATGTTTTAGTGGCTACACCAGGTCGTCTGAACGATTTGATACAACGTGGCCGTGTTGGATTAGCTAATGTTCGGTATGATGGCATGATTTTTCTTTTCAGCTACTCATTTTTCTCTTCAAAATTTGTAGATACTTAGTTTTGGACGAAGCTGATCGTATGGTGAGCAATCTTTTCATATGTAATTTATCTGTCGAATTAAATTTTAATTTTTTTCTATCGATTTTCAGCTTGATATGGGTTTTGAGGTAAGACTGAAAGCGTTGTACTATGCAAACATAAGGCATGTGATTGTTTCAGCCTCAAATTCGTGAGATTGTCGAGCGATCAGATATGCCACCCACAGGTCAACGAATAACACTGATGTTTTCAGCTACATTTCCGAAACAGATTCAGGTTCGAATCGATTTGCTTTGTTGAAAAACGACATTCGAATTTGATAAATTAGGAATTAGCACGCGATTTCCTTCATGAGTACGTCTTTTTGGCGATTGGTCGTGTTGGTTCAACATCGCAAAACATCACACAAAAAATTGTTTGGGTAGAAGAAGCAGAAAAGCGCTCGTTTCTACTCGACTTACTAAATATTCAATCTGGTATGAGAGACAGACTAGTACCCTGAAAATAACTGCATTTCTACTTGCCATTATTTGTTTAGATACGTTAACATTGGTCTTTGTCGAAACAAAACGAGGGGCTGATATGCTGGAAGAGTTCCTGGGCAATCATCAGTATTCCGTGAACAGTATTCACGGTGATCGGTCACAAGCTCAACGTGAAGAAGCATTGAAATCATTCAAAAATGGTCGCACACCTATTCTTGTCGCGACAAGTGTCGCTGCTCGTGGTTTAGATATTCCGTAAGTAATTCTTTCTCCGAATCGATCATCTCATTACATAGAAAATTTAGGCATGTCAAGCATGTTATCAACTTCGATTTACCAACAGATATCGATGAATATGTTCATCGTATTGGTCGCACAGGCCGTGCTGGTATGGCCGGTAAGAGATACACGAAATACTTCTGTAAGCAATCGTTGTCTACGGTATCTGCTTTAGGTCAAGCAACATCTTTCTTCAATGAGAAAAATCGCAATATTGCGATGGAACTTCTGGATATCTTAACTGAAGCTCATCAAGAAGTACCCGAATGGCTCGAAGGTTTGGCGAGAGAGACGAAAAGGGATAATTATTCGAAACGAAACTACGGCGGCAATCGACGGTATGTTACCAGTAACAAGAATCTTCTAGAGAGATAGATTTTACTTTATCTAGACCTGGCGGTTTCGGTGCACGTGATTATCGTACGCCGGCTCAAATACGTGGCGGTCGAGCCGGAGGTAATAATCGTGCTGGCAGTTCCACAGGTGGTTACAATAATCATCAGCAACAATGGGATGGATCTAACGGTGGTGCCGGTGGAAACGTGTGGAGCGGTGATCATCAAGCAGGTAATGCTGGTGGTTACGATCGTTATCAACAACAAACTGCTAGTGGTAATGGAAATCGACAAGCAGATCAAAGTTGGTGGGACAATACGTCATGAAAAGTAACATTAACTTCATAATCAACATCCTTCCCAATGACGCGCAATCTCATTCATCAACAATCATATGTTACACACATGATACCATTTTCTCTCTCGCTTCTTTTTTTTGACAAAACAAACTGTTTTTTTTTCGCTCTTTGTTTGATTGTTCAATGTTATGTTCGTTTCATTTCACATGCATACACCTAAACGGACCGGCGCTGACTCGCTATTTTTCTTCTCTATCTCTCTCGCTCTCTTTTTCTTTTCTTGGCGACAGCGATGGCCTACCGGTCTTCTATCGATTTTAAACTTAATTTTTTTGTTTATTTCAATGTTTCTCTCGTTCTATCACTGTCTGTCTCTCTCTCTCTCTTTTTCCTCCTCCGTATATTTTCTCTTCCTCTTCATACAGTGTGTGTGTGTGTGTGTGTTTATTTAAAACGATGACGCTCATCTTTTTTTCGAAATTGTACGTTTGGAAAACGATAATTTCGAAAGAGAGTGTCGTCCTTATATCTATGAAGACGCTTCTAAGGCGTCATTTGAGAAGTTTGGATGTTAAAATTATACGAAACGAAATGAATGAGATAAAAAAAAGAATAGGAAACTTGCAAAAAGAACAAATGCTTCTAAGTTAATACAACGACGTACTTAACAAGATAGGTTCATTCACTGTTTTTCAATAAAGTTATGGAAAATCCTCCAGAAAACCGCCCATTCAATTATAATCAGCATGTAGAGATTCCCAAGAAACCAATCTGAACTACCGCTCACACATGCTAATGTTGCTTTCTTTCCTTCGTTACAACTGCTCAAGCTAAGTTAACGATAAGTATTTATTCATCGGTTTTACATGAATCATAACTTTCCTTTTGTGATTTGGGGTCAGAGATAAAATTTGCCTTTTATTTTCGAGAAAAAATAATCTATCGGATTGGCTATTACTTGTCGCCATTATCATCTGCTTGCTTAAGTCAGCTGCACTTTGGATAGAAGAAGGTGTCTTGAGACGAAGGGAATATGAGATAAGAGATAACAGTGCTTTCTGTTTTGAATATTTTCTTTTTCATTTCGCATAACTATCCACTTGATTCAACATGGTGTCATCATCGATACTTGTCAGTACAATTCTTCTCGTTTTCTTCTCTTCAACGATATTCTGCTCTGAGCAACGTAACGTCACAGCGTTATTACACGATTGTTATGAAAAACAAATTCAAATGGAATTTTTCGCTTCAAATGTCTACTTAACATTTGCTCATCGATTGGCTTACGATGGTGTTTATCACGGGTTCGCCGACTTCTTTTTCGAATCAGCTGAGGAAGAAAGAGAACACGGAAAGAAGTTCTTAGATTTTCATAACGTGCGCAATCACGTGTCACATCTTAGAGATATTACAATCAGTGAGGAGTTGGCAAGTGTTACCACTGTCAATGAAATGTTACGAAAAGCGAAAACATTGGAAGACGACGTGTTCAATAATATGCGCACGTTACATGGATACGCAGTCGAAGCTGGACATTCGGAAACTGTACATTTTATCGAAAAAGTGACGCTCGAAGAGCAAACAATAGCAGTCAAACAAATGCATGACTTAGTCAAACGTCTCGATCATAATAACAATTCGCCAATTTTGTTGCAAATGATGGATCAAGATTTACGCAAGAAAAAAGTGAAACAGCCATAAGAGAATTTCGCGCGTATTTCTTTTCTTTTTTTTTTGTCTTCGCCATTCTTTACCACTGTCAGTAATAAAATCTTGCTTAACAAAGAGAAGAAAAGAAAAGAAAAGAGATTTCACCGACGACACTCCTAATTACAAGTGTTAATCTAAACGAAAAGAAACTGTATGAATAGAATCAAGATGATCAAATAGTGTTTTGTTAACTATTGTAGGAAGTTACAAGAGATAAGAATAGGGACATCATCGAGTAGTAAACAAACGTCTCTAACGATGGGATACTTTCATCTGTTACTGCCACCGATACTGTTGCCGATATGATAATAATTCAGTTAGGCAGGCTTCGATAGTTGATGATAGAAAGTATTTTGGGCGATTGGGTAGAACTATACGCACTTGAAAAGACATATAATTTCACATTGAAAAGCAAGGTACGTGCAACGATACGTCACGCAAAATTCAATTTCGTTCTAGTGTAATCATGTCGGATAATTACGCGTTGTTTATTATCATGATCCCCAATGATTCTGATGCGGACATTGCGATTTCTACAACAAAAGAAGCACTCAGTGTAGCTAAATCTCAACCACGACGGGTGAGTACTATGTACAATACTAATGTATGGATGTTTTCTTTTTCGATGGTAAGGTATCCATTGATACAATTGCAGCATTGGTGTGTCCAACTGCCTTACCTCTGACTGCTCAATCTTCAGTTGCTTCGTTAATGAAACGTCGAAGTGAACATGATATACCGTTAAATGTTCAGCCGATATTATCAACATCGATATGGCCATTATTGAAGAATTATCTTTCTGAAAGAAGTGATATCGATGCTGTATGGTTACTTTCGGATGATAAGAAAACTTTTCAGATCACATTCTATGTTGAATTCGGCTTCGTTAGCGATCGTATGCTACAAGATTTAGCTAAACTAGGTATCGGAACACGATCTGGGACAAAAGTCTTTGTTCTTCCGACGACTGTGGTCTTTAAAGGGCATGATGACAATGAGAAAAACGACTCCAATCCAATATCGATACATTCGAACGACGATAGCACTCGTGCACTGAATGATACTAATCCTATATCATCGAAGGCTAATAAACGTCTTCATGAATCGAATTTTAAGAAGAGCGTTCGTGCTCGACTAATGGTTCATCAAGTTGTTGCGAGCATTCGTGCTTCGTCGGCATTGACATTCGATTTCCTCCTTCTTATTTGTCTTGCTTCAATGCTAGCAGCATTCGGTTTATTGGAAAATTCATCGGTTATCATTGTTGCTAGTATGCTTGTTAGTCCTTTGATGAATCCAATCTTAGGAATTGTCTTTGGTCTATCCGTTCGGGATAATTCGTTATGGCGAAGTGGCCTTCGGAGTGAAATCATTGGATTGATCGTTTGTATCACTTGTGGATTTCTACTTGGGTAGTGAAGACACGAGAGGAAAGTGTTGACAAGAGAGAACTTATGTGTTTTGATTCTAGACTGTTGACGACGGTTTTTGAAACAAGATGGGGAAGTTCATCAAGTTTTCCAACGTCAGAAATGAAATCACGTGGAGATGGAAAGCACCTATGGGTCGGTGTTCTTATCGCTTTACCGAGTGGAGCTGGTGTAGCCCTTTCCGTTCTTGGCGGGAATACTGGTAAAAACAGTATTATCTATCCGATTAATAATCCTGTATCTTCTTCCAATTAGGTTCACTTGTCGGTGTAGCCATTTCAGGTTAATACAATTTGTTCATGTGCTCCTTTATTGTCATCGAATTTATCTTTTAGCTTCTCTCCTTCCTCCAGCGGTTAATTGTGGACTCCTTTTTGCTTATTCCGTACTTGGTAATATATTCTCATCCATACTGGCTGTCCAGTCTCCATCTGTTAATCTTACAAATCTATATTCATCGTCACCGTTGAACTGTCCCGCATACATTCAGAATGATTATCGACCACTTTACACATGCAATCTTGCTCTGGAAGCCGCAATTTTAGCTGGTTGTAGTTTATTGTTGACTTTGGTTAATATCGTGTGTATCGTAGTAATGGCATTGATCATTCTGCGTATCAAAGAAGTTGTTCCTTTGCATCAAACTAATCAAGATATCGCTGACTTCTTTCACTATGTTGTTCCTGTTGCACGTGATTATAATAAAACGATTCATGAAGCCGACTCTAATCACTCGAATCGTCTTGCGCGAACAATTGTTGATCGTTGGAGATCATTGAAATCTTCCGCATCGCCACACCATCATGCCGAATCAACTATGACCAGTCTCGACTTAGAATCACCCGACCACGTCAAGAATCTTGATTCTGATGACGCAGAATCACGACGAATATTATTTTCCTTACAAAAATTTGCCAAAGAGTACGATCTCGATGTATTCAACATGAACGATTATGAACTTGTCACTAGCAGCAGTAGAGACAAACTTCAACGTCTTATCAACGATCTGATCGATATGTGTCAAGAAATGCCTTCGGTATTTATTGGACTGAACCATCTTCAGTCGTTTGGTGCTGGCACATCATCAACAGATAAGGAACATTTGTCTTTCTATCAAGAAATTATTGAACACCTACCACCGAAATGGCATCAAATGTATGTCTACGAACGACAGCGACGTTTGGTAAAAGTCTGGCCATTACTATTTGATCAATCCTATTCTAAACATTCACGAGCCGTGGAAACATATGCACATTCACTGTCAGACGGACCCCATCGTGAATCCTTAAATGAGCAAAATCCACAAGTCTCGTCTCGTTTCACTCGGCTACATTCGGAGCCAGAATCAAACAGTTCTTCACAAAAACATCCTCAAAATATCGAACAACCCGTTACGGGAACGCGCTTTCGTATTTCAAAACCATCGATCGTTACTCAAATGCATGGTAATGAATCCAAACTTATTTGACACGACATTTTCTCTGTAAAACTTCAATAAAAGACCTGATCTCTACCGACCTCTATCATATCTATCATGATTTGTTAAATACATCCACCAATTTATCTCGATAATTGACAATCTACTATTTGAATATGTGAAAGTCTATTGCATTTATAGATAAAAACTTTCATGTCATCCACATCAGCACGTATAAGATCAACAACTCTAGACCGATCCTTACAGAAAACGAAAGGCGATGTACATTCTTCGTAGACCATCTTCAGATAAATACGAATAACGTTTGTGTATTTTTGTTTGTTTAGGTTAATTTGAGCACATTCGCTTTGCTATTTTCTGAAATGGTTCAATACTCACACAATCGTGCGGATAGTATCCAGGATCTACAGAATAAGTAAGACTTTTGACTGTCGAGCTAAAATCGTTATCTAGAAGCAATAGACTGGCCGATTTTGGAAAACATGTTGGTGTACGTATACTTGATTTATTCTTTTTACGTAATGGAAAAGATAAACGAGAAGTACGTCTTACTCCTATGCTTGTATTTATTCAAAAAACATTTTGGAAAGTAAGAGATCATCTGAATAAGAAAACCAAATGGAGAATTGCTGTTTATAAAATAGTTTTTATTCAATCGTGAAGCTGATCATCTTGAACAACATGCACAAGAAGCGAAAATTTGTATATAAACTTCCGTATTTTCTTCTATAATTCTTATTCATTTATATTGAAGATTACATCATCGAACGCGAGTGTTTAGTTAACAAATTTATTTCTGTTCCGAAAGACAAAGGTACTTTAAATTGCGCATCTTTCGTCGCTGGAATTGTCGAAGGTATTCTGTGTACAAGTGGCTTTGTACGTATTTCATCTAAAGAAATTTTTCTCGAAAACTATACTCGATTTTAGACATGTAAAGTTCATGCACTTCAAGGCCCACGTGGTACAACCTATGTCATCGATTTTGCTCAATCAGTCATGGATCGCGAAAGTCGGTTAGATGCCAAGTAAAGTGTGTATTTTGGAACGATACATGTTCTTCATTCCGATGATGTTTAAATAAATTAAACTTCCTTTTATGCGTGTATATGTGTTTGTGTGTGTATTCGTAATTAAAATGATTTTCGTCGCATATGGATGCTGGTAAATATAGAGTTAAACTTGATCAGAACAATAGTGAACTGCATCTACTCCTACTTGAAAATCTGAAATAAGCATTTTTTTTCATAATTATCGTGAGGACCAATCAATTGAACATTTCATTATTCAAGTGTATTTGTGCATGTACAAGATACGAACGATATTCTTATAGAAATCGTGTAAATGGTAAAAGAATACGAGTCGATGTACACTCCTTCACTTTCGTTTTCAAAGTCAAGTATCTGTCAAAGTTGAAAGTGTATCTTCGATATTGTTTCGTTCAGTAAGATTGAGCATTCTTCTTTTTTCTCCGTTTGAAATAATATTTTTCATATGACACTAGGGATTGACGAAGAGAAATTCTCTGATGAGAAAAAGGAAATATTCGTTTCGATTAATCCAAATCAGATTTGTCACATCAAAGACATTGAATTCTGTTGACCGGTGTTCGCGCGTGCATATGTCGATGTTCATTTGCGTATTTGAACAATTAAGAAAAGTTAAGACAGATAGTCAAATAAAGACGAAGTCCATCCTAGCCGCACACGCAAACTCGACATTCACACTTTGAAGGGAAAACATTCGAATATGAAAACAAATGCCGACAAGAATACAAACGAGCGATAATAGACAGGCAAACATTTATCTCTATGGATGACTGATCAACGTCAAGTGGATTTACATGCCATTTTCCTAACGTGCGAAAAGAAAATTCTCAATGAATAAAAACAAAAAAGGAAAGAAATATGCATAATCAATTGAGTAGACCGCTATATACTTTGGTGTGATGTGGGAGAGTGCAGTGTGTGCATAATCGAATAGCAATAATCATAGGTTCACTTGTTGTGTGATCTGTCGTCTGTGTCCACTATCAATCATCGTGCGTTGCTTTTGTTCATCTCGATTACAATCAATAGATGTGAAGGTTAAGTGCTTGAACTCACCTTCTCGCTTGCTTGATTGTCTTTTTCTTTTCTCGCCCTCTGATGAGATCATCAAACTGCGACAATGCATACCTGAGCGATAAATTTTCTTAATCATATATCAGAATTCAATATAGATCTACGTCATCATGAGAACAAAAAGACTCACTCGCGCTGGTCGATTTTCTCTTTTCAATTATGATTAGACTTTGAACACGATATGGTTTATCGATGCACAACAAACGGTGATTTAAGAGAGTGTGAGAAATGAAAATTGAAGAGGATCAAAGTATGTGTAAAACGATCAGTGAAAGCAAAAGAAACTTGTGACGAGTTGAAAAAGTGTTAAATTCCATTAAGTCAAAGTGTGTGTGAAAAACGATCAGCAACAACGATGATGATGGTGATGATCAACTTAAGTGAGAGATGTTGCTTTTCCCTTAATTAGTTAAAGTCAGTAGGTATCAATGGTACTTGATTCTGTAGTCAAGAACTCTTGAGAGAGAGAAAAAAAAACAAGCGGAGTAAGATGTTTGTACTTGTTTAATAAAATGCATTCTTCGGAATGTTCTATTGATCCGGAACATGTAGTTCGTACAACTGGAATTACTTGTATTGGTCTGGGTATGAATGTGGAACAAATGAATGATGAACATTCCAAAAAAAAACAAATATGCCGCTTGCCATCGTTTCTTTCTTCTTCGTTTTTTTAAGCATACAGATGGAAATTGAACAAACGAAGTATGTTAAGCAAAAAAAAAGAAGATTGATAGCTTGAGCGAACTCTCTTGAGAGTACAAACGGCGCCGAACGATGGCAAGAAAAAAGACAAAAGTTTCCATTTTCCAGTGTGATTTGAAAAACAATGGATGTTTACAATGCTAGTCAGCAGAAGAAGAGAATTTCTTTCTCATCTCATGTATATCATCTTTTATTCGACTTGATTGATAGGCCAAGGAAAACTTTCGCGTTATTGCTCTACGTTTTTCTTTCTCATTTCTATTCATAGAGAATCAATTGTTCAGGTCTTATTCGTATATGATATGAACGCCAAACATGTGCGGTAATGATATTCAGATATATGATTTTCCAATTGAGAAGAAACACGATGAAATCGATGTTGACTTTACTTGATAACAATAACTATGTTCGTCATCAAATCATGATTAACGATTATTCGATGACACTATTAAAAAGCTCTTATGTTTTTACAGACAGATTGTCGTGAAATCAAATCGAGAAGTAGAAAATAACTATCGATCGGGAAAGATTTTCATGTAGAACGTTGTTGGTAACATAGTTTCGGAAAACTTCCTTTTCAACACGATAATAATAAAAATCTATTCGAAGTCGAGTCTTCTTTTTATCCAATACCTCGATGTTCTTGTCTTTTCATTTCTTTTTTTTTTCATGTGTCACACATCACATCGTCATCTACCAATCAATCTTCGTCTGAATTTTGATTGGATGTGACAATACTTTGCTCCTGCCGATGGCAACGTCAATGCCGTTTTGTTCTCCACCCTTTTCCGTCCAAGTGCTTGTTCATTTCTTCAGAAACTTTATGCACTCGACTACCAATGTGTGCCGAGGCGTTAATAATCATCTTTTGTTAACATTTTTTACATAAGAAATCTTTTTTATAGCAGACAGAAATGACAAAAAATTTCTAGCACGACATGATGATGAATGGAAATTATTTTCTTTTCTATTTCTGCCTATGCGACACACTGGCTGCAGTTCTTTTTATCTCGCCCAATCTTAAACCTGCAAACGTTTTCTTTCCATCTCCCTCCCTCCCTCTCTCTCTTTCTGTCTTTGCCTTTTCCGATGTTTCGTTGTCGACAATACCCGCCAACACTCGCCTTTTTTTGCTTGTTCTCCATACGCGCATACACACGCATCTAATCGCCTACCAGCAGACAAACTAAAGAAGAAAATCCTCTTTTTTTTCTCTCTCTTTGCCCAAAGAGGAAAAAATAGGGAGAAGGAGAGAAAGAGTAACTCGATTGCTGAATGGTCGAGAGTAACCGTTCACATTAAGAGTAATTACAAGTGTTCGCTTGTTTCGTCGTCAGTTTTCTCTCTTTCTGTAAAGAACAGCCTCTGTTTTTCTCTCGTTTTTTTTTTCTTTCTCCCTCCTACAGAGAAAAGAGAGAGAAAGAGAGAAAGTGCGAAAAGGTGAGACGTTTGCGCTTGCGGATAAAGATTGACATCCAGAAATCTATCAAATCACACACATCGATCACGTCACATAGTCCTATTAAATTCGACAGATATAAAGCGTATCCATTACATGCTACGATTCGACAACTGAGACGTAAATAGACACGAGACAAAACAGACTTTTCTAGATAGATAGATAGAAAGAAGAAAAAAAAGAAGAACAAGAAGAAAAAAAAACGAAGAAAACAACTGCGTTGTCTTGTTTAATGAATGATGATCCTCATCTATCCATCCATCTATCTTTAGCTGTCTTCGTTTAACCGACAAGTAAATTAGTCATGTCGTCTTGAACACGTCGATTTCGATAGATCAATGGCTGCTCAGAGGGTAATTTGTGCGATGTCAATTTTGACATTCGATCATTTATGAGATTTATTTATTTATTTTTTTCATATATTTAGTTACTCACAGATACAAACGGACCCTATTACAGTAGTGGTAGCGGAAATTTCCCGGCAACAAACGGTCCCGATGGCTCGGCTAACCTGTATCCTTCTTCGTTCAATAATGAAACATCTCCACCATCAGTACCCGTTCCTCACCATTTATCGAATGTTCTCGGACCTGTCACTGATTCGTCAGCGACAACTAACCATGCGAACAGTGTCAATGCCGATAATCAACTTAAGCAACAGAAAGATATGATATACAGGTAGATAGAAAAAGAGAACATGAATGAAAACATATCGTTTTCGATTACCCATCATCGATGACAAAGAAAGCAAAACAAATGTAGTTCGCATTTTTTTTTCTCTCGATGATTGATCTTCTTCCGTACATATGTCTATGCATGAGTCAATGCCAAATGATTATCAGTTAGATTTTTCAAAACAACGAAAGTAATGCAGTAGTTTCGTTGATTAATACATAGAGATCTTTTTCTTTAGCTGATTACTGTCATCTTGTTAATTGTCAGAGAAGATGAACAGCTTTTGTTTTGTTTCTTCATTGATGATAATGATGAGAAAGTCGTTGAGGCAAATCACCTTCAAGCAAGTATATGTATGTGTATATATTGTACATTTAGTTTCAATGCAGTCTCTTTTTACATACATATACACACAGCTGTAATTTCGAAACCGATCATTATCTTCACGCTTCATATGCTTTTTCTCTTCATATTCTGACTTTTCTTTCCGTGCAATGTGCATATCCACGCTTGAGAGTACATTCAAAAAACGTTGCTAAAAGACAATACAAAAAAATTCTAACTACTCAATAAGCTCTGGTCATATGCGCCTGCGTTTCTTTATTAATCATCTTGTTCGCTTCGGCTGGTCTAGTTTTCTAATCACTCGGTTGGTTGCTATCTCCTCAATGATGATGTTGTTGTTGTTTCTACGAGTGATCATAGTAGATGGCCTTTGTGTGTGCGTTAGTGCATACCATTGACTAACTAATACTCTTTCGATAGGCAAATTGAGTCTGGAAAGACGACGAAGAAGAAAGAAGACAAGAACTACCATACAATCGAGATCTTTTTCAATGCTTTTTTCTACTCTCATCATCTCATTGGGCATTCTTAGCCTTTTTTTTTCTCTTTCCTTACACAGTTACACTATGTATATATTTGCTTGTGCTTTTTTTTTTCATCGAGTTCTCGCATGCATATGACAGTGATTGATGATCATTACGCCTGCTACTCTGAAATCACAGGCATTGTAGTTATTACGATTATGACCTCATCGACATCAGTTTCTTTTTTGACTACCACGAATTCGAATGAAATGTAAATCGATCTGATCGTAATCGAAACATAAAAGTATAAAAAATTCTCCCTCTCTCTCTGTAATTTTCATACAAATGTATATAAGAATTGCTTCGAGCAAGCGACGAAAAAAGAACAAAAGAGCAGATAGATCAATTTCTTGATGTTTGATCGTAATTATAGTACAAACTAAACGGGAAGAAAAAGAGATACGAGCAAGCGCTTTCATGTATGTTTATTTTCATTTTCCTCTTTTTTTTTTGTAGCCATCCATTGTTTCCATTATTGGCGTTAATTTTCGAAAAATGTGAATTAGCAACTTGCACACCAAGAGATCTTGGTGGATCGGGCGATATATGTTCATCCGAATCATTTAATGATGATGTGGCAGAATTCACCAAACAGGTAATACAGCTCTACCTCCTTATCGTTGCTGAAGAGAATGCAATTGAAGTGCATATGTATATACAGTTTGCAACATTGAGCTACTGCGCACGCGCGCCCATGAGTGTAATGTATGTTATCAGAAGATGAACAGTCGATAAGCCACTTGAACAAGAAAATAAATGAAAAGTCAATAAGAGATCATATATGTGGATGTATAGACGTATACATATGGACGCAAGTTGACGATTATGACCTCCTCGCACGCCTGTCAGTTCGATACTTGAACGAACAAACGACGATAAGATCTTTAAGGAAGAGGGAGAGAGAGAAAAGAACGAGAAATTATTTACATACATTCACGTCATACATTTGCAGATGTTACCAATTGGATTTTCTTGATAATTTTGAAGAATTTTTAGGGAGTAGAAGGAATGTCATGCTGAGTTTGAACAATATTGTTCAATGTCTTTAAGTGACACCAAGTAGAGGTGTGTGTACGTATGCCAGTAATCGAAGTAGTGGCACTTATGTCAAATGAATATTTCATCAGTTGATTTGATGAAATGAAAATGCGATTAAGTCCTCTCAAAGACATTCATTGTCGAGATACAAATGTGCTTATAAGCACGTGTTAGTTGTTGATCTGATCTTAGTCAAGATAAAGAAATGCTCACATCATCCCAAGAGCAAATCAGATCAACATCATTGTCTTATCAAAAGCAGCAAATGAAGGAATCGAACAAGCTAACATGTTGTATTATTCAATGGTGTAAATGGGAGAAAAAGCTTGAGGGTATCATTAAAATGTCATTAGCATTTTTATTACGAGTGAAGATGCGAAAGTCAAAAGAAAAAGACTTCATCCTCTTTGCGATTCACGCAAATCGAAACGAGCTGCCAGATTTTCTTTATTCTTGTGCAACGCTCGTATCGCGATGTGCGGAAATGCTTTGTCTGTGGAAGCACCTGCTTCTACTTCGTTGCTCGTCTTGTCTTAATGATCGATCGAACAAGAAAGAAATGCGTCTGCTGTTCAATAGATTTCCGTTCTAAAATCTTTTCCTTTGTATTATTTTAGCTTCAAAAAGATCCGAATTACATTTCCACCAATCCCGAGTTGGATAATGTGGTACGTATGAACGCATAAATCAATGCTGATGAATTAATTACTTATCTCCTCTCCTCTCACGTTTAGATGATACAATCGATTCAAGTCCTACGATTTCATCTACTGGAATTAGAAAAAGTACGATATCTTGAATGTGGTTCAGAGATAGAAGAGGGAAAAGCTCCATATCATTATTCGTCAGGAATCAAGACGACATAATAATCATAAACTGTTTTTTTTTCTGTCGACACTTGCCGAGAATAAGGAGATTTATCTTAATCGACAAGAAGTCGTTTGTGTTTATTTCTTTCCTTCTCTTGCTTGTTCGTATTTTCTGAGAAAATCTATCCAAGACATCTTTCCACTCATTGACCGATTTATCAGACAGATAAGAAAGTATACACTTACTTCTAATATCAATCAAAAGCGAATTAACAAGAAGTCAAGTACAAAGTCATTAGCACAGAAGAGAAGCAGAAGAAGATTTATCTTTTCTTGTTTTTCTAGGTTCACGAATTGTGCGACAACTTTACTCATCGTTATATTACTTGTTTGAAAGGCAAATTACCAATGGATTTAGTTATTGACGAACGTGATTCAAATGTATCATCATCGAAATCAGGCGATGACGATGATCAAGATGATGATCAATCGAGTCCACAACCACCACACGGACAGCCTCCACATCCTCCAACGAGTTCATCACGTTCATCATCTTATAATCAACATAGTCCAGATGGGTCAACAACACCATCGAACTACAATCTTCCTCATCAACCAAAATCTGTAAGTTATGTTCGAAACATTATCCGATATTGTGAACGATCGTAACACCTGTTCGCTATATATTCCTATCAATTAAATGAACATATGTAAACAAACTAGTTTTGATTCTTTAGCTTCGATCATCATCGATGACAACAGCTTCACAATTGACACCTCTCGTTTCACCGCATCACTTCGGTCATCCAGCTCATCATCACCATCACCATCATCATCAGCCGCCACTACCACCACCATCACATTTTCAACAACAATTGCCTCCACCACCTTCTGCACATCCATCTTATTCCAATCATCTTCTTGGCCCTCCTCATCCATCACTTTTAAATCATTTATCTCAACCACCACAACATTTTCATCCTCAATCAGCTCATCATTCAATGCATAATGATGACACTCAATCGACACATTCTTCGTCAGATACCAACACTCCGAACGCAAGCCAACCATCAATGACTAATTTGAACAATCCAACAAATAGTTATCATCTCCTTCATGATAACAACAGTGAAACGGGTATGTTTTTCTCATTTCATTTCCAGTGCGAATAGAATTAGCTATCGACGTTTCCTCATTATTAATAATGTCTGCAGCACATACATACACACACACACACGCAAGGGATCAGCTAATCTCCAAATCACCCATTCAGTACATGATTGTTTTTTTCCTACTTATAATTGCGAATAAAAACATTATCAATCTGTCTACATGTTCCCGAAACACATTCGTTTTCCGCGGAGAATGATGATGATGATGATGTTCACATGTCTTTCTACGACTGTTTTGTTTTCCCTTATCGTTTTGCCAGAAAGAAACTTAATTGAAATTGTTTTTCTTTTGTTTCTCATCTAAAACATTCGAACAGTTGTGCGTCTTCGTTTTTCACTTTTACTACTCGTCTCATCTTACGTTTCGTCGAAATTAATTCAACACATCTGTGTACTAGACTGTACGGGAAAAAATCATCTCTGATTTCATACTCCATTAAAAATGAACGTTTTCATATATCGGTCATTTTCCTTTTCTTCAAATCTATCTATATATGCTAATTATATTCGAATGCTCTCTTGCCGATTTGAATCCTAATGCGATTTCACAAATCGACTGTCAAGACGCATTACGACGTCCGACTAGTAGTCCTGTCAATCAATCATAATTGGCCGTAGAAGGGAGTGAGCGAAGTAAAAGAAAAAAAAATGAATACTCTTTAAACATATTAAGCTTCACCTTTCATTGTGCCTTAAAGCGATTAAATGCATTCATCTCGATTTCTAGGCGACAATTTCGATAACAGTGTTGGTTCAGGTGGTGATAACACAGGCGGAGAAGATGATTTGGATGATAATGCAAAAAAGCGTCAAAAGAAACGCGGTATTTTTCCAAAAGTTGCCACAAATATCATGCGAGCATGGCTATTTCAACATTTAACGGTAGAATTTTCTTAAGATGTACGAAATCATTCATTAAGATAATTACTTTTCTTTCCAGCATCCATATCCGTCCGAAGAACAAAAGAAACAACTAGCTCAAGATACTGGATTAACAATTTTACAAGGTAAAACTTCGCATTTCATTGATTAATTTTCTATTTCTAATCTTGTCTTTTTTTTCTCTTCATTTTTAGTTAATAACTGGTAAGTCATATATTTCATCATCACCGTCGTCTTTGCGCGAGCGCGTTGCCATTGGTCAGAATATCCTCCGTGTATTTTGTCCAATTAAAACTTCTGAAAAACAAACCGTATGTTTACTCATCATCGAAGACTTGTTGCCATTTGACGGCGTTTTTTTCCCTTCAACAGTTTGTTATTACTACATGTCGGCAATAATGAGGATCAAACTTTGCTTTTCGCCTCTCTCTATATACACATATATATATAAATATATCTGTCCGACGACTAATCAACGCATAAAGCAATCGTACGGTCAATTAGCCAAGTAAACAATGCGTTGACTGATACTTCGAGGTAATCTAGCGTGCAAGTAGCAAATTAAAAAAAAAATGACAAAGATCTTCGAGTGTTATACACATTCTCACATCTAGCAATTGAGCTGTCAAAAAGGCATTTTCGTGAGAAAATGCGATTAGAATAGATGCGTAGAGCGGTATGATTTGTCGCCTCCTTGCGTTTGATGCTACAAATACGAACCAGCTGACGATATGCTTGTAGCGGCAAGGCATTATCGTGATGATCATCATTATACGCATGCACGCGACTTTTTCATTATCATGTTCTAATAAAAAAAAGAAGCGAGACGACGAGAGAGATCAAACAGAAAAAAAAATGACAGAAACGATTGCGCCAATGTTGATGTTGATGATGATAATGCGTGCAACAGCCGTTCAAAAGAGATGATAGGTCACGTTTTCACCATCTTCTCAGTTCTTGTTGTGTGTGAGGAAAGAGATCTTTTCCGAATGATATCATTCGTGTGAAAGGTTCAAGAAAAACATCTGGCCGGATGTATTCTTGTTGAAAACGATCGCTCGTTTGTAACTATCATTAAAATCACATTAGACGAACAAGGAGGAGAATCGAAACGATTGCATTAGCAATCCTCGTGTTTGTATAAACATATCCCAAAAGGATACGATCGTTACCGTATCTATCTTTTTTTGCTTTACATACACGATGGACATCATTTATCATTTTTTGCCTCGTCTTACGAGCCTCCTACTGCTTGTATAGATATGATAATATTGTAAACAAATCTGTTTATCTTCTCCTGTTGACAGATTTTGCGAGGTCATATATGAAATAGAACTTGTTCTTATCGAAAAAAAGTCTTATCATTAAAAAAGGTCAAATCAACTTGACTAATCTAATTTATTAACTATAAATTAGAATGAAAATGTTCAATAGCCGACAGGAATATTTTGATTAATCGATGTTTATCATAAATCAACGAAAAAAAAAGAAAGAAAACTTTGTAAATGTATCGGAAAAACATCAGAGAAAAGAAGTATACACTCTACAGATGATAATTAACCTCTCTAGTATCTGCTGGTGGCTTTCCTATAGTAAAATAAACACGTTCAATTGACTTGAAAGGCATGCGCACCATGAATGTATATGTATAATAAGCCACTTTTATCCTTCAAGTAAAAAGAATCTCATGCTGACTTGTTTTTTTAATGTATATTTAGGTTTATCAATGCCAGACGTCGAATTGTTCAACCAATGATTGATCAATCTAATCGTGCTGGTAAGTTAAATGTGAATGGCAGCGAAGATCTACGTGGATCAAATCTGTCCTATGTACCGACATTGGTCTGCATGCCTCCTCCACCTTCTCCTCATTCGACTATGACCAAACGACGTGTAAATACCAAACGAAATCGAGAATTAGCACAGGATCCAAGAAAGTCTCACCGTCGACCAAGTTTGACTCGAACATCAATTGACACACAGCCTCCCGTCCTTTCCTATCGAACGAAAGGCAAGATTTATTTAGAAAAGGCTCGTTCACTGAACATCTAACACGGTTCTCCTTTCTAATGCTTTTCTCCTAATTGACTCTATACACATACATATATACATGCCTGTTCTAAACAAAGGTTTTCTCATAATCTCCATTTTCTCTTTCCAGCCCATGCTCAAAAAGGTAGAACAATTGACTTTTTTCCTACTTCTATATTCATGTGTACATATGTATATGTGTGTGTATGTGTGTGCATCTTGCTGCTTTATTAATTATTCTAATTCTAATACATTCTGTCATTTGTGCATCAAATGAATCTATCTATTATTCTTCTGCTTTGACAATTGCTTTTCTTCCTATCTAGATTTCAATCGATAGAAATCTCGTGTGACATTTCAATAGTTGAAACTAGATTGATTTTTCCTTCTTCTTCTGCTCGTTGTCACTATCAGGAATGCAAGACAACCGAGATTACTAGTCAATTTAATTCACAAAGACACTCCAACAATTGTTCTCTGCTATCGGTCCACCTCCTCAGCGTCCCTTCGCTTCCTTTTGCCTGTCAAATTTAATTATCTGCACGAATACGTGAAATAACACAGATGCAACTGAAAAAATGCGAATGGTTCGGTTCATTTAAATGAATTAACTTTTTTTTTCTTTTCTAGCCACGATTCCTACAGAATTCACAGACTGTTTCGGTCCCTATTCACCCGATGCAGCGGCAGCGGCAGCTATGCATTATCAATTCGGAAACGGTGGTGGTGGTGGTGGTTATCCAGCAGCACCTCATGGTAAGTCAACAAGAAGGATTATCTCTGTGAAAGAAAAACAAACCAATACCTTTCTTTTAGATATTTTCGGATCGTATGCTCAAATGTCACAATTTCGGAGTCCGATGATGGTGATGTATCCAGGTGGTTATCCTGTTGCATCAAGTCCGAATAGCATGATGGATCCGATGAGTCATCATCATCACCAACAGCAAGAATCATCTGCAGTTACGAGCGGAGCAGCGTAAATTCAAATTCAATTGAACGCTATACATACATATACATATATAAATATCATTAGATTTTACTTAGAAATTCTCGAATGTTTCTCTCACTCTCTTTCTCTCTCTCTTTGTGACCGGTGTTCGTATTTCTTCTTCAGTTTTCAATTTCGATGTCGTTGTTTCGTGCGCATTTACTGCTCTTCTGTACGTTTGTGCTGTCATTTTTCTTCGATTTATCGAATATTCGCTCAATTTGTATCTGTCTATGAATTCAACAACAAAAGTCACCGTTCACCGGTTCCTTATGTTGCCCATTGAGCATATTGTATCTGTGTCTTATGTACTAATTCATCTAGTTGAGTTCATTTTCTTGTCAGTTTTTCTTTGCCACATCACTTTTTCTTTGCATGATCAAAACATTTTTCTGTTGTCTTGTGTTTTTCTTTTTCTTCTTCAATGTCCATGACACATGAATTTTTTCTTTTGGATCGTTGAGTGTTCAACCAGAAACGAGAGATAGAGAGAAGCCCGAAAATTTCAATCGAGAGATGATTTATGTTTTGTTTTGTTTTTTTTTTTTCAAAATATAATATACAGCGTCAAAGAAAGTCGTTTGCCTTACAAATCTCAACATACGATCTCGAACGATCGTGTATTTTCATAAGTAAATCGAATCGTTATTACGAATTGAGTCGTAAAATTTAACATTTATTGATCGATTGACGTAGCGCGATTTTCCATTAAAATTTAGTTAGTCGGTCTAGTCGTTTCGATCGAAGAGGACTGACTGTATGTGACTGTCCTTTGTTAGTTACGTACGCATCCGATAACCGTCGGTAAGGAAAAAGCAACAGTCGCAACTGTGTACTTTTACGCAGAAAATCGAGACGTTATACCGAATGTATTCGTAACAAGAAAAAGAATGAGAACATCTTTCATGAAAACGTCAAGTTCTATCTGTTACAATTAGAAACGTTTGATGATGTAATGCATTTCAATAGGATCAAAACATCTGTGTAATCATATGCTAATTGTCGAATTGGAAATGATAAGCAAATCATCAAAAATAGATATCGATTTACCGCAAAACACTCGATTTTTTTGTTTCTTTTTCTCTTTTTCATTCTGGGTATAATCAGTTGATTTAACACGTGTAATGATCATTGTTCTTACAACAATCTAAATACGACGAGAGAACGAAAGACGACGAAACGAAAACATCAAATCACCGAACTTATTTGTGTGATGTCACCGACAAGAATGGTCTCATCGTCGAAAGAAGATCTTATACAACGATGGCAGCGTCAATTGATTGGTCGCACGCATATAAATTTTCAAGAATTTCTGCATCTACTCCGACAACATGTATGAATAACCTCTCAAATATCTATTTTTAATATTCGAGTAATTCGATCTGTTCTCTCTTTATTTTCTTTTTCTCAGCTATTGTTAGAAACGCTCTTTTGCATATTCGATCGTGATTCAAACGGGTCACTCTCTGAAGCAGAATGGATCGGATCTGTATATAAAGTGGCCGAGTATGTGTACATAATATTCTCTTCTTTAAATGTGTCTTAACAAACATTTGATCATCATTTGTGTATTGACAGGATATCCAATCGCACGAAAGATGTTCGAACACTTGAACCATTCATACGTGCGTATAGACATGTTTCACAAGGCTCGGATTCACTTACTTTAAATGCATTTTATATTTTATTCGAGGATCAATCTGTAAGATCGAATCTTCTATCTAAAATAGTCATCTTCGCTTGTCTCTTCTCTTAGTTTTGTCGAGATTTTGCTTTCTTATTTATGAATGAGTTACATCCATTGAACATCATGGAATTAACAGATTTACTTCGATCAGTTTCAAAGTATGTATTCATTGATACAGGATGGTGACGTTCTTTTCTTTTGATGTTAGTCTTAAATCTGATACAAAATGGCTTTCGTGGCTTGCGTATCAGTTTCATACAGCTGTTGGCAAACGTCGTAGTCTAACATCCAATGGCATCCCATTTGATGATAGTATGGATCTCGAAACATTTAAAAATAGTTTTTACTTCAAAGTGGTACGTACTAATTCTTTGAATACGATCAAAACTCTATGGCTTTTCCTTTTTAGCCGGAATTAGCTGATTGTCTATTTAATTACCTCGACACAGATAGAACAGGACGGTTAACACTAGATAAGTTTATTCGCAAGTTAGAATTTTTGATAGAAGCAACTGACAATGAAAAAGTCGAATTTTTGTTCAAAATTTTCGATCGTGATGGTTTGTAAATTTGTCTTGACGGAAAAACGGAATGTTCCTCTCGTACGAAATTCTAGGCGATGGAACCATTGATTTTGATGAAATGAAATTATTACTTCGTTGCTTTTTGGAAGAATCCCCATCGCTGGATATGGAAGAAACATTAGCGGAATTAACAGCCACTTTATTTCAAGAAACAGACATCGATCAATCAGGAGACATTAGTTTCGAAGAACTAGCGGATGCATTAAGACGAAACGAACATCTTTTCAAAGTTCTTTCCTTGAGGTAATATTTGTTTTGTTCATAGATGTTCGAATTAATTAATCATTTTCTAAACTCTTTCAGTACGAGCAGTTGGATTCGACCAAAACCTGTTTCATTATGTAAATGTCATAAACGCTCATCAACTGTTCGCGCTTGGATACGAAACAATATTGGTTTGATATTCTTCTGGTCGTTATATTCATTTATTTGCACTTGTATTTGTATTGATGTGTTACATGTCTACGTTGGTCAACAACGTGCCCATTTCTTTATTGTCATAGCACGATTAAATGGTAAAACAAAACAAAACGATTTCCTCTTCTTCTCATTACTGTGTCTTTCAGGTGGAATGTTGAATTTCAATTGCGCTCTAATGCTCGTACTGATGCTTCGAAAGCATATTACCTGGCTGAGATCCAAAGGTGGAAGCGTCCTGCTTCCCTTGGATAATCATATCGATATTCATAAAACAATTGGAATCATCATTATGATCGAAACGGCTTTGCATACAATCGCCCATTTCGCTTATCTATGTTTGTATAATCTGTTTTGCTTTCTTGTTTACAAAAGATTTCTATTTGCTAGATTATGTCTTTTATATTTGTTCCTTACAAGAAGATAACGGTTTTCTATGTAATGAGAAAACAAATCTGAATCAATCGATGAGTGATCAAGCACTCATCCGCAAACTCTATCGATTCGATGTTTCAACAGACCGATGTGTTCCATTTGGATACCTCGGATGTGGAGGAAATTGGAATCAATTCTATAATGAAAAATTATGCACTATCCGTTGCAGTAAATAGCGAGTTAATGCTTCCAACAGTTCATTCATTTTGATTCGGAATATTTGTAGAAGCATATCGTGATTCGTACCATCGATTTACCGATGCAATATTTACAGCAAAATTAGGATTGGGATACATTACAGGTGTACTGGAATTTTTATTAGGTGCGTTGATTTACATCATGTGTTTACCATTCGTACGAAAAAGTGGCCATTTTCAAGTAAAATCAATCACAAACCTGTTGATTAGGTTTAGATTTTAGTTTCTGTTTAGTTATTCTACTGGTGTCATATGTTGACACTACCATGGTTAATTATCATGCTTGTTCATGCACCGCGTTTCTGGAAATGGGTATTGCTACCTGGAGTATTGTATATTATTGAGAAAATTTTACGTTATCGTAAATCACGTTCGAATAAACACGGAGAAACGTTCATAATGGAAGCAATTCTTTTGCCATCTCAGGTGATTTCCTCTGAATTGATTAACACAATGCGAAAAGAAAATATCTACTGAGTCCTTTTTTTCTAGGTGATTCATTTAGTGATTAATAAACCGCGCAAATTTACATACAAACCTGGAGATTATATCTATATCAACATCCCAGCTGTGGCTAGCTTCGAATGGCATCCATTCAGCATAAGCAGTGCTCCGGAACATAAAGGTATGAGACCAGAATTGAGATATGATGATTATATCTGCTTTCAGATAGTCTCTGGCTTCATGTTCGTGCCAGTGGTCATTGGACCCGACGCGTTTATGAATTGTTTCGTTTGAAACTAAAACAAGAACATGGAGGTTTCATCAATGATTCCAATGATCTTCGTCTTCGCTTATCAATGCGTTCACGCATGTCAAAGAGTTACATCGATGAACTACGCGGTCTACATCAACAAGAAAACACTCTCCTGTACGATCCTGATCAATGTTCGCAAGCGAAAGCTATTTCGGTGTCATTTCCATTGGCTAAACAGCAGACGAAATCAATCTGTTCGTCATGTCAATCAACATTAAGCTTAAAAGACATTCATAGAAGTTCGATGAATAGAAGCATTCTGATGAATCCGAATGATCTGGAGAATTTGACTGTCGAAGAGATCGAGCAACTTGCTTATGAAAAAGATGATCAAATAACAAACGACTTGCAAAGAAAGTTCAGGACAACAGCAAAAATGAACAATCAAAATCGTCTGACAGTACCAGCAGTCAGCGATTATTGCATTCGAATGCCTACGCTTTCGTCAGCCGAAGATGAACCTGCAACAATATCCTATCATGAAACACGTATTTCCGACGCATTAGGTTATTTACGCATGTATAAAAACCAAAATAGAATACAATTCAATTCTCTTCAATTCAATGATCGTGAAGACTTACAAGTAAAAGAAGCAATTAGACCAAAAAAAGATTTCTAAAATGAACTGTAGGTGTTAATCGATGGACCATACGGTGCACCGTCTCAACACATATTCGAAGCTGAACATGCAGTTTTGATTGCTGCTGGCATCGGCATAACACCGTTTGCATCGATCTTGCAGAGCATTATGTGTCGATTCCGAAATCGTCGACACAAATGTCCCAGTTGTGACTTCATTTGGGACAATCCTGAAAGCGAAGAGTTGCGCGTAAAAAAAGTAACAGAACACCTGACGAGTTAATTTCATGTTTTGCATTTGATTTCATTGAAACTTTTCAGGTGGATTTTATTTGGGTGACACGTGAACAACGTTCGCTTGAATGGTTTATTAGTTTATTAGCTCAGATGGAAATCGAACAGCAACGATTAAGACAAAACTCGGATAAAGGTCCATTACTCGAAGTTCATTTATATGTCACCAGTGCACAATCACCGGCTGACTTAAAAGCGCTCAATGTATATCTGTCATTAGATTTAATTGGTAGGGAGAATTCTGCAAATTGTGATGCTATTGATGGACTTCGGCAAAGAACAAAACATGGGCGACCCAACTGGGAACAAGTAAATGTCTATTATAATGTTATTCGAACTTATTAGTATTATCGTTGACGTCAGAGTAGTTTTTTCCTTTAATCAATAGAAAATACCGACATGACTGGAATCGGGAAAAGAACTCGTATGAATAAATAATAGGTTAACGAAAAAAAAAGAATGAGAAAGAAAAGTAGAATATCGTCACGCTCGACTTTGATTAACGTGACCTGCGCTGTTCGTGAGAGAAAATGGGAAAATGTTTACAAGTCTAATCTGTTTTCCTCTAAAACGTTCCGATGCGGGTTTACTTAATTAAATCTACTTGATGCTTCGATTAATGAAGTCATTTGTTCATTATTGAGTTTTTCATCAAATAGGATTATAAGAAAATGTAAAGCTTTTCTGCATATAACTTCCTGCGAAAGTCCTGTTTTAATGCGTAGCGATGCACAGCGACGTTTTTCTGTTACCTCGAAAAGTACATAAAAGAATTCATGCTAATGCTAAACACATCTGTTGCTTTTATTTCTGCCTGTGATATTACTGTTTCTGAAGCGATTATCCTTATATAATTGACACTCGATGATCAGTACTCGAAATGCATATATTCTTATCTCATTTCCTTACCAGTCTTAACTTTTTCTTTTTCTCATGTTATTAACAGTTTCTAATCGAGTCTCATCTTCAATTCACTCCTACGCCCTTTTTCATCCGGAGACTTGTTGGGCTACATACGTAAAAGCTAATGATAGGTGCGAAGGGTATGCTGACCTCGCCTATCTTAAACTTTGGGTTACTACTAATTGCGCGAGAATAAAAGAAAAGGGCTTTTAGTTGCACTTCTATTTAACCATTGTTTTTATTTATATCCATTGTAGGTATTCACAGAATTACTATGTCAAAAGAAAGGAAAAATCTCCGTTTTTTATTGTGGTCCACCATCCTTATCAGCTGAACTAACAACGAAATGTCGTCAATACGGGTTTGCCTTTAAAAAAGAACTATTTTAATTTTTCAAATTCTAGATCGTTCTTTTTTTCCTCGATTGTCTGTTCACACTTTTATTTCTATTTTTGTCCTGTGAATAATTTTCAATTTGCACTGCTTTGTCAATGACAGATATCTGTGTTTTTTCTTCTTCTTCATTTTGCTTATTAAAAACTGGAATGTACTAAATGACAGTTGTCGATCTATTGCGAATCTCTCCATGACGCACAAAGAACATTGTACGTGGGCGGAATTGGATCAAAGCAACACGAAGCTTCATTAGTGTTAGGGTTTTCCTTTGCGGATCAACTGTGGTTTAATGCACTACCGTTTTGTATTCGAAGTATGTGCAAAGTTTTATGAAGTGTTCTAATGAGATTAGAATAAATCTCATCAAAGACGCTAATGTGTATGTAGGCATGAATAAAACTTTAATTACTTTAATCGAGCTATTTATTTGATCTAATGTATTGAAGTAATTGTAAATAAGAAACCGGAAAGAAAAGAAGAAAAATAGAGAAGAACGAAGAGAAAAGCTGGAGAGAGGAAAAACGAGAAAGAGAAAAATATTATTGTTTAATTCATAGAACAGAATAGCTTTTTTTCTTCCTCGAAGTTCTCGTTGTTAAATATTTTATCTATTTTGTAATATTCACGCGCACATCTCCCGTATATCCACCATTAACAAGAAACAATTGAATTCATGCACAGGTATGATGCACTTCCATTAGCAAAATCTTTGGTTTTTTGTTCCTATCAACCGAGATTGAAATACTTTCTACTTCAGTAATTATAATTGTAATTTGTAGTGACAAACAGCACTTTCTGAGAATATCTGCAAATGACGCCTACGAATCTGGTTCGATGTATTTTAGTCGCATATTAATTGAGGGATAAATTTGCATTACCTGTCACTTTTTGCAGTTTTTTTTCAAACCTTCAACCCTTCCCCCCAACATGAAATCTGTCACGGAGTGTATAAAGAGTTTTAGTCGTTCATTTTTCTACTAAAAAGATAATCGTAAGACGTAGTTGCTCAGCACAAACACACGCAAATCACTCGTTCTCTACAATAGCTGTTTGCTCTATCTTCCATTTAGAATGTTGGTCTTCTCAACTTATCTTATCGTTTTACTAAATATCTTGGGTCTTGTTTTAACTACTCCTGTTAAACAAATTTCTTTAAATGACAAATCTGAGGACGTTACATTAGAACAAGCGTTCCGCAAAGCAGAAAAAACCCTCCATCGTTATTATTATTTAATGAATTCCGATATCGACCATCTTGTCCACGGTATGTTACATATCCTAATGAATCATCCAACGTCGTTTCCATTCATTCCGTATCGCGCTATGGACATAGCGTTTAAAAATGTGGCACAGAAATTAGGCGAAGAAGAAGTGAATACGTTAACCAAACCGCTTCTTTTGGCTCTTGAAGAACATCATCAAACGAAGTCGAAACAGCCGATGACGTTTAAGTTAAGCGACGAAACCAAGGAGAAAATCGAAGATGCTCTGGACAAGTTTTTAGATGAAGGTGAATTTGACGCACATTTGTGAATAAAAGCATCAAGAGGAAAGCAAAGTATTATTTTGTTTAAAATGAAAAAAAAGAAGAAGAGAAAAAATCAACCGAAAGGAAATTCGATGCTTTTCTCTTCGCGTGTATGTATTGTTTGTTTACAAAGACGAGTGAAAAGAAGCTCATGTTGAAGAGTATTTAAATTTTGTTGTGTTTATATAGTTCGTCTAATCTTTGTTCGAATAAAAATAACTCTTATTTTCTCTTCAAAAATGAAACGGAGAAACATTGATCTGTACAATGTAAATTGTTGATAAACGACGACGGTTAAACGGTTCGTTCTTGTACACATGAATTTCCAGTTCATACTCATTGGAATCTATCAGAATTTGGCCGGTTTTCAGATTTGAACCATCCAACACGAACGGAAATGATGAATTGAAATGATTTCGATCGACGAGTTTTCTTGACGTCTTGTTCAAATCGAGATTTGGTAAAGTGAATAGAATCTTGTTCGAGGGTGTTAAGCGTGGCAATGCAATGAATCGATAACGAATATACATCGCGCGACGAGGTGAACACGTGGAACGATGGGCACACTTCGATTGACAATCCGTTTTATTGTTCCGGAGATAGTTCACAGGACATGGAACATCGATACACTCGTAAGCACCTTGCGTGTTGAAACATGTTCGATCTTGACCGCAATCAATCTGAAACTGTTGACATTCGTTGACGTCTAAAAATTTGCGAGAGTTATGGCAGTGTGAGGTGAAAGTGAAGATCAAGCAGAGAAACCTTGACATTGTCCTAGCTCGTTCATTTTGAATCCGATTGGACAAAAACATCGATAAGATCCGATCTGATTTTCACACATATATTGACAGATATTTGTCTGTTCGTGACATTCATTGATATCTAAGAATGGAAACAATATGCTAGACAAGCATACAGAAATATCATAGATAGCCGATCCATTGATGTCAGTTTCCTTTTCAGAAACCGCCACTGTATCAGTTTTCAAATACCTTCACATAATCCTGATTGATAATTTTTTCGATATCCAATTTCACACTTTTCAGGTAGACAAGTCGAACATTCTGAAAAGAAATAGGTCAAAAGATGTATTTCACGTTATGTTTGAGGTGACATCATTCCCCGCCCTTGTTTTTTCCTGGTCCCAAATGAATCCCTAATCAAACATATCCAATAGGTGCAAAATTAGGCTGTAGGTGAATATAGCGGTACGATAAAGATGTGAGCAACACATGCATCTGGAATTGCCCCTTTTATTTCCAAGATTTCCCCATGGGCGTTCATTTCACAGACAAATTATATTGGTTTAAATGAACAGCTAAAAATGCAACTGCTCGGAAGCTCTTTTTCTTATGAATGCTTGCCTAATAAATCAGGGAGCCATGAGAAAGTGGGGCGATAATTAAGAAAATATTAAGCGCAAAAAAAGTGTATACAAATCATGATTGGACTCTGGCGGAAATTGAAAGATGATTATATTTTTCAAAAAAATAAAAGGTACCCTAACAAGTCGGGACATTTGCCATGAAAAGGATCAAATTGATCTATTTCAATTAATCCTCTTTCGCAATTAGATTTGATTGTTTCATGAGAAATAAAAGTTCCTAGTATCTACTAATCCCACCTACCGTGACAAAATGAACTTTGTCGTTCGAAACCGTTAGGACATGTTGGACTACTTTGGGTTTCTAACAATGGTTCACCAGACCATTCGAGTTTTTCTTCATTTTGATCATAAACTGGCACTGAAAAAACTTGTTTTCATATTTAACAAACACACTTCATCGGTTTTCTCTCACGTGTATACAACTGTTTCAGATAATGTACCGAAAATTCCAATGATGAAGACGGTGTTTTGTTTGGTGTACAGGAAATTGTCTGAGTATAGTTAAATTCGAGTTTGTCTTTGCCGATTAGATAGCCAGTTGCATATGTTTGAAAACGATCTAAATGGGGAAGTGCGAATTTTGAACTGATCAGAGTGAGTAGAGAGAACATTGAGTATTAGGAATTAGAATTTCTGGTTGTTTGTTAGAAAAATTCTTGAAGGTGTTCGTTACTGATCGTAATGAGATAAATCCTTACTATTTCACAAGATAATCGTTTGATCCGCTTATGAGACAATATGTTATTCTGTTTTTAAGATGCAAAAACTGTCAATCTAAGCATCTACGAACAACAACAAACAAGAGAGAAAGAATCTGTCTTGGTTAATAATTCGAGTTCATCAGTTCTTGTCGCTTTCTCGACCATAATGGAATGAATTCAAATCTTAAATGAAGTCGTTTATGTTGAAGATCTTTTCGAACTGTTTGCTCTCTTTGTGGACTGGCCATTTCATTCAACGCAGACAGTTCATCAGCGGATGTGGGATCAACGGTCGGTGTATCGATGCTTTTCATCAGAATCTGATGCGATGGTCGTTGGAGCGTCTTTTCTTGACGTAGTAACTGCGAATTGAATTGAAACCAGCAAGGAAAATAGTCTTTAATTAGTATGGGTAAACGTGTTAATAATAAACTATCACCAAATCGTGCAGCGAGAAAAAGAAAACGACAAATGAGTGTAAGCGACTCAGGATACGCGGGTTGGGCATCGTTTGCGTTATGATTTAGATAATTGTATTTGACTACGTAATCGTAAAATTGTCGAAGATGATATCTCATTTGAATGAAATGCTGAGGAAATGTTAGGAGAGCGTATTTGAGAAGGAAAAGAAGTAATAAACGATGACATAAATGACATAGCGAGCGGCGTTTTTCAATTTTCATCAATGTTCGTTGTATAATGGGACTAGTCAGCAACACTCGTTCTTCATTGGACGGTTCATGCGACCGATTGGATCGGGTTGACGGGCAAGGCCTGATAGGTTGATGCACATGCGATACACTCAGTCGGGCTTGTGTATCGTTGGTCTCATCGGATATAGTGGAAAATTTACGTTTTTCATCGGGCGAAGCAATCGATGGACGTGAACTGGTGATGAGATTTTGACTGAAAAATTTCGAATGTAGTGTCGAATACGCGTCGTTATCTTTGAAAAGATTGCGATTCAGTTGGAGAAACTTCGAATAACATTTCAAACACGAATTTCTCTCCACAATCGAACGAATTTTGTTCGGCGATATTTGCGACGGTTCATTGAATGACCATGCTTGTTTGATTGAATTTTTTAACTGACGAACGTGAATACAACAACAAGTGAGTATAAATATGAATGTAAGCAGATCGATTGTGGGTAAAAGTATCATGTTTAAGGTGATTAGTGGTAATAAACTGGATGTTATAGGCACTTTCGGTGTGTAGAATATGTAATTATAACCAAAAATTAATGCCAACGATCCTGTAAGAATTAACGCAACGTTTGTATGTTTGGTAATGAGAAGATTCTTTCCATTATAGATATTAAATGAATATTTAGTGTTGGATAAACGATAAGATCGAATGAAATATTGAAGAACACTTATGGAAATGATGAATAAATGAAAACCGCTGAAATTAATGAGAATCTGTTGGAGAAGGGTCAATGGCAGAGAGTAGAAGGTTACGGATGATGGATGCACAAGATTCGGATAGTAGTGCTTAAGAATTAGATTAGGGAAATAGACAAATGAAAGGCATATATTTGAAAAAGAATATGCACGGATCCAATTTCGATGTAAACAATTATGAAGTAAATACTTTCTTGGAAGAATTACTGAACGGATTTGTTGTGTTTGGCGCGTTTGATGTTCACTAGGAGAAAGAGGATGTCTAGGTATGATGAATGTTTTCGTAAGCAAAACTCCTACTTCGTATGTAAGAAAAGTTCTTTGGAAGATTTCTTTTGTAATGTTAATAGAAACACAAACGTATGTTCGATCAGTATAAAGCAAAGCATGGCGATTTCAATGAATTGCGTTGAGGATAAGGATTTGGCTGAGTGATGTTGTTGATGATGATGATTCTGTAGGCGTATCATCGTTTGCTGAAGGGTTTCATTTCGATTTTGAAAGAGTTTTTGTCCAAGAAGAAAAAATCGGCTGAGAACATTGCTCTCATCCGTGGTATTGCTCGTTGTGATATTCATCTTAGACGATTTCAAAATCGCATATGCGTCGTTCGTAAAAGATGAAAGAATATGTGTGCATAGAACATGAAATACGCAGAGAAAATAAAATCTTTATCTACAAGATAACTTAGATGGAGATTTCTTTTTTAAAATTGTCACAAAGCATGTTTAATTATATAAGGGTTATTATCTAAGTGGCTGTTTGTCGTATCCTATATATATATATATATATCGCTTACGATTTAGTATTTCCTCTCCTTTTCTTCTCCATGTCTCTTCTGAACTTCGACGCTGCACGGTGCATCATTATGTTCCACATTCCATTACGATCATTAAAAAAACACGAGATGTCATCGAAGAAAAAAACGACTATTTTGCGATGGAAATGACAATAGAAGTATTCCCGCGAGAGGAGAAAAATAGATGGAAGGACAAGTCCAAAAGAGTATAGTTAAGTCAAACATAATATTCAGTTTTGATGTTTTCCAAATAAAGAAAAGATACAAAACAAATACGTATGATTGCGCGAGTTGTCTTGTTGACAAGGCATTCATTTAGCTAAAGATATGCATCTTGTCATGGAAATTAGTCAGAGGAGTGAGAAAAAAAGGCATAGCGAAGAAATGAAAGACTTCTATTAACATAAAAACTTATTCATCTATCTATCAATTCTTTCTCATTGGGTTAGAATGCTTGCATATATAAACGAGAATTTCTGTTTAATAACAACGTAATGTCACAAGTGTTTATCTACTAGCAACTAGCATACCTCGCCGGGTTTGAACGACTGTTTCAGCGAGAATTATCTCTTGTTCGAACTGATAATCATCGGGATAGGTACCGTTGAATTGGATAGACTCATCGGATGCTTTTTCAATGATGTGGAGATGTGAACCTAAAACAAATTCGAATAGTCGAAGAAAAGAACTGACAGTATGGATCAATAGGATGACTCTTGAAAGAGACAAGTTTACCATCGGCAAAGGAAACTTTGATCTGCCGATGGAAGGCATCATCAATCGAACAATATGGAAAAGAATTGTTTGTGTTTGTCGTTAAGAAAAACCAAGACGGTGGAAAGAGGAAAAAGGTGTTTGTTTGAAGTATTGACTGAAGTATCAATGGAACTTGATAGAATGTTGATTTTTTCAAAATTGAATTCCAATGAAGGACAATATGATCAATATTAATTCTTTTTATTTCACCCTGGAGATGACGGATCGTTGTTGTCGTTGGCAAAACTAGAAGAACAGCATTACGGATTGATTTTTCAGTCCTCAAACAACAAGAGAGAGACAGGGAGAGAGAGGAAAAACCTAGTAGATCTTATTTCTATCTGCCTGCTTTCTTTTGCTTAGCATTTTTTTCCTCATCATGTCAGATCATATCTTCTTCGTCGTCATTATTTTATGTCTGTCTCCTATTGAATCAAATGACAATCTTCATATTTCAGATTGATTTACTCGTAGAATGAAATGCATGCGTCTGCTCATCTTTCAAACCAACGAGTCGAGTTTTCCCGATCGTCATTTTTCTTTCTCTCTCTCCCTCTTCCTCTGCTCCTTCTTCTTTTTACTACATTCCTCTTCAACTATTCATTTTAACAGAATGCCGATGAAGATTGTCGCCTCTTTCTCTTCCTTTCTTCTCGCTAGATGACAATGAAGACGTTTTCCGGTCCTCTTGACAACTAACATTAAAACTGTAAAAAGCATCAACACGTGAATATTATCGTATTTGAGTATGAAGTATCTCTCTTTCTCTCTGAAAGCAGTCGGGCTTGAGTTCTTCGTAATTCCACTGCTTGAAGGAGTAATATTTGATCAATATGATTAATCAATAAGACTTTCTCCTATCATCGTTCAAATATTTGTTCTTAATTCTACAGATTAATCATATTGACAAGAATCATTCGTTTAGATGTAATCTATTTAGATTACCTGAATTCCAGGTCGTGGACAAAGACATTTAACTAACATCTGAAGTGTCCTCGACGGCATATGAAACAAAGAGAAGCGTTTCCTTACTATCGTGAACAATCACATCACACGTTGTTGTTGCGATGCCTAAAGTATTTTCCGCTGAACATGTATAACGCCCAGTGTCAGACAATTCCACCGGGTCGATTCTGAAAATGATGGATAATTATAGATAACTATGAGGAGAAGTTGATTTTACTTTAATGAATTATTAAAAAGTATTTGCAAGCGAACACCGTCAATTCCTTCAAGGGCACTTCCATTTTTAGACCATTTTAATACGGGTTCTGGCCATGCGTCAGCAAGACAATTGAGCAAGAGCATTGAACCAGTCACGAGTTGCTGTGCTACTCGCGGAAGTTTAATGGTAAATGCCGGTCGTGCTAAATATAGACGCAGATAGTCAAGGGAAATGAAAAATAAAGCATGAAGCATGTGAAGTCAGAAAAGAAAAGAAATGTTCCATGTCTTACTGAAAATATTGATTGAATGATAGGATTCTGTACGCGTACCATTTCCATTTCGAAATAGACATTTATAGACGCCTGAATCGGATGCCTATTTTAACAGAAACACGAAACAATCGAAGCGAATTTGATCTTATATTGGCCTACTGATGTCTGCTCGATGATTAATGTTCCGTTTCGGTAATCAATTCGATTTCGATTCTCGGAATTGACTTTCAATGGTAAACCATTATGAAACCATTCGATAATACCAAGGAAATTGTTATTGATGATCGAATCGATTTCACAGGAGAGGATTAGACGATGACCCGCCATTACAGCACGGTTGTGGCTTTGTGGATGAGCTAAACATTAAGTAAACTGTTGTTATGCATAGTCGAATAACCGGAAAAGATCATACGTCGAACGGTAACTGTCACAGGCGAAGAAATGATAAATTGTTGATTTGACGAGTTATTCGCAAAACATTGATACACTCCCGTGTGTTCATCGGCAGCTTTATTAATTCGAAGAACATTTCTATCGTAGAAATGTGTCAAATATTGAATATTATCTATTGAATGACCGTTGTGTAACCATTGAATGTCTAACGGACTAATGAGATTCGTTTGGCAAATTAATTCCAGCGAGTCTCCATAATCAAGAGTTAAGTTTTTCGGTGATATAACAAGAAAAGGTAGTGGATCTACAAATTAAGCTTTATCTTCAATTCAAATAGCAAAAATACGAGAACTCACTCGATTGTATCTCATAGGCGACCGTTGTTGTAACTTGATTATCTAGAACACTTAGACTAAATTGTTTTGTTGTTTGTCCGATTGCATTATGGGCGGAACACAGCAGTTCACCTGCATGATTTTTCCTAATTATATGGGGAAAAAAGGGAGATGCCGTTTTTCTTCCTGTACTTTTTCTCTTCCGTCACTACATACTCTAGTTGATCAATATATAGATTCCCAAATGAATCAACAATAGCTGTTCCCGATACATTATATATTCCATGCCAAGTTATTACCGGTATGGGAATACCATTAGCTTGACAAGATAGTTTCACTGATTGCCCAATAATACCTGTATAATGTCGTTCAATTTGATCAATCGAAGGGGGAACTAATTGATGGAAGATGAGAGTTATCTTTCGAAAGAAGAAAACATCGATACCTTGAACTTCTAAACGAATCTGTGCATGTGTTCGGTGAACAAGGTTTTCCGCCCAACATAAATAGTAGCCCGTATGTTGAACTTGTAAATGATGAATCCTTAATGAACCATTATTCAAGATTTGAAAGCCTAAATGAGTTCGAAAGAAGACATGATAAATAGTTAATGTTGTAATTGGTTTTCTATGTGTGACCTGGTTGTGTATCGATTGAACGACCAGATTTAGTCCAGTAAATAAATGGAAGAGGGTAACCATCTACGTGACAATTAAGTGTAATAGGTTTGTTGACAATACCAATGATTTCACTGCTTTCAACTGTAACTATCGGTGGAACTAGTAGGAAAAGAAATTGTGAAAAGCTAGGCGAAATGAGAAGCAAAAGAATGAAGGTTTTTGTTAATCACGTCTAGAAAACGTGCCGAAGAATGAAAAGAAATGAGAGGTTTAAAAAAAAAAAGAAAAGATTTAGCCAATCATGTTTACCATTCACATCCAAATGCAGATCGATAAAATCTTGTCCAGCATCGTTCATAATCAAACATTGATATTTGCCATGATCGAGTTTCGTCGTATGAAGAAGTAATAAACTATTGAACGAGGTGAGTTTATATTTGAAATCACCGCTACCTTCGATTATATTCAATTCAATGTTATTATGGAACCATCTACAAAGAAAAGGGACTTGATTACTTCTCTTGAATAAACATTCTGTCTTTTGTTACTTCACGATAGGAATCGGATGTCCTTGAATTACACGGCAAGGAAGTTCAATAGGTTTTGGAGAAGTAACGAGATAGGATGTATTTTCTCGTTGAATTCGCGGAGGAACTATAAAACAAAAGCAAATCAAGACTTGACTATATGAAATTTGCCTGTTCAAACCTAAGACTGTCAAACGAAAGTGTTGCTTGGCTTCACCAGCTTTACTATAGGCTAAACATGTATAAATTCCAGCTTGAGTTGGATCCGCTTGGATAATGAGTAACTGTGAACCACCAGGACCAATTCTAAAGTATATATTAACAAGTCCGTAATCATCTTTTTTTCATTCGTCGGTTCATACCTGTATCGCGCGCTAGTTCGGTCGACGGGCAAACCATCTTTTTCCCATGATACTGAAGGCCATGGATCTCCTGAAAATAATCTTCAATATAAAAGTCGACATTTTTCGATCAATTCTCTCACCGTTAGCTGTGCAGGTCAATGCAATATGATGATGTTGAATGACTGTCACATTATCTTCATTTGGTTCACGTTGTATTACCGGTGGAACTAAATATTTCATACAAAAATTAACAGTTCTCTCAAAATGGAGATTTCCTACCGAAAATTTGCAATTCAATATGATTGGACAATTCGCCGGCAATATTTGTACCGATACACGTATAACGAGCATGATCATTGACATTAACTGATTGAATAACCAAGACACGATTTTCTTCGAGTAATTCGTATCGTTCTAGATTATAGTTTAGTCCTATTTTGCTACTCGCAAGGATAAATTACCATGGTTGGTTTTCATATCCCGACCATTCATCAGCCACATTATGTTCGGAGTTGGTTTACCATGCATTGGACATTCCAAACGAGCCGTTTGATTCGATTTTACTTGATAAATCTCTACCAAATTTGATCGATCAATGGTCGGTGGTGCTAGAACGAGCATACTTTTCCTATGGTTGAAAGAAGCTCATTTTCCTTACTGAATACATCCACCTGATAAGTTAAATTCAATTGACCAGCTACATTCGACATATGGCACGTGTAGAAACCTGCGTCGGACAAATGTGCCGAATCAATCTGTAGTTTATCTCCATTTCCTAACAATCTATCGATGAGAAAAAACGACGCAAAAGAATTCTACACCATAAGAATAAAAATGAGCAATTTCTTACCTTGCATAAGAGTAGGATTCGACAAGGTTCTTCTCATCTTTGAACCACTGATAATTTAACTCCGGTACACCAAATCCATGACAAGATAATATAATATTCTTTCCAAGGATGACGTACGGATTTCGATTAATATTTGCTAATTGAACTTCCGGTGGTGCTAGAATGGAATATTCCTCATTCTAACTGCTTTGATTTGCGCTGTTTTACCGTAAACTTGAATGTCAAATATCTGTTGAGAACGACCAGCTAAGTTTTCGGCATGACATTGATACCGACCACGATCGATCAAAGAGATATTTTCGATGTATAACTTCATATTCGAATCTCTAATTGATATTCTATCATGACAAACAAGAAATGAGCGTTTTCGAAGTTGTTATTGATTTCAAAACCTTTCAAAATCAGATAGAATTTGATCATTTTTCGTCCAGACTATCGTAGGCAATGGAACAGCATGAAGTAAACAAGTTAAAATTAAAGATTCGCCTTTTAATTTTGTTATTTCATTTATCATTGGCCCATTGTTCAATATTGCTGGCGGTACTGAAAATTCAACACTCATTTTCTGATCCATTCTAAGAAGAAGAAAACAACATACGGAGAATATTGATTTCGATATCTTTTTTTGTTGAACCAATCTTATTTTCTGCCAGACATGTGTATATTCCTGTATCATTCAATGAAGCACGAATGACTTGGTAATACCGATTATGTCCTGATGATAATCGTTGACTAAAGGAAACAGATAGAACATGATGTAACACAATGGTTGGTGAATTGAATATATTTACTTATTAAAATACCAAGATATCACTGGTTCAGGTATACCATTTGCATTACAGTCCAAAGTAAAGTGATTTCCAGCAATGGGCGTTGCCGTTGGAGCAATCGATATCGACTCGATCATCGGCGGTACTAAATTAATACATACAATGTTAAAACTATTGAAATCTCAATAGAGAGCAATAATAGTAATTGTACAAATAGCGATGATCTTTCACACATTCATACCTAGTCGATTGATTCGATAGTGTTGTTCGATATTTCCTGCCTCATTCGATGCAATGCATGTATAAATCATTCGTCCATCGTTTTGTATAGATGAAAGTGCTACAGGTAGATAATGACTGCCGTACTGCAGATGACGACCTTCTTTCAACCAAACAATCTAGAAAATTTTTATGTTTATAATTTACTTTGTCTAAGACTCGCTTACGATTGGTTTCGGATTTCCATACGTTGTACAAGTTAAATTGATTGTCGAATTGAAAATAGCCTCGATATTTGTTTGATCATTTCCGAATCGTGGTGGAACTAGAATCATGTGATCTAATGTCGAACTACTCTTAAGAATAACTTACCCAAAACTTGTAATTCTACTCGATGTTTAGCTTTTCCTGCTATATTTTCAGCGATACATGTATAATTTCCTGCATCACGTTCGTTCACATATCGAATTTCGAGATACTGATCATCTCGAAATAATTCTACTCGTTTGTTCTGAAAACGCCAATTGCATTTCGTTTTTACAAACAAAATATAGTTCAATACTCTACTCACATCAATATCAAACTTTTTTCCATTCTTCAACCATTTAATCGTTGGTCTTGGCATACCTTTGACTAAGCACGGTAATGTATAGGTACGATTCAATTGAATCTTATGTCGACTTGTGGGAACGTAATCGAATGTTGGTGGAAGAAGTATATCGACTAAAAATTGTTTTTCACTTTTGCCAATCGAATTCGATGCTATGCAAGTATACGTTCCACCATCGTGTTCGTTATTGACTGCTACTTGAAGAATTTCTGTGTGATTGATCTTCGTTCTAAAGTAAAAATTAAATTCTTAAATGGAAAATAAAATATGAGCATTGAAAAGTACATTAAATATTTAGTACGATCGATTGCAAGGCCATTTTTACGCCATTCGATAGTGGCTGGTGGATGTGCGAATGTTTGACACGTCAGTTGAACGGTATGATTACTTTCAACTTGAAACAACTCTTCTGTTTCTTCATGAACAATGTCAGGTGGGACTAAAATCAGATGATTGGTGAACTAGAAACGAAAGAATACTCTGTTTGTACCCAAGACTTCTAATTGAAATTCAAGTGAATCAGAACCATATTCATTCGCAACGATACATTTCCAGATTTGACCATCTTCAATTTGTACGTTGGGTATAATCAATTGATTATCATTTAGTTGTAACAATTGCCGAGTCAATTCGTGTTCAGTTTGAAACGAAGGTGGAATCCACGTCGTATTTATAATTGTAATCAGTGATGAACGTTCGGTAGTATAAGGACACGAAAGAGTTATCGATGAGCCACGAACAACACTTGGATGAGTGTTGATATGACTGCGGAGAATTTCCGGTGGTCCTATGGTGAAAGAAGTGAAGTTTATTACTTGTCATATATGTCACTATTACCAGAAATGATAATGTTAAAATATCGACGATCGGTACCGATATTATTCGAAACTAAGCATGAATAGAGTCCAGCATCTTGCCTGTCAACTGCAGGAATTATCAATTCTTTCTCAATTCCATACATTTCGATTTCATTCTTAAACCTATTTGTATGATAAACTGAGAAGTTAAATAACATATCACCTTAGTTAATCACGAACCAACGAGTAATTGGAATTGGATGTCCACTGGTTGGACATTGAAGATGTAAACTTCCATTGCGACGAATAATCAAACGATTAGTTTCATTGTTCATATTTATAGACGGTGGTGCTTTAAAAACCGAATAAAGTAGGCGTCAAGTTTACCAACAACCTACCATAAGCTTCTAATAAAAACCGTTTTCGAATTTCACCAGCTCTGTTCTTTGCTGTACATTCATAGATGCCTGTATGATTGGCCTGAATAGAGAATTATGGGAACTGAAGTCAAACAAAACATAATCGATCTACTCACTTGAACATGATCGATAACATATTCCTCTTCACGTTCTGGTTCCAAAACAGTATTAGTTTCGAATGACCATGTGACACTAGGTTTTGGAAAGCCATATACAGAGCAAGGTAATGAAACCGATGAATTAATCAACGCGTGCAATTTCACTTGTGTTAAAGAGTCATTAAATATTGGAGGAACTAGAAAATAATCTTGTTCATGTTTGATGAACATGTGTATAACACTAGACCATACCTGCGACATCGACATCAATATGATTTTCAGCTCGGCCTGCCGGATTTTCAACAGTACATGTATAACGACCAGCATCGTTCAATGTTACATGTTCAATTTCAATATATAGACCATCGTAGACAGTTCTAACAGCGAAAAGTACTGGTCAATTCGTATGTTATGTAAATGAAGTTTTATTCGTACCGAATACGAGCTAGATCAACAAGACTCCTTCCGTTGAAAAACCATCGTCTCTTAGGAATTGGTTTTCCTTCTGCCGAACAAGGTAAACGCAAGTACTCGCCAGCTTTATAGAACTGCTCTTTTGCAAATATGCCGTTGTTGTCATGCGTAAACTTCGGAGGAACTATAGAAGAAAAGAGAATATTGACTTTGTCTTTCGATCAAAAGACAGTTCTTTCGTTTTTTACCCATCACATTAACATCGTAAACGATATCGATTGATCCAATGGTATTTGTTGCTTGACAAACATATCGACCTTCGTCTTCCGACTAAATGAATTAAAATTTCTGCTTGTGCTAAGCTGCAGATTCTGTTCGTTTTACTTTGATTCTAGTTATAATCAATTTTTTTCCATTGTGTTTCATATAAATATGTTTTTTATTCGATGAAATATCGTGTCCATTATAGAACCATTGGATTTTTGGTTTTGGTAAACCAATAGCTGGACATATTAAAACTAATGTATGGTTAATGATAGCAGATTTCTTTTGAAGACGAGTATGATTTTCCGATTGATTTTCAAAATAAGGTGATACTAAATTCATCCATCGATTAAGACAAACTCTTACAAAGAAATCTTCTTACGATAAACAGATACATTGAATAGACGTTGAGCTGATCCAGCTTTGTTTGTCGCTACACAACGATACATTCCTTCATCGATTGGTTTGATACTTGGTATGATATATTGATCATTGATATCAAAAATTGGCAGTTGACGACCAGCTTTGAACCATTGAATAGCCGGCTGTGGCGTGCCAATAGTTGGACAAATCAGAGTAATAGACGTATTCACTGGTGCTTGAACGAATGTTTCTTCTTCCGCACCAGTAATTGAAGGTGGAACTTGAAAAAAAAGAGAAAAATATAATGTGCGCTTTTTCTGATGTAATCCTTACTATTGATGCTTAGCTTAACGTGATGAGTAATCGTTCCAGCTGGATTTGTGGCTGTGCAATGATATTGATCGTTATAGACCAGTTCGGCTTTTCGAATTTCTAAGGAACCATTTTCATGGAGATACGTATTGATATCATCATTGGCTAAGTAGAAGGAAAAGAGAATGGAAGAAATGAGTTTTTAATGAATACACACGATCTATTGGAATGTTTTGACGAAACCAAGTGATGATGGGAGGCGGATGAGCAGTAACCGAGCAAGGAAGTAGAACTGAGTCGTAAACATTGACGTCGAGTTCACGTTCAGCGAAATCATCTGCTGAACTAGGCGGCTCTATTAAAAGAAATGAATTCTTTGTAGTAAGAGTAGGATGGAAATGTCATTATGAGTTTAAAGAAAACACGTTTTACTCTTGAGGATTACACCTGCTATCATAATCACAAAAGTAGCAAAGGACAATTACAAAGTGCGCGTGGTATCCTAATTGCAGGATGTAGACATCGATGACAAGACCTGATATTTCTGTCATTCTCTTCCGTCTTCATAATCATTGAATCGGATAGTACAAATTGATCTTGTTAGAATAATATACACAATGTAATAATCATGCATGACATTTTACCTGTCAAATTCGACCTATATTCCCATTTTCTCGATTGCACATTAAATATCAGAACCTATTCTGATAAGACTCTCTCTATCGGAGCGCAGACAACTTTACCGTAAACATCGACTTGATACTGCTGTTTTGCATGTCCAATTACATTACTAATCTCACAGATAAATGAACCACGATCTCCGGTATCCAATGAATTGATATTTAATGAACCTGTCGAATCGATCATCATTCTATTCTCTTCGACAACTAATTCCTAAACATCGAAATGAGATATAGAGCAATCTTTCATTGTGCTTCTCTGCTACTTGATCATCTTTGAACCATTTCACCGTTGGTTTTGGTAAACCAATATGGTTACAAGGTAGCAGCAATGGTTTCGATATTATTCCATTGAGAAATCTTTGCGCTTCGAAAGTGAAACGTGGAATCACTAAATACAAGAGAAAAGATTCACTGTAGCACATTTTTCTTTCGAACGAACTTGTCACATTTAAATAAATATCAGCACTCGTGTTGCCAAACAAATTCATAGCCAGACATGTATAAACGCCTGCATGATGTTCTTGAGCATTGACAATTAGAACTTCCGTTCGATCATTCTGATCCAATAGACGATGTGTTTTGTTATGAAACCAGCTAAACAACAAATACGTGAAAACGAAGTGAAAAATCACTGCTAACGTACACTATTTGAGGTTTGGGAACGCCATATATATCGCAGAAGAGTTCAATTTGTTCTCCGACTTCAACTTGAATGGAGTCTTTGGGAATATTTATTGTTGGTTTAACTAGAAAGAAAATGAATTGGTCGAAGATCGTGAATATTGTGCACACTTACGTCCAATGTCGAGCCGAATCGATACTGACGATGATCCGACAGTATTTTGAACCAAACATGAATAATTTCCACTATCTTCGTTCTCAACAGCATTTCTTATTTCCAAATACCCATTTTCATTGGTTCGATGACGAGTGACCTAGATTACAATCGGCACTGCCAAGGCAAAATACATCTCGATTCTTCATACCAATTCATTCGATTTAAACCATCTCACATCAGGAAAAGTTTCACCTGGAACATTACATATCAAATCGACATTGTCTCCTGGAGAAATAAGTATATGAGAATTATCTGTTGATACCATCGGTGGGTCTAAAATCCAACATAGAAATGATTGGTTATCTTTCAATGAATTCTTTTACCAGCATAAATCAATTGTGCTGTTTTAATATCTTCTCCTGCAGTATTACTTCCAATACATTCGTAGAAACCTTTAGAGAATTGAAGTATAGATATAGTCATTGCTGATATCGTTTCTCTATACCTTCATCAGCTTTGGTTGCCGTCATAATGTTTAATACACCATTATGACTTCGTATCGTTGATGACTGTTCAATTGGATTCTCATTATTTTGTCGTCGCCATATCAATAATGGACGAGGTATGCCATTCATAACGATACATGACAATGTAATGTTCCAATGATGTGAATATGTAATCGTTTGAGGATATATATAAACGTGTGGAATTTCTATTGATTGAGAGAGAAAGGTGTACAGAGTACAATCGATGGAAAACATACCTTGGACGTGTATTGTAATTCGTTCTTGTGTTTCGCCACCTTCATTCTTTACTACGCAGACAAAAACAGATCCATCGTCCGATTTTTGAATATTTCTAAATATTTCTCTATACAAAAAGAAGGAACCATGGAACAAGAAAGAGTTTACCGGATTTCTAATGTGCCATTTTCATAAATACTCGTTCGATCTTCTCGTAGTTCAACTAATACCGACGAAGATAGATCTTGTTTCCATATTAGATCATAATCCTTTGTATCTTGTTGCACAAGACAGTCAATCATCACTGTACTATTGATCAATGCAAATAAAGATTTTGACGGTATAGTCTGAACCACCGGCGGTGCAGCTATATGCAATGAATTCTAATCAGTCATGATTTTTGTACCTATAAAACATACCGAGTACATCAACTTGAATCTCTCCAATATCAAAACCACTTGTACTTGTCGCATTACAAAGATACAATCCTTCGTCATCAGTTTCCAATGGTTGATTGATGGGATACTCGACTGTTGTTATATCAGCACTAAAGAATCAACAGAACAGATGAAAATAATCATAATCGGCTCAAGAATTTGTCTAAATACGGATGATTGGATGTTAAAATCAATTGTCCGTTCTTGAACCATTTCACTTGATATGAAAGTTGACTTTGAACATGACATCGAAGTTTTGTTGGAATATTCGATGGAATCTGAATAGAATTCATCTCGACGTTAACAACTGGTTTCAATGGGACGTAAGATGTTAAAGCTGTTGAGCTCAATCGTTGAAAACGATGACCATCACTGTCAATACCAGTTAACTACAAATGAACAGATTGTTCTCTTTTGTTCAAATTTAAAAAACAAAATCGATCGTATGTACTCGAATATAGAAGAACGAACTGTGAACAGGTGGTTGGAATTTATTCATCGTAGAATAGAATGTTGGTAGTTGTGGATTGACTCGGATAGGTTCCTGCACAAGAACATTACCAAATAGATCGACTAATTCAATCTGTTCAGCATGACGGATGTCATCCATATGGTTGACTTCCACGATTAGATGAGTTAGCGAACCTGAATTGACGGAAATGAGAGATTTTGATGATTAAAATGAAAAATACCTTGAATCGGTTGTCGCCGTGTTCGAATCAAATCTATCGTTGGATCCATTGAAAACCCATGTCGAAATGTCAATCGACTGAGGCCTGTGATTCGAATCGAATGTGCAGATGAAGATGTTACTTGAATGTGCCATTGGCCAATCTAAATTCACACGGAATATCTCTATCGAACATGATGCGTCGATCATTTACCATCGGATGTTTAATATTGAGAATATAAACCTCTTTCAGACGTAAAAGACGGGTAAACCAATCCCGTGGATTCAATGTTTTGTCTACCGAACAAAAAGAAAAGGTGGAATGAAATTAAGAATATCAAAACATACTTGTCGGATCAACTAGAATCACTTGCGGATTTGAACCACTCACTGATATTGTAAATTCTACAAGTTTCGAATCAACAGCCAGTATGTAATTTTCTTTATTTCGCTTCATTCGATCGATAACCAAGAGATTAACTTTCCGTGTTTGAGTCGTGTATTGAACAAAGTTAAGAATCTATTCGAAATCGAATTCCCATCAGATTGAAGTGCATCTTTCCTCGCAAAACTATACCTCGCTGACTTGTTTCTTATGCAAAGTAAATACTTGTCCACTACTAGTCGCAGCGATTTTATGAAATATCTGATAGCCAACATGATTTGGATCACCGCAATCACCAGTCATAACAAAAACAACCTTTAAAATATCGATCAGCAAAAAAAGACTGGGAAAAAATTCCATTAATTTACTTGACTCTGCTTTTCTTGAATCAATTTCAATACAATATCACCTAACTTATAATCTTTTGAACGAGCATCTGTAAACACATAGATGAAAGAATTGGGTAATGATTGTTCCAAAGCTAATTTAATGGCTGTTATCGTCATTTCCGGACAGTCACCACCACCTTGTACAATCAGCTCCTGTAGACCACGTTGAAAGCGTGTCGAATCACGTGTTTTCAATACGGGTCCAACGTCTAAATATTAAGAATACACTTCGGTTCCTCTTCTTTTCTCTCTTCTCTATACCCGGATCAGCAAACGGAATGAGAATATAGTCATAGATTGACTGTTCTCGTCGAAGAGTTGCATTATAGATATGCGTTGCGCCTTGAATAACTTGCAAAAGATCGTCATGCATAGAACCAGTGACATCGAATACAAACGTCACACTGGACGTTCCTAATGGTGGATTGATTTGTTTAGACGACGGAATCCATACTAGCAGAATCAAAGCAAGTATTGTTCTCATTTGTATTTACTTCGATATTAAATGTATGCAAGCTGGTATAACCATCGATTAAATATGTATATATGCTCGCTTTTTCTTTTCTCATTCAGTTTCTTTTTTTTGTATGTGTGTGTATGTGTGTAAAGCCTTCAGGATGTGTTCAATCGGCAAACGAGAACGGATGAACGATGACCTAACAGATTAAATCAATGTGTTACTACTAGTTCGATCATCGAGATATATTTATGCATGCATGCATGCATGCACGAATAAAATGACTAGCGGTTAAATGAACTTAAGGTAAAGTTATTTCTTATTTTGTCTCTCGTCTGTCTTTCTCATTCACCATGTATGTGCGAACAATTGGTTCTCATTTAGACACATTAGCCTTCAGGTAAAACATGACTGTTCAATTAATAATAGAATCAATAGTAGTCAAAACATTATCATCACGTCATAGAATGGTTTCACAAGGTCAAGACGGTTGGCTATTGTACTAATAGGGCGAAATAAATAAATAAATATATATATTCAGCAAACAATCATCTCATTTTCGTATCTACCGACGTCAAACGCTAAGGAAAAGAACCGCCATGTCTATTGAATTTTAACTGTTGACGCAATATGACCTCATTTATAATTAATTCTCTCGTAAAATAAGGGAAAACTATTGATTATATATAATTTATTCATCGAATAAGAATAAAAAGCTCAATCTTGTTAATAACCTACACAGGAATGAAGAGCAAAGAACAGTTTTCTCATTTAATATTTGATTTATATCCTGTCAGAGAATGTTGTTTTTCAAAGGCAAGTCAATACTACACCAGATCTAAATGCATGATTCTGTTGTGTCCTGATGTCGCAATATTTCCAAACGTTTTTGCATATGCACTAACGCCTCAAATTATTCATCACGTCATTGAGTTCTTTTCAGTTAGTTGTGGCAAATATATATATCCGAGCTAGATATATTCATGAACGTGAGTGGCATTAAAACAAGAATGTATATCCGAATAAATAAGGTAAATGTTTCTTTCATCAACGAGAATAACCGAACCAGCATCCCGTTTAATGACAATAATGCGTGCGAAGTCAGTTTGATCAGTCTGCATGTTTGTTAATATTTCGTTGTGTTCCGATTGCCAGATAGAGGAGAGCAAGTCAGCTCCGAGAGTGCATCGAATGATTAGATTCTTGTCTTGTTTGCTGGCAATGCCTGAGAGAGTCAAATAGATTTGTGAGAATAGAAGAATTGGCAGAACATTCGTGTACGGTATTCATATTTTCTCGTCAGAAAAAAAGGTATACGGTTAGGAAGAGAAAAAGAGAGAGAGAGAGAGAGGGGCTTCCGTTCTTCTCGGTGAATCGCATGTTTGACAGATAAAAGCAACATTCAACATTTTAGTTCTTCATTTCCAGGACAAAGGAAGGTAAATGAATGTATTACTCTTGATTATAATCGTGTTCCTCTGAGAGAAAATATTTTGATGTTTAGCTGGATGTTCATCGTAGAAATTATCGAAAAAAAAACATATTAGCTGCTTTTCCTCATCTTCATGTAGATAAGCAGAAGAGAATCTTGTCTTGTAAAAAAAAGAGATTCTTATTCAAATAATGATCTTTTTGAGAAGTAAGAAGAACTGATGTGTTAGACATTCATATTACAAGAGTGCGCGTATTCATGTTCTAGACGTCAAATTTCTCATGTGACATTCGTTGCTAGATAATTGAACACGAGAATGAATAGTTCTTATGACTGACATATATAAGCAGTGAAAAATGAGGAAAGAAACAAGGAAAAAAGCACGAGCCATCGGCTTATACGCGTCTCTGATGCTTACAATAAGCATGTCAAACGAGTTAGATCTGTTCAAGTTGAATAATGAAAAGAATGACTCGGTGACCAATTAATAAGTTAGATAAAAGAAAGAAAAAGGAAGAAATTGGAGACAATATGAAAAGAACGTCTACTAGAGTCTTTTTTTTAGGTTAGATCAATTATAGTCCATTGTATAAGACATGCCCTACGGAGAAACAAGAATATTCCAGAAGCATAGTCGAAGTCTAACCATGCATTTCAGTAAACATCTCCATAGAACAAAAGAAACTGATGAAAATATATGGAAACTGTGCATATTGAAAACAAAGTATGATGTAGTAATTGATTCATATGTATTAGATTGAAAGAGCACTTGAAAGAACGATTTTCTCTGTTTCTTCTTCTTTTCTGGCAAATCATTCGTTATGATATTCTCCTATGTGAAATGGAGAAGAGAGAGGGAAGTGAACACTTTATCTAGAAAGGCATCTATCGATAAATGAAAGATAAGTATACAATGCCACGACTGACGTTGCATACTTCACATAATCACCGTCTATTTCTTGTCTGATGATTTTCAATGTCGTAAGAACTTCTTCCTTTGGAAGAGTTCTATTCTTTGCTAGAATCAAACTCAACCTAGCTGCGCTAATTTGCGTTTCTTTCTCCTAATTCTTTGAAAATCTTATCGTATGCATCCGCTGTCAGGCGATACATATCCTTTTCCTCTTTTTTTCTTTCTGTCAGCGTAAATCTGACGCATTATTCATCAATATGTCTCTATCTCTTGATTATGAAGTGTTCATTCAACATGTATCTGTCGATATATTTACGTTAAATGCGTAGAACTCACTATATTCTCTCTTCTCTATTGTTTCAGTCGACTTTTCATTTATATATTTATTAACAGAAACAACAACTCCACAAAGTTTGTCAGTGTTTTTGTTTCTCCCTGTCTCTCTCTCTCTCTCATCTGCTTTTTCTCCCTTTACATTATCATTGACTCATCATTCTAATACCAATTATTATTAGTTTGCTCCCTCTCTCCATTTGTTTCTCGAGGCATCTCTTTTTTCTCTCTCTCTCTCTCTCTCTCTCTCTTTATATATATAAAGAGAGGCAGAGAAAAGTGTGTGTGCCACATCGGTGTTTGACAAGAATAAAATCTCTAACAACATTTTCTTTTCTTTTTCCTTCTACTAATTTCACCTCTAGTTAAATTTCATCAAAGATTGTCATCGACGTTGTCATTATTCTTTCAACACACAAATTCACTTCAATTAGAATGGACATACAGGAAAACGAGGTATGGAGTTTTCTCGATGGATTTTTATAAAACCAGGCGGCAAAGGGATAGAAAGATTACGGTGTTTTTTTCCCTGTAAACTATAGTTATAATTACATTGGCCAGATAGTAGATAACATAAGATTTTTATATACGACTATTTATTAGTGAAATACGCATCAAAATAGTGCTTAATTTTTGTTGTGTAGGACAACATTGTCTGTGTAAGTCTTGTTTTTCCTCTGTACTTGTCTTTAGTTTCTAGTTTTTCGGTTTCGTATTACGTTTTGGACATGAACTTGATGCTTATTTTTGTGTGTTGACTCGTCGTAGAAGAAAAAGCATTGTGTCAAGTGACTGTCTTGTTCGAAACGAATAGCGTTCTCACGCTATTTCTGTGTCTAGTCAATCCTTTTCCATAAGCGATGTGATTTTCTTCTTGTTCTTTTTCTTAATAGTATTTCTCACTTCAACCGTTCATGAGACACGTTAAAAACTATGCACGAGTTGATACCTGATGTTATTGACACTCATTTTGCTTTTTTCTTTCCATATACTTCGACAGTCGTTTTCAATGTTTCCAGTTTTATTTTCTTCCTTTGTTTCCCCACTAGACTAATTCACATCCGTTGATCAAGTTTGTAAAAAAAAAAGTAACTACGCGTTGACAACTGAAGTCTTCGTGTTTTTTCTCAAAATTTAGGCACGTATGATCTCTGAGAAGCTTAGTCGACTGCTTTCTTCTTCTCTTCAACAGTTAATTATATGAAAAAGGAAAAGAAAAGTTTCGTATCTGTTTATATTCAGGATTTGGACGGATTATCGGCAGTACCAAATAGTCCCAAACCAATTACAATGACGGATCAAGATACACGGTATCGTCTTGTTCTACTCGGTGCTAGTCGAACAGGAAAATCATCGATAATCAACATGTTTTTGAACGGGAAGTTTTTGGATACGTACAAAGAAACTGTCGAAGATTTACACTATCGAGAGTTTACAGTCGATGATAAAACTATCAAAGTCGACATTCTTGATACAGCTGGTAAGCGAAATCAATGCTGTTTTCGTCACGAACGTGATTAACATTGCTTCTATTTTCCACTTAGGTAATATGGAATTTCCTGCCATGCGTCGTTTATCAATAGCAACATCACATGCGTTCATTCTTGTCTATAGTAAATTTGCAATTCTGAATAGAAATTCATGGTTTGCCTAATTGATTATTCTAGGTGTCGATAGCATGTCATCGTTTGAAGAAATTCGTCATATAATTCTACAGATTAAAGAGCAACGCACAAACTATGCCGAAATTCCTATTGTTGTTGTGGGAAACAAAACTGACCGAACATCTGTACGCGAAGTCGAAGAACAACATGTTCAGACAATGCTCAGCGAGCTTGGCCCATTGCATTGTCGTTCCACGGAGTGTACAGCATTGGATCGTGCGTCGACCATCGATATTTTCCTCAAACTACTCAGTCTTGTTCAATTATCAGCAGCAAGACAACTAAGTCCTATTCTTCGGCGAAAAGTCAGTGAACGTTTGAAGAAGAAAGAATTTGAAGACAAAAGTGACAAAAGTATTAATCGTAGTAGAAGTCTCATACGACGAACATCTATGAAAAAGAAACCAACGTCATCAGGAGGTGATAAAAATTCACCGGAAACACCTGATTGTTTAGTTTCTTGAAAATAAAGAATCTCCTTTTCTTTTCGTCTTATTTTGTTTTATTTCTTTCTATAAATACGTATGTCTTTATATCTCAACCTACTTTTCTCTCTCATCTTTTTTTTCTGCAATAAAATATTAACTGACAGACATAAGTATTTCCACACGAAGTCCTTGTTTTATTTTACTTATCTATCTCCTTATATTTGCACCCATTCTTTTGTGTTTGAACACCAATATTCCATCTTCTTGCCCATGATCGCATTACTGTAATCATTTGATCTTCTACGGAAACAGAAAACGAGACAATACCATCCAAAACTACCATTATTTTCTACTTTTACCTCCGCAATAATGTATTTTTCTAATTAAACTTTATCTATGTTCATTCTCGTCCAACAACAACCTGTTAAAATCTTTCTACACAAGCGCTTTATACAATAGACTGGGATCGATCTGCTGTCAACGATGAAAAGCATGAACAACATACGAGTAGTATCCTCACTAAACCTGACAAAAATACCACATACAACAATGTTCCTAAAGTGTTGTCTGTGCTTTGTATCAATCAACCCAAGTATTGAAATGAAACTTTATATAAAACGTGGGTTCCTTTTCTGAGTAGAACATCGTGCTAACCATCTGTGATATTTATTCTTGATGAGATATTTCCTTAGCTTCATGCATTAGACTTATGTGTAGTTAAGGACGAATTTATGACTGCTGGAGAAGTGTATTTTACACGACTGAAGCATCATAGAATCGTTGATGTGGAAAATAATAAGCAATCATGCATTGTTGACTCTAGACAATAATGATTATTCACTCAAGAAAGCATTCTTTTAAAAACACAACAAAAACTTGCTGAGAATAAGAACACGATTGTTCATTTGTTGCTAACAGTTTGCTTGCAATCATAGATAGATATGCTCAGAGCAGGTATGACTTTTCACTACTGGTAATTTCACACCTCGAGCTCTGAACGTCCTTTTTAAATGATTGTGACTGTTAAATTAAGAAACACAAGCGGTCGTAAAACACTGTCAAATCACATTTGTGACAATTGTGTTATGAACTGCTATGCTTTGGAGATCTGGTCGAATTTATATGTTATACTGAACGAACTTTTTGATTACAAACAAAAGAATTGTGTAACAGTACGCAGGAGCAAGTCGGAATATAAATACATCGGAGTTTTTTCTAGGTCTTGATAAAAGTTACCTTGCAAGTGGATGCGAGAACAAAAGTGTTATGTAATGTCTTTTAATGATGAAAGAACGGCATGCTCATGATTTTTAAGATTGACGAAAGGAAGTGTCACTTTTATATGAAGTTTAAAATGTGATAATTTTTCTATCTAGTTGCAAGTTAGATACTTCAGTGCTTAGAAGAATGAAAAATAGTAATTAACAGGCGAAGAGAAAAGTAGTTTTCATTGCTTCAATCGCCTTTGGTTTGTTGAAATTGGTCATTCAATGTACCTGATGTGAATACAGAATATCTCATAAGCTATTCTGTGTCAAAATTAGTAATACAGAAAATAACAATCAACTCTTTTATCTAGAGAAAACCATGTGGAAGATTAAAGCGTGCTTGAAAGTGAGAGAATTACGTCACTAAAGTTGCATTGGCTAGTAATAGAAGTTGTTGTCTTTTGTAGCACGCACACACACATACAGAAGATGATATTGGACCTTTTTCGAATACTCATCGAAATCGCAAATTAGAATTTGGCCTATTGAATCTCTTGATCTGAAACTCGCATCGCATGTACAAACTACCCAGATTTCGGGGATATGTATGTAAAAATGTCATCTTTACAGATGAAAGTAAAAAGAAAAATCTTACATATATTATTTCTAACGGTCACGTTCAAGGTGTAAACATTTTACAGTTATCATATAAGTTTACCAGTATAGTTCTCGAAATGCAAATGAAATAAAAGCATATGAAGCCACTTTTATCTATCTTCACGTGGATCTGTACCGCCGTCCTAACACCCACATTCTCGAAAATATCCAACATCGATCTAATGAACAGAGTAGATGTATAGTTAACTATATATTAAGAAAAACGCATGCATCAAAGCACATGACCGCTTCATTTCACACTGTAATTTAACTCATATGTCATCACTCGTGTCTTTTCTTTTATACAATAAAATATTAATTATTAGACATAGGTAATCATCTTTTTTATTTCATGATAAATTCATTTTCTAATATCTTGCCATCTGTTTGTAAACACACACATTCTACTTTATTCATATACCAGCGTTATTTCTTTTCGCCCATGATCGGATTACTGTAAGCATTTGATCTTCTACATGAAGAGAAAAAAAATACAAAACTAAGATCACTGGTTTTTCATTCTTACCTTCCGGGTACTGCGAGTTTCGTAATAATGGCAACAGATCGTGTAGTTTACTTCTAATAGAACACATTAGTCGAATAATTTTTTACAATGAAATTTTATCTACCTTGATTCTCGACCAACGATGATTTGCTGAAAGCATCCTGCACAAGCACCCTGTTTACCATTCCTATACAATGGATTGGGGTCAATCTGTTGCAAACGATGAAAAGCACAAGCAGAGTACAAATAGTATCTATGCTAAACACGTCCGAGAGAAAAAAATCATGCATACAAAAATGTTCTGAGATGTTATCCTTACTTTGTAACAGTCATTTGCGATCAATTCAAGAAATGACAATGGATTTTTCGAACGATCGAATTTGAGATAGAGTTCCCAAGCAAGATGTGGTTTATTGTTCTGAATATGGCATCGTGCTAACCATGAGAGATAAACATAGTCATTTTTAATATTCTCATTACCAATAAGAAGCAACGCCTATAGTACATCAGAAGATATTTCCGTTTTGTTACCATTCTTTGTTCTTACCTCTTCTGCTTCATGCCATTTCTGTTCCGAACCTTTGGCTTGTGCATAATTGAAGTTGAATGTATCATCATTAGGAAAATAAGCCTGAAAAGAATGCAGATGATCAGTGAAAAGCGTATTGTGTGCGAATGAAGTGACTTTAATTGAACTTAAGTAGACTAAAACATCATAAAACCGTTGATGAAGAAAGTGATAAGCAGCCATGCATTGTCGACCCGGGATTGTATCTATAAACAACGATCATTCATCCGAAGAAAGCCACAAGTAAATGTTATGTACCGCATTCGAGAGGAGAACTACCGATAGTTTGAAAATACGTTTGAGCTTGTTTGATATGCTCATGCTAAATTGTTTGTATGCACGACATATAGCATCGAACGGATGGAAATAGAATAGTTTCTTACTGAGCGATGTTTCTGCCCATAGTTAGCATGAACAATACCTTGCAAAATGTATTCAATCGCGTCATTTGGTTCGACATTTTTCATCAACTCAAACGCTTGCTCACAATTGTCTATAAACAGTAAAATATCATTCTATACGGAATTTCCTGAATGGATATTTACCTTGTTTGAGATGGTATATGGCTAGATTATAACGTGCTTCAGGAATCACATCGATCAATTCATTAAATACTCGGAACGCATCTGGATCGTCTTGAAACACAGTCTAAACTATTTGAAATAGAAACAAGATGTGAAAGTAAAATATACGTACCATATTATGCTGAAATATTTCTTTTGCATGATGAAATGAGATATTAACATTATCAAGAAGTTGTTTGAGATCATTCTAAACACTCGTTTATATCAATCCTAATATCGATACAAAGCACTGTTTACTTCAGCTCTTTTTCTATTGTATAACTTGTACTGATTACATGCCTGAATGTTCACAGCTGTCACTGAATCCGGATATTTCTTCAAATAGATGTCGAGTAATTCTTGTGACATATCGAAATAATCTAATTTATAATAGCAAAGTGAAACATAAACATTCAACGCCAAATAATCTCTAAGGAACGAAATCTTCTTAGCTTTTTTTTCCGTGGAGGAGACAAAAGAAGCTTTACCGATTTTTTAATAAGTACCGTTTGTATATATTAAGTGCTTGATGGTATTCATGTTTCATATATTTCATACTAGCGAGACACATTTGATTCTGGACATCATCTTGAAGTTGATTTTGATAATGTTGAAATTTGTCTTGATGATTTTGTTTGTGTGCAATATGAAATAGAAGTCGTGTTTGCAGAGACGATTCTGGTGCTGTGTTTTGAAATTATACGAGAAAATGAGATAGTAAAAGAAAGATTTTTTTCCCTCAGAAACCTTTCAATGCAGTTTGCTCGGCTTGTTCATAATTTCCCAACATAAAGTAACAACACGCTAGGTAGACGTAGATTCGACCATCATGGTGATCTCTTTTTAGAAGATTGTCATATTCCTATTCAGAAAACAAGCTTTTCTATTGATCTAGACGATGGATCGATGAAAATAAATGAGTGGGAAGGATGTGAAGAAACAACGAAGCTTGATTAATAACTTCCGACAAGCGTTTGAGAACGAATGATTGATTCAAAATAGTAATTGAATATTGGAACATTTCAATTCTATTTCATAAGGTGTTATTTGTCTACTTACACCACGCGCACGTCGATAATCTCCTGTATGAAAAGCGGCAAATGCCAACCAATGATCGAGATCGTCTATTTTTGTGTCATTCTCTCGACAAAACTATGAAAGATAGAGACCTTTGAATTCGTAGCTGCCGTTCAAAGTTCAATTCTCACTTCGAGAAAAGCAATGGCACCCACATAATCACGTTGAGCGATATAATCATCGAGCTTCAGTACTTGCTTCTTCGATGGTTCTAGAGCAGGTGAAGCGTTCTTAGAATGGAAGTGTATCTAATGAAAAGAGATGAATAAAAATCAAACATCTTTTATCGTTCCGAGTAGACCGTCTTACCATGTGAAATGTATCTGATAGAAAGAAGATGTCTCATCGGAAGTTAAATTATCTTAACCATAAATAATGATTTTCCTCTATGCAACACCTCTAGGCTTTTAAGTACGGTCTGTCATAGGTGTCGCATGTTCTATTGAAGAACGTAACAGATTTTCTTGCAGTCATAATGACGGAATTCTTACTGACACTCGCGTGCCGGATTGTTCTCTTGCGTTTACAATTACATTAAAGAACTGCGAATAGTAGATGAGAATAGAAGTTAAAAAATCATGCAATAAATGGTTATTTATTCATCAGTTAGAAGTAAATGAAACAGAACTAGTCTAATGTGCACCTTTTGATAGAAATTAGTTGGGATTGTATTTAGCAAAACGACAAATGAACTGTTTGGTTAGTCCATGTAAAACAAAGGAAATGGCGATGATTAACAGACAACCTCGCATGAACTCGTTGCATCCTAGAAAATTCGAAGTAATAGATAAATTTATCTGGAATAGTCCACGTACTTTGCATTGGCAAACGAGACATTTATGAACATGCCATTTTGTACCATTTTTGTGTATTTTTCTTGTATTCTGATCATAGCAATGCGTACCCGTGGTTAGACGCTTATCAAATGTCGCGAACTATAAGTAAATAATATTTAACTATTTGAAAAATAAAACTATTCAAAATGTTTTCTTCGTGCAAACCTTTTGTAAAACATCATCGACTTGTTGACGAAGTTTTTGTAAATCCAATTCATCATCTTTTGTTTCTTGTTCTTCTTCAACATCTCCTTCTGCTTCACGTTTATGTCGTGTCACTGTATCAATCGTCGATGGTCGATAATTAGGGAACGGGTCAAATGAAAGAATCGCCGGTGTATTACAAACTAAGCAAAAATACATCATATACTCAAATACCAACAGAAAATTCTTCCATACTCGCATTTGGGCCGGCCATATTTTGTTTACAGCAACCACGCCATGGTTCCAGATCAACATCTTCAATAGTCGAGCATGGAACATAATCACGTGGATACATTCCATTAAGAAAAACGTTTCGCGGAATACGGTCAATACGATCACCATTTTCACAGAGTACTTTTGCTAACGAAGTTTTCTGTAAAGATTTCAATTGTTCAGGTGAAAATATTCCCAATTTTTCATGCCAATATCTATCAAAGTCAGTTGTTCTTTCAAAAGAACAAATTATCAGAGGAAATGCTTACCGATCCCCATCTCTCAAGGATTTGAATTGTTTTGTTATTAGGCAGCGGAAGAGAGGACCAACTTTGGCACCTGGTAGATTATCTTCCAAGATTCCTCCGATCCAGACATCGATATTATCGACATGTTTGTAAACATCGCGTAAGGTGTTTCGTGTCTCTTTATCTTTGATATCTACTTGTAGATCATCGAAATCTTTGATTTCATCTGGGGATAGGTGACAAAACTTTCTCCACGCTGTATACGATTGCAAACCATGATCGCGACTACGCTGAACATTTGCTGCAGCTAAATCAAGTGATATGGCGCGTGTAACATGAAATAAACGTTCAGTTAATTCGACGTTAAGAATTTGTTGTGGTAATTTGATTTTTGCCGGCACACCAAACATACCACGTATGAGTGGATCGATACCGCCTTGCTCTTTTACACGCCATGGTGAAAAGAATGCGTCACGAAGAAGAAGATTGCCTTCAGGAATTGGTTCAAGGGTTGAATTCAATCGATAAAATACAGGATTAATCAAACCATGACCAAAACTAGATGAAAATCAAATTCAATTTGTATCGTTTCTACTCTCAATTGCACGTACCGAAACGCAGCTGTGGCAAAGACATTAGAGATGCTTGGATCAACATTACGACGATAGCCTTTGTATGGTCCAAGCATATTCATTCCTTCATCACCAATGATGTATGGTAGCCAATGTTGATACGTTATAATTTGTAATTGTGCTTCGATGATTTTTCGCGTTTCTTGATAAACCTGTTCATCGGACCAGTCGGGGTTTATTGAGCTCAGACGTCCAGCGAGACGATTATGTTGACGTACCCAAATGGTATGCATGGCAATTAGAGCTACTTGTTCATTGACTCGATGATCTTCAATCGATAGGAAAGAAATCAGCTAAGACAGCAATGTGCTTTCAAACTTACCTCCTGCAAGAAAACAGCCGATTTGTGAAGCTTGTCGATCGCGTTGACAATCAACCGGTGTATCCGTACTGAACGGCAGTAAGCCTTTTGGAAATTGTGGTGTACTTCAAGGGAAATATTAAAATTTAAGAATCTAAAACATTTTTACCTACCTATGAACTCGAAGAAGGCCTTTGCCCGAGCTACGTTCTCGTAAATCCCACGCATCTTGTACAGTTGAACCGTACACATTCGATGCATCGAAAAATGATGTCAACGAATTGATTTGTTCACGTCGATATGGTAAATGAAGAAATGATGTTTCACCACTCAAACATACAGCTGCCGAACGAACAAATTCTAAGCATGAACCACGTTCTTCACGTAAATGATCATCATCAGGAACGCGAATAGGATAACATGGTGGTTCAAATGAACATGATGATAAACAACGAAGACTATCCGAGAAACGTGTATTGCTTGTTGCTTGAACTGTCAATGACATATCATGATCTGCAATACGTTCAGATTTGAAATAAGAGACAGTTCGATGGTGATTAGAATGAGAAAATGTTTACCTTGAAATTGTCCCCATTGCATGAGCATATGAGAAAACGCTGGATCTGGTGTGACGACTTTTGTTGCAATTAATCGCCCTGATACTTCGCGCGCGGATGGTAAAACGAAACCATTGTATAGCTTGCTTGCATTCCAACCACGCGGGGTATTGAAACCATTTTCATATTGTGCATGCAACCAACGTGATAAAGCTGTCAATGACGCGCCCCAAAACGGGTGCTTTAGATTATTACATGTACCATCAGCAGTTCGGTAGGCCATACATTTTTCATTACATTGTGATTTTAATTGATGCATAACACAACCGGACACGAGTGCAAGACGTTCTAGTTGACGAGATGTCAGCAATTGATCAGGTCGAAAATCTACAAAATGAAAGATTAACGATCGAGTTTTGTCTTAAGAACATTAGCTCAATTACCGATAGTATTCATATCGTTTCTTGCGCTTTCACTAGAAAACGTGATGTTATCGACATAACGGTGGACAAGATCGAGTGCTCGTTCGAAAATATCTTCAGTTTTAGCTAAAGTTAACTGTAATGGTTTGGGAAATTTCATTAACGACATTAAATCTCCTGGTGTTCGTGGTCGACGACGATCTTGCAAATGACGAACAGTTTCCGCTACAGCACGATTTACTTCTGATGTTGCTTGTTGAACCAAACGATCGATCAATTCATCGGTTATTTGATTATCATCTTAATCAGATCGAACTATTTACAATCCAAGCAAACAACTCTGAACTTACTGACAACGGTAACCCAAAATGAATGAATATCATTTCCTGCGTAATTACTTGCTTGACATGTATAATAACCTGATTGATTAGCGACAACATGCGGTAATAGAAGTGATCCATCTTCTTTTAAGATGTACTGCATATTATATTGAATACGCGTACCATCACGAAACCATTCCATTTTTGGCTCTGGTTCTCCCGTTGCTGTGCACTCGAGTTCAACATGTGCACCGTCATAAGTTGTTAAATTGGACATACGTCGTGAGAGCAATGGAGGTGCTGCAAAAGATTTCGTAAATATAGAAAAAGATACTTTCCTCGAAAAAAAAATCTCTTACTCGGATCTCGAACACGAAGATCTGTGGCAGCAGAGATGCGTTGAAGAGTATTCTCTGCTACACATGTATAAAGACCTGTATCCTCATTTCGTAACTGATTAATACGTAATGTTTGACCGTTCTCTCGTAATTGCATTCGATGAGATTGTCGAATCATTGTGTCTGGGTAGTTTGATAGAAGTTTGAACATGTATAATCAATCTTTTATGCACTTACTCGATTTATACCAAATTACTTTCGGCTTTGGATTACCATAAACTCGACATTGCAATTCGGTAGTTAGGTTTTTCAAACCAACTCGATATGTGTCCGGAAATGGATTGAACCGTGGAGGAACTGAACAGTAGAACATTTGGAAGAAAAGGTTCTATGAATTAGTGATGCACTCACAAATGACAGTTAAATTTGCTGACGCCGATCGCATTTCTACAGCGTTACGAATTGTACAACCATAGGTGGCTTCATCGCTTTCGTCGACATTTAAAATCTGAAGGTACTGATTAGTAATAAAATGTTTTGCACTAGGACCGATTGGTGTATCATTCTAGAATAGCGAAACAAAAGAAAAGATTGAACGTTAGTCTTACTCAAATAAAAACATCGAATGCTTATACTTTCGACCAAACAATTGGACTTGACGATGAACTGCAGTAGAACAGAGCGTGGCTACCAAGTGGAACTTGGATCGATTGTGGTCGACGAGAGAATACCAATGGCTCTATCGTTTTCCGAAAATGTAGGTTAGTGGATATCAAACAAAATCAACTTACCCACTCGTACAGACTGTTCGGCCTCATAATCATTGTAATCCTCATCATTCAATTGAGATTTTACACAGATAATAAGATTGAGACAGACAATGAAATGAATGTATTTCAAGTACATTTTTGCTTCTGTCTACAAACGACCAAAACTTATATGATCTAATGACAGGCGATATGAATAAAAAAAAACAAGCAATTTACTTTATCTCTTATCGCTTTTTCCTTCTGTTTCCAGCGGCTTCTTTTTCTGTCCGATAGATAATAAATGTACACATTAGATTGGAGAGTTGAGCTTCGATGTCTGCATTTCCTCAAGCAAGAAGGAGAACAGAAAATAAATGGTATTACTACAAAGATCAAACAGCTGATGAGAATATCTGGCGAGTGTAAATGAATTTGGTAAACAACGATAGATTTATGATCTTTCCATACATTCATTTACGGAACTAATTGATAATGCACATGGATATTTCTAGAATTATATCGACAAGAAGAGAAAATATGACGTCACAGCAACGACAGAAAGAAAAAGGTCTATTCGAGTGCATTTCTTTTTACCTTCTAAGGATAAGTTTATCGACTTGATTATCTGAAGAATTTTATGTAGTTGACGAATTGTTTGCTCAGATGCAACTTGAGTATCATCATACCAGCTTAAGTAGACGTCAGTGTTAGCCAGACTTAATAAAACAATTGCAATACTATGTGTATTTTTGATCGCTATCTTCGGTTACGCAGCGGCAAAGAAGCATACCAACAATTCAAAGAAATAGAACGAAGAAATTCGAGTGAACGACAGGTTGATCATTCAATAACGCAACAAAATTGCTGTTTTGTTATAATAGTTCTATGATACCGAAAAAGATTTGCCGTTAATGAACATCAATGTGAATGAATTTTTGTCTTAGTAACTATTCCATGATTATAACAAGCAATGCACCTTATCTAAAATCTCGCTTACAAAAGAGGATTGAATCAAACATTCTAATCCTAAAACAGATTCATCGTGGTGATTTACTTATCCTATTGGTAACTTACATCGACAGAATGAATATGAAACATTTCCATCAAGTCAGGATAAGGCATATTCTTCGGAAAATATCTTCTAAAAGAAGTTGAATTCCAAATCTCAAAGTAATTCTTCTCTGCTATCTTAGGAGATAGGTACATCCGCTTAGAACATCACGGTTTCTTTAAATCTGTTTTATAATCATCGATATTTATTTATTGAAGATCAGAGAAAATAAGTACATATACAATCTTGAAGAAGAAGAAGAGAAAAAATAATAATACCAATCTATATCTGACGTTCGAGTATCTATTTGACTTATGTTCGACATAACTGATGCATTACCGTACAAAGAAAATCCATTAATTGCAAATATTCATCAGCACCATCGAGTAAACATCCATCGACAACCTAATTTCGAAACTAGATTACTAATTCTTTCTTGCTAACAGTTTTCGTACCGCTGATTTCTCGAAAATAACCGCCTTTTGTTCATTACCCAATGCCATCTGAGCCAAAATATGATCGTGTAATTGTAACAATAATTGATGAGATGCATATCCTTCTAAGAGCACATTCTGAAAAAGAAAGTTTTGGAAACGAACAAAGACAAATGTGTTCCACTTACTTTCACTGTTGTTGCAAGTTTTTCGTAAGAACCTGAATGACATACTTGATAGAGATTTTCAATAACATTGTCTGGAATAACCTGAAACGAGGAAGTCATTTTGATTTTTATTGATTATCTTCTCAACATACGCCAGTTATTTCATGTACATCCTTCGTTGAAATCGTTTCATTTGTGCGGAAACGAGCAACACTTTGCAAAAATGTCACCGCTTTACGCATGTCGCCTTCCGTACATTTAACTAATTCGCTGATAGCCTATCGAATCAATATATATTAGATGACAATGCAATTGAGATGAAAAAGATTAGAGACCTCAGGTTCACATTGAACATTTTCATTGTTGCAAATCGCTTGTAAACGTTGTTCAATAATGTTATTACTTAACGGCTTAAAACGAAATTTAGCACATCGAGATGTTATTGGATCGATTATTCTACAGGAAAAATGTTGAGCCTTTGCGGAGGGAAAGAAGGTTCTCTTACCGACTGATATAATTACAAATCAAACAAAATCTCGTTGTTTTAGATTCTCGTTCCATTGTTCGACGAAGTGCAGCCTAAGAAGAAGTTGCAGTGCTACACAAACGAAAGATCTCGTTCTTTGTTACTTGAGCAGCTTTCGTCATTGAATCACATTCATCGAGAATAATCAATTTAAATGGCGGACAATAAACACCGCTAAAGAGAATAACAATACTTCTGCGAGAACATTGAGTAAATGAATAGCTCACTCAGTACGTGTTGCAACTACCGAAAATTGTGCGAATTTCTTGACTTTCTCACGTATAACATTGATGCCACGTTCATCTGACGAGTTCAATTCCATGACTCGATCACGAAAAAGTTGAGGACTAAATAGAATCAAATCCCATTGATATCGTTCGCACACAAACATATATCCTACCCAAAAAGTTCATGTGCCGCAGCAAGAATAGTACTTGTCTTACCAGTACCTGGTGGTCCATAGAACAACAGATTAGGAAACTAAATGTAATCTGTATGTTCACAAAGCAATTCCTCGTGTGCATGCTTTTTCGTTTACGTACATCACTTCCAGCAAGACATTTGGTTAGCACTGCAACAACTTCGTCTTGATAAGCAACATCACTGACTTTCTTGGGTCGACTAAAACGGATATTTTGGAAATGTGATTGAATAGAAATCGGTATCGTACTATTTCTCAACCCATGGAACTAATCGATCTGGTTTTGTACGATTTTCTTTGTCTCCTTCGGCAGATTTCGTTGGCGATGTTGATGATGATGCTGCACTTTTCGCGAACATCGCTGGTACCACTGGTTTCTTTGTTACTGATTTTTTCGACATGATTCACGAATCAACGAAAGGTATCTGAAAAAAAAACAACAGCAAAAACTCATCAAGCATGATAGATAACTGGCAAAAAAGTAAGACAGAAAGATAAAATATTAAATTGTAACAATAAATAAAAAAAAAGCTATTTTGGTAATCGCTGTAATTCTTGAATCAATCGTTTAATTCCAACAATAAATCGTACGACCTAATAACAAACGAATGATCATTCAAGCAAATAGAATGAAATGTTTAGTAGTTACTTCTGAACTGGAATTTCGAACGAGAAGAACATGCAGATCGAAAGCCTCTTGTACATTATTTGAACCAAGTTCTTGAAATATGTTTGATAACGTTTGCTTAGTGTTCGAAGAGAGTTTGTTCTGCTGCCATTCGTCTTGCATTACCTGAAATTTTTTCGAAATATCTTCGAGAATCTTTTTCTGAAAAACAAAGCATCATTTGCACGATCGTCAGTGTTTGTTTACGAACGTATCTACTTCGATATTTGATGATTTTTCTAGTTTTTCAATTTGTGTTTGAAAGATTTCATTCATTGCCTCAATAGTTAACAATTCGGTTGTAGTTGAAGTGGTATTATCCGTAGTTGCTGTCGCTGCTGCTACGGATGCTGTTGTCGATGGAGGTGGGACGACTAAAACATTGGCCGCTAAAATAAATGTAAGTGCAATTCGAATTGAAATGATTGAATTGTAATTCCTACGATTATTCGTTGCCGATAAATCTTGATTAGTGAACGGAACGCGTTTATTGAGTAGAACACGTTTTGTTGATATATTATCAGAGAGTGTGAGGTTTGCTGGTGGATCATTCCACCCATCAAGATTGGTAGATTTATTTGTTGAAGTCATCTGAATATTTCATAAAAGAAATATAAGACAAAAGGGGAGAAAACGAATAATTATAGATCATGTTGTTTATTTCAGACAAAAAATCTAAGCGATAGAGTTCTTTTACAGGAAACAGAGGAAGTGAGGAGATAGAAAGAGAGAGAGAGAGAGACAGGAATCAATGTTCTCTAAGATATCTTGGAAAAAAACGGACTGATAGTCTACTGGATTTAGTCGACGTTGTCTTTGTAGAGTAGTTTAAGGACTAAAATGAGAAATCAGAGTAGATTTCCATAGATAAAGTTTTGGAAATTTACGTTTAAGACGATCTTTGGCTTTCAAGTGGTTGTATACGCTTGAAACTACTTGATAGAGTACGTAAGTAACGATTACTCCTTGTACGGCAAAAAGGAGTTTGTCGCGTGGCATCATAACCCATGTTGGTGTTGTTTTGTTACGCTAGAAAAACAGAATTGCATTCACGTAAAAAACCTGTGGGCACCTTCGTAGAACTTACAAGAGCGAAGAGTTGTAATTCTTGAATACGTCGAGTACGATTTTCAACATATTTATCAAGTGTACCTTTAGTACGTTTGACTTGTGTAATTGTATCGGTGTCACCTTTGTATGGTGTGCGCCAAAGATTCACACCTTCCCAGGGAGCAGCATGTCCATGGTCGTGACCACCTGAAACTCCACCGTGGGATGACGGTGCAACTGAATGAGCACCAGCTACTGAACCTGAGCCGGTCGTAGCGGATTTCGATGAAAGAAAGCGAAAGAGTGACATTTGACAGTCAAGTTTTGCCTCGGTATGACCGAAACTCTACAATAAAAAGCAAAAATTAAAATATCCAAATCTTTCTTGATTTATCTCCATTCAATTATTATTCTTTTTTTCTGTATCATAGAAATATCAACACTCGAGATAAAACCAACTGAAATTAACGACCTGTCTACTTGTCCTATCATTAGATTCCAACAAACATATCTATACGCGCATATGCACACTGACAGTCGAACAAAACAACAGTTGGTTATGCTGCGATGGTATTTTCTCTTAGTATGTGTATTTACGCTAAAGATTCAAGCTGTCGAGTATGATACATATTTTCATGTGTTTTCGAAAAGTAATCCTGACAAACCAGTGACCATTCATTGGGGCGATGCAAAGAAATGGGAGCAACACAAAGCGTTTCGAACATGTCCGATAAAACTGATTGCTCATGGATATGCTGAACGATGGAATATGGACTGGCGGTGGGACTGGGTTAAAGACATGAAAGACGAAATGTTGAGCAATAAAACCAAGGAAAATCTGTGCGTTGTTGCTATCGATTGGGAGAAAGGCGCAAGAGAAGCAAATTTTATCACAGCTGTTGGCAATGCTGACGTTGCTGGACGACATCTCGCTGAATTTATACAAGATAACCATATCGAACCAAAACGACTGCATTGTATTGGATTCAGGTAAGATCGTTGAAAAAGCATATGAAATATCTTCCGTACAAAATAAATCCTTTCTACGTAGTCTCGGTGCTCATCTCTGTGCTTTTGCTTCATCTCAATACTTTCGCTTAACAAACAAAACGACGAAATTCGCGCGCATAACCGGTCTGGATCCATCAGGTCCTCTTTTACGTAAAGCATCAGTCGATAAACGTCTGTCGCGTGATGATGCTGACTTTGTTGACTCTATTCATACATCGACAACGTTCGGTCTACAAGAAAAAAGTGGACACATGGATTTCTTTCCCGACGGGGGGAAAAGTAGTGCGAAAGGATGCGAAAAACTAATCGAAATTAAAGACGAAGAAGAAGAAGACGAAGTTGTCGTCGAATCCGAAAAGCACCATCGGGTGAAACGGCTATTCTTTAGCAAAAAGAAAACAAAAAATAGCACGAATGATGACGACGATGTACCAAAGAAGAATTTCGTGGAAAAACTACGTGATCGCATTGGACGCGTTCGTCCGCTGAAGAAAGTCTTTCTCAACATTCATGCCTATATCGGTTGCAATCATCTCCGCTCGCCTCACTACTACATCTCGTCAATAAATCACTGTCAATTTCGAGCTCAATCGTGTTTATCATGGTCGGATTATTCAGCAAAGAAATGTGTCGATTCCATTGATAACAACTCGACCTATCCACGTATGGGTTTCTACGCTGAAAAAAGCGATGCGACCTATCGACGAGGCAACGGAAGTTTCTATTTAAAAACAACCTCTCAGAAGCCCTACTGTTCACCTACGCCGACATCCTCTCCGATGAAAAAACAAACGTCGAAACTGAAAAAAAAACTTATGAAACTACTTCCTCAACGCGTTGGTTAAAACAACATTTCCGAAATAAAACAAAGAACAAGAGATTTCCGTTTGTACATGTACACGTCGTTTCTTTCGTCTGGAATATCATACAAAATAAACGTGTTTCTCATCAATACATATCGTTGAAAAGAGGCAAAACATAACACGAAGCATTACAACATACAAACAGAGATATAAGTAAATAAATAAATAAGATACTGCACAAACGAAAGAAAAAAGATACAATGTATTACCATGATACAATCGTACAAAGAAGAGAAAAAAAAGACAGAAGTCATTTATTCAATCAGTCAGAAAAACCTGTATTTAGATCATACATTTACAATAGACGAGATGAACACACGGTAATATGACATTGCCTTTCTCACCGGGATCATCGAGAAATAAAACGTCATTTGAATTCTGATAACAGCATAATGAGCAAAAGTAAGAAGAAGCCGTTCGATATTTTTTTTTACAAAGAAACAAAAAACATGCCAGAGACAAACAACAACAAAGAGAAAAAAGATGATGATAGATTTCAGAAAATCGATTGTTCAATCTATTGACAAAGACCACCGAACATTTCTTGACTAGCGTACGTCATATAGAGAAAACCATCGTCATCCTTGATAAGTCAAACGAGATGAATTTCGATGAATTTTTAATAGATTTTACTTACTTTATCATCACGATAGATTTCAGCCATGGAAGTAGACATTGATGCAATACTTTTATTGTTCACCAGTAAATAAAACGCTTGATTAGCATTTAATTGCATGCGATTTCTATGCGAAATGATCATCAAAATGAAAGAGCGACATGCATGAGTTTGTATTTACCGAATAATTGTCACAAATTGCGACATGGTCAACTCTTGAGGAACCAAAAATTTTGTCTTATCTACACATTACACTCAATGACGGTAACAAACGAATGAAATAGACCTTACCAAGAATCGGGAGATCTTTCTCTTTATGATAACGTTCGACAATAACTGGAATTTCTAGAAAAACATCCATCAGTTCGAGCAGTGAATCGTATAAATACATACTGTTTGGAAATTTACTACGAATGCCGGCAACTTCTTCTTTCCGCGTTGCTAAAAATAGAAAATCATGTATCGAAGTAAGAGAAATATCACGAAAATATTTACCGAAACTTTTTCGTTGTTTGAATGTACGCGTATCTACATTGGATGAAGATGGCATTGTTATTTTTATCGTTGTAAATTCTTGTTTTGTCTTAGTCGTCAAATCTAGAGACTGAAATTAAACGACAGTCGAAAGTATATGTCTTTATCTGCGAAGATAATGAAATGACGACAGTTAAACAAGTTTCTCTCAAATATGACACAACAGTAGACTTCGGAGCGAAGAAAAAAAGACGTTGAAATCTAAATTTTTTTAATATGACGTCATCGCCATACAAACACGCGTATGCAAAACAAAACAGAAAAGAAAGAAATCATCGGTTTAATCATCTTGTTTATCTGTAAAAGGACATTTCGATCGAATTAATAGAAAAAGAAAGAAAAACGATGTATATATAGAGAGAAATGCATCGATTCTTCTCGTGGCACTTACTAATAATGACGAAGAGGGGGCGGATAGTTTCTTCTTTTATTCTCTACTCTCTCTATACATTAACGACGAGCTGCTGCCTATGTAACCGTCTATTTATACTTCAATGCGCACGATGATATGTGTCACTCATTTTCCTCAAAGGTGTTCGTGGTGATTCTTGGTAAATAATCAGAGCATCGTCTCACTTCACTTGTTATTAAATACGCGAAGAAAAATAGCTTATTGTAGGCAAAAAAGAAACAGCGAACGAGCGAGGTTTTATCTGTTGGGGTGAGAAAAATTAATAAAACAAAGAGATGTGAAATGTAAACGTTGCTTTTTTTTCCTTAATTTTCTGTAATGAATGAATGAACAAAAAATATAATATAAGCCGTCAAATAAGCACTATTTGACAATAAAAACAAAAAGAGAGAAGAAAAATCCTACTGTACAATTGAAAGAAAAGAATATTTTGTGTTTTTTAAACATATGTTTTTCACTATACCCACAGTTCTGGTTCGTATGTATATATATACACACATAGAATGCGCGAAAATGGAAAGTATGTTTATGAAAAAAGAAAAAATCTCGTGGATTTACGAGTAATTCGTGTCGTAGGATGAATTTGGCCGATTATTCGATGCAGCTGATGATTGTCTTGAGTTATGTTGTTGCGAGCTTGACGAGTAACGTGATGAAACTGTCTTAATATGGTTTTGATGTTGAGAAAGTAATGGATACAAGCATTCGTCGAGCGTATTCGTTTCACAGTAGAGTTTTATTGTACGTAAGAGATAATCAGTTTGGATGAGCAAATGATTAGCCGCAATAAAAACATCATCACGATTACTGTCACGAAAATAGGCTTTGAGTGTGTTACTAAAATGTTTACTATATTTGATGAATTCTTTCTTTTCGTTTTCTAATGCTTGTCGACCGTCGAGTGTTTTAAAGTATTGATAAGTATTGGAGACACTGTCGAGTGTTGTCTTGATCGCACTTGCTATTTCTTTGATTGTCTCGAGAAAATCACGTTTTTCGTTGATGTCATCTGGAATTCGACTTAAGATGCGCTTTAAACTTCGAGAACGCGCATTCAATTCTTGGAATTCTTGTTCACTACGTGACAACGAGATGTAATACGGTGATTTATCACAATATTTCTCGAGTTTAAGTGTTAATTCATTCATATTCATTGTTGCAGATAATAACGGCGTTTCTTTATTGATAAACGATTGAAGAAACGTGTTCGAAAAGCCCGGATAAATCTCTTCTAATTTAAATAACGTTGTACGAAGATCCGATTGGATGTCTTTGTAACCCGATTTATCCAACTGATTGATAACAGGATATAAAATATTCGGTAAGACAAGCGCATTCGTTGGATTAACATTGGATGGAACTGAACTTTCGCTGATTGATGACATTAGAACAGAAAATGATCTACAATTGAATGATGACACACAAAGAAAAGAAACAATGTCGACAGGCAATTAAATGTTTCAATATTCAATCGATTTCTAGACCTTCAATCAGTACACGCATGTTCAACCTTACATAACATTGCACAAGGTACATAGAAAATTCTGGTCTTCTTTTTCTCTCTTTTCCTGAATTATTCACACTCTACAGTACGGAATAACTCGCCTATTCATCCTATTCAAATCAATTCTAGCTGAGTCTATTGTCAACGGATTATCAAATACCTTCCGACGATGATCACGAATATAAAAATCTAAAATCTATTCATTAAGACATAAAAGTGATTTTGAATCTACTATGATCATTTAAATTGTAATCAGCGAAAACAAATAACAACAAAAAAATCTCGTGCAAACGCCATAGCTAAATTTCAATAAACATCGTCTAACCTCTCCGATGAACGCAATCCTATTGGTCGAAAGAATATTCCAATAAATAAATACGTGTTGATAGTAATTGTTGAATGACGAGTGTATATATCTATTTATATTTGACTTGAGACAATAATGTCGAATATAAACTTATTTCCTGAACTAGACGCTGAACAGGATTATGACAATGGACATTATCATGCAAAAGAAGAAGAAGAGTTGATTGTTTTTGGTTATTCGTGCAAATTATTTCGTGATGATTTCTCTGCGAAAGCAATTGATCGTGGACAAAGTCTGATTCCATGGAATGGGGACGAAAACGTGATGATTGACAGGTGTGCACAAAACGACTTTTTGCTTTGTTTAACTTTTTTTCTTTCGAATAACAAGAATATGAGACTAAATCAAACATTTTCTCTTTGTATATCGATATGTTTTTGTGAGATTTTGAAAAATTTAGATCTCGACACGGTAAGTATCGGTAGTGTTTATTTCCGATTTTAGGCAAAAATAAAAATCTCATATGTTAAATTGGCTTTTATCAGGTGAGAAAGCTGCTAATTGTTCCTCAATTTGGTAAGTTTATCTTCTCACTTTCTATGTATTCTATGAACCTTTGAATAAATTCTTACACGTTATCTTCAATTCTCTTTTTTATTGCAGTCGCGTACGCGGACAAATCATCTAAGAAATAAATAAGAGCATGACCGAGTTTTCGAGAGAAACAAATAAAACCATTTTTGAGACAAATAATTAACATTTGCTTTGTTATATTTGCAGGTATGACTGTCGTGGACATTTATCGGATTTAACAATATGGGATAGTGATTTAATACGAAAAAAAGCTGGATATAGTCAAGATGAATACATGAATGAGGAAGAAAAACGAATCGAAGACGAATGTGAGCAAGAACGATACTTAGAACTGCACAGAGACATTGAAAAAGAAGCATTACATCAAGGTAAAATTGAACTATGTGTATTTCTTTTTCTACAAGATAATTTTTTACTTAGAAGAGGAGTCGAAACGTAACAACACAGAGAAAAATACTTACAATCAAGTGGGATTTAACTATCAAGAACCAGAACAATCAACAAAGAAGGCAACAGAAGGTAATCTGATGAAGAATTGGTTCTATTAGAGGAAGAAACTAACTCTTTTATTATTTCCAGAAGTTCCACAACCGCTTGATGACGATGAATATGAGCCATTTTATCCATCGGAGAAGTTACAGATACCCTATGGAATGGATATTGTAAGTTTGTTGATTGGCGTTGCATGAGTAATAATCTTCGATGTTCTGTTTCAGCCGGAATCGATAAAATTGAATGCGGTGATTGAAAAAACGGCGGGTTTTGTTTCGAAATCCGGTCTTCAAATGGAAATCGTTCTTAAAACCAAACAAGCCAACAATCCTCAGTTTGATTTCCTTAAATACGATCATTATCTCAACCCATACTATCGTCATTTGATCATTATGATCAAATCGGGAAAATATCGACCGAATGTTGACAATAATTCGAAGACAATTACACAGAAGAAGAAATCGAATAAAAATGGTAAACGAACAATTGTGAATTATTCATTTCTACTCATTGAATTTTTTTTTCTATTTAGGTTTCGATCAGAGTAGCAGCCATGATGAAGATGAAGGCGGAGATTCCTACTTACATCCATTGTTACGTGGTAGTGGCGCGAATAGTGATAGTCCATGTGGCCCGAAGAAAACCGATGAAAGCTTACGTATACCAGCTATTCCAGTGAATATTCATAACACCGCCTATGGACAATTGATTAAGAAATACGAACACCTAAGGCCTCGTGAAAAGTAGATTTAATATTCTCTTTGTTTTCAAATGTAAAGAATTCAATATTTCAGAGTTGTCAAAGAAAATGACGACGACAAAATGTCACCCAGATCGGATGACGTCTCCTCGTATGTATCAACTAACATCGTACTCTGGTTTTGTACTTGATTCTTTCTTAGACCAAGATCAGAATCGTCTCCGTCAACTATGGTCATTCCACCACCGCCTGATGTCAAACCCATCATTGATAAATTGGCGGAATACGTAGCGCGCAATGGAAAGGAATTCGAACAATCCATTCGAACAAAAAATGATCCACGTTTCGGATTTCTCGAACGTGATCATATACACTATAACTATTATCAATTGAAAGCGCAATTGTGTGCAGTGAGTTTGTTTGATAGATTCTTTTCATTATGATGCTTTTCTGCGTGTAGCAAGAGATATCTCGAAGTAAAGCGGAAGAAGATCAACAGAGTTTGTGTAACAATGAGCAAGTTGTTCATGGACAAGGTGTAAAACTAGTATTGAAAGCAACGACGGACGGATCGTCAACGCCGACGTCAAGCCGTGAATTTCAATCGGATGAAGATTCAAATTCCAATCAACAAAGTAATTTCTATTGAATTTCTTATTCTCAAAGCACTTGAAAATAGTCTTTACCCGGCAAATATAACACTCCGGGTGCACATTTTCAAACCACATATCGTGATAAATGATCAATCTGAATGTGTTATGTTGCACAGCACTTGAATATCTCTCAGCATGAGTACCTATTCATAATATAATCTTTATTGAATCAGTGAATAGTTGATCGAAGATGATTATGTCTGTCAGCATCGAGTTACTAATTATAGAAGTACTTTTATCGATTTGGACGAAATTTCATGTGTAAATATGATTTAGATGCTCAAGATGACAATGGCGAGTTTATTGGCCCACGCCCACCTTCTCCGCAGTTTCTTGAACGAATGCGTAAACAAGAAGAACGGCGCGATCGTGTTAATGGCTTCGTCCGAGATAAAATCACTCGTGATAAGCAAGAAGAACGGAAACGAAAAGCAGAGATGCTTGTGCAACAATTGAAAAGTAAAACAAACGACACTGTATCATCGACAGCAGTCGTAGCTGTTGATTCGAACGAATCGACGTCGACATCGAACAATACCAATCCAGTCTTGATGGAGAAATTACTAAATGTTAAAAGCGAACGTTCATCATCATCGGTGAAAACCTCACCACGGCAATATCATCGTTCAAAGCAGTCGAGATCATCGTCAAAATCTCGAACTCGCTCGAAATACTCTCGCCGGTCAAGATCGAGAAGTAGTCATCGACGCGCGAAACACTCATCTCACAAGTAAATAACTGCTTGTCACAATGTGTTCTTTACTGACAAATTCTAGACGATCACGTACACGTTCCAAATCTCGAAGTCGTCATCGTTCGAAAAAATCGAAAACGTAAGTAGCATCTCCTGTTATCTTCCATTAAAAAATCACTTTTTGTTCCATATTTCAACACTTTCATACAGCCAAATATATATGTATATGTATAGTCCTATTCAAATCGCTTAGTCACACACACATACTAGAATCCTAGATTGATCGGATAAGATTGGCAAACAAATTCATCTATCATCTTTTCTTGCTGTCAGGTATCGTAGAAATGGATCATGTTAGCTTTGTTTTTTTCTATCTATTTTCTTGATTTTATCGAAAAAAAGACGAAATTTGTTCATTTCATGTTGCATTTTATAGTTCGAAATCCAGTCGCGATCGTCGCCGGCACCGACATCGCCGTCGTCGACATTCCTCGTCATCCAGATCGACTTCATCGACTTCTTCATCGGTATCTCGATCATCTTCATCTACATCTACCTCGACTTCTTCGCGTGATAGAAAGAAGAAGAAGAAAGTCAATCATACTGATGAAGATCGGCAGAAGAAACCTCAAACATCGTCCAAGTGAGTTTAAACAAGATAAGAATCTTAGTTTACCCTTTTATCAACGAAGTAAAGTATAACCTTTCGGAGGATTCGATAAGAACAGTATTGATGATTACACGCAATTCAAACCTGCTGACTTTGCACTTTCGAAACGAAACAACAGAAATGAAATTAGATTAATCAAATTCTTTTCGTTCTAGATGGGATCAGCGCGAACCAAACAAAGCGAAAACGGAATCTATATCAAGTGAAACGAATTCAGCTATTTCATCACTACCAATGAACACTAGCGCAACGTTATCGAACAGTACTTCAACTTGATATATATATATGTAAAAATTGAAGACCACGAAAAAACGATTACACAATGTGAAAATTTTTCTTTTCTCTCTCTCTCTGTCTATTTTGTTGTTATTCTTACTTTTTCTCTTCTTTCTTGATATATAACTAGTCTGATTCAACTTCGACGAATATTTACTGAAATAAAGCAAAAAAATTTTTTTTTTTCAGAAAGAAGAAAAAGTATAAATCCACTTTCATTTCGTTTCTTTTTTTCGATACGATCAGGATGAAAAGTTTCTTAGCACGATCGTTGTGTTCTTCCATAAAACAAGTAAGACAAATTTACAATTCTATTGTTCACCTTCGATGATCGGTTTTATCTCAGGCACAGCAGATCAATTGTAGACGATTGAAATGGACTGGACGAGAATCGTTACGTGACATCGACCCGGAAATGTATGGATTGATTCAAAAAGAGAAAAAACGACAAATCCAAGGTTTAGAAATGATAGCATCGGAGAATTTCACATCTCGTGGCGTCCTCGAAGCGCTCGGATCATGTTTGACAAATAAATATTCTGAGGTATTCAATTCAAGAGAGATTTTCTATTGATAATTGAGAGAATTTTCAATTTCTAGGGTTATCCAGGTGTACGCTACTATGGTGGGAATGAATATATCGATGAAATTGAAAGTTTAACACAAAAACGTGCGCTTCAAGCATTTGATTTGAATCCTGAAGAGTGGGGCGTGAATGTTCAATCACTATCTGGTGCACCAGCTAATTTCGCTGTTTACACCGCACTTCTCGAACCACACGGACGTTTGATGGGCTTAGATCTACCTGATGGTGGTCACTTAAGTCATGGCTATGCAACATTAACAAAGAAAATATCTGCCACTAGTGCCTTCTTCGAAACAATGCCCTATAAAGTCGATCCTAAAACCGGCCTTATCGATTACGACCTTTTAGCTAGAACATCGAAATTGTTTCGTCCAAAACTGATCGTAGCAGGCATTTCATGCTACTCTCGAAATTTGGAATACGATAAATTTCGTTCGATCTGTGATGATGTTGGTGCTATACTTCTAGCCGATATGGCTCATGTTAGTGGCCTTGTTGCTGCAAAGGTCGTAGCGAATCCATTTGAACATTCTGATGTTGTGACAACCACAACACATAAAAGTTTACGTGGACCACGCGCAGCATTGATTTTCTTCCGACGTGGCATCAAAAAGAAGCAGCCAACGAAAAAAGGTGGAAAAGATGATCATGTGGAAACGTATGACTACGAAAGACGAATCAATGAAGCGATCTTTCCCGGATTACAAGGTGGACCACATAACAATACGATTGCAGCGATTGGCATTGCTCTGAAGGAAGCTTCTTCGAATGAGTTCAAGTCATATGCTAAACAAATTGTTAATAACGCCAAGCAATTAGTGAAATCACTTCAAGACAAAGGCTATGTGTTTGTGTCCGGTGGTACAGATACACATCTAGCGTTACTTGACTTACGCCCCCTTGGACTTGATGGTGCTAAAACTGAAAAAGTGCTCGAAGCTGTCTCGGTTGCTGTGAATAAGAATACATGTCCCGGCGACAAGTCTGCACTCAAGCCATCGGGTATTCGTTTAGGTAAATTAAAATCGCAGCATTTTCTAAAATTATTCATCACACATTGTTTTCTCAGGCACACCTGCATTGACAACCCGTGGCTTTCGAGAGAAAGATATTGTTGAAGTAGCGAACTATGTCGATCAAGCAATCAAATTAGCTGTTGAAATAAACAAATCGAATGATAACAAGAAATCCTCGCCAGTAACATTGAAAGATTTCAAAGAGAATATGAAACGTAGTGAACATGCAAAGAGTATTCAAAACTTAAAACAAGCAATTGAATCATTTGCCGAAAAGTATTCCATGCCTGGTTATGATGAAATTTAATCTTTTCAACGTATATACATGATTATTTCAAGTATTCCATTCTTGTCTTGTCTTCTGCTCGAGAAATGATTTACTCGTGATCTATTTATTCAGTGTTTCTTTTTCATTTCAAAATAAAAACAAACTTACTGCTAGTTTAGCTGGTAATCCTCACATTTTTCAAAGCGGATTCAGTGCAAACGACAGTGTTCTACAAAGCTTAGTTTATGAATAGTACCTCGGAATTTCATCAGAAGATAAAAGCGATGTGAGTAAAGATCAATCTTTCGAGAACATTGTTGTTATCCTTACTGAACACGATACGGATTAGAAGATCAAAGCTCACCATCTTCCGCAATTTAGCTCATCCAAATCGTCAAGTACAAAGTATTCAGGATCTTATGATTCTCTATTATTCGCTAATAAAATCATACTCATTAGAATTTCTAAAATATAGCTATTTTCCGGTAGTTTTACATAATTAATGAATATAATAACTTGTTGTCTTCATTTGTTTTCAAGGATATTCTGTGGGTGTATGTTGCTCAACTTTCTTAACAATATTACACTTCTCTTCCACCACGTTTCAATCCAATCACGGTAGCTGATAATCAAATAAGTCAATGTGCTCATACCATTCTAATAAAATAAGACAATGGGATTCAATGAATGTACTCAAAATAACCGTTACCACTCTCATGAATATTTCAAACAGAAACTAACCATTCGTCTATTTTTCCCTTTCATCCCATTTAATTATTAACTAAGAAGTTAAGCAAGCTACTGATTGTCTATAATTTGCAATACAAGCATATCATCATGATGGTAGAGACAAAGAAGTAGCATGTAGTGAATTAGTGAAGAAGGTCACATATGTGTAGGTTGACGAATTCTCTCAGAAGTCATGCAGGAAGAACTAGTACAAGACACATGACATATTGAATTAAAGTTTCTCTGTCTCTAATTGATACATATATCACATTTACTCGTACATAATATCGGTGACAATGGCTGTCAGACGTGATTATATCAATTGACAAAAATAGTTTCTATTTAGAAAATTAATACGAAAAGAAAAGAGAAAAGGGACAAAGTTTTTATTTTCATGTATTTTATCATAATGCCACACGCGCAGAGAGATTGTTGAGCCGATTATTCCTCAATGAATTTGTTGTTCGTACGATCAAGATTCCACGTGGACTATCTGCAGTTCTGGAATACGAATAGGAATTGCTATCACCTTTAGGTGGGTTGAGTCGAGACAGTTTTCGCGGATCATCGGATATCATCAGTTGCCTTTGCGTTTGAGTTCGTTTTTGGCAACAATCTTTGAGACAACAACAGTGACGACACATGATTTGCAACGTATAGCGAAATTTCGAATTCGTCAACGAATAGATAAAGAAATTGATCGAATGATTGACAATTAGCAAAAGATTCGAGAGGAATAATAAACACATGAATATGAATGCTTTCGGATGACCGCATGGATTTCCATCGATAAGGCCGAATAGTGTCAAAACAAGTACAGGTAGTTGACAAATTATATTACAAAAACATATGATTAGAACCATTCGTGTTATTCGAGATTTTGATTTTAAACGTTGGGCGACGACCTCCGAATGCAAAATGAATTCCTTCGATTTCTTCGTTCCGATTTCACGATTAACAATGCGTATTAACAAAATCCACAGGATTAAGCATATTACCCACGGGCCTAATAACGACAATCCAGCTGATATGACTTTAATCACATCAAGCGCATCGCCATTCGAATAATAATAATAATATGGTACAATTGACAGTATACTAACAAGAAAAATGACAATCAACGCTTTACGTTCGTTTTCGCTCGAACAATAAACTTGCGAATAGAGAGGTTTAACAACAATCATCAATCGGAACGATGTTATCATAACAACTGAAAATAAAATTTCTCAGCAATGTTCGATGCGAAAGGAAAATCTTACCGATCCAGTTTGAGCAAAAGGTTGCGCCTGTTGCTAAAGGCATAACAAACGAGTTTACAAAGCTGATCAAATTATGGTTATTCTTCGGGCCATAATAATATATAATATGAGGAATACATGCAAGAGTAGGAGCGACAATATCACTGATGGCTAGCCCTTGAAGTAAATTGTTCACGCCGCCTTTTCGCATTAATCGACGATTCAGGACAATTAGTGTCAGGATGTTCCCTGATGAATAAAATGAATTTTCAAATCAATTGTTTTTCTTTTTCATGACTTTGAGAATAACTCACCAATGTTTCCTAGAATCATCAATATTAATTGAACGATACCCCAGATAATTCTTCCCGATAGGCCTTCCAAGGCATCACCAATCAATTGATCTAAAACATCAACAGATAGACTTGAAAAGTTCATTAGTTTTATTTGATTTACCAGCACATATAGTCGTGTTATCGATTAGAACTAATGCAGATTCGGTGGTCGAATTGGAATTCAATTGAATCGATGTTGTTAGTAGAAGGTCAGTATGCATTGTAAGTACTTTCTAAAAGACACAAAGTTAAATCACAATGCGCAAGTCTGCAGCATCACCAACAATAAACAAATCCATCAAACTGACAGTGAGTAAAAGGAGAAAATTTTCAAAGAATTGTTTCTAATTTCCTTATTTACAAGAGTGTGCGCAGAAGAGACATAAGACTATCAACAAGAAACAACTTAACATTTGTCGCATTCAAACATTTTATGCTAATAGGAAGTGAACTATGCCAGCATACACAATAACACAGATCTTCTCACACTTTTAATGGAAAACCTCTTCAGAACACCTGGAAAATAATTGTACGCATCTGTTAATTTCTTGAATATTTCAGAAGTTTTCACCGATGAATTTGTCCGTACTAACTGATTCAATCTTAACACTAATTATCTTGTCTTCAAAACCCTATTCTATGTTTCAATCAACAATCCTTGTACTATGGTAATGAATAAGGAAGAGAATTGTCTATTTCCTTCTATTTCTCTTCTATCGTTGACAACTGCCATTTCTCTTTCTCTCAAAACAAATATATATATATCAGATAACTCATCATCGCATCGCACTAGGATAGAATATTTCCTCATCAGTGCTTATATATTAAAAAGAAACATTACAAGGCAAATTCTTTACATTCCAATAAAAATACCGGACTTGAGACTCACTTCCTTTCACAGTCAAAAGGCAACGCGTAAAACCGTCTGGATCATCAAAAGTAAAGAGGAAAAAGTGAACTTACAGGAAGAAATTATCGATCGACAAAAATAGAGGCTTAATATTACACGAGAAATACATTAGCTTTCACGCAACATTTTTTATTTAATCGTCGTTCTTTAAATAGATAACGTTAGAAGACTTATTGCATACGAGATTATGGGCAAAATGCGATATATGATAACATAAAAATTAGTGCAATATTTGATCCTTACTATATTTTCAGAGATTACTTTCGATAGAGTAATTAGCATATGAAGCGCATCATAGAATACAATGCGAAGTAGCTTCGGGAAATCTACTAGAATCAATTTTCTCTATCAAAAAATAATCAAATAATACTGTGTTAGATGATTGATGAGTGGGCTACATTCATCATCTGTGGGTTTAGTAACTTAAATAAAAACCAAACATAGGAATCTATTCGTGTGACATTGAAAGGAAAGGAACAAAAACAGCGTTGTCACTATTCAACAATGATCATTATGGAGGATCCATAAAACTATTTTCTCTCTTGAGATTCTATGCAAAATACATTGACGAAGCATTCCAAATGATACTCTCGTCATCAAGGACTTCAAAATAGTAAATAGAAAAATAGATGCGCATCTCACCTTACCTATTGTTTGGCTTTGTTCGTCGGCAAATGATTTACATTACAGATGACACCTTTAATATAAATCATAAATACATCTAATTAATAATCATGCATGACTGTTCGGTGTCGTTTGGAGGGTCTCTACATTTTACGTATTTGCATATTCATCTTCTCATATTTGATAGAAACAAAATTATTAAGTAAATAGTATATGTTGACCTACATATAAGCTAATGCTTTGCAGTTTCTTCTTAATACGTAATGCTACGATGTTAGATCCGACTGAGAGAACTACTTAGAACTTTCTGACAGAAAAATCCTCGAATCTCTTGAATTGCTCATGTCTATTCACAAGTCTAGTGGTGGTTGTTACATAAAACCTCCCAAAGATCTCGACGAATCGCAACCGATATGCTTGGTAACAATTAGGAACTAGCATGGCGGAAGACGATGATTTTCATTTATAGTGTAACGTTTGAAAGACAAACTGTTCCTGACAGTGCATTAGACAGCTGCATAATTACCTGGTAGAATTCATAACCTGTATGGAGAAAGTTTGCGAATTGTGGTAGATATATCATAAACATAGGTATAGTCACAAACCTGAGCACAGTAAACCGAGTGTAAAACCTCCCAGTCGAAAAATTCATTATGGTCATGTCAAATACTCTATGGCACATGACATTTCAGAAGTGATTCATCCTAGATCGCTTCAATCCATCCGGAGACATGTAAACACCCCCTCTTTCGCACTAATAATTCATTTCAAAGGCTGCTTAGTCATGTGATAGGAGAGAGAGAGGATCTACTTGGTCGATCTGAAGTATTTACTAATGAGAATGTGTCAACTGGATGAAACCGTATTCAAAGAATAGTTGGGGATTCTTATGATAATAAAAGCTTATGTAAATGACTTATAAACTTCTATTCATAATCAGGATGATAAGTAGGATGTCAAAACAAAGCTCTGACATATTTACATGCTTTGATTTTGACGTTAATGGAAAATTTTATAGAGAGCTTCCACTAAGAGAACTTAATTTAGCTAAAAGTACCGATGTTTAATCTACAAATATATTCTAGAAAGCTTTTTTTGTTTATCTTCCGACGTTGAATTATCTTCTCAAACTTTTCTCGTAGAGCGGAGAAAAAAGAACCATTTACTTATCTCGATAACGAATATATAGAAACTCAAAAGAAAGCACCTTTTAACTATCGTTTCTCTCAATTTTTAATCCCGTAGGTACTCAAGAAAATTTCATGTCTTAAATGACTCCGTAAAAGCATTGTTCTTTCTTCCACTATCATTGTTTACATCGGGGAAATTCGCTCGCCGCAATATCTTTTCCTTCAATACAGAAAACACACTTTGAATATTATCAATTGTTCACATCTTGCTTTGCAGTTAGATTCTTAACGAATATTAACCTTGAACTACCCGAGCGAATTGATATAAGACATTGAAACTACAATAGTCTGACGAGAAAATTCTTATTCTTACGCATATTTTTCAAATACACCTACTTTGCCATTTGCCCACGAGCGCCCTAATAAATGAAAATGATCCGAGCGAGTTTCTCATTGCATTATATTACAAATAAATGAAATAGAAAAGAAAAGATATATGTCTGTAAATGTTTTCGCCGATTTTTCCTTCCGTATGTTCGTGTATTGTTATAAAAAGCATAAACCAACGTTTCTACGTTTTAGCCTGATCTGGCTTTCATGGCCCTTTCTGTGACAACATACAAACGGAAAACAAGATCATAATATCTTCTTGTAATTATAGTATTCATTCGAAATTCAAACAGACGAAGAATTCTGTCAGATCTCGAGAGATCACTTAAGAAAATGAGATCATCGCGTTTTCAACTATTTATAACCATTGAACATTCAAGGGAACTTTAATCAATACTATAACGTTCCATCGTTTTCTTATTATTATTCGAATCTTTAATTAGAAATGTTCCTGCGAAATTTTTTATTCATGTCACGTTTTTTGTGCCAAATTACAGTTCTCTTATCAATGGACCTTTAATAAAATCTTATCGGATTTAAAGTAACTGAAAAATAGCTAACAAGCAACTTCACCTTTTCATTTTCTCTCTATTCGCGTGTTTATTTGTCTTCGTTCTGACTCGAACAACATGCGAAAAACAAATCCCTTTGCCTGTTTGCTTTTCTTCTTTATCCCGAACTGATTAACAGGCATCACGACGCATAGTTTCAAGACGCTCGAGTGTACAAGAACACTGCCGGAGAAGAAAGCAAATATATTATTTTATTTTCAGTTCAAATTAAAGAATAGAAACGAAATATTGTCTCCCATGACAACATTCGATTCTTAACGTCTCTTGTTTTGTCGGTCGAAAAGCGAACAACCTAATTATCTGCATCATGAATGTCAATCCCACGAAAGTAGATGAAGATTTCAATGAAAGAATCTCAATCGATGGTCGAATCTTTTTTGCGGGCACAGATAAAGCTCGCGTGTAAGCGAAGACGAAGCGACAAACATACGATAAAAATCTTATTTTATTCCTTTACCTAGAATATCAGAAATCCTCGAACAACGCGGCTGGTCCAGAACAAAAGATCGCAATGTAACCAACTTTACTATCAAATGGTGTTTGGCAAATCAAGTCGATTGGACGAAATTTCAGGAGGGAAAACAATTGATCAATAACATACCTGGACAATTAGCTTTTTCAGATAAGATCAATCTTTGGTATACAGTGCGGGATTACTTACAAAAGCGATATACACAAAATGGCAAACATATGCAAACTTTTCTTGCAATGACATTTGTTTTAGATGACGAAAATGAAGTGGCTGAATTCCTACGTGTCTATAAAAGTATGAACTCAATTTTGTCAGAACAATTTTCTCATGAGAGTATTTTCCAGCGAGAACTCGATATAGAATTACTCGTATGAAGTTCATATTACAAAGAGTTGAGCTCGTAAACATCCTACTAGAAGTCGTTTTGAGACAAGAGAATACGTCTTGAACGTAATTAGTTTTTCTTTGTGTTTAACACAACTATTTACCAAGAAGAATAAAAAATATTACCTGCACGCGATAGTTATTCTATTCAATCAACTTTCGACTTGAAAAACAAAACAAGAAAGTTCTTTTTTTTCCATTTAGAACAAAACCGAACATGGATATATAAACCTCGCTATAACTATGCTGGCCGAGGAATTACCGTTCTACCTGTCCATAGCGATCTAAGTACAATATTCAAGTTGAAAGTCGGGGGGAATACACGCTGTCCGTATGAATCTAGATTACCTGGATATCTAATGCAACAGTAATGTATGCACAGCTCGAGAAAAGCTACACTAACTATGTTTCTGCTTTTACCATCGTAGATACATTTCTCGACCGTTACTGATAAAAGGTCGAAAATTTGATATACGTGTACATTGGTTGGTCGCATGGACAAAACCGTTATTAGTTTTCTACAATCATAATGCGTCTGTTGTTCGTCTATCGTTGAATCTTTATCGAGAATTTGACTGTGATCGTACTACACACTTAACGAATCTGGTAAGTCGAATAAGAGAGAAAGATCTGCTCAAAATGACTCTTTGATTATTGCATAGTCAGTACAAGAAAGTCATTCTCGGTATGCGTTTTTACAAGAGTCAACGGGAATGACGATAAATCAACTAAAGTAAGGTTGAACTCTGAAAAAGTGTCTCTATGTAATCAAATCAACATTCTAGTTAATATTTTAATCAATGTTTTCGACCATTTCATCCAAAACTATGTCAAAATTGGGTGATGACTGTGATGCAAGTAAGATAAACATTTATCTCACAAATCTAACCGCCCTTACCTTATCTCCTACAAAAGCTCACAACAATGAGAATAAGTACAGAAAAACGAGAATTTTTTTCTTCCATTGTGCATGTCATCTATCTGAAGTTGAAAGTTAATTTATTTGAATGACTAAAACGTAGAAGAAAATATAGAACCTAATAAGTTATTAACATGAAGAATAAGTAGAAAGTAACTTGGTGAACAAAGTGAATGGAAAAGGTAATGAAAGTGTTTCGATAACAAATGAATTTTCTTTTCAAATAAGAAAGAAAATCACGTGAGAACCTGTCATGGTTCAATAATTCATCCGCGTTTACACATAATCAACTATTAATCAAAAACATTTTATTTCTTACAAATAGGAACGCATGCAAACTATTATTCGTCATGTGATACGTGCAAGCAAAGATCAATTAGCTCGAGAAGCTGGTCAATTCGGGTTTTTCGGGTGTGACTTCTTGCTAGACGAGAATTTTCGCATATGGCTTTTAGAAATCAACGATAATCCCGGTGTTGGGTAATGTCCTTGACTTCTACTAGAGATCGTCTTGCACTACGGATGTTCTTTGTTCTTTCTTTTCAAAGATGGGGCAATTCATTAGTCAATACAACAACAAAACCATTGATAGAAGAAACATTAAACATTGTTTGCGAGTGTTTGGAGAAACATAAAAACAAACAAACATTATTACCGATCAATTGTTTGAAAAATTATGAACTGATTTATAATGAACACGATGATGTGAATCGCTTGCTGATGGATGATAATCAAATCTTTACAGATCAGTATTCAATTCGATATGCAATAAAAGAGACAACACCACGTAAAACACATCGTCGTGCCGTACCGCACATTCACACCAGTCGAGCTTCGATATGTCAAAACGATTCAATTCATAACAGTATGAACGATCTGATCCTCCCGTCTGTGAATATGGAAAACAGAAGTCCATCAAATCTAGCTTTGAACCATCATGCTTCGTCAGTTATAAACATCCTTAGCGTGACAAACGAATCATTGGACCATGGTGACACACCGGATAACGGAAGCTCAAAAAAGTCAAAAAAAGCTCTGAAAGCTTTTCAAAGTAAATCCCCGTTGTTACTAACGCCTCCGAACGGGTCAACCATCCGTGCGAACAAAACAAGTATTAAACGAACACTTTCCAAAGCGAATACATCTGATACTGAAGCAAAGAAACATAGTGAATCACTCCCAACAATTGTAGATAAGAAACAATCGATGTATCGAAGTGAAACATTTGTAGACGCGAGTAATACTAGTCGGAATGAGAAGAAACTATCAAAACGTAAGACGATGGTGAAAGATGAACAGGAGAATCCATTAGCAAATGTTAATCCAGGTAAACTTTGTACTTTAAACTAATGAGTTTTTGTTTGTTTTGAATTTTTTTTAAGCAAAGAAAAAGGAAAATGTCATAATGCACCGTTTTATCTTTTAATGAATAATTAATGACGCTAATAATAAATCAGTTAGATGAAGTTCATTCTGAAACGAGAGAAAGGTGTCGAGTTTGAACAGGCGGTATGCTTCGGATTTGGCCGTTGGAACTGTTTTACGCATGATAGTTGGAATTTGCTTGAACAGATCAAGATATGATGTTAATTCAAGTTGCAGACGAGTTGTTATCGATTGATTCGAATGAGAAGAATTCGTGTTCAGTAAAGAGAATGATTGAAAGTCAAGTTTCGAGAGAATGTACTTGACAAACAATTTCACTTCGTCCAAAGTTCTAAAGATCTATTTTATTAGATTACAGGCAAAGATTTGGCTTACTGGGCATAAAAATGTACGAATAAATCATCTTCGTCGACAAATTGAATGAGAACATGTTCGAAAATATTGCCTTGACTGACTCGTACGTACATATTTGACAGAGTCAGAATCTGTTTGAAACCAATGGTAGTCAATAATTGTTGAAAATGCTCGATAAGTTGAAATTTCGATGTGCTCTGAATAGTAATACTCAATGAAGATAATGTGCTGAAGTAGATGAAAGCTTGGCGATACTTTAAATGATAAGCTAAATTAAACGCAAGTAAAACCAAACGATTGACTACATGGAAAACTCACTTGGTTCCATTTCTAATGCATTCATGTTTAATATTCGCTCATTATTTGGATTTATTAAGTCATCTAATGAAACGAATATTGCACCAACACGATACAATTTTTGTGTATCACCAATGAATAAATATAGATCAATATCAATGTCTTTATCCAGTTCGATTGATGTTGACAGAATGAACGTTAACGATGAATTCGGATTTAGAGAAAAGATTACTTTTTCATCAGATAAAATTTGTAAGGTAGGTTTTAAATCAAATATTTTCATTTTATTCGAATGCTTCTCAATACTGAATAAGTTGACAGATGCTAATACATCACTAATCAAAGAAGAAAGATGAGCGAAATGAAACATTTCTTTTATTACCTGTTGTTGTTTTTGATTGTTACATAGAAGAAAATCTGCTTTCGATAGATGAACCAATTGATTTCCGTTAATTGAACATTTGAACTGGAAATCAAACTATCCGAAGAGATTTGACGAGCCTCTTGGTTCAGCTTTCGAATATTGTTTTCGATTTGTTTACATTGAAAATAGCCTTCATTAACGATATAATCTGCATTCTAAAAACGATCAGATGTCTGATTTTAATCGTAGATCGTCGATTTTGTCTTACAATGATCTTCTTTCGAAGAATATCTTGTGCGATAGCGAGACTGTGCTGCATGTCGGAGTCGTCGATGTCCATTGAAAGGTATTTTTCATCAATCTAACAGACAGAAGAGAACGTATTCATTCGCTTTTGCTTCGTTAGAACAATCTTACAGACATGATAGTCGTAGTCGGATTCTTGTTGGAAAACGTGAACTTGAGAGAAATCTGTGAGGATAAAATCATTGAAATTGTGATTATTCTTTAGAAATAAAACTTGTTTCCATCCGATTTGCGTAAAATCATCAATGAGAAGATAATCAGCTGTTTCATGCGGCGGGCTAAATGAAATGAAATTCAAATCTTTATCATACTGATAAATCTCAATGGATCGGAGATCTTGATTTCGAAAGAGAAATAATTGTTCATTTTCGATTGTTTGATACGATAACATTGAGCTAATCGGTGTATCTCGTTGAATTTCTTGAACTATATTTCCTTTATGACAAGATAATATCCGATAATCTTTACTGATTAGAATAAGATCGCCAACGATTGAACGAGTTTTTAATTGAAGGTTATGTTTGATAATGTACAGATCAATAATATTATCAACATGCGAAATAGGAATGAATTTATCCGTATGAAAAGGAACGAGCGGAGTTGCTGATGAAAGTGAATTTCCGTAGTAAATCTAAAACAAACCGAAGTTTTTATTTTTTGTAGGCGAAGCCAAACCTGTTTACTTTTACAGTTTTTTCATTGGTATTCGAATCAATTTCATAGCCCATTAACCAATAGTAATGATTTTGTAAATAACAATATAGGTACGTTAATAATGAACATGTAATAAATTCAATCTTCTTTTGCCCTTTGCATTTCTGATTGTCGATTAGATAAAATCCGTTTGGACATTTCTCATCATCAATAAAGATGGTCATGTACGAGTTCGTTGCAAGAAATTTCGCTGAACCATGAAGCGAAAGAGTATAAACTATCTGACATAACCATGGACGTGATTGGAATTGAAGACAGACTAATGCTGAACTATTCGAAATGACGAGTTGTAAAAGAACGAGAAGACCTTTATCAATTAAACATGAGCCGACAACCGTACATTTCGATGATTTCATTGTTATCGATGGTATTAACGGTTTCTCGGTGCTGTTCGTAAACCTTTCAGACGCTGAATCGTAGTTAAAGATGTTTATTTGAAGATAACCAGCGTCATTTATTTGAAATTGAAGAATACAACCAGCATAGGCCAAAATGTTCAGCATTGTTCTTTTCCGATCGAAAAAGTCTAGAATGTACACATATGAGAACGATCTTCTTCCGTCTCAAGATGCTCAGTTCGAATGATCTGTGAAATGTAAAGATCTGGACTGTTGTTCGTAGATCAGGATGGAATTATTCACCCGTATGTTTCTTTTTTTATTGTATCGTCTTTCAAAGATGTTACAAAAAGACAAATTTCATGATGTTTCATACAAAACAAAGCGGGAAAAAGCGAAGAGCAATGACTTGACTTTATTCTTCATCTTCGTCACGTTTCTTGAACATATATGTCACACAACATTTACCACAGTAATTACGATCATGATGTGCAGCCATAAACACTCCGGCACCGCATTGTTTTGATGGACATTCCCGACGTAAACGACGAATTTTGCCGGTATCTTCCACCTAAAAAACGTAAAAAACATACGAATATTTTCTACTGATTTACTCGTATTTTACTTTATAGTATTTGAGTACAGCCAATTTGACTTTCTTGTGTTTGTGTTTGTTTTTCTTGGGTGTATTGTATGATTTCTTCTTACGCTTTTTGCCACCACCCTCAAGATCGAGTAAAACGTAGAGTGTGCTTTCCTCTTCAATGCGACATTGATCAAGTGTCAATTCATCATCTAATGTAATGCCGCCTAATGTTAAACGTTGTTCATCAGCAGGAATACCTAAGAAAAAAAAGATTTTCAAAAAGACAAATATCTTTTTCGTGCTTGAATTTACCTTGGCGTTGTTCAACAAGTTCTTTAACATCATTGACTGTATCGTCAGATTGAACATTGAGTGTCAATGTTCGATCATCCAGAGTACGTACAAAGATTTGCATGGCTGCTGCAAATAACTGAAATCTGAAATACAAACACATGTGACATTAGTGGAACAAAATACTATGTGACTGTAAAGCTTGACAAAGAAAATTAGTATGAAATTTAATGACTAAATCAATGTGAATCATATATTCGTGTCAGATAAATCAAAGCTACGAAAGAATATCAGTCTTGTTTGATTGCTTGTTTTTTTGTTCGTTCAAGTTCATGTTGTCGATAATTAGCATCGAGTTGACAAACAAAGTCAATTAAACCATTAGCAAATGAATCCATTATTGAATGAAATATACAGACTAATAAAACATAGAATTTGATTTTGATATATGCATATGTACAGTATGACCAGAAGAGAATAAATAAACACCAGAGTAGAAAGACTGAACGACGTTTAAAACGTATTTTCGATTCAACAGTTTCGTCATTGAATCGTTTTGATCGCGCATCGAATTGATTAGTTTGACTAAATCTAATCGAAACAAACGACAACATAATTATTTTGTTCACTCGACTTGATCATTTGATTCTGTCTTACTCTTTCAAACGAGTTTCCTTCTCATCCCAGCAGTTTTCCAGCCATCGACCGATTTCCTCGTCGGTTTTAGGCAAATCTTTGATCATATAACGTTTGATATGAAAATGAACTTGTTTGGGAATGTAACCATTCAATAAATCAATTTCTCGTTCTGGAATGTACCCTTCATAACCTACAGTTACATCATCGACTGAATCGAGAATATCCTCTACCGAAAAAAAGTGATCGATTCAGTTCGGTTTCGTTCAACGAGAAGACAAACCTGATTGCATTGTTTTCAAAAGAAAGATAAATCCATTTAAACGTGGGTGAAGACAATATTCATACGGTCGATTGAAAGCCGATTGTTTCGCAGCATATATATTACTTTTGTCTTTTGCATCCGATGTAAAATTGGTACCTTCCGGAAAGATTAACAACTAAAACAAGATTTATATTCAATATGATCTTCAAATCTAATAAATGTTAATTTAAATCTCATGTAGGTGTTTTCTTGAACAATATTAATTACGATAGAAAAACTGATATTGCTAGATTAAACATCTCATCTGCTGTTTCTATTCGATAAAGAGAAGCAAAGCATTGAATGACTTGCATCTACATCGAGTTCGAATAGATAAATATCCGTTTGCTTCTTTAATACGTACAGAAAGCGGTGATTGACATGATTTGTAGTATCCCATGAGATTTTTTATTGTGACTTGATCTTTTTCCCAGGCACGGTCCAGAAACAGATAAGCTGCATGCTGCATAGCCCAACCTAGAGTAATGACATAATCATGATGTAGTCATTGTTCGAATTGTTTACCTGGACCAGGGATATGTTTGAGGCTGGCTTTGAGAACGATTTTCAATTGTTCCAAAATTTCAAAACGACTATGTACCATCCAAATGAACATCCAGTCGAGTCTTGTTCGATGATTTAATATGATTAATGAACGTTTTTTATCGTTAGTTAGGTCATCACCAGTCACAACAATCTTAATTCCTAATAAATCTTCCAAAAGGCACTATAAAATATGAGAAGATCGAATTCTTTGTTGAAATAGGAAAGCAAGCGAGATCATACAGTGACCATTAGCAAGTAGTAACCCATGGCCGTCGAACACCATCGAAAATACAAACGTCGATTGAAGAATATTAAAGGCACAGCAGGCGTTTGAGCGAAAACAACACCAAAGAAGGCACCGACGGCCATAATGGCGTAGAAAGTTAAAACTTTTATAGAATTGATTAAAGACAACATTGTTGTTAAAATTTAAATGTATTTAACCATCTCATCCAATATAGATTTTATATTTGTTTAGAAAACATTTCTTTTTTTTTGGTAATAAACTATGGTTTTCTCTGGACCAATCATATGATTTTTTCCTATCAAATTCTTCCTTCTTCGAGAATATAGTTGAACATATGTTCGGCTAAAAAGTAAATTTACTTCAAATGCTTTTTATCCGAAAATAACTAAGAAAAATCGAAGAGTTTTCACAATTATTAGCGCTTTTCAACGATCAAAAGAGGAATCACGCTGCCATACGGTTCGTTGACAGAATCGACCAATCAAATGAGCTCTGGTAGAATATAGTGTTGTAAATTGGAACAAGGTTGCTGATACGTGTTATTTTACAAATCGTATTGATTATTTGTAATATGCGTGTCGCAATAATTGTTCTGTTTGTATTAGTCTGTCGAATAGATGGACATGGTCAACATGATGCACCCGGTAGTCCACCTCAAGGTGGACCAGGACACGTTCCACGAAAAATGGAAGAATATGTGCACGATATGGAGTAAATAACTAGTTCTTTTTAAAGGTGATTTATTCTGATTATTTTTGTTTAGTCATATTCGACACGATCTCGAAGGACAAATCAATAAACCGAAAGACCAAATGACACCGGAGGAGCAAAATTTCTATTATTTTAAACTACACGATACGAATAATGATAATCGTCTCGATGGTTTAGAAATTGTTGCTGCTTTTAATCATGTACACCAAGAAGATAACGACAATAATAACAATACTGCGACAACTGCTCAAACGCCAGAACATCACGAACGACTCGCTGATGAAGAACTCATCAGACTTGTAGATGATATACTCAAGGAAGAAGATCGCGATCGTGATGGATACATCAGTTATGAGGAATTCAAACGGGCTATCGAAGGCCACGCGAAATAATCGGATGAAAATCATGTGAATTAAATAATTTATTGTAGTTCTTTTAACTAATTGAAAAAAAAAACCATCAAGACATTCCTACCGACGAAATTATTTTCTTTTATTCTGTTAGCTAGAAATTCAAACAAAATTTTGTTTTTTGCTCTTGCTGTTTTTATTTTCATGTTTCTCATATATGTTGTTGATCTGTTGTTATTTGTTGTAACATTCTATTTAGCTTCATGTTATCAAATTTAACAACTAAAATTTCAAATAAAATCAAAATACATCGATGATCATACACAAACATCAGTTTGATCAACGAAATGTCCGCAACGCATAACAGACAAATTCATAAATATATCGATTTGACGCTTCAAACATAAGATAGTATTTTATGATTCGAAACTCTGTGCTCAATGTTAATCGTTAGTATAATTAAGCATAAATACGTAAGATAGCCTGTTTTCAGGCCATACAAAGATGACTTCAGTACATTCCATTGTTAGGTGGCATTTTCGAGATTTTTAATCTTTTCAAGGCCTTTAATATGATGTCACATGGTTTTTCCCCTTTCGATTGACATATAATGCACAGCTTTATGTGCTCTTCTTGTCTTTTCTTATCGCCGGATTTTCTTTCATGTGCTTATTACTTGAATCGTCAACGCATTTTAAAATTCAAACTGGTTTGCTGGTGTTGCTACATATCCACAATCTCTTTTCCCCTCTTTATTTATCGTATGTTTTAGTTTAATATCGTTTTCGAAAAAGTAACGAAAGAAATTCATCGACAGACAAACAAATTCTATCGAATTATTTCATCCCCGATACTTGTCGTATTCTAGTCCGATTCGAAACACACACTACAAGATTCATCCTAAGAGTAGAACATGAGTCAAGCGTATTGTTCCTGTCCAATTCCGCAACTTTATTTTCCTTCATTCGATCAGCAAGTTAAAATCTTAAAATTACAAAAGGATATAAATGAAGTCTTTTCATATATTGTATCAATAACTCAAACGGTAGAAGATCAATTGGGTATTCCACCACAAATCTTTTTCCCTAATCAGCATACTTTCAAATCAACAGGAAATCAACAAAGCTCTTCTATGGGCGAAGATTGAAGTTCGCTTTGCAGAAACTGCTGTATCACAATTAAATGCTAAAATTTTCGCTATCAAACACCGTTAAGATATTCTTCGGAATCCAAATATTACGAAAGAATGTCATCAATTGGAAATTGTTCCAGCAATTTATTTATCTGATGAAATTTTATATCTTTTTAGTGACAAATCTTATGTCTTCTTTCGCTCTCCTGTAGCAATCATGCCGTACCTTGTGGCACATCTCGCTATTTACAATATTATTTTACAAATAACTATTGGAATTATTCTTAATTCACATGGAGGAACAGAACAACAAAGAAGAAAGGAAGAAGTTCGACAATTAGTTAATCAATACAAGAGGACTTTTCGGATATCACGTTTTGCAGTTATTGAGACGGTTACTATCGGACAAGGAACAGTGATAATGATGCTGTAATTGACGTATACAAGAGGAAAGGGGATAGAGAGAGAGGCTAACATGTGGATGTTCAGAAGGACAGGCAAGGTACATGGTAGCTCTTCGATCTACTTATGAGGCATAGTTTACGACTATTCTACAACCATTTTAATTGTTACTTTTTTAATTTTGTTGAGAAATTTTTATCAACTAAGCGATTTGTATTTCAATACGGTTTTATTTTGTCTTCAAATATTTTAAGTATGTTTACCTTTGATAATGAAAGTTTGCATTAAAGATAACACTTCTCTATTTATTTGCTTGTTTTCTCCTTTTGTCGGTATAGGATCTAAAATCGAGAATTGTTATTTAAGCTATCAGTGATCTAAACTTACCCATGACTCTACGCATCTGGTCTATAATTTTATTTCTTTCAATATTATTATGCTCAACCAATCTCTCGTATGTCCCACCACGACTTGAAATGAAACGCCTTTCGAATATTCCTATCATATCATCATGGAACAATAATTCAGCATTCCTATACAATTACAATAGTGCATTCATGCCAACTATAAACGATTCCGATGCAGTGGCGCTTCTAGTACGAGTACAAAACTTGCATAGCGGATCGAAAAGTATCTACGATGTCGGTCCAAGTAGATTAGCATTGAGTCGAAGTCTCGATGATACTCATCTGAAATATTCATATATTTCTGAACAAGATGTCCTCATTGATACAGATCGAGAATATCAAGCAATTGGAGTGGAAGATCCTCGAATAGTATTGTACAATAACACTTATTATCTGTAAGTTTAGTAATGAACACATGCTAATCAGATTGTTGTGTTGCATAGATTGTACACGGCTTTGAGTAGTGATGCACATGGTGTTTGGCGAGCGCAATTAACATTAGCTACTTGTAAAAATAATTGTTTTACGAAAGGTAATTGGATATATTACGGACCGTTATTTCCTAATGTGTTCTGGAGTAAAAGTGGCAGTTTACTGATTCATAACGAAACTCATCGTTATTTATTTTTCAATGATTCAAACATTGCCATTGCTCAAACGAAAGATCTTATTCATTACGATCTTTCATCTTCTTTTCTTCTTACTACTCGTCCTGATCATTTCGATTCCGATCTCGTTGAGGCTGGACCACAACCATTGAAATTAAGCGATAAAAATTATCTATTTCTTTATAATTCCGGTCGACAAGTAACGACACCAAACCCTAAACCTGGCTGGCATGTTCAATACAATCTAGGTTGGGCGATATTGAATGGTGATGATCCAACACAGGTTTTAGCTCGTAGTGAAGTACCGATTCTCTCGCCAGAATTAGATTGGGAACGATGTGACAACACTTCAGGAGAATGGGCTAATCGAGGATTGACACCATTAGTTGTCTTCATCGAAGGATGGAAACAGACAGACGAAGATACATTCCTCGTCTGGTATCAAGGATGTGATTCAACTATGGGTCTCGCCGAACTTAAAGTACACTTTTCATAGAATGAATGATTCTTCTTTTTCATGTGATATATTACATGGAGACTAAAAACCGTTGTCATTTGTACATGTATAATGAAATTTCATCTGATGTGACATTGGAAATTGAAGAGCAAAAAACATCCACATGTATATAGAATAATTAAAAACGCGTCTATCACCTGTTACAGAGTTCATTCGTTTCAAAGTCATTAGTTTTATCCATGATTGTACGGATTCGAGTGATGATTAAGTAAGCTGGATGATAGATTGTGCATACGCATATTTCTTGTGTACTCATCTTCTGTATGTGGATGTTGTGTTGAATATTGAGAATGAAATGGCATTGTATTATCCTAAAGAGAAAGAGCTCAGCAAGATCTCTCATACCCTTCTATTCGTAGTTCACTTACAATCGTTGAACGAACGTTAAAATCACATGTTGACGGTGGAAATGGCGAATAGAACGCCGCTGCTGCAGCAGCCGCACTAGTAGCTGGATCAGTTGCCATCATGATGCTCGTTGGCGATGATGTCGATGCATTTCCTCGACTGCCAAACATTTGATGAAACGTTGATGATGATGATGTCGGATTAGGTGAAAACATTTTCGATGTCAGACGAGCAGTCGACGATAAGGAAATGCCGCCCGATGATGACGAATTATGAGATTGTTTACGAGCCTTTGCTCGTCGATTTTGAAACCATACCTAAAAATTAAATTTAACAATCATCAGACCATGTAGCAATCCGATTCACCATGACATGTGTGTGAAGGGAAGTATCATTACGAAGAAGAAGAGGAAAATGACACCTAGTTCTATTGAGTCTAAAGAAGCAGTCCATATGTCCACGTTTTGTTGAATTCGTTGCCGCTATGATGCCGATTTCTTGTCTTTCCTTTTCTTTTTTTTTCAATGAACAGTTGTTCGGAACGACACGTCTCGATTCAAATTACAAGCGCAAAGAAAAAGTGAAAGAATGTGTAAGAAAACGAACAAGAGAGTAATAGAGAGGGAACGATGCAGCTAAAATGAGTACTGAATGTGTGAATTAACGACATGCAATCTGAAAATAGAACTATCAAATGAACCGTGTTACCATAACAGACGGCATACAATTTGAGTGGAAAATCAGTGTAAATGGAATCAGAAAATATGCATGCAAACAGTTTTCATCTGTGCCTCGAGGGAAATGTTGAATAGAAATTTTGAAAAAATATACAACTGACTATCGCATTGTACTTGACTTTTTTTTTCTCTCTAGGAAAAGCGAGGATGAATAAGTACCTGAATACGAGCTTCGTTCAATTTTGTCGTACGAGCTAACTCTTCACGTAAATATATGTCAGGATAATGGCCTTTGGCAAATGATGATTCAAGTTCGATAAGTTGTTCTTGAGTGAACGTTGTTCGATGTCGTCGACGTGCTGATGTATGATTGCGTTGTTGGTTTTGTAAATGTTGTTCATGTGGCGAAAGAAGATGTTGTTGATCCAGCGATGCGCTAGATGCAGTTGTCGGTATGGCCGATGAAGAGGATGAAGGTGGGATAAATGAATGATTTATTGTTGAACCGTCATGTTGCTTCGTTCGTTTGAATGCACCAGTATTTACTATAAAGAAAAACAAGAGAATGAATCGATTTATTCGTAGTTTCTAAAAATAATCATAATCATAATTACATGAAGTAATTATATAATTGTTATTTTCCAACATAGTCTTGCTTTTTGTATCGTGTAGATTCAAAGAATTCGATTACTGTGCTCTGATGATCTTTCAACAAGATTGTCTTCTTTCTTATTTTTCTATCTTCTTTTTGAATCGGTCGGATAACTCAAGTATTCGTCGTTCAATGAGAGAAGAGAAAAGGGAAGAGAAGACGCGCATTGGAAATGAAAAATGACAAGGAGAAAAAGAAGAAGTAGGAGAGAGAAAAAAAAGCGATGAATGGTTGCACGGCGGATGTGCTCCGTTCAACATGATGATCAACGACCAATCGGCATGATGTTTTATGCAGCAGCATCAGTTTGATCTTGTATACATCTAGACAAGAGTATTACAAAGGAAAAAGAAAACATCGAACAAGAATTTAGATTGCAATCAACTAGTGATTGTTAGTTGGACTCGATGAAACGAGACAGTCAGATAATTATTCATTCAAAGATGAATTTCTGAGGAGGTTTCTTCGAAGAAAAAACAAGACTTTACTTTGCTATGTTCATTTGTACAAATTGGTCATTGTTCGGTTGATATTCGGACATATTTGATTGTATTTACGACATCAGGAGTAAAAGTATTCGCGTCTGATGCCAGTTTGTGCTTTCTTCATCTCTTTATATATAGATATGTAGCGTTTTTTTTTCTCTTTTTTTTCTTTCTATAAGAAGAATGAAGTGGATCAAAATTAGATTTTTGTACTACTGTAAAATTTGATTACTTCCAGTGAACACATTAGCAAGTGTGAAGAAAATCGGGAAAAGGGTGTTACCGTTACAAGATTTGTTTGAATTCAACTCTCTCAGCAAGAAACATGAACAACATTGATTCCTAGGTCTGAATCCTATCGAGTAAATCGCTGATAAATAGCGAGATATTCGCTAATCGCTTGTATAGGATAAGAGTTTATATTGAATTAGTTGTTATTATAACAATGAAATTAACTAAGTCAGATAAAGAGAGAAGAGAAAAACTAATAAATTTCTCTTTTTTTCTCTTTGTATCATTTTTTGCTTTCTTTATTTAGAGAACAAAATGGCACAAACATATACAGAGGGAGATATTTTCACTGTTAAAAGGTAAGACAGATACATGCGTACGCACACACACACACACACACTGTTCAAGCCGGATAATGAAGCATCGATGTATGATCAACACGAAACGATGAGAGACTTTTATTGTACCAATCCGTATCTTGAAAAGCTAATGGATTGTCCTAGAAGAAAAGATGGGAGATAGTGTCTTGTGTAGAACTCATTGATTTGTACCTGCCGAATTCCAGCAGTCAGTGGTGAAAATTGCGAGTATGCAACCGCTGACGGTGGATACCGTATCTGATTTGAAACAACCGAATTCGTGCCAGTAGGTGTTGATCCTGTTGACCCATATTGGTACGGTCTTCCAGCTGATGTTTGATAGAAATTTCTCATCATTGCATTGCATGGCGAGATAACTGGGGAAAGAGCTTTTTGTAATTGTTTTTCTTGTTTACGATATTTCGCTCTTCGATTTTGAAACCAAACCTTTAGGAAAAGAAATACATAGATCAAGTCACGTTCATCTCTCTGTGTTATTTTGTCTTCGATAAAGCTATTGGCTAATAATATTTGTTGATACATGCGTATTGAATTGTCAATGCACGAGCTAATCGATAGAGGACGAGAACGACAAGACTTATCTTTTTCTCTCGTGTATTGATGTAGTCGTTTTCTTGTCGGTCGACTGCACATACTCATTAGAAATCTATTCTTACGCGACGATGGAGTTTGAACGCTTGATTCAATTATCAAACTATGTGCGCGTCGATGTACTTGGACCATTCGTTCTCATCTTTTTTTCTTTCGGTCTGTCTTCTACAGGCAATGCTTCACTCGACATTTCCTCTTATGCTTGTCAATCATACAGACATCTATGACATATAGATGGATGTCGGAGGAAAAAAGTTTTTCTCTTCTCCTTCTTCTTCTTCTTCTTTTTTCTGTTGTTCGTCATACTAACTTGAATGCGAGCTTCGTTTAATTTTGTAATTCGAGCTAGTTCTTCACGACAGTATATATCTGGATAATGACTTTTCCCAAACGCTGTTTCAAGTTCAGCTAATTGTTCTTGGGTAAACGTTGTTCGATGTCGACGTCTTGCTGGTGTCGGACATTGACTAGTTGGATTCGATAATGAATGACGGGAAGATTGACTGGAATTCGTTGAATGTGCAGGAGAAAGATTGTTGGAAGAGTTGTTTGATGGAGTAGATTGTAAATTGAGAGGTGGCATCGGCACATGTGGATAATGAGAATTGTAGGATTGTAATTGATGATATGGATGAGTGTTCAATAAAAGAGATTCATGTTTGATTTTCTTAAATGCTCCGCTATCGGATTGCCCTAGATAACCAAATTATTTGTCGATTATTTTCATGTTATCTGAAGTTTAAACGAACCTGATGGATTAGAAATGAATTGTAAATTCGAGTTAGGAGATTGACTCATGAGATTGAATGGTGATGGTGCACTTGGAATTGATGAGGAAGACGATGTTATTGCTAGTGCTGGCTGAGATAGAGTTCGGTTGAGAGCATAGAAACTGGCGTAAGGATCGTCGGATGTATTTGCTGGTAATCTGAACGGCGTTGAAACATTACGCTTAGAATCACATCCTGAAGTGTCGGAGTTAGTTGTATTGTTTGTTGTACTCGAAGTTAAGCTTGCCGCTGCTAAGCCAATTGCTGCAGGTGTAGTTATCGATGGTCCACAATCATTAACTGTATTCGAGGCATTATCATCGTTATTGAATGTGGATGATTGTGAGTATGTCGTGTTGTTTGTCGTAATTGATGATGATGATATTTGATTTGTCGTATTGTGGGTTAAAGTTGACATTTTGTTTTGTATGTGTTGATCAAAATTCAATTATTCGTTATTCATTGATAATGATTATTATCTTAGTAAAGAGAAAAGTGAATAAGTGGTTAAAATATGATTTGCCCGTTTTCTTCTCGATCTAGTCGTTTTTCTTTATTATATCATTATCAACATAGAGTATTCAATTTCCAAGACTCTTAATTTGAGGTGACTAATTTTGTTAGAAGAGAAATCAACACTTATACTACTGATAATAACTTGAAGAACAAGAAGAAAGAAGAAGAAGAGTACTAAGTAATTGACAAAGGCAGTATGAATATATCGACAGCGGTGAAAAGAAGATGATGCACGTCCGATAAGTCGAATGCGAAACGAAGGAGACAACTTCATTAGGAAAGAAGAGAACTCGCAAAAGTTGCAGCTTACGAATGAAATTTACTTCCATTAGCCTAATGTTGTTCCTGCTCACATACACATTGATGTTCCTGAACATTGTAGCTAAGAAAGCTCTTGAGAATCAATGCATTTCTTTTCGTCCTCTCTTTTTCTTTTCTCTACGTTACCATCTCTTTTTTTCTCCAGTTTGGTTTTCTCCTCCAATAGGAACTAGGATGAATAAGAGCGATCGATTACTATTGGGTGAGATGAAATACGAAAATTTTTTTTCCCACAAACAACAACTGCTGTCAGTTCTTCTTTTGGTACGCGAAGAAGAAAGAAGAGAAGAAAAGAATGAATTGTTTTGTAAGACAAGTGTTATATTGTTGTTCACGTACGATGAATTATTCGAGCAGATTTCGTTCTCGTTAGGGTGCTATCGACTGGCCATCGATTCTCAGATGACAACGCCGATGAACAAGTTGCATTAATTGAGCGATTGCCACAAGCGTTTCTCTCTCTCTCTCTTTTTCTCTATTCATCTGTTCAGCGTAATGCTTGAGGCAGAAGTGCGAGAGATTCTTTTCTTCATTAGACCACCTACTGAGGAAATTCAGACGAGAACGAAACTGCCAAATGGTAACCACATTCCTTCTTTGAAAATATCAACTGAATCGACAAAAGTTGAGAGCATTGAATAGTTTTCATCAGCAATTCGTTTTCAAAGATATGAATTTACTCGAATGTTTCAATGTAACAAATCTATTAGGTATTTTTACTAGCAAATGTAGAAAAACAAACAAAAGAACGATGGTGATAGGATCAAATGCCAGCTCGATCAGGTTTTGGTTTGGCAAATTGCGGTGCACGACGGATCTTGTTCAATTTTGGTCTAAAATATAAATCAAAACAGCAGCTATTTTCGTTATAAGTTCATCGTTAGATTTACGTTTGTTTAAACACAGCTGGATGTTCGTTAAACATTTGTGCTAATTGTTCAGTTTCCAAGCGGAAATCTTTCTTCGTTACTTCTTTTTTATAAAATCGACTCTCGTAATCTTGTCGAACTTGAGCATTGAATACATTACTATCAGCCTACAATTGATCACATACATACTGACAGGTTCAACATGTTGTCTAACATACTTGTGCAAAACTCGCATCAGTGCGATCGATGGGTTTAGTGAATTCATACGGATGTGGTTTTTCCGGATGATAACAAACGATGTGATTAGAGTCAGGTGCCATCGCAATACATGGATTTGGTAGATTAATAGTAGAATCTGATGAGACGAATGCCGACAATGTTTTTGTTGTTAGAGGTCGTGCTAATAGTCTTTTATAAAGAACTCGATACATTTTCAATCTGGAAAAAGCGAATTAACCTATATTCTTGTTGTTGATGTTGTTTTTCTTTTTTGAACAAAATGAGATGTATACAAGTTAGACCAGGTATATGCAGAAAAAGAAAATGAACGAACGGACAAATAGGGATGGAAGAGTATCGATTGAGATCCGTAATCAACTAAAACTTCCGTTTTTCTAATAAATTTTCGAATATGTTGTGAAGAAAACAAAAAAGGAAGAAAATCAACAAAACAAAAACACAAGATGCTGACATGTTGAAGTAGCGGAAATAGAAAATAAATAAAACGACGAATATGCTTCATATTGGTTCGAAACACATGATAAATTGACTACAATTCAGGTCTATTAATATATCATAGGTCTTTTTTAGTGGCATCGCCGGATGGTTTGACGTATTTGTCTTTGACTTCGTTAATACGTTTGATGAATTCGGATTTTTCAATGAAGTCAGCAGTTTCACCCCAATCGCTCAAGATTTTCTTTAAATCTTTCACTTTCAGTTTACTTAAATCAACGGCATTGACGTCGATTTGTTTTTCTAAAAGAAGAATTACGAATAATTCACAACGAACACACAGTAATGCATTCATTTACCATATTTAAGGTCACAGATTTGTGGATTGGTTTTGAAAAGTCGTTCGCGACAGATCTTTTCCACTGGTATGCCCCATGCAAGTGGTTTCGAGAGATCACCAATAGCATATGTGGCTGATGTTTCTAATGCACCAATGTAGTAACACTAAACGAAAACCGAAATTCGAATATTTGATCGGTAAATTAATGGAAATAGATTTACCAATCGATGTTCCTTTGTGTCAACTTTGACTTTGGCGCAGAACTTTTTGAATGCTTTTTCGATCTTCTCCGGACTGCTTTTCTCATCGGCTGTTAGTGAATCTGCAAATTGGCCAACAGTTTTGATGCATACTAAAGGAAAAGTTACAGTACAAGTAGAAATCTCACTCAGTATTTACCTTCGCAATGTTGTTCATCAACAGCTTTCTTTGACTGTACTGCTGATATTGTAAATATCAGGGCGAGAGAAAATATAATGTATGTGTATGATTGCATGGTTTCAATTCAATGAATAAAACGTAACGGAAGAATCGAGTATATAATGGATTTAAAACGAGATGTATGACACGAATGGGATGATGTATTAATGTGTTTTGAGTGCGTGGCGAAGCGGGAATAAGTTCGACGGGGTCCACCGTTGTCAGACAAGTATTTGGTTAAGTCATAGCCAATCAAAACTTTATCAGAGTCCTTTACAAAATTGTCGCTAATATACGCGTGAGTCAATAACATCTGTTTGCATACTTCTTATTTTACACCTCGAAACAGAGACAGTGGTCAAATGAACAGTTTAGAAGAATCATTCGATGTTTAATTTTTTATTAAATCTGACTTAAATTATTTACAAAGTTATGATCTTGATCGATCGCGTCGACGACGATCACGGTAGTCATCACGATGAGATCGGTCACGATCTCGGTCGTACCGGCGATCACGATCATATTTATGATGACGATCTCGATCATGATGTCGATCGCGGTGTGAGTTACGATCACGCTCATCATCGTAGCGACGACGTTTCTCATCCTCTCTATATCGGCTCGACGATGACTTCGATGTAGGCGGCTGTTGTTGTTTTCGCTCGGCTTCCGCTAATTTGAGTTTTCTTTGTTTCTTATCGTGTTCCCATTTTGCTTTAGCAACACTTTGACTGAAATCGACATGGATACGTCGATCATCAATGAGCACATTGTCCATCTTAAAGTATGCTCGTTCGGCATCTTCTTCAGTTTCATATTCGATGAATGCATAGCAAAGTGAATCACCGGTTTTCTTATCACGCACAATTTCACAACTGAGAATTTCACCGAATCGACTGAATATTGTTTCTAAATCTTCATCAGTGGTCACCGGATTTAATTTACATACGAAGAGAACGTTTTCCGGTGGTTTCATATCAGCCTTGACAAAACAAAAAAAAAAGTCGAAATTACGTTGATTGTTTGACAGATAGATTTAACATACCTCTGGCAAGTCACCAATCAATTCGAGAATCTGTGCTCGAGCTTGTGCTTCTTTCTCTTCAATATACTCTTTTATTTCATCATCAGTCTTTCCTTGTATCCGATCTTCTTCGAACAACTCATCGAAACCAATCATTGACGATTTCACTCGTTCAATTGTTGGCGATGGTGAACGGTCAGGAATGTCCAACACTGCTGGTACTTCAAATGGATTTGACAAAATAACTGTATGAATAATTCGTATATCATGATAAGGTCGAAAATCGTGTCCAACAACAGCGATATTGATCTTATCCAACACATCCCACCCATCAACAGTTTCACCAAAAACCGTGTGAACACCATCTAATGAGTCCAGATTCGGAACTAAGGTGAAGAAAAATTGTGAACCATGTTGATTATTTGTGTTATTAACCATTGAAATCGCTCCGCGTTTTCGATGTTTGATCAATGGTTTCTTTTCCATATCGAAATATTTTGCTTGTTCACCGTATAGTTGCTGGTAAATGGATTCTCCACCTCGGCCAGTACCAGTTGGATCACCTGTCTGCGCAATGAAGTTCGTTTGAATCGAATGAAATAAGCAGAAATTGTAATATTTCATTTGACATAGGAGAAGAAAATTTTTACATGCTACCGGCCGTTCTTCATGATACAAATCGACGGTAATATCGCCTAGGGTTGTCTCTAGTACAACTGCCATTGCAATTTTCTAATCTAGAATAAATGGAAAAGATTTTTTTCAAGTTTTATTTCAGTTTATTTTATTTCATTTTTTTGTTGAACATTTCTTTTGGAAATTTTATAGTTTTTTTTTGTGCTTTTTTTTCACTTTGTTACAGACTACAAGCGCATTTATATACAACAGTTCAGCCAAAAGGAAAACAAAAGAAGTGAAATGACAGGCACACAAAGAGAAACGAATAGAAAGGTTTTTTTTTGTTCCTTAAAATGGAAAAAAACAAACAAATGGAATAACGAAAACGAATGTATCAAACAACGAGAAACATAATGTATCATTTCGCATCATTGTTCGATTCGTCGATCGTGTCTAGTTTTGGACGCTTTGACGGAGAATTGATATCCGATTCGAGAGTACTATCCGGTTCCGATGATGTCGAGTCTAGTTTTGCTCGTTTGAGATTTTCACACTTCTCATCCGTTAATTTCGTTTTCTCGGGCCGAGGACTTTGAGTGGATTGTGAACCCTTTGGTAGAATATTGCTCAATTCTCGTCGACGAATATAACTAGAAAGATGCGATTTGATAACGAGTGAAAATGAGCAAAAAAGACTATTACCGAGCGTCGAGATTAATGCTATCACGGCTTTTATTACTATTTGCTGCAGCTTGATCGACAACATCGACAAACGCACGGATCTCGTCAGTTAAATTTAGATGAACATTATTCGCATTGCGAAACTGTAATCCAACAATCCACATGCTACGAACTGCATTAGAAGTATTGTTCGAGTTTGAAGAAGAATCATTCGATGGTTTGCTATTGTTCGTAGATGACGATTCTGAAACATAATCGATTTATTCCTGATCTTCTAATGTCGTTTTCTTGCCTACCTGGGCTTTGATTTCCATTAGTTTCGGCTGGTTGTTGTAGCCGCTTGAAAACAACTTCATCGGGCGTGTACTTTTCTGAATTCACATGTGCTAAGTCAATGTACGGATTTCGTTCTAAGTTGACGATGAGTAAACGTATCTTTGACTCAACCAAGCCACTCCATTCAACGTATCGATCTTGGTCTGGCGCGGATAATAACAAGATAATGAAATGTTTATATCGATCAATAAACGGCCGGCCAGTAAATAGCTCTTTCCATTCGGATTTGCCTGACATAATTCGATTCACCGTATCCAAACCACGCTGGAATTCTTCGATAATGATCCTCTGTGTCGATCGTGAGACATTGTGTGTAGAATTTTGTTGTGGATAAGCTGGTGTGATGATGGGCATTAAGTGACGACGATCGAACGAATTCAATCTGGAATCCCAAACAGTAAATCCATGTTGAGGATCATTAATTTCTTTGAGTAAAACAGGTGTTGGCCAATTCCATTTGTTATAGACATAAAAGAATTTATGAACTAACGTTGCCGCAATCGCATTCGGATACAATTGACAGATGCGTGCAACGAGCATAGCCCATGCAACGCCGCCGAAGAAACCTAGTGCATTATTGTACAGACCACTTTTCTTTGCCCATAACTTGATAGCACGTAGTGTTGCTCTGAATGTTTCACGATTAGGTACTAAATCAAGGATTTCATCAGCCACGCGACAACCGTTTAAGCTTCGTACACAACTGTGATCAAGATTTAATAAAAGTTGATCATCCTTTAAATCAAGTGTACTCGGAATACTTGGCAATGCTAAACGAGCAAATAGCATATCCAATTCAATACCATCGTATACTAATTTAATCACTGGTACAAAAGCTCCTTCAACTGCATGTAGATCACGCACTTCTGGTTGACTACGAAGACATTCGACGAATGAAGTAAAGAAATCTGTGCGATCGATATGGCGTGGTGCAATGACGAGTGTATCGATATCACCACCTGAAAAAAAATCCGAGTATTACAATGAAAATACGCATCTTTTTCGAAAAAAAAGTACTCACCTTTCGAATGAACACCAAGTCGATAAGATCCGAATGTATGTACACCTCCTCCGACTGCATCGGCAATTTCTGATGGTACGTTTTTCGCAATCGAAACATTACGAATCCATTTCCGTACTAACGCATCTAGTTTTGCCATGACTTCGACTCGATGTGATAATTCTGCATCAGATTCAAAATAATTATAGGAACGTAATGTTTCTTCTAAACTGTCTGTTGCTATACAATCCGATGGATCAGGACCTTTCACTGATACTGGTGGAGTTATTCCATAGGAGCGAACTGGTGTTGGACTATTGTTATCATTTCCAGAAGGATTGTTCGATGCGGACGACTTCATTGTTGTCGTAGTTGTTTGACGAACAGTAACGAGTGTTGACATATTCCAAATTTATAACATAGCAAGCATTAAGGAGTGAATTTATTCACTAGTATTAACAATATCCCATTATTGTTCTACAATGATGAAATATCTACGTTAATAAGCACAAGATATAACGACAAATCAGCGACTTTTCCCTTCCGTCATTTTCTCGTATTTCAGTCCGTGACTCGACATTGTACGAACCAATCAGATTCACTCGTCCGACCTCTATATGTATCGTGGTAACACACCTATGCATATTTATTGTTCAATGTGAAGAAGAAATGAAAAATTGCTGGAAAAAGTTTTTCTCACAAATTCAAGTTTTTTCTCGAGCACAAAAACAATTGAAAACAACTTAAATAAAATAAATAAACTGGTCATGTCATTATACAGATAGTTTATTGAACATAAGGACACGCAGACAGATGTTCAGTTAATCTGATTAATTGACAATTCTTCTTTTTTCCTTTCAGATGATTGAACAGCGCACAGAAAAAGTTGTGTGCCAAGCCAAATTTCATTCTCTCAATGAATGGTAATGGAAATGACAGACAATCATTTCGTGTCATTTCATCAATGATTTGTTCTATTCTAGAATCTCAATGAAAATTCGTGCTATTTACATCTATTTCGTTTTTGAAGGTAAATGACTCGTTGTACTTATTTTTACTTCTCACTCAAGTATTTTATGATCACTTGACAGTCGAAAACAACAGTCCTCTCATCAATCATCTCGCCACTGAGATAGAATTTTCTCCAGATTATGTTTCGTCTTTGAAAATTTCATACGTAAAAAGAGAAACGCTGTTGTGTATGACTCATGAACATGTGTGCAAACGCGTTACCTAGCCGAATAGAAATAGGTCTGACGAATAGCAACAAGTTTTTTTTTCGTGCAGAACCGATCAATTTTATGTTTTGATGAATAAGTCCGGAAAGTATGGTACAAATAGCGAAGTTTTATCGCGTAGTACGAAACAGAAAGAAAAACGCCGACGACAAAAATAGTAGATACAAATAGATATTATAAAAATGCATACATTTAATCGATTGCGTTCAAAAATTCATCATGAATCTTCTCATCCGTCGAGAACCACACCAGCGTCATTATCAACAAAATTAACAACACATTTCATTCCTTCAGCAACTGCCGATTCTGCTAATACTACACCTACTCAATCTATTAGCATCTCAGCACCTATTATTAATTCGAAAGACAAGGTTATAATTATCGACAAAGATCAGACAAATAAGAGTCGTAATGAAGAGCAGATATCAGTTGTAGACGACGACAACATCGAAGAACAACTAATCTCATCAGAAGAAACAGAAAAAATGTCTGGTGAATGTACACATCTTGATGATCAGGTAGATTAGAAANTGCAGCTTCATCATCAAATTTAAGAATTCTTCCGAAGGTACAACTGATAAGACACTTGTCAACACTAATCTAATACATAAACGAAAGATGACATCAATGAACTATATATTTCTTTTTATTTCTCTATCTGTTAGCCCGTATCGTCCACATCAACATTAAGTAATTCATCATCGTCATCAATACAGAATATCGAAGTCACGTCAATAATGGTAGGTGCTAGTACGCGCGAAGAAGTTTTAACAAATTGTAAAGCAACAGCAATGATTTACAATGATGCACAAAAGAAATGGATACATTGTGCATCGAATGGACCAGCGAAAATTCAGATCCTGTTTACACCAGACACACAAACATATCGTATAGTGGGCCGGCAAATTCAAGATCACGAAGTTGTTCTAAATCATTTAATAAACAAAGGGATTAAATATAATCAAGCAACACCTACGTTCCATCAATGGCGTGATCAATCATCTGTTTATGGTCTTAACTTTGCCTCGAAACTCGATGCGCAAGAATTTGGTACAACTATGACGAAAATTCTTGAAAGTGTCAATGGCTCTACTAATCTATCTTCTCATACCAATACTAATGGCGGAGTTACTCTTCCATCGTCGACACAACAGAATAATAATAACACAAACAGCACATCGACATATAAACGTCAAACGAGCCAACCGTCTACAATTTCTTTTCCTCCTACAGCAACCACAGTATCCATCAATTCTACATCTTCTCCTTCTGTTACTGTATTCGATCCAACACAACAACAACAACAACATCCGCCACATCCACAGCAGCAGCAACAGTTACACTCGTCATCGTCTTACAATAATCAGTTGCGTCCGAGCTTGAACTCAATAAATTCGACATTAACGGGCCCCAGTAATAATAATAACAACAGCAACCACCACCACACTACGCAGCATACCCAACATCAACAACCACCTGAAGAAGAAGAAACAAATTACGCACTTATTTCCGATTCGCTTTCATCCTACGGTGATAATTTAAACAATAAAAACAACAATATTCCACAAGCTCCACCTCTAAATCTTTCCATGTCTACCGGCAGTGCACCACCACCTGCTCCACCACCACCCCCACCAGCTGCCCCTCCTCCGCCCCCTCCAATGCCAAGTAACTTGGGAGCTGGTCAACCTTCTGCACCTTCACTTGTCCTTCCAACTTCAAACGGAAGCAATGGCACTAGTACACCACGCAAATCGAGCACCACGGCACCACCGATGGATCTGATGTCTGAGATGGCAGCCAAATTTGCTCAACGACGTAAACAGGTCGATGAAGGAGAGAAACCAGATTCATCTAATGTAACCAATTCAGTTAAAGCATCTTCGAAAACAGTGCCTACTTCAACTCTACCTCCAACACCAGTTGCACCATTACAAACTTCACCACGCATTAATCGCAAAATGAGCGAGTCGCAGACAGGTCCACACATCACCGCTAACGATTTGGAAAAGTTAAAAACTGATATCCTGACTGAAATACGAAAGGATATCGAGAAGGCCAAACAAGAAATTCTCACTGCTTTAGTCGATCGTCAGAAAACGATAAGAAAATAAATCACATTTCAACCGATACCAAACACAGGATTAAAAAAAAGCTTTTCTTTTGCTACGCTTTCTATTGCTATTTTTCTATTATATATACATGCACATATATTATTGTTGTTTATCTTTGTGTATGTTTATTTCAAATTAACTTTTTTTTCATGTTGTCTTTGTGAGCATTTGAGATAAAACATCAGTGTATAATTTACAAATATGCTTTAATAGTGGTGAACAAATATTTTCTCTTCTTATTTGCTTTTCAAAACGTGCTGTTCGTGTTTTATGAAGAAATATATATACATCGAAGAATAAAGAACCACGACGCTATTATGTGGAATAAAGATCATGCTTTTCTTCTTGTTTTCTGTCAGATAATTTATACGTATATATATATATCCTACTGTTCCATGTATTCATTATCTGGTTAGCTTGGTTTTTTTGCTTCCTTTTTATTTATTACTCGTCGCATAAGACAACAAATTGTCCTTTGTCTTCTGATTGATTTTCTTTCTTCTCTTTTCTGACATTTAATACTGCGTTGCATGTTGTATATGACAGAGCGTTTGTTTTTTAATTCGCTGTGAAATTAAAAAAATAATCTCGAGATTCCTATGCATCCGTACCGGGAAGCTTTTCTCGAGTCATTGTTTTTTAAAAATATTTATTCATTTTGTTTCAGTATAAAATTCATGTCATGGAAGTGACGAATAATGTACAACGAAAAGGTCTGCCGCGTTCACTTCAATTCCAACGAATGGAACGGATCGTTAAAGCCATGCAACATCCGACGGCAGGAGTACCCGTACGTAGCCAAAAGTTATTTCTGACGACAGTACCGAACGCTTTCACTGGTACTGACGTAACTGAATGGATTATGGAAAAATTAAATGTCAAAGATTCCGGTAAGTCAACGCATTCGAGTGGAGGAAACCAGGTAATGTTTGCCTTTTTAGCTGAAGCACTTCATTTGGCTTCATTATTGTGTTATTATGGATACTTTTTCCATATAACAACAAACGGGGCCGTGCAAATAAAAGATGATAATGAATTATTTCGCTTTCAAGCACCTTATTATTGGGTTTCGACTAATTGGACAACAGGAAATATTGAATACGGTTCGTTGGAAAGAATGATCGAGGTTATATAGACACGCGTTTTCTGTCATTTTTAGCGATTTATTTATTGAAACGAACGTTACGAAATCGTCAACGACATGGTCTTGAAGAGCACGAAATGGTTTGTTGATGATTTCATTTGGAAATCTAATCTTTTTCTTATTCTGTTTAGCATGCGTTAGACGATCTGAAGAAACGATTAATTCAACAGTGGGATTTTGTAACCATGCAAGCTGAAGCTCAATTTCGGTAAGAAAACCAATAGAGAGTGATTTTGTTTCTCAAAATTCACTTGTTGCTTCGTGTAGTGTTTTGAAAGATCGTAAGAAAACCGATAAAACGATTATCGACAGTCAAGAACGAGCGTTCTGGCGCGTGATGCGTCCATCGGTGAGTCTATCGAGTTAATCAAGCAAGTTGAATATTGTATTTTTCTAGCCTGATGAAGCATCCGTTCTCGAAATGGATATACGAAATGATTTATACACGCATCGTCCGATGAAACGTGATGAAGTCCTAAAACGTCGTGTAAGTTAAATGATTACATTTCTCCATTACATCAATCATCATACGAGAAGTGTTTATCTAACTGACATGCTATTTTTCAGCTAGAATATCTCCAACAGGCGTTGACCAATCGAGTTCGCACAAAATCTTCGCAAACGCATCAAAGGTTTTTTTTTTCTCATTGTTTATACCTATGCATAAAACTGCCCATCGATCGATGTTGCCTTTTTCATCGCTGTTTTTCCTCGATGTTACCTACCTAATTGCTTTGTGTGATTAGAATTTTTGTTTCGAATGGATCCATTGACTTTCATTTCTATATTTTCAGTTTATGTGCGCATTCTGAATTACTCAGTGATTATGACCCATTCCTCGGTCATTGTCTACCTTCAAATCCTTGGCTTACATCGGATACAACTCGATGGGATCTGACACAACCTTTGTAAATAATTCATTCTGTCTGATTCGTTTGTTAGTATTTTGGCGTGTGGTTTTTGTAGAGTTGATAATCCTACTCAGCTTCGTGTTCGTCGATGGTCATTTGGTTGTAAAGAGCTTCTATCCGATCCGACGGGTGTTCGTGAATTTATGAAATTTTGTGAAGCTGATTTTTCCACCGAAAGCTTAAATTTCTATCTCCATGTTCAAGCACTACGAAATTGTCCATTATCTCAAATAAAACAAAAGGCCGAACTCGTCTATCGGTGAGTGAAGTGTTATACATTAGAATGAAATGTGTATCGTCTTGTTCCTTTTCTAGAGAACATTTGGCACCGAATGCTCCTCAAGAAGTTAATATCAACGATATGATACGAACAAAAATCATCAAACAATTAGATAATCCAACTCGGTAAATAATGCAGCATGTCTTTTGTTAATTGATGCATCTCGGAATACACTTGTAGTGAAATCTTTTTCGAAGCTGAGAAACATATCATTGAACTAATCAAGAAAAACAGCTATCCACGTTTTATCCAATCCGAAGTCTATCGAAGTCAGATGCAAAATGCACCCAATCCATTGCCGAAGAAACCGTAAGAGAACTTTCTAGTTCTCATACCAACCGAGCTGATTAACATGCAATTTCTCTATTTAGTGGAATATTCCATTTTGTCAAAGATAATTATTTCCGAACGTCGGAAAGTAGCAGTGATGATGAATATGATTCGGATGACTCTGCTCATAAAAGTGATAATCCTGCTGCTAATACTCTGAGTAAATCGCAACCGTTAGTTGGCACACTAGTCAATACAACAGCGGTAGCAACAGCCGTTGTCGCGGCAACTTCTGCATCGATCCAGGCGTTGGGCAATGACGGTAAAAGGTAAAGACAAATGATTGATCAATATGTTACTTCTACCATGCTGAAAACATTTTCAATTTCGTTTAGACTTTCTCTACGCAATCAACCCGGATCGAAATAATATTGATACAGGCTTCGCTTTGCTCGTTTTGTTTCACATACAATGCAATACTTTAGACAGATTTTGTACGGCATCGTTCTGATCAACCAATCAACTCATTTTCTGAAATCAACTGATTATAACGATGAAAATTCCGAGATATCTCTTATTTTCCTAATATTTGTCTACTTATTATTCAAACTCGATGTCTTTTTCTTTTCATTAGCATTTTGTCTGTAAATGTCTCTATGCCTTCTTGTTGATATGTGTGTACGTGTCGCGGTCATCATTATTCTTCTTCGTATTTTTGGTTAATATTATTGATCAAAAAAAAAGTCTAATCACTCGATGATATTTTTTACTATAAGATTATTGAATATTTCAGATGGAGACTACGAGACTTCCTTCTTCTGCAACTGTAATAATCCAAGGCGAAGGAGCAGATGTGAACTTGAAAATCAATAAAACTGTTTTTCGTTTGGGATGGTTTTCATTCATTTGTGGTGCTTGTGCGTTTCTTACACACTACATTTCATTGGATCATCTGGAGAATTTCTCGCCATTCAATGCAGGTCTTATTGCCGGATTTTTTCTGATGATTGCGGGCTTAGCATCGATTGCAGCTGGATATCATGAGACATCATATAAATATTACCTTCATGCTCAAATTTGGTCATTTATTGTCGATCTTCTCTTGGCGCCTGGTCTGATCATTGTAGCGATAAGCGCGCTGATTATAGACAGTCAAGATATTCAACCTCTCTGCCGAGCGGAAGGTGAATCCGAATTGAACATTCTATGTATCAAGGAAATGAACTTGTATGACTTAAGTCGCATATTGAATATAATTCAATTAGCTATTGGTGCTGTATGTTTTGTTACTCATATCATTCTTCTATCGAATCAAAGACGAATGCTTGAGCGAATGATAATTGCTGAGAATGGTGTTGCGAAAGAAGTAGTTATGTACGCTCAACCTACGAGTAAGAACAAGTTATCCAATTAACAAGATTATTTCTCTCGTGTTATTTTGCTTTAGATCAAACGATATATTATGCTGATTCGCCGCCGAAATACGAAGATCTTCCATTATCTTAAAACATTCCGCATAAGCATGCTATTCTATTTCTGTAGAGCTAATGGTACTCATTTAATAGATATATGTTTTTAACGTAGCTGTAGTTTGTCAAATAGCAATAAATACTCAGGGGATACACATTTTAATTATAAAAAGGAATAAATGAACGATAATCAACTAACGACATCTGTCGAAATTTCAAATCTTTTTCCTGGTGGTCAATTATACAAAACAAATTTCCAGTTATGACGTCATGTTTATTAAAATATATCATGGTTACGAGGAGATTTTCTTTTATTAGAAAAACTCACCATAACCTTCTAATAACCTCTATCTGATCTAAATGTTCTCATGGCCGGATAACAATGGCGATTCAAAGAAAGACATAACTATTCGACACGTTTTTGTTGTTGTTTTTCATAAAATATTCCACTGATATTCGTCGAAAAAAACAATTCGTTTTCATATTTTATTCAGATACAATCGGACGAATTCATAACCATGTCGGATACACCTGTTGAAAATCAATCAGATGCCATAGACAAAGCACCATCAAATGAAGCTATGGACCAACAGCAAACTGAACCGGCAGTAAACAAGGTTAACGATGAAACGTCGACTAAAGAAGATTCTAATTCAACGAAACAGAAGCCAGATGTTTCAACGTTGCCTACGCGTGCTTATCTTGATCAAACAGTCGTTCCTATACTTCTCCAAGGTATGTCACAAATAGCTCGTGAACGTCCAGCGAAACCAATCGAACAATTGGCTTTATATTTACAACAAAATAAGGAAAAATACGGTGAATAACTAAGAAATAAATAAACAAGAATAACATGGCATATTTGTTCTGTATGCAATTATATTGATATTGTTTTAGTTCAATACTAATTCTATAACGTATCTCTTCTGTCGTTCATTATCGCTTATACATATATAAATTACTCATGATTGGTTCTGTTTCTTTTTGCAACAGATATATGATTTGATTTTTACTATAAGGAAAAAGCAATTTGTTTTCGCGCCACATTATTTTTTAGATTTCTTTCCTACGCGCATTTATAACTACGAAATATAAACATGTCGGACGCTACAGGGGACAATCCAGCACCAACCAGTGGTGAATCGACTGAGAAAGCCGCACCAGCATCATCGGAACAAATGGAAGCTCAACCAGCAACTGATTCAGGTGAACAACAATCGAATGAGAAACAAGCGGATACAAGCAAGGAAAATGCCAACAATTCGCAGCAACAACAAACAGGCGAAAAGACGAAACCCGACTTATCGACATTACCAACACGGGCCTATCTGGATCAAACTGTTGTTCCTATTCTTCTTCAAGCAATGTCTCAACTTGCTAAAGAACGACCTGCTAAACCAATTAGTTTTCTTGCCGAATATTTACTTAATCATAAAGAGAAATACAATGAATAAAAAAAAAGTCTAGAGAACGACATAATATTCGATTCACCCATGTTTTTTTTTCTCTCTTTCTTTCTTCGTCACTGTTAATCGAACGATTTTTATGATTATTCATTAACTATCTTTGTCTCTTTCTTCTTCTTCTTCTTCTTCTTCTACTACTATTACTCTTGTCTTTATTTGTTGTGTTTCTAAAACATTAGTCTTCTGTTCTTGTTGATTGTAGTGATGATGTTGTTGTTGTTACAAAAAAAAACAGCAAAGAGAGAAAAAAATACAAGAAGAAACAAAAGTCAATATGATTTGATTAATAATATTAAACGAAAATATGCTCAGTTATCATCTACTTCGAGGATGTCATTTCTAACTAATATAGATTCACAATGTTTTACATGTGAGTTCAGTCAAAAGTAATTAAGTCTATTTTTATACGCAAACTTCGATAAATATGTAGAAAAGGACTTTTTCATGTCACTTGCCATCATTAAAATTAGAATCGTACGAATCTCTCGAGTTGACACTTCTAAATAGAGACGAGTATTTCGATGTCGACGAATGCTCTCAAATTGAATGAATGACGTAGATAATGAATCAATTCCAAGGAGAAAACTTTCTTTGGATTTACATTTTTATTATTCTATTGAAAGATCGTCATCAGCCACTTTCATTCCACGATTGTTGAATCTTGTCAGAATTTTATATGACATACATGCTATTCTCATTTATATTCGGCAAGCTCTCCGAGGAAACACTGTCATTGCCCTTTGTTTTGTTTTTGCTATTATTATTCATCTTTTTAACAAGCGTGCAAAACGATGGCGAAAAAAAGAAGTTCTGTGTTTGAAAAAACTTAACTTGAAATCTTTCTTTCTATTTATGTTGAATCATTCGAACAGAACAACAAGTATGACGAAAGAAAAAGAAAAATACACTGATACAAAGATTAACTGAGTATTCATTTGAACAGCTAGAAAGAACGAATAAAAAGTGAACAAATTCACACTGTACAGTTCGCAATTTTACATATGTATAACGTAAGAGAAGAGTTTTCTACAGTGTAATTATGTTGGAGAGAGAAGAATTGGGAAATTATTGAATTTCATGATTAATGACGGGGGACGGAATGAAAAGAACAAATTTGTAAAGAAAGCATTCACACACAGATGAATATTATCATTTATGGACTATCTCGATCGATAGCATTTTGTTGTTGCATTAATTGCAGTTCTAAGCGTCGTAGAGCATTCGAATGAATTTGATCCATTTGAGCGATTCTATTCGAATGTTGTTGTTGCAAAGCAAGAACACATTTGATTAATTCTAATGAAAAATCGGAAGATGCAATGGATATCAAGTAAATAGCGTTGATCTTACCCTCTTTTGATGATGCTTGGAGATCTTCAGGTATTAATTGCACGTGATTATCATTATCAGTATCCTCTGATGAAAATTTATGATTGAAACTGAACGATGTGTTTAACATCGATGTCGATTGAGAGGAAGAATCAACGTTAGGACTTAATTCAGTTGTTGGAGATGATAGAAAACCATTCGAAGGTCCAGGCGTCCATGGAGAAGACGGACAAGTTGCTGGTGATAATAACTTGCTGTTAAAACGTGAGCTAAATTCAAAATAACATGAAAAAAGTCGTGCATAGAAACGACAGAGCCGTACCTGGACGATGAATCGAGATTTTCTGGATCAGCTAGAGATCGATTGGTCATTGATTTATCAATTCGTGGACTGTTATTCTACAAAACGATTGAATACATATTTACTAATCGCAATTGAAAGGCAAAAAGATCGATTACTTTCGACGATGAAAAAAACAAAGCCATTTTTCCACTACCATTTCCATTACTTGTTCCATGACCGTTCGTTGTGATTGACTCTCGTGATGCACTTCGTCGTAAGTCCATCGTCATCGAACGTGTTTTCGTTCGTGCATCGTTCGAAGGTGGTGTAGTAACGATGATTGTTGTTGCAGGAGATGATGCTGGATTTTGCACACGTAGTTTCGGTGCAATGAATCGACGTCGAACGGAACCGAGCAGTGAACTATCACCATGCCGATCTGGTGTTTTCAAAGTGTTATTTTGTGTTTCTTCACGTTGATGTTGCTGTTGTTCAAGTTCACATTCATGTTTATATTGACTATGTAACATGACAAAGTTCATCAATGGTCGATTGTTATCATGTAATGTACGATATAAGTTTTCGAACAGAGTCATCTTTGTTCGTTCCTATAAAAGCAAAACTGTATATTCTGAACAAATCAGATCGAATTAATTTTACTTGATATTTTTGAAATGTACTAGCACGACACGACGCCATTTCAGCATTGATTAATTTCGTTAATATCCATTGCTTGAAGATCTGATCGCAGTGGAACGATGTGGAAAGATTCGAGTTTGGTCCGAAGGGTGGGACACTATCCCGATGAATAACTGAAACTTTGAATTCATTGCCTGTTGAGTCTAATGGCGTAACAACGAGATAAACATGGAGAAATTGCGATGCGATACATTCGGGATTGAATAATGTTTCGGTTTCTTGAAAGACAATGGCAACGATATCATTGCCAATATGACGCTTTCGTTCTAGTTGCTGTCGTTCACTTTTCGAATGTGGTAGCAATGTACTAACATGAAACATAATTTCATGATCATGAAATTGTTCGTAGACTGACTCCACTCCTGTCTGATCACATTTGACATCCAAACCACCACGAAATCTAGAAGAAAAGCTCGATGATAAATAATTAATTGAATGCTCGATTGAATTCACCCTCGGAAATCTTTTAGTTTCACGCGTGTTCCAATTAAATTTAAGAATTTATCCATGGCTACACTGTGCGTTTCATTACTGAAGATATCTTCTTCACTCAATTGATTTTCACGTTGATAGATGATTCCAAATTTATGCTGATTCGATACATGTGATTCATCATATTTTAATAATAAATCATGTGCCTAGAAAAGAAACGAGAAGAGTGCGAATTGGAAATTCAATCAATTTTTATATTTACTCCATCGCATAGCACCGGATCGAAATATTCGACATCATTGATAGCACATTGTTCACATATACGATGTAAAATATCACTTGGAGCCATTGATGATGGGATATCAGTGAACGATTCAATCAGAGTCCGTTGTCGCGTTCTGAAAACAATCGATAGATGAGTTCGGACTGAAAAGTTCGAATATGTTAACAACTACCTAACAATTGACATTACAGATCGTTGTTTATTCTGATCAATAGAATGTTTATATGAAATAATAACATGTCCTTGACTTTCACTCGTGCCATACCAATTAAAATGTTCCTAGTAAAAAGGAATTTATCATCATAATTAGAAAACGATTGTTTACATACAGTTGATTCGAACTGCTGTCGATAGATTAACGGTTTATCATCAATTTCTAATTGTGGTAAACATTCATCAACACTTGTTCGCGTGGAAATCGAATTCATGTTAGAACTTTCATAACACCAAGTGAAATCATTGATTGATTTCGTATAAGGAATCGACATAGCACTGCCATTGAAGACTGTTCGATGTGATGAAGGTGATTCAACCATACCATTTGTACTGATATTGGATAGTGGATCGAACAAGCCCTAGGAAACGAAACGAAACGATTGAAGAATGTTGATGTATTCATTGGATATGATTGACTTACTAATCGATCGACCGTTGTTGAAGGTGCCGTTGAAATACGCTAGAAAGAAAAAGAAAAAAAAAAGAATTAGTCGATGTATTTAGGATAAACATATATTTGTATGTCGACGTTTAGTGTTTTAGTCAAGGCAAGCACGTACAAAGTAATTGTTACTACGAATATTCAATAATGGTGATAAATTGATCATCCGATGAGTAAATATCGGTGACATCGATGATAATTTCTCATCTGAATCCATGTTTAGATGAAGTTCGGTGGTGACTGCTCGCTCGCGTCGACGCATGACGACGATTAAGTTTTAAGAAGATAAGATATCTTGTGAATGAGAAGGAAATATATCTCTTCGAACGAAGATCAAGTTAGATGCAATAAGTTTGTTATTATTTTTATTATTTCTTTCGGCACAATAACAAATAACTATCGACGACAGTCAAGAGACAAAAGCGAAGAAAATTTTCTTCTCTCTTTCCCTTTCTCGATGTCGAATAGTAGAGAGAGAGAGAGAGAGAGCGCGTGATGGGCGGTACGAGCGAGCGTTCTACTGGTGTATATCGCTTGTCGGATGACGGGAAAATATCTATCTGCTCGTCTCTTCTTTTTTTTTCTTCTTCATCTAATACAAGCATATTTCTATCTTTCTCGTCGCGTGTTTTTGTTCATCAGCATCATCATCGCGAGCTTTTTCTTGTTTTGTTCGGTTCTTTTTTCCTATTTCCCGTTCTCATTTATATGACAGTAACGTCAATGAAAACAGATATAACTAAGTCAGTCATATAAGCCAAAAGACAAAAGATGAAAGAAAGAGAAAATAAATAGAATTCCGACATGGGTAACATCTCGTTGCCAGCCATTTGACTCGATGGCGCAATCATCTATGGCAACATCTGAGTGAAAGCTGACAAATACAGAACATTCATGGAGTTAAATGAATAAAAAAAATGGCAGCAAATGATGATGATGTAATGATCGTAATTGTTTTAGGAAAGGGAAAAAACCAATTAGGTTAACATCAATGGTATTAGATGACAAAGCAGGAGTTAGATATCAACGAGGGTACATGAGAATCGCATACCTGTAAGAAGCTGAAGACGCTATGTTTACGTAGCTAGAGAGAAAAGAAGCTTTTGTTGTTGATATTGTTCGAATTGTTTGCATTTCATTTTGGATTAATAATGAAGTGAGAAGGGAGAAGGAAAAACAAAAAGGAAATCTCCACATACTCGAGGTTCTTGTTTAGTCGATTGTGTAGAATTATTAACACCGATTGAATCCGATGCTGTGCCCATTAAATTTACCAAACTAGTACTAATCTAAATGGAATCGATAAAAGGTTGTTATTTTGGATGTATGTTTATATAGATAAAAAAAAGAAGAAAACCCTAATCTTCAAATATAAAAAACCTACCGTTTGAGCCAGATAAAGTGTTGGTTTGACTAGTTGGGACACAACAAAACTCATCTCTCTTTCTCCTTTTTTCTTTCTCGAATGAATTCAATTTGACACGCAAGTGAGATTAGAAAGTAATAGGCTCTATACTATCTGTATGTCTATACATGCACACAAGTAGGAGAGAGAGAAAGAGGGAGCGAAGAGAAAACGAAAAATAACGATATGCTTGATCTGATGCGCCGTGTACTACACAAATCGATCATGAAACTGTTCAAATAACACTTGAGTCAGTCACACAATATCGTCAAGAAAGAACGTATGTTTATCTGTCTCAATATGTACGTATATTCTATGTGTCTATCGAACACTTTCAAATAAATAAAAAAAAAGAGAGACTTCGACGTGTATAAATATAGTGACATAGGTAGATAATCATCTAACGATTGCATGCTACATATTCGTTTTCTCACCTCTTTACTAGGTAAAACACGCGGAGGTAGAATTGATGATGATGAAGTTGTTATTGGAGAGGTTTCATTGACATTGTTCGCTGTTAATTGTGTTGAAGATTGATTGAATGCAGTTGAATTTAATATTGCTGATGATGTTTGAGCACTGTTCTTTTTATCCAACGGTTTCCGTGGTGGTAGAGCTGGTGGAATGTCATGACTAGGCGATTGGATGGATAAAAGTGCGGGACGATTGGGTTGTTTATGAGTTGAAGAGGATTTTGCCGATGCGTTGCGTTGTTCATCTTTGTATGTAAGATTTGAATCATTGATGGATTTGACATGATTGGAATTCCGACCGGGTTTGCGTCTAAATTAGAAGTAGAAAGAAAAACATGAGTTTATCATGCAAAAGAATAACAACTCTCGATTTCATTAGTCATGTTTGCTTTTGATAATTGAATAGATCATCGCAAATCGTTAAATGTCACATATTTTTCTGTACGTAGAGTAAAAATATGAATTGAACTTTTAATAGGATTGACCCTAATGTCATTTTCTTTTGTTATACCCAGAAAAAAGAAATGACCTGAAACACTGTGCGGCTTAACACGGATTGGAGATCTACGATGTTGATCTTCTTTATTTGATTGAGTGTCAATATCAATTATGATCTTTCGAAGAGGAAATTCAATCGAACGAATGTTGTATAAATTCAACAAAGTTCTCAAGTAGAACTAATCTATTCTGTATTATGTCTCAAGTGTATGTCAAATAGCACGAGACAGAAACCTTCGAATAGTCATCGACAACAATGAAGGTAATATTACTTATTTCTAACACTTTCACTATTGTTTGTTTTATTGATGACGGTAATTATCATCAACATTGTTGTATACCTGATGTTGAAAGACGAGAGAAATTGCATGTGTAGGGGTGTTTTCAGTTTAAAAGCTGAAGAAGATGATGATGATGATGAATGTTGATCAGGAAATAAGAAAAATACCAAGTAGATGTAGTCGACACGTCACAATCTCGTCAATATTATCATTAATATTATTATTGTTCGTCGTCTTCAGTAAAAGAAATGTTCGTCTAGAATTACTGTAGATACTCCTACACATTCACGCACACACACACATCCTTCGTATATGCCAAGATACGATCGATGTGAAATTAAAAATCACTTTTCTCCTCTCCATCCCTTTCTATTCACAAGTTGGATGTAAAGAATGGTGAATAAGAGTATAAAAAAAGAAAGAGGGAATCGAGCAACAGATGTTAAAACATGAAGAATCGAATGTGAACTCGTTATCGTACCTGAATAACAACATCTGTCCCTCGCCAAGATCAATACTTAATCAGCATTGAAATACAAATATACAAGAAGAAATCAAATCAACTTCGAAACACGTACCTTCGGCGGAATGAATTCAACATCGTCGCTTAAGATATTTGTTAGTATAGAAAAAGAAGCAGAAGAAATGTTGTCATACACTCGTCGTTGCTTTTTTTGTAATATTGAGAAAATATAATCGATCGTAAATGTTCGTCTTCCTGTATGTTTCGTGTGTGATGACTTATCGTCATTATATATATATATAGAAGATGATTCAAACTAATTGTTGGCAGAGCGGGGGTTGATATATAGAAATGCACTGCGATGACGAAGAAAATTGAGGACTGCTAGAATACGTGTACGTGTGAATGAGTATAGATGTTTGCGCCAATGCCACTTTCTCTTCTCGCTTACTTTTCTATCACTCTTCTTAGAATACCTTTGACCGACAACGTTCTCCTCTCAAATTTTTTTTTTGTTTCAAACACAAAAAAATATGCGAAGAGAAAGCACGACGACAGTAGGTCAATACATATAAGTATGTGTGCTTTCTCTTACCGTTTCTCTCCTTATTCAAATGAAATTTTTTCGTTAGTTCTCTTTTCTCTTCTGTCGATGATAATTCAAGGAGGTACCACCGTCCACCTGTACAATAATGCTATTATTGTCGCCCGATGGGGACAGAAGGGAAAGAAGAAAAAGAATCAACGCTGAACTTGACATTTCGTTCAGAATATATATATATACATAAACGAATGAAAAGAAAGATACAAACCTCACTATAATCAAAAGATTTATTTTGCCAATTATCAAAGAATTACTCGATATCTTCGACATATAAAACCCTACACTATGAACCATATGAAATGACCTCTACTGCTACTAGGGTATGTATTAATCTTAAACTATGATCAGATGTGGTTCATTTATAATAACGAATAGAACATGGTTCAAGACACTCACTCTTCGTCCATTTTAGTTTTTTGTTCAAAAAAAATTTCTCCTCTCGCTATGGCAATGTTCTCTTTTTTTTCTGAAGCGTCGAGGAAAACTAGCAGTATCATTGCCTTTTCTGACGTTATTATATTATTCACATGAGCATGGTAAATATTTGTCGACAAAGATCATAGTTAATGGCAGAAAAATAAATCACAATGTCTTTCTGACTCGCACGCAGAATAGTCATAAATCTAGTTGAAATCAAGCGATTTACTTGTCGATGGCAAATATTCATAAAAAGATCAATCCAGACACACCTCCTGTCATGTCGTTCGAGAACTTATAGAAAATATGCTGTATGTCTAGCAACATTGAACGTTAATGTTACATATAATTAATTCAAGGCTGTCTCGTTTCTTTTGCATATGTTAAACAAGAAAGACGAGAGAAAAATAAACGCAACGAAATCATTTTTGACATTTTACATACCTTGCTGAAGCACATGACGTCAGCTGACGTATAGAATTTCTTAAACCGGAAGACATCGAACGAGTATTATTACCAGTCGATTGATTTCTCAAGTATTGTTTTTCATCGTCATCATTATCATCATCGTCGTCGTCGTTTCGAATGTATTTTACTGTTTTGTACCGATGATTTTCGGAATGAAGAGGCGTTTGCATGATCTATTTCTTATCGGCGATCAAATGTTCGTAGGTCGCATAATTGTAATCATCTTGAAGAAGAAAAAAGAGAAAGAACTCGCATTAGGATTAAAACTAACAAGGACGGGTCAGTTCACGGTCAAAGAAAAACACGCGAAAGGTAAGTCGAAACGAAATAAAAGAAGGAAAGGAAAGAACAAGGGGATGTACAAACTTTCTTTTCAATAAGTAAAGCAATGAGAGGGACATTTCGTTCATTAACCTTGAAGATTATATTTACTCGACGTGTAGTTCGATATAGAACAGCTTACCTACATCAATGAAGACATATTAGTAAGCGCCTTGATGATCGATGAGACAAACTGTGAGTCACAAAGAAAGAAAGGAGATGAATAACAGCATCACCTTCTTCAAATTCCTTTTGAAATCAAATCTGAAAGGTCATTTTTTTTCTCTGCAAGATAAGAGCCTTACTACTAAGGTATATATTCTGAAGAGGATTTTTTATAATAAAAAAATCCCGGAGAGAACAAGCAAAATAGAAGGATGTTGTTTTTTATCATTTCCTACTTTAAAAAAATGCGTAATAACTAAGAACGACTGAATGTTTGTGATTGAGTCGAAATAGAGAAATGAATGAGAAAAAAAGCTCCGAACAAAAATAGTATGTATGTGTATATGCACACACGTGTATGCATAAAAAAAAAGAATGAAAGAACACGATAAATGACAACGACGTGTCATTGGTAGTGCTGCCGAACTTATTTCGATTCATGCATGCTGAAAGTCGATGATTTCATTCGACTAAATACGATGTTGCTCACTTCATATTCTTGCGGATGTTCTCAAAAGTTGATGATTTTTTGTTCTTCTTCTTCTTCATCTTTTTATTCAGTATTTCAAAGATAAGATCATTACGTCCATTTTTTTTTCTCTCTATCAGAATGATGATAATGATGGTTTGACAGTCGACCTTACAGACTAAGAATACGGACACACACATACTAAACGCTCACACAAATTAAGCCATGCACGATCGAACTAATGAGTTCATACGTTATAAAACGGAAGAAAATCGAAGATTATACGAAGGTAATTTTGCTTTGTAACGCTAGACGTTGTAAAAGTTTTCTGTAAAAAAGATATCTGATATTCACTTACAAAAAAATCCTTGAACTATTTGTTGTCTTATCAAGAAAAAACCGAACTGTCTTTCCTCGACCTAATATATGCAAATAAGATCTGTTGATTATTTACTGTTTGAAAACAATTGCCTGAAATAACTGATTATTCAAATTCATATTGACACCAAGTAAAAGATGAGAAATATTCGTCAAAATTCGAACGAACCATTGAAACAAACGCGTGTTTTACAATTCATAGATAAGTAACCTCTGCTAAGCAAAACAAAGAAAAGAAAAATGTTGATTTATAGCCAAAGCTGATGTTAATAATATAGAATCTCTGAAACAAGAATACTGCGTTATTGTTGATGAAAATCATGATTGTTTCGGGGTATGAAATCCCGCCGTAGTCAAGAAGGTTTAATCAGTGAAAGCGAGTGAAGTTCACGTCTGATAAACATATGCTGCTGTCAGCTGAGGAATAGTGTCAAATAACTTTAGACAAGCATTAGCAGAAAGTTGAACTAGGTTTTTTTCCTTATATTAAGGAGTTAACGTCAGTTTTATCTTTACTTACCAAGATAAACAACATTCTGTCGTAAAGGAAAAAGAATGCAAATGTTTTAGACTGATTATTAATGGTTTTTCTTAGCAAAAATGTGAACAAACACATAATCGTTCGACAAAATACGCTTGACATTCGGCGAGTCGTTTTACTTAATTGTCAGTTTCACGCATCTTTCCACATACGCATTCGTCGTTAAACACTACTTTCCCTTCAGTCAAAAGGAAGTGTCGAGATATGTTTAGTTTTACAATACAGTGTAAAGTTTATTAATATGAAGATTACTTTCGCACACTCAGCTTCGCTTTCTGCAAAGAAGTCCTAAATGAACATGTAGGAGCGACATCTATATCAAATCGATTGGAGAGTAACGCGCAACTTTTAATGGTTGATTCTCGTTAGACAAAGAGCACAATAGAGAGAAAGACTGAACACAAAGAACCTTTCAAACAAAAACGAAACAAAAAAATACGAATAATTGTCTGAAAAAGAACGGTGACATTCATTCCAATTGTTTCAGATCATTGGTATCAGGTCAAACAATCGTGTTTTGATTCAAATTGTTTTGAAACTCCGTTAATATCTCGTTTACCGTTGCTTTTGTTACGGTATTCACAATGAACAAGTCCATAAGTGACGCACCGAATAAAAATGAAGAAACGTATCAACTTCTTGAACAACTCGATCATATCCTCAAACGTCCGGAAACGTACATCGGTTCGAATCGGCCATGCCGAGAGGTAAAAATAGTTTCGAATTTAAATCACCGTCGTTACGCTTGTCTTTTCTCTGTAGGAAATGTGGATTGTGGATGAATCAAACATAGAAGGTCCAAAAATTGTTAAAAAGGAAATTACATATGTACCCGGTCTTTACAAGATTTTCGATGAAATTCTCGGTAAGTAGAAGCGATTTACATTGCCGTCAAAATAATCATTTCTAAAACGGAACTATTTAGTTAATGCTGCGGATAATAAACAACGTGACAAAACGATGACATCCATTGAAGTTGATATTAATCAGTAAGTTCAGATAGGATTGTAAACGACTTCATCGATAAAATCATGTACTTTTTTTCTAGAGAGAAAGGCGAAATCAAAATTTGCAACGATGGTCGTGGTATTCCTGTCCGTAAATGGGCTCAAGATGAATCGATCTATATTCCAACTCTAATATTTGGCAAACTTCTTACATCCGATAACTTCAATGATGATCAAAAGCGTATTACAGGTATGGATTTCTCGACTGAATGCGATCCTTTCAATCTCTTGAACTTTTTCTATTTAGGTGGTCGGAATGGTTATGGTGCAAAAGTAACCAATATTTTCAGTAAAAAATTTACTGTGGAAACATGTTCGAAAGAATTCAAGAAATTATTCAAACAGGTATGTTTTTCCATTACATTTTTGATACGGAGTAGTCAGATTGTTTATATTCATAGACTTGGACGAATAATATGCGTGATCCTCAGGATGCGATTATCTCGAAAGCTGAAAGTTCCAAGGAATTCACTCGTGTTTCATTCATTCCTGACTTGAAACGATTTCAAATGGATGCGCTAGATGATGATCATGTTGCTCTCTTCAAACGTCGCGCATACGATGTTGCCGTGTCAACTGGTTGTAAGGTAACACTCAACGGCACTCGTATTCCTGTTAAGAATATGAAAGATTACATGTTGATGTATGTCGATGCCGAAGAGAAAGAAGTTGTCTATAAGAAAGTGAATGACCGATGGGAAGTTGGTGTCGCTAAGAATGATTATAGTCATGGCTTTAATCAAGTTAGTTTTGTTAACTCAATTTTGACATCCGATGGTGGAAAACATGTTGATTACATCACGGAACAAATTTGCCCGAAGCTTGTGGAACATATTAAAAAGAAAAGCAAAGCTGCTGGCGAAAATCTCAAACCAATGCAAGTAAAAAATCATCTGTTTTTATTTGTTAACTGTCTGATCGAAAATCCTGAATTCGAATCTCAAGCAAAGAAACAATTAGCAACTGAAAAGAAGAACTTCGGCTCGACTTGTGCATTGAAAAGCGATGAAAATTTCTTCAAAGATGTTATTAAGAAAACTGGCATCGTCGAGTCGGTCATTAATTGGCTCGAACACAAACAGGATGCCAAATTACATAAACAAAGTGGTTCGAAAACATCGAAACTGAAAGGTATTCCGAAATTAGATGATGCGAATGATGCAGGAACGAAAAATTCCATGTATTGCACGTTAATTGTTACCGAAGGAGATTCAGCTAAGGCACTTGCCGTCGCTGGTCTCGGAGTGATCGGTCGCGATCGGTATGGTGTTTATCCATTGAAAGGTAAATTGCTAAATGTACGAGAAGCAACCACGAAGAAAATGACGGAAAACAGCGAAATCTCACAATTAGTTAAAATCCTCGGCTTGAACTATGGAGAAAAATATGTGAATAAGAGCGATCTGTCCAAACTACGTTATGGTAAACTGATGATTATGGCCGATCAAGATCAAGATGGTAGTCATATCAAAGGTTTAGTCATCAACTTTATTCACTGTAAATGGCCCAATCTACTTAAACATGATTACGTTGAAGTTTTTATTACACCAATTCTTAAAGTAGGATAATGGTTTGACAGGATTGTTCTATGTTACGACATTTTCTGTATTTTCAGGTTTCCAAAGGTTCTGAAATGTTTTCGTTTTATTCCATGCCAGAATTCGAACAATGGCAAGCAGCGACACCAGACTGGCAGAAATGGAAATGTAAATACTACAAAGGTTTAGGTACATCAACAGCCAAGGAAGCGAAAGAATACTTCTCAAACATGGATCGTCATCGGATTATATTCAAATATGAATCTGCTAGAGATGATCTCGCTATACAATTAGCCTTCAATAGTGCATTGAGTGATGATCGAAAAGATTGGATTAAATGGCATACGGAAGACGTCAATCAACGTCGAGAACAAAATCTACCGATCGACTATTTATATAAAAAAGATACAAAACAAATTAATTTTAATGATTTTGTTAATAAAGAGCTTGTTCTCTTCTCCAAATCAAGCACCGAACGTGCTATTCCGAATATCATGGTAAACTACGAACATTTGATATTGAGGGAAAGGTGTACATCTGTTTTCTTCTAGGACGGTCTCAAACCAGGTCAACGAAAAATCATGTTTGTTTGTTTTACAAAGAATTTAGTCCGAGAAATTAAAGTCGCCCAATTAGGCGGTAAAGTCGCTGAAAATTCTGCCTATCATCACGGTGAACAATCGTTAACAAATACAATCGTTGGTCTCGCTCAAAATTTTGTTGGTTCAAATAACATCAATTTCCTTGTACCTGCTGGTCAGTTTGGTACGCGATTGCATGGTGGTGGCGATGCTGCTTCAGCACGTTACATTTTCACTCGGTTGAGGTAAATCCCAGATAACGTTGTCTTCCTTTCCACAAATGCAATTTTTTCTTCTGTTTAGTCCACTTGCTTTGTCGTTATTCATCAAAAGTGACGAACCTCTGTTAACCTATTTGAACGAAGATGGTATGAGTATCGAACCTGAATGGTATTGTCCGATCATTCCAACTGTTCTTGTCAATGGTGCACATGGTGTTGGTACGGGTTATTCAACAGATGTTCCATCGTACAATCCATTGACATTGAGTAATAATCTAAAATATTATATTCGACAAGAACGCGAACGACAACGACAATTGAATAATCCATCATCAGAGCCACGAAAATATTCCGATGTCATTACTTTGAAGGAATTGATTCCATGGTATAAGAATTTCACTGGTGAAATACAATTATTAGAAAACGATCGTACACGTGGTGTGATCAATGGCGTTTGCGCTAAGCTTGATCAATCATCGATTGAAATAACTGATCTACCTGTTGGAACATGGACGCAAAATTACAAAGAAACGGTTCTCGAAGCTATGCTTCATCCTAAACGAAATGACATTCAACCATCAATTCTCGATTATAAAGGTATGTTTTGCTCTTTGATCTCTTCAAAAACGAAGCTTCTCTGTTAAATTAGAGTATCACACGGACACAACTGTTCGTTTTGTTATTAAATTAACTCATGATCAATTGGCGAAATTTACCGAAGCTGGCTTACACAAGAGTTTCCGTTTACAAGATACATTCAAATTAACCAACATGGTTCTCTTCGATCATAACGGTATACTTCGTCGATATAAAACTCCCGAAGAAATCGTTGAAGAATTCTTTGCCGTTCGCTTGAAAATGTACGTGAAACGAAAAGAATTTATGATTGGAACATTGCAATCCCAGTCTTCGAAATTGGACAATATCGCTAGATTTATCAAGGAAAAAATTGAAAATGTTGTCAGCGTTGAAAACAAGAAGATTAGTGCAGTCATCGATATGCTCATAGAGAGAAAATACGACCGTGACCCGGAACGAATCTGGCGCGAAGAAGCGAAGAAGAAGGTGAGTTATTCAATTAGAAAAAAAACATTGGCAATTACGTGAATTTCAGTTTGCCATTGAACTTTCGACACATACGGTTCATGAAGATAGTGATCAGTTAGCTGATCTGCAAAGGAAACAAGAAGACGAAGATGGCGATGATCAAGATTATGATGGTGCGAGTGAGAAAAAGAAAGCTAAAGCAAGTTCATCAACAACGAATCGTGTTGATACAAGTTATTACGATTATTTGATCAACATGTCATTAAGAAATCTTACAAAAGAACGTCGAGAAGAAATACTCAAAGAACAAAAAGAAAAACGCGATAAACTGGAAGCATTACAAAAGAAATCACCCGAAGATCTATATGAAGATGATTTGATAAACTTTGAAGCTGAATACCAGAAAGTACGTGATTAATCATCTGCTGATGAGAATAGGGAAAAGCATATCTTGTGATGTTTAGACGATTGAAAAAGAACGTGCGGATGAAATGTCGGATGTTGCTCATCCAACTACCAAAAAAGGAGCTGGTGGAGCTAAAGATCGTAAGCGGTTAACAGCGAAACCACAACGTGCTGAAACCAAACCAGCACCACACGGTCAACGTATCACACCAGTAGTTGATCCGGCGTTAATTAAGCGAGTCAACGAAGAAATTGCTAAGCGTGCTAAAGTGAGTTTTCCTCGGAACAATTAACGTAGAAAACCAAAGTTCGTTTGTATGTGTCGTTTAGGAAGAAAAGGCTATTGAAGATAAAAAGACAATTATTGAATTTCTTGTTAAAGAAGGTGTTACTAATGAAGAAATAGCTAGCATTATGCAAATGCGTTGTCGCGATAAGAAGAAGATTCCCGGCGCGACAGGTTTGTTGATATATCTGATGAATTTTTCATACCTTTTCGGTATCGTTGTTTAGATAAGAAGTCGGGTGAGGGTAAAGAAAAGAAATTAAACGGCACGATCGACGAACACGATGAAAACAGCAATGCATCGATGATGTCCGTTAATGGTAATGACAATTCAGGTGTTGTCAAAGAAGAAATCTCACCAAAACGCAACGCACAGCGTACAGCGAAAGAAAAAGTCAGCAAATATGGTGGTGGCGACAATGACGACGAAGAAGATGAAAGTATTATCCGTGGTATGGATGTCGATGATGACACCGAATCAGAGTATATGGGTAGTGATTCGGAAACAGAAAAGAAAATTAAGAAAACAAGCAGCAAACCTAAACAACCAAGGAAACCGAAATCAGGTAAATTGAATCATTAGCAAGGAAAACAAATTTCCGTTCATTTGTCTTTCTCATTCAGCTACTAGTTCATCGCCGGCAAAGACGAAGGTAAATTGAATTGAGAAAATGGAAATTGAACGAATTTTCTTGTGTTGTTGTGTTTTTTTAAAGGCGCCTGCTAAGAAGGCTGAAACAAACGGCGCGCCAGAAACAACTAAAAAGGTAGACGATGAAGATGATGGCTCGTCAAAGTCGAAAGCAAAAAAGCCTCGCGTATATTAAACCTAAATTTGAATGATACAAAAAAAACATCAGTTTCTTTTCATTTTCAAGACTAAAAAGGAACCTGCATCAACACCAAAGAAAGAGACCGTCAAAAAAGAACCAAAAAAAGCAGTTAAACGACCGAAACCAGATGTAAATCTATCTTACCTGCTTGTCAAATCAGAAACATTTCATTCCTATTTCTTTTCAGGACAGCGACGAAGATGATGTTCCGATTTTATCGAATACCTCAACTCCTGTGAAAAAGGTACGATCATCTTTTTAGCTTCCAGTTCTTCTCACTTCGTTTCTTTCTCCTTTAGATCCGTGCTCAACGTGGCGGTGCCACGAAGAAGAGTTATCACTTTTCCGATGAAGATGATGATGACGAAGATTATGCTTAGATGTTAATCATTTATTTTTCTACATATCATCAAGTTTTTATCATTGTGTCGAGTAACTTGAAGAAGAAATGTAATTTCTTATTTTGTATACATACAATAATTCACTCTGTGTTGTTTCGTCACTAGAACTTAATAGATGTTGTTTGTATGTTCCCATTGTATGACAATAATAAAAACGAAATGCGATGCGACAGAACAAAAAAAAACCAAGACAAATTTCTATTTTATAAACAAAATCAGAACGAGATCAGAAAAAAAAACGAAAATGACTTGTTTCGTGTGATTTTCCTTTTTCGTAAAGAGAAAATTTTTATACAGATAAACGTTTCAGATCAGTTCGATACGGAGTCGATTCGAGATCTTGACGAAAACGAGTTAACATCGTTTGTAATCTCGTCGAAGATAGAACATTGTTAGTATCATTCGTACTATTCACTTGACTTGTGTGACCTTGCGAAGTAGACTTAGGTATGTGCGACGTGACGGCCGGCGATCGCCAACGCGCTACCGGAGAATTGTTTACAGATGTTTTATCTGTGAAGTTCGTTGTTATTGGAGAAAATTTCGTTGGAGTTTGTAGATTATAATCAGTGTTGGACGGTTTACCCATAGATAATGCTCGTCGAACGATCATTGAATCGAAGCGTTGCATCGGGACGAGATGTGTCACTTTTCCAGGCATACGACGCACTGTGTATTTTTTCCGTTCTTTCTTTTTCCGTTTGAAACACGCGAAACAGTGACATGGTTCAGATTCGGCTGGTGTGAGTTCAGTTGATAAGTACTCGAGATGTTCAGGAGACGGGTATGGAATGAGAGTACCTAAAAGAAACAAGTACAAGATGAGAAACGAAAATGGGATTGCTTTAGCTTGACTCAGACCATTTGGACTAATTAAATCACTATCAAAATGAAGAGAATTTCGTGCCACTGCTGATTGAATTTCTTCTCGACGTTCGTCTTCAGTGTTCATTGTTAAGAATCTGAGAACTAAGAGATTCATCGATGATGCAACGACAGTTAAACCAAATAGAATAAATGTCATTGACAAAACAACATAGAATACATTCGTATTTAACGCTTCATTTGTTTGCAAAGCAACAAAATCACCAAAACCTAATAGAAAAATTCAATTTCCTCATTCATATTCGGTTCCCAGAGGGGACAAAGAAAGCGAGTTTTTACCAATCGTTGTTAATGTTATAAAACAATAATAAACACAATTAAAATAATCCCAAGATTCGTAATGATGAAACATCGCCGCACCGCCTGTGACAACGCCGACTGCAATCACAGTTCCGACAATAACAAGTTCAGTTTGAGTTGATTCACAGTGTCGCAACTTAACACACTTCTTAATTCGCTGAATACACCAGCTAGAGAAATTATTCAGACGTTCACCCACCGATTGAAACATAACTAAACATAGTGGTATTCCGATGACAGCGTAAAGCATACAAAACGATTTGCCCCAATCTATGAAAGAAAAAAAACAAGTCATCTTTTGTTGCTTTCGAGCAATGCTTTTACTTGTTGTGGGACAGGAGTGACCATAGCCTAGAATGAGAAATGCAAACTAAACATAAGCCGTTTTTCCTCCTATACATTCAAATGAAAGATTAAAACACTTTTGTAGTTAATTCTGATCGACCTATATCCTTAAGTTTTTGAAGAAAAACAAATGACGCAAGGCGAGGCATATGATTTTTAGTTTTAATCGCATTTCTAAACAATATGAACATGCGAAGATTTATGAACAATAAATATTTCATCGGCAAGAGTAGCTCGAGTTTTTTTCTTTTTGCTTAGCATGTGACGGGAAAAAGCAACTAACACATTCAGTCAGTCAGTCAATCATTGTCCCTTATCAATACGATATGAAGATTTATGCATTGGACTTGATCGAAAACTTCTTCATCTATTTTTCTATCATAACAAAATCAAATCAATGACAGATATTGACAGGATCGAATTAGTAAACATTGCCTGTCATTATGAAAGATAAAATCTGTTATTTGATCTGTTCGAGTTCGAGATTTTCTTCGAGAAAAGCAACGCCGAATTTATAATGAATAAGTTATTCTTGATCGACAACGAATAACACGTATCAAACTTTACAAAAAGCGAATTCGTATCTTTCAAAAAATCCCACAGATCAAAAGATAGTAACAATCAAAGAATGGTTTTGATCTTCTATTGAAGCTAATACCTTGGCTTGTATGAATATCTATATTTGCTCTGACATGACATTCCTCCATTGACGTCATTGAGAACGGTCGTATTCTATCCTATGATTTTGACAATCATATTTCTCTCGCTTTTCTATTAGCGGGCAAATACACTTGTATGACAGGACGTACTCTACGAAGTCTAATGACTCGAACGGCATGAGTAGGAAAGATATCGAGTCTTTCTCTGATGACAGACAGAACGGAAAGAAGAAGAAGAAAAGAAGAAGAAATTTTCGTGGGCATGTGTATGATGAAGATTAGCGAACATCAGTGAAATTCTACTTTCCTTTCGTTCAGCGGCTTTTTCTCTTCTTTTGTATGTTCCAAACTAGCAAAATCTGATAATCAATTGTCAAGCTAGTAACTAACAGTAGGAGTGCGTCAAAATAATTGAAGGGAGAATAGAGACGTCAAAGCAAAGAAGCAAATCGAGGCCAGATGCAATGCATATTGTAATCGATTGGTGTCTACATTTTCAACAATGACAAAGAAAGAACAATTATCATTTCAGGCCTTAACAAATAAATAGATTTTTAACACATGAATATATAACGAAATATTTTCATAAGTAAAGAGACAGACATACAGACAGAAGCAAACCTACTCGACTTGTGAATTGTCTTAATTGACACGCAATGGCTAACTTTTTATGTTTATTTCTTTTTTAGTCTCATTAAAAGTCACTTATATCAACTGAAACTAGATAAAGTCAGAACTAAACGTGGTTGTACGTTCGACTATTTGATATCGTTTCTCATATTCACTCACCGATCGTTGTGATGACAGTAAGTGAGAAGAAGAATGCTCCAGGAAATTTCCATTGTGCACCGGCTTTGTGTGGTTGATACTTAATGACAATATCTTCGAGTTCAATATATTCGATTCGAGATATATTATATGAGATGAGCATGTTTTCTTCGGCCGCTTGATACTGTTTGCGCAAGAAATCTTCTGTGTTCGATTCAAGCGCGTCGAAGATGGCCGCACCAACCAGCAAATAGCTGAAACGAGAAGTGAATAGTTGTGAAAATCGATTTTGGGGAATCTGAGTACCTGAACGTCGAGACGATAAGTGTTAAGGTACGAACGTTCTGCTTTTTCATGCTCGCATCATCAACGCACCGACTCGGCCAGCATTAAACTTCCGGCGAGAACGTGCGTTTGATATTATGCTTATTTGTTGATCACCGGGTTAATTTGCTAATATTTGTGTCTGTTATGATTTCTGTCTTTCGAGATGTAATAAATACAATATAAAAAAATGCCTAAAAATAGTAGTTCGTTATTATTGTTGGACAAGAGTGAGTGAATAGATGAAGCAATGTCAACAATTGAGTTCAATGATGATAGAAATAATTTCGACATATATATATATATATATTTCTATATCTGTGCGAGTTAGTCGTAGTAGCGGAGAACGAACATGAACAGTGATAGTGGTGGTGGTAGTAGTAGTAGTAGTAAACTCAGTATTGTCGGAATGATCACAGAAAGAAGAAAAGGAGAAGAAGAAACAACACACATGACAAACGACAACAAGTTGAAGCAATACGAGAAAGAAATCGACATTGCGATCATGGCCAACAACGATAGGATGCAATGACATAAGTCTCTATCGAGAGAATCTGTAACGCATGAGAGAAAGAGACAGAAAGCTAAATGGTATTTGACAGGTTTCGTCGTGTTTTGATGTATTAGAGATTTGTGAATTTCTACATGTATATGCGAGGATAGATATAGATAGATAGATAGATAGACAGATATATGTGTTCAAAATATTGGTGATGGTAGTAGAACAAAGTTAGTCAAAATGAGACATAGAGGAATAACGACCATTGGCGGAGGAGGGTAGAGAAAGAACGAAGGATCTGGCACGTATGCACACATACGGAGCGAGAACGAACAGTCGGCTGTTTTATTTTTTTTTGGAAATAGTGTCGAACCAGCAAGAAAAAGAAGCAACAGCGCATAGAAACCTTCTTCATTCTTTTTTTGCCTATTCTTCATCTCTTTCTCGTCGCGCTTTCTCTCTCTGCGTGTCTCTCTCTCTCTCTCATCTTTCCTTCGTGTCGTTTCCATAATATCTTAGATAGGCAACGCGCACAACAAAAAATAGAAGGATGATGATGATGATGATGGCAGCAGCAATGACGCTGTTGTTGATGACAGCAGGGCAAACCAGTAACAATGATGATGATGATAATGATGATGATGTAAAGCGCATCTCAAACTATGTAAGAGCATTTGCACATTGATTGACGAATATATTCACATACATATATCCGTGCATGTTCTTGTTCCATGTTCCGTTGTATCGAGAAGAGAAAATTATAAAGATGATTTTCAGATCAGTTCAATTTTTTGTTCTAATTTCATGTGTTTTCTCTTTATTAGATGTGCGCGCGTCTCGAGTTGGTTTGTAGCCGATCGAACGCAAGCAAATAAGCAAGCGAGAAAACACATAGACAAACGCTTGCGGACATTCTAGTTTATTCAATTCCTTTCCTATTCCACATATACTATTGCTTATTTTTCTTCTCAATCGAAGCACATACACGAGATAGTCAAGAACGAGACGAAAAAGCTCCTTGTGCACAAACATAGAGTTGTCAAAAGAAGCCTCGATGTCAATATAGTGAAAAAGAGAGAGAGAGAGAGAGAGAGTATGGGAATCAATAGATTGATAGATTGATGGCTGAAGCTCCGAACGGACGTTTATTGTCATGTTAAACGATTTTTAAGAGAAAGACGAAACTTATATAAGCAGGAGGTACTTGAAAGTCGTCTGTAACGATATATACATCATTCCTCCTTCATGTCTCCCGCTTACAATATACAGCTGTTACGATTTCATGTCACCAGAAAGATTTTCTCTGTCTCCATACATCCATTAATAACTTTCAAATCAATGGCAAAACCATTACATAATAGCCCAATGCATTCCAATGTCCTAAAATAGCACATGATTTTTTTTCTTCAACGACGAAACCTGATCGAAGGATTGAATATCAGTTGTATAGTATCAATATTTAACAAGTGAGAAAAATTACAGAGTAAATACATTAGAGAATATACATATATATATATATTGTCTCTATTATAGCGCTCATGCGCATAACAATCAATTAGATTTGCCTCTACGTCTCTACGCATTAACGACAATTTGTCTCCTACTATCTTTCCTCGAATAATTCATTGAAATGAAAAAAGCAATTTCTTTTTTTGTCTTCAATCACAAAATCTATTATTTAGGTCTGTAGATTTCTTATTATTCGATGATGTGTCTCTATGAGACGAACGTCGACAATCAGTTTTCTTCTTTCTTCAACTGTCTCAGTGAGTCGTCGATCTTCATTAGGCATCTTATCGACGACGATGAGGGTGATCCTCACGGCAATACGACCGATGTTTCGAGAGGAAATCATATTTTGTAATGACCTACATGTTTTCAATCGATGCACTGATGATCAAAAGGAGAAATACAAACTTTCGAACGAATGATTTGTCAAATAAAAGTCATGTGGGAAAAAAGTAACTGACAAGGTGCGAGAGAGAGAGAGTTATGCGATATCAAAGTCATATTTAACGTCAATATCATGAAAATGTGCGAATCCGTTGCGATATCAATGAAAGTAATTTATTGGAAGTCAATATAATGCTAATTTGGACGGCCATTACGATGCATTTATTCAGGATAAAACATACTATCGGATCCTTTCTTCCCAGTTTTGCTTTTCTTCTATTTTGTCGTTCTTATGTGTTATTCTTCCTGTGATGTTCGCTGTTTTATTTTTTTTTTATTCCGAACTATAGCGCGAGCACTCTCCCTTCTGTTTTCTTATCCCTACCTTCAATAACTGCGTCGTAATATTTTCACATGATAGGTAAACGTGTAACAACGTGAAGAAAGAGAAAAAGGAAATGTGTGAGATGAATGCTGTTTTTCCTGGTAAAAAATTTCAAACGAACATCTTTTGTCTGTCTGTGCATTTTGTAGATGAATGCGACCAATACTCAAGTGCAATCCAATCGACGTTTACAGACATGGCCGTTTCAAAGACGCAACGCTATTTTCATCGGACATACGCGCAGTGATACAAATCATGAAATGAATGAGTCGGAGCTTAATTTAGCACGCCATGGTTCACTGAAATCGATTTTCATGACAGATTCATCGAAAACAATCCAGACCAGTGAGCATAATCTGGCAGTACATCTGACAACAACAGCCATGAATACAAGGTAACTGGAAAGAGGATTAATTATGAGAGTGTCAAAGTTCTGAAGTCATATGTTGATGGAATAAACATGAAATAAGACTAGTTTTCTTTTTACTCTTTGAGATCATGGTCAAATAGAATACTTGCAAGTGAAGATATAGAGCTTTTTCTTCTTCTTCTTCCAATCGACACGTAAAGAAGAATAAACATAGAAATTTTAATTAAGATTTCCTCTTTATCTGATGAAGTGGAACTGTGGAGTATTAGTTCTTTCAGAAATTCTTCAAATAGAAAGGATATGCTCAATTGTAATGAAATTTTTTGTGATAAGATGATCTATTGATAGATCTTCCTTATTTAGGAATGTTCAAACAACAAGTTTCGTCAAGATCTCGCCACCGATGAATGCCGTAGAGGATTGTCCAATTTGCTGTGATAGTTTTTTGTTCAGTGATCTCAAACAAATGCCATGTTGCTCAGTTAGAATTTGTTCCATTTGTCTCATAACTCATACAATAACCAATATCAACAACGGCAAAGTTCATATCGAATGTCCAGCATGCTCCGAACAGATGAATTCTTCCACGATTTTATATAATAGCGAACTGCCTGTTCATCTACGAGAACGGTATCAACATATTTTAGCACAAGATCTATCAGAACAGCAGAATACGTGCATTAAGCTATGTCCACATTGTAATTACATCACTGTTATCGACGAGCAGCATCGGAAAAAGTACGGTAAACGATCCCGAAGGTCATCTGAACGATGGGTACACTGTGAACAATGTGGCAAGGATTGGTGTTGGCCATGCTATGCACCCTCACACGCCAATGAAACCTGTCGACAATTCAAGAAAAACCATACTCATGTCGATATATGGGCGCGAGCACGTCGTCCAGATAATAAAAACCAACGAAATGCTCAACGTTGTCCGAAATGTTCGATTTATATCGAGAAGATCGATGGCTGTGATCATATGCAGTGTATGAAATGCAATTCGAAATTCTGTTATCGTTGTGGTTGTCGTATGCGCTTGCCATTTTATATAGGTCACGATGCGAAATATTCGATATTTGGTTGTAAGTACAAACTTTGGCCAGATCGTCCATTGCTACGCTGGCTTGTGCGAGGCTCAATCTTTGGAAGTATAATTTTATCCAGTCCAATTGTCATTGGAGCATTGATCGCTTTAATTGCGATTGGCATTCCAACAATTTTGATTATCGGTTGTTTTTCTTTGCCTGTATTTTTGTGTTTGGAATGTCGAAAACGCACGTAGATATCCTTTGTAGAATCTGTCTTTCGTGTAAATTACAGAGGTCTTATATTTTTTTTGTATATAGAACTATGTGAAGTCAAAGAAATTGGAACTTTCGTTTTGAATCTATTTTATGACAATAAAGAAAGAAAAAAAAAGTGATTGAATGGAGTTGTACTGAGAAATTGTGTACAGAAAAAAACCTGTTACGAATACGTAACAGCTCATTTATGTGAATTATTTTAGTCATGCTCGAAAAAGGAGTATCCTGTATGTGCTATAGGTTGATTGATTAATTTCAAAGATGAATATCGCGATTACAGGTAAATATCTGTCCATTTATTTTGAATTAGATGAAAACGTGAATCAAAACTATTTTAATTTCGTCTTTTGAATTGAACATAAACAATCATCTTGCGTTGTTGATTAAGAACATTTATCATTGTCGAAGTCGTGTCTAGTGCAGACCTCTCGATATGCATATTCTGGAAGGAAACTTTCGAACTATTCTGATTGGTTATCGGTCTTATCTAATTACTGCACAGTTTAAAAAGAGAAAAAGAAAAGTATATAAATATGTTTTTGGCATGCATCATATTTTGTATGTCAGGATAGTATTGTTTTCACATTTTGAAAAACGTCAAATTCGGAACAGAATTTTTCCAATAGATAGTTTGTTGTAGATGCGCTAATGGATGACGTCGTTGAAGCTACATTCATGCAATCCGGGTTATTTGGTGATGACGATAGCATTTCTATTCAGCTGTTTTATAGTCTGGTTAATGCTAAGTCGTGTATGTTTGCAAATTTGGATTTTCTCCTACAATTTTATATGTATTATTGATATTCATAGGCTAATTCTACTGCAATTGAAAGTATCGATAGTAAATCTATAATTAAAACTCAAGAAATTCTCAAACGCGGTGATGCTGGCGGTGTTTATGTACCAAGAAGAATTGGCAATAAAGATCCGAATTTGCATTATGGAATCGTGATTGATTGTGGAAGTAGCGGCTCGAGACTTTATATCTACGTTTGGCCAGAACATTCTGGAAGAGAAAATGAATTGTTACAGATAAAACAGTTACTCGACAGTAATGGTAGACCAGTTGTGAAGAAAATCGAGCCAGGTTTTTAACTTAAGTTTTTATCTATTAACAAAAGTGAAGTAATTGTTGTTTCGTTAGGTCTTTCATCCATGGCCGATACGCCAGAGAATGCGACGGAATATCTCAAAGCATTACTCGGTGAGTTGCTTTGTTGTCGAAATTGATGATTTATTCATGAGTTTATTCAGATTTTGCTGTAACAACTGTACCACCCGATAAACATCGTGACACTCCATGTATGTGTATATTGAGTTGATGATTTGATGACTTTGATATTCTTTGCGATCTAGTGTATATCCTTGCTACAGCTGGTCTTCGATTTTTAAGCAAAGAGTAAGTCTAATTAATGAAGACGTTCTGATAATTAGGCGAATTTTGCCGTTTTCAGACGACAGCAAAAATTACTCGAAGATCTCTCCCATGATATTGATCGAGATTATTCTTTTCAACTCGAAAAGACTCATATTCAAGTTATTCCAGGCAAATTAGAAGGAATCTACAGTTGGATAGCTATTAATTATGTTCTCGGACGCTTTCAAAATAATAATACCGCTGAATCAAGTAAGGAATTCAGCTCGTTGATTATCATTTTTCACTTACTGAATATTTAGTATCAGTCAGCGACGGGAAATCGATATCTGTATCGACAAAACGACCGTCCACTGTCGGTATTCTTGATATGGGTGGTGCATCAGCACAAATAGCTTGTAAGAAAACACTCCAATATGATAATCATCTATTGTTTTTCTTGTTCTATTCTAGTCGAAGTCTCACCTGATGTAAGTTTTGATGAATGACTTGCGAAAAGCATCCTATCCATTTTGTTTATAGACACCGATAGAAGGTGAAGAAGTAGCGGAATTTTCTTTAGGTTACGACGAACATCAAGAAATGTTTAAATATAAAATCTATGTCACCACGTATCTCGGTTACGGAGCAAATAAAGCGTTTGATAAGTACATCGATCGTATTATATCCTTATCTCTCAAGTAAATCAGTTCGATTTGATCAAGACGCATTACTGTTAAGTATTTTGACTATTTCAGATCTTCAACATCGACATCATCACACGTTCTAATCGATAATGCTGATTGTCTACCTCGAGGTTATTCAGCGAATTATACACGCGATAATAAAACGATAACAATGATTGGTGAAGGAGATTTTACCAATTGTGCGAAACATTTAGTCACATTATTGAATTTAAACGCAACATGTAAACGAAAACCATGTTCACTGAATGGCATCTATCAACCGACTATCAATTATGATTCACAAGATTTCTATGGGTTTTCTGAGTTTTGGTACACAATGGAAGGTTTGAATAAGAAATGAAATGAAACATGTTAAATGAGAGTTTGAATTGTTTCTTGAAGATATTTTGAAGATGGGTGGCCCATACGGTCGACTGTCATTTTTGAATGCATCAATCGTAAGTGATGACAAATAGCTGCAAACTTGAAATAATGTTTCATTTTTTTCTCAGAATTATTGTAATTCAAACTGGAGTGATATTCGACAATGGTATAATAATAAACAATTTCCTAAAGCTGATCTAAATCGTTTATTGTAAGAGAGTTAGTTTTGATTGTCATCATTTAAATCTTCCATTTAGATTACAATGCTTTAAATCTGCTTGGTTGTATGCATTTCTTCATGATGGTCTCAGATTTCCGGTTAACTACCAACGTTTACGTTCAGCTTCATTGGTAAATAACAACGACGTTCAATGGACATTAGGAGCAATTCTTTATAAAACACGTTTTCTTCCATTGAGGTTTGTTGCGAAACCGATTGAATTAGTTTTGAGAATATATCGTGTTTCTACTCTAGAGCAATCAATCAAGTTAAACGAACAATACATTATCGACAATCACACACAGATTCGACTGCTATGATCATCTTGATGTGTGCCATGCTATTCTTATGTATAATGATCTTCTATCGACAAATGATCCGTGCTAAGATTAGATCTGTTCTCTTCCGACGAACTGGTCTTCATTCGTCATCATCAAGTAGTAATTTCAATCAACGTTATTCATTACTGACATCAATTGTTATCGATGACTCGTCGTATAACAACGGAAAAACATCAGCGTCGTCATATAATGGACGTCTGAGAGGCATTTGAAGAAGGTATCATGATGCTGTCTTACTGATGTTTTCTACCAATGTGTTTTTTTTTCGTTTCTATGTATTTCTTATCTGGGGGCATGTTATGCGATTGTTAGGACAAAATAAAATATTTTCTTTTCTTTATTACTTCATTAGAGTATAGATGTAGTCTAAAAATGTTCGACTCATTTGTCCTGAATCAACAGGAAATTTTTAAGAGTTGACAAGATGAAAACGATCATTAAAGTCTTTTTTTGTCAAATCAACAACAAAAATATCGAATTATGTACATATTTTCTTTTCATTCGATCGAAAAGAAATGTTCTCTTAGCGAATCTGTTCGTTTCGAACAACACAACAAATTCTCTTAGATGTAAATATGTACTCAGATCAAATCTCGTTGACAATGTTAACGAAAAGAGATCTCTTTTCGAGTAAAATAAACACAGATCGAAGCTTCTTTTTCTTGTTGACTTATAAGCGACAAAGAACCTTCTTTTTTTTAATAATCAAAAGAAACCACTGATTTTCTTGGATGAATATCGAATTATGTTTCTTTCAAGGTTAGCTGCTTCTATAATTAATTTCATTCTCATGTTTAAGGAGACTATTAGTTTTATACGACATGCGAAAGAATGTTCGAGACATATAAATCCTCTGTTTACACTCTTGTCTTTCCACAAGAAATTCTGCTGTTCGTACACAATTTGCAAACATCAGATCATCAATCTTTAAAGTATGAATTCAAATAAGAAAAGACAAAAAACGAAATCGAAACATAGTACAAGCAAAAAAATGAAGATGAAAATCTTTTTTTTTTGTCTAGTTCAAAGAAGAAAACACGAGCGTACAAGAAGAGAGATGATCAACTCGTTTCATTCTTTGACTTCAACAATCAATGGTGCTTCGTACATAGAATGACGAATGCCGAATGAATAGCCAGGTGCTTGTTGTTTATGAAGCCAAACTTTTTCGGGCGAATATTTGCCTGGTCCTGGTTTCTGTGTCGAATCACCGGGCATTTCATTTCGTGCAATCATGCTATAATGTGGTGGTTCTTGTTTATATATACCCGGCTTAGTTACATTGTAAGCACCTGAAGGAAAAAAAGAGATTGTGAGAAGTTCTTTTCTTCGAAAAAAAGAAAACTAATGTTTACCAGGACCAGGTGTTCGCTGCAAGTCTTCATCGAAACCGCCTCGTTTACTTCGTCCAGTCATGGAATAGACAGGTGCTTGCTTCTTGGCACTTTGTACGGTTTTACCAAGCATTCCTGGTAAACCATAAGCATTTGGTGCTGAAAACAAAGACGAAAAACTCGATGTATATTCATCGGGAAGAAAAACGGTAATCTTACCGGGTGTATTATCAAGTCCATATGCCTTATGACGAGTACCAAAAGAATAGGCAGGTGGTGATTGAAAGACAGTCTTCATTGGTCCCTTATCTTCAGGTTTATAGGCACCGGGTCCTATAGAAGAAGATAGTATTGCTTTGCTAACGGATTGAATCGCGTTTGCTTACCAGGACAACGATCGCCTTTCAGATCACCACGTCGAGAGTAGAGAGAATATTGTGGCGTACCATCCTTACCAGTCCGAGATATTCTTGGATTGGGGAAGTAACATGGCCCAGGCGAAGACTCATCTTTATACTTTCCATGTCTGAGACCAAAAGAATACGCTGGTTGTTTGTTGTGAACTGATCGTGGATCATGAAAGTTATTTCCGACTAAGCCTGGCAAGAGATAGACCGGACCCGGCGTTGAATGCATGGCCGAAATCGGACCGCGTGGTTTAGTCTCTGTCCACACCATTGTTCTGACTGAATCTAGAAGAAACGTTCGATTCACAAAAATTGTCTCGATATCAATAGAAACTCAATCAATTTAAAATCCATACGAATGAAACTGTTTTTACACACGTACATTCTCTTCAACATGAATGATTTATATATAAACTCGACTTTACTTCTGTTTCGTTTGTTGCCAACGGATATCGACAACAGACAGTAAGCGCCTTGACGTCCGTGACAACAATCGATTAATGGAAAAACTTTCTGACTCTCAATTTTCTTTTACTACTTCTCTTCTCTTCACATCAGATGTCGAATGCAGAGAGAGAGAGATGAGGGAAGGAGGGGGAAAAGAAGAACAAATTTTCAAAATCAATCAATAAAACATACGCATGCATCAGTAGCGCTCTATTGCTTCGTATTTTTATGGTTTCCTTAGTGTTGACAAAGTCTTTCTTCCCAAAAGCCAATGGATTAATTGTGTGGTCTATTGCTACTTCATGTTTATTTGACAATGTAAAAAAAACGAGAGAGAGAGAGAGAGAGGGAAAGAGATGGAGGAGAAAAAGTCTCCTTCTTTTACGGTTGTTATTGTTGTTATGGTTGTCAATTTTTTAACTTGATTTCTTCTTCTGACTATTTTTCTTTTTATACGTACGAAACAACTGCAATAGTTGTGTCATGATCGACGTCAAGAAAGTCAAATGACTACAAATGTAAATAGAAATATTTTTTATTATGAAAATGTAAATTTTTTTTCTCTCAGCTTAAAGTGCTCGTCAGAATTTTCTCGTCAGAAATCGGTCCGTTTCACCTCACTGATGTGTTTCTAAAAAAAAACGAGAACATGTAGAAAACTATCTAATGAATGTTCTTAACGAATCCTCGACGAAATAAGAAAAATTATTGAATTTGCTATTTTAATAATGAAGGACATAACCTTGCTGAGAAGATTGTGATACTATTTATCCTGGAATGACCTTCAGTTTAAAAGACTTTTTTCACTGTATTCACTTGCGACTATTGTTTGATTATATTTTCTCCATGAGATTTCTAAGTATATATTCAAATAAGAGGCTTATCTTTCAATAGGTTAGAAACGAAAAAGATTTATTAAAGTCAATGCATAAAAAAGTCGAAATTTGATTGTTTTTCAACCGTTTCGTGATTTCTCATTTGCCAAAGCTAAGCGACGAATGTATGAAATGCAAATCGCGGCATTTTCTTGGAGAACTTCGTCTTTCGAACCGACCATTTCCATTAATAACTAAAATGAAAGGAACAGACTTGCACTACTCCAGACCCCTCATGTTCACAAACGTACTCGTACAACGCCAGCCTCGTGCATTGTAACACAATTCATGGGATTCTTCGATAGCTGATGTAATGCTTTCGCGGTTGATCGATGAACGTTCGGATCGGATGATTTCAAATATTTGACCAGCGGCGCAACGGCTTCGTTGTCACCAAAAGTTTGACGATTATTTCCCCATTTACAACATTCGGCTATGGCTTCGGCCAAGTAACGACGAAGAATATCTTCATTCTGTGAGACAAACAAATCTTTCATATGAATCTAATGTCAAACTACGGAGTCTTCGTACTCGTGTCACCAAATTCGATAGAAGTTTAACAACGCCATGATCGGTAATAACGGCGAGATTCTCTTCATCTCTCGCGATTTCAGCAATGGCCGCACAAACACTGGCGAGTACTTCGACATCCTTTGATTTCAACAGCGATACGATCAGTTCAAGACCACCGACGAAACTTCGAACCATTTCACCAGAATCTTTGATATTTTTAACACATGGAGATATCGCCCATGATGCTGCCGCTTGTACCCGAGGATTGGGATTTTTCAACAACGACCATAACAAACGAACACCGTCCAATCGATCAATCATTCTAAATGTCAATACGATAGTGCTACTTACAACAACCGAGAGCTCTCTTCTTACGCAATGCTTTCAGGCTCTTCACTACACTGTCGTAGTGCATGACATGTATTGACCAGTAAACCTTGATTTGTTCCAGTTAATAAATTGACTAAGAAGGAAATTCCATTTGCTTTTCGAATTAAAGTTCGATTGTCGGCTTCCTTAGCACATTCAGCTATAGCGCCAACGACGTTCACTAATACTTCTTCGGGTTGATTGTTCAGCATTTGTACGAGGGTATCCAAGGTGCGAAATTGTTGAAATTGAGCAATATTCTAATCGACCAGTAGGAAAACAATTACGTTTAAGATGATAGAGAAAAATTTCACCTCGCGAGAAATTGCACATTTCCAAATCGCACCTGTTGCTGCTGCTAGCAATGCTTTATTATCTGTTTGTTGTAGAAGATCATGTAAGGGGCGAAGTCCCATATGTTTGCGTACTAAAGCACGTATTTCTTTATCTTCGGCACACTAGAGATCAATCGTATAGCAATGAGTAGAACAATTTTCTACTTTACCTTGAAAATCGCACTGGCACAATGTTTCTGCAGTTCAGCATTGTTACTCTGTAAATTTTTCACTAGATCTGGAATCATTCCTCGTATGGCTGTTCGATACACAGGCTAGACAAAAAGTGCAACCATTTTCTCATCTTTTCTTATGAACAGAATCGAGAGTATAAACTTTACATCAACAGCACATTCTTCAATAATACCGCCGACGGGTATGAGCATTGTTTCATTGGAACTTTTGAGTAATTTTGCCAAAAGAGGAATCACACCGGCACGTTCCATTGCTTGTTTGTTCCGATCAGATCGACTTAAACTCCAAAGTGCTAATGCACCCGCACGAGCGACTTCGACATTCTTGGCAATGTCATTTTGCGAATAATGCGTCATTGATCCGTACGCATTCGGAGAAGCAGTTTCTAGGAGACCAACCTAGATTTAGATTTGAAAACTAATGATGCTCATCAGAATGACAATTCTTACTAAACGCTTGATTCCACCGTTCTGTCGAACGACTTTCCGAGCGCGTTTGAACTTAGCCACATGAGCTAAAATACGTTCAATTCGCGTGTAATCTTATTCAATGCGAATCTTACCAATATTTTCAGCAGCAAGACATTTCAATTCTTTTTCTGGTTCGTCGAGTAATGCAATCATCGTTTGCAATCCACCAAGATCTGCGATATTTCTCCGAATCGTCGGATTTTTCGAAATCTCTTTTAGAATATGTAATGAACCGATCTAAAACATAAGAAAATCTTCTATTACAATCTTTCGAAACATCTTATGGATGGACCTACTTTGCAGTCCAAATTGTCGGTTTCCAGTAAATTCGCAAGCACTTCCAATCCACCGGCATCTCGTATAGCTAGTTGACATATATCCATTGACAAATTGAAATCTCGAATCGATGACAACGCAATGACGGTTGCCGTTGGATTTCCGCCTTTTAGATATTTGACTAATCGTTGAATTTGCCAATATTCCGATGGTAAATCAGTTTGATCTTGTCGTGTACGATCTAGTAACTGATCATCTTGTTCATCATCATCTTCACTCGATTCGCCAAATTCAGAATTTCCATATACATCACGTCGACTGCGATCGGTGTGATAAGTGCCAACACGAGTGTGGACTCGTCGTTCAGAAATACCACCGCGTGATAAAGTAGTGTTCTCTTTTCGTAATTTACTTCGACTAATTTTATGAGAGAGAAATAAAACCAAGGTTATTTATTGAAAAACAAGAGAGAAAATCATCGTACTCTGTAACTAATGTATCCCAATCGCGTGAGGATAGCAAGAGTTTCGATCGGCTTTTATTCGCATTGGAATTATCTATTAAAAACATCTTAGGTTACAAACAAAAACACTAGAAAATCAATTGTTACCTGCGGCTGCTATCGATGACATTGTTTCTTTTTTTCTTTCTGTTGATTTTGCAATCTAAATTGCTTGTTGTTACTCGTCTGAAGAGAATCTGACACCATCAATTCGTCCTTGCTTGTAGTGTCACTAGGCAACTTGACTTCTCTGACTTCAAACAATGAAATTGATATTTTTTCCTATAATTCCAACGGGAAAAATGTTCAAGTGGTTTACTAATTCTTTCATTTCCGCATCTACTCGAAAATTGATGTGTTTTGCGAGGTAACTCTTAGCAGTAATGCACTTTAATTCATTTCCGCTGTTGCTAAGCAACGGAGAGCAAGTATAGATGTAAAAGAATAGTGTAACTACTTCAAACAGACAACACACACGATTCATATCGATGTATGTTCATTGAATCATAGTTATCTTCTGATAAAAAAAAACGAACGAGATCAAAAAAGGCGATCTTTTCGCTTCTTCATAAAGAAAAACATTGCATTTGAATAAACAGTGAATGGTTTCTCATTTGATCTGTTAAAAGTATCAAGTGATGAATTTACTACTTGATAGTTTCACCTTGCTAAGTAATCGATCGATTTCATGGGCGCATACAAGGTCAACAAGTCCGTCGATGCCATCATGAATCACATCAAAGACTTTTTTCTCAATCGTTAAAGATCAGTAAACGACTGAACAGTTGTAAATCGAAATGCTTTGATCAGATTTCATCGATTCAAAACGAACTTTCCGATTGGATTGCGAATAATGTTTAAGATAGCTGAATTCTCTCTCGAATATAATACGTGATGTAACGCACATTTATTAGATGTATGTAACATTCTGTCGAACATTTGGCAGATTCTGTTTTTTTATCATTAGTTTGCTTTTCTATGTGTTTTGTTGTTGATTTATTGTTCGAGTTTAGACATAGTTGCCTCTTTCGCACAGATTTCATCGATGTCTGACATTACATATCCATCAATGGATACGAATAATCTCGCACAATGTCTTCTACGTGCAGAGAAATCGATCGAATTTCTTCAGAATCAACATTCAGCAACATTAGCAGATCTCCATCAAGAATTGAATAAATGGCAACGAAAGTACAACGGTAAAGTTTTAATCAAAGGAATTTCGCCAACAGTCTTCTCTTCTCTCACATTCAGATCTTACGTTTCAATTCACTCTGAATAACACAGAGATTAATTCACATAACGAAAGTGAGTTCGAACTGTTTTCAAGTGTCTTCGACGTACCAATTTGTTATCTTTTAGACAAAGCGCGTTCTGCTATTGAACAATTAGAGAATGAGTTGTTACGAAGTCGAAATCGCGTCAAAACTCTACATCGAGTTGTAGAAGAAAAAGAGAAACTTATTAATGATTACAGAAATCGTTTGCAAATGCTTGAAAAAAAGCAAGCATTAGAATCGTATAAGCAACGTTCAGCATCAAGCACACGAATAAGTCATCATTCCGCTCGCGATAAACAAGAACATATATGCCATTGTATACGTCTCGGTCAGCTGATTTTACCGAATAAACCCAAAGCATTTAAAAACATCGATGAACAACGAAATGTTGTCAGTCCCACGCGTTCATCATCGGTTACTAATCGAACGAATTCGAACCATGAGAGAACAAAAACTTTATATATTGGTCAACGTTCATCCCTGTTACAGCCAATAGATAGACAAACATTGCCAAAACAACAACGGTATTCGTTTGCTACCCCGAATGGAAATACCGCAACGACTAAAATCGTCGCGTCGCGATCAACAATGAAATTCTCTACTATTCTTCCACCTATTACAAATAAGAAAGTGCCACTCAAAGCAACATTATCTTGTGAAGGCGAAGCCTAAATATTGTATGTTTTGATTATTCTTTTTTTGTCTTGCATATATAAAGTATGAAATTTAACACGTGATTGAGGGTGATACTAAAGACGATTGACCTAATCTCGGTTACAAATCATCATTATGACATCTTCACTCACGGTCAACCCATTTCCTTGCTCTTCATCTCTTGTATTCGTACTTGTTCCCATATGAATGTGTTCTTTGTTTAGAAGATTCCTACCATCCTTTTTCCTTTGGCATTCTTCAAGCTCTGTTTTTTTTTATATCAAAGTAAACGCGATGAAACCACAGAGAACGAACATAGAAGAAAAGTGAGAATATGTTCTGCCGCACAATAGAACCAAACTCAAGCAATGCCATATTACATACTTTATTTTTTGGACGATGACTGTGTCTCAAAAACGCACAGTAATAAATCAGGATTGTCCTTCCAAGAACCTAGAACAGAAACATCTCCTCGTACACGTATTGTTTTCTTTACAATATAATTCCTATATTCATTCGAGTCAAGTTCAGTCGTGCTATCACCATTACGAATCTTGACTTGAAGCGCGCCGGGTACTTTCATATGTATACGCACATCTTTATCGCGTGGTAATGAGCGTTGCAATGGTTCAATAAGAATACATTGATGATCTTCGAACGCTTGATGCACCATAGGAATTTCAATCAATTGAGTTCCATTCGATTCTGGTACACGTATACTTATTGCTGCACGATGTGTTGTTTCCTTTGCCGTTTTTGCATAAATAGTCAATTCATATGGACGATCTTTTTTCGGTGGTGCTACATAACAATTGTATAAAGTATGGTCCATAATATCACGTTGACACAATGTATGCAATCGTCGAGAACATTCCTCCCCATCGACAAGTAATTTTGCATATAAATGAGCAGGTTCAGGTGTTCGTATTGAAATTGTGAATAAATATTGGTCGGATGGTTTAGATTTCAGTGATAATGATGATTGCCTAAGAGTATGTGAAGGTGGATTGGATCTCATATTTGGTAAACTATGTATTGTATTACTAGCAACAACTTCATTATTGCTTTGTGTGTGATGAGATACGATGTCAGTAATAGATTCATCAGATGTTGTTCTCTGCTGATTGAGTACATCAACAATTGTTCTTTTAATCAGATCAACTGACGCGGGTTGTTGATGTTCAATAATTTGGGTGAGAGCTTGTTTTTGTTCATTGAATAATCGATGTAGTATTGCATCATCAGTGTGTTTTTTAACTTTGATATCCTCTTCAAGTTTTTGGAAATGAGCAGTTTGCGCTTCTTTAATCGAATTGATTTCTGTCAAGGTTGATTGTAAAGAGTCTTCTTTTTTCGCTGTGATTGTCTGTATTTCCTGTTCAATTGCTCGTAATAGATTAAGCTGAAGTTCTTGGTGAGATTGTGATGTTTGTTGTTGAGATTCTAATGTGTCAATTAATGTTTGTTTCAACATATGAATCGATGAAATTGTTGTACCAACGAATTGCTCGTAAGCTTTTGTTAAAACTTTATTGTGCTCTTCGAGTAAACGGAGAGTGTCTGCTTTGTGTTCTTCGTTGATTGTTTGAATGACATTTCGCCTGTCCTCCTTAATGGATTTGATTAATACTTTATTTTTTACATTGATTTGTTTCCGAAATGACGCAAGAAGCATTTGCCGCTCACTTCTCAATGCTTTATTGAATGTCTCTCTCATTATTTCAGGGTTTATTTCAGCCGATTTCGGTGATTCAGTTCGTGCACGTGAAGATGGAGCTTTACCTTTCTTTGATTCATTAAAATTAGTTGTTCCTTCATCAACTGTTGTTGTTGTTTTTCTGTAATGAGCTGTTACTGGACGATGTCGATGAAATTTAGTTTGTTCAGTTGTTCTAGCTAATCGTTTAACTAATAGAGGTCTTCCTGATGCATCATGCGTCGGCTCATGTTGACCATTGTCACAATTGAATATATAATACGTATTTTTATATGTTGGACGATCTTTTCGGACACCCAGAACATGGTAGGTCGACGAGCCAATTTGGAACGTATGAGTAATGTCGAAAAAGCTGTTGTCTTGTGTCATAATATTACAATGATTTCCTTGCATGTTTGCCGATATGAATCAAATATTCTCTACTCAGAAAATCTGTTATCAATCTTGTTTGATACTCTTATCTAAAAGGAAAAAATTTGTTCTCTTTTTCTGGTCAAATCTTCATGTAGAACGAAGATAGAAGTAGTCAAATGTCATTTCCTAGTAACAGCAAAAACAAACTTCATTCCTGACGAGTCGTTGGAGAAGAAATGACACGGTATCGTTAAGAACCAGTTTTTTTCCTCTATTTCTCTATTAAGCAAATGAGAACTTCAAAGAAAGACGATGTTTCGGATCTTATTACATACTTCGACATTTTCTACTCAAATTTATCAACAAGTAAATCTTCATATGAATATACAGAGTGCGAATTTCAACTTCGGATTGAGAAGACGTCATGCGACTTACATGTTCTTGCTTTTTATCGAATATACGAAGTCACATCATAGATATTTATTAAAAAGAAAATCACATTCTCTTTCAGATACCTTCGTTAACAACCTGAGATGTTAACCGAACCAAACGAACAGTCAGTACATATCGTGTTTGAGAAAACTAAGAAAACGAAAGTATCAAAGAAACCTTGTTAAATCGAATCGGCTGAGAAAAGATCGTTGTCATCCGTTTACACTGCGGAAAATAGATGAATGTAAGTCATGCAGATACACGAGAATAGAAAAAGAAAGTCATTACTATCTAGAAATAAAAAGGAATGAAGAAGGTTTGTTACTATGTAAAAAAATGCTTGTAAGTAAACGGAAGAAGGGCCGAGACACATCATTTTTATCAACTAAGTTACAACATAACATCTGCCTTCTCAACATTGTCAAACATTTCTAAGCAACCAAGAATATTCACCAATGAAAGAAATTGTTCCATCAGAAAACGATAATTGTCGATGAATTGTCCTTGTCAAATATAACCTAATCATACTCATATTTAGTCAACTATCTAAACGAAAACATATATTTCAATATTTACTTCTCATCCAGCAGCTAACATTTCTTTCTTTCAAACACGATCAACAAAACTCTCATATCTGACGTATCTCTCGTCATTGTTTATTGTTATTGTACATTACATCAATGGATGATGAGATGGCAATGATCTAATCTAGATTTCTTACGAACATTCCTGTAAATTATGATCATTTGATATGCTGTGTAAATGCATCTTGCAAAAAAACATTTCATCGTTCTCAATCACGAATACTTGACTATGACATTTGCTTATCAAAGCGATGTGATACATCATGTTCGACATTTACTCATAGCAAAGTTATAATTTCGTTCGAAAAAAAAGACGATGTGTTTTTGTTTTATAAAACAAAGTCAATCAAGCACGATTACGTTCATGTAGATCGATGAGAATAACTATAGCAAGATAGCCGAATTGTTTTTCTTGATCATTAATCGTCACATGATAAGTTGAATTTGATTTAGAAAACGAATCGATGACTTGAAATAATGTTTCGGGGCATTGCAATGCTGGATATTGAGAATTACTCGGTTCTATCGTGTCGATAATTGCTAGTCGACGATCTTTTAAATCACTACTTCTAACTTTATATAATTTTCGTCCGATGATAATTGTGTAAAGATAGTTGTTGTAACTGCATAGTTCGTAGGTTAATTCACCGAAAAGAACTTTCTCGTCAGTGTTGGCATCGTTCGTGTATATCAAGTAATGTTTTGAGTTGGACGGATCGGATTCCACAGAACAGGATTCCGGTGAGAAGCGTTTCGATAGAGGTTTTGTTATTTTGATTCTAATAGGAAGATAAACAGCAAGGTATCGTTAGTTATACAACACGTAGAAGTGAGAAGAAAAATGCGAATTACTTGAATTGATCTTTATTTTCTTTTGAGGGCGATGCTTTGACCGTGCAGACAGTTTTGGCATTGCAGATAACTTCGAATTTCTCTTTGTTGAGTGAAAATTGTCGGGAGATTGTGTATTTCATTTATTAATAATTGAGCAAACACTCGAGAAGAAAAAGTTTGTCTTGATGACTGGTTTTTATTGTTTTCTGATTAGTATCGTCAAACTTGTAAAAAAATGTGTGTTTCTTTCGTCCTGTTGAGTGTCTTGTGCTTACGAAATATTTTTGTTATGATCATGAATGATGAGAACGACACAGAAGAGGAGGAGAGAGACTCGTGTTGTTCTGCGCTAACGTTAACAAGCGGCAAATATTACTGATAGAAATAACGTTCTTTTTTCATTCGCCATTTGTAGATCTCATCTTCCTCAATGATAAATATTTTTCCTCCGTTTCTTTTTCTCTTTTCTTTATCAATAGTTAAGGAAAACGTTGACCTAGCGAAAACGCACGGTGCACCAATTCGATCGCAGCGATTCTGCGTCAACAAATTGACAAATAAATGTAATCGACTATATACAAATTAGTATTCGAATAATAAAGTAGCAAATGTTGACACGCCTACTAGTGCTTTTCGTAGTCGCTATTATCAATACCAAAAACGACATTGGCCAAAGAATAATACATTATAAATTTCGCTTTTCTATAATGAGCTGTATGTACTAATCGAAATCAAATGACGTTATTTATTCAACGTCCTCACAAGGTTACCTAAATTCGGTGTTTGTATTTATTTTGAATTGCAATTGAAAGAATAGATGAACTGCGGAAAATGATTTTCGAGAAAATCGAACAGTAGAATACAGAGAAAAACGATTGTTCATATTCTGATGATCTAAATTTGTTTACAAGTAAATTCCATCACCATCTTCGATGCTAACTTGCTCGTTACAAAGAGAAGTTTTACTTTTTCTATAAGAAATTATTCAAAAGACTTGAAGAGAAGATTTTTGTCAACTTACCTGCATGTTTGACATCATATTACTGGCGAATGATGACAACTTTCCAGCTGCTTTTGAGACGCCATCTTTGAAATCTGCTGTCATTGTTGTTAGATCGACTCCCTGATAACCCGACGAACTCAGCTTTCGACTAGGATTACCGAAGTATTCTTCACTGGAAATACTCGTATTTCCTTGAAAGCGTGTGCTAACGTTGGACCGATCATTCTACGAAAAAATCTTTTCCTTGTTGGCAAAAACGAACATTGTTTGTGAAAGCAAAACAAAATAAGTTTATTATTTAAATTTGGAAGTTAAAAGCTCGATCGGCGCGCTAGAAGTTTTGTTTAGATGAGCACATGCACATTATTTTTGTTGAAGAAAAAACATGAATTAGCAAGAGTAGAAAATAAGAGAATGTCTGTTTTCCAGTTGTCGTTAGATGGATGCACATGCAGCAAAATAAGATGAGTATGATATGTAGATTTTATCCATATGTAATGGTTACATACGTACATCCGAATCTCTGTTAAAGAATTGATCGCTTGATATGGCTTTAGCGTTAGAAAAACGTTTCTGAGTATCGCCTGCAGATGATGCATTGTAAGATGTTGATGATTTAGAAGATGATCTAGAGCAAAGTGAATTGAAACTATCTGGTTTCGTGAGCATGCTGTCAACTTACCCGTAAGCATCACTGTTAGCCGTCGAACTGTTATAATTTGACCCTGAAGATTTGTTACTTCCACTTGATCCGTAATCTTTGTTCGTTGATTTTTTATCAATAACTTCCCAATCAGCACTGAATGAATCCATAGGTTTCGCAGATGATTTTGGTTTGAAGAAATCATCATCTAATCTAGATGGGAAGAGAACAATTATGGATAGAAATGTGCGAATTCAAATAGCAATTATGGTTAACTCAGAACGAAATTCGTCTTTTATCGTATGAAACACCTTTTCCCTACTGTCGAATGAATAGCAATATTAATTTTAGTACATGCATATCTCGTATTAGTAATTGAAGTACTTTGATGGATTCTCATCATCATCTCCCGATAATTGTCTATCATTACTAAATATCATCTGAAATATTAAATTGAACATTTGCGCTTGTTCGACTCACTTCGATCGACTGCTAAAGCCAGCTGGTTCAAAATCATCGAAAAAATCGCGATTTCTTGGTGCTAATGACACATTTCTGGTTGTTGTGACACCTTCTTGTTGAATCGTTTGCATATCTGTCATCGCACTATGGCTAACGCCACTACAACATCAATTTTTGAAAATATTCGTTAAATATTAATTTTCAACTACCTTCGAGCGCCAAAACCCATCCCAAGACGTTCCATTTGTTCGGCTTTCTTTGGATTTGATTGTTTTAGTTTCGCTTCTTCTATTTCACGTTGTTTATTCATATCTTGATATGCAAATTTCAGATTCGCCCTAATAATAATCGAATTGACAACGATCTTTGTTCGAATGATATTCATCTTACATTTGTTTTTCCATTTGTTTTTCGTGTTCTTCACGATTTTTTATCTCTAGTTGAGCACGTTCTTCCCGATATTTTTCTTGTTCTTGAACGTTACGTTCAATTTCTTTGAAATCAGTCGAAACCTTTTGTGCGCCAAAGCCCTTCTGAAAACAAATACATTCTGGAAATATAGATTTCATCATTTATTTATCGGTTCAAATCACCTTTTTAGTTGTTGGTGCACGACGTTGACCAATAGTGGACTTTTTGGGATCAAAAACCTTTGCCGATTCATCGTTATTAAATGCGTTAGGATCAACTGAAGGTCCTTCAGCTTGTTGTTCAGCTTAACAGAAGACAAGAACTGAACAATGAGAGATCAATGAATAAATAACGTACTTTTATCAAGATTTTGATCATTTGAACGTAAAGATGTACTAACATTCTCCTCCCAACCTGATCTAGTCGATGTTTGAGAATGTTCATGGAAGAAATCTTCGTCTTTCCTTTCACTGGTTGATTGACGACGTTCATTTTTGTTTCCATCATCAAGAAAAAGCTTGAAAAAGATTTGTCAAATGAAATCATTTGCGATATGTAACAACGAAATACTTTAGTTCCATATTGTTTCATCGCTTTTGTTGCTAATTGATGAAGTTTCTCACGGTAAAGTTGTGCTGCACGACTATTGTATTTCTGTTGAATATCTTTTGTTTGACATCCATGTTGTTGAAAGAATGCTTCCTAAACGAAATATATGTTTCAATCAATTATCAACACTAGCATATGGTTTAGTTACAGCATTTGCATTGCCACCGACTTGCATAGCCCTAAAGAATTGAATAATAAAGAATGGTGTTCAGTCCAATGAAACATACCGAAGTTGAAGCCAAGCCCAACTTGTATCAAGATTGATCGAACGAATGAAGGATAAATGCACACCAAGCCCACGATGTCTTGCTGAACAATCGATACAAAGAAATACACCGTATGTGATGGATGCCCATGTCGGATTCTTTGCTTCGCAATCAAAACAAACTTTATTTGCTGAGATCGTTTTCAATCGTTTAAAGATAGCGTCAATATCTGATTTTGTTGGCTCTTCCATTTCCATAGGTTATTATCAGATGAGTTTATCTACAGTTGAGAGAAATCTTTTAACCTTGATCACCCTTAACTATGCGTAGTTTTTTGACAATAAAAGCAAATAAATCAGTTTGCTCACTACTGAGTAATGTGAGTAACAACGATCGATTGATACTATTCGCTCACTATTCTTTTAATCAAATCTCTCGATGGATGTCGCTTATGTTTGCTCCGTATACGAGTCACAATGAGTAGTTGAATAATTTCATCGACCTTTTCGTTTCTGTTTAATCTCATGTATTTGAGTGAGGTGAACACAAGTGATGAAACGATCCTATCGTCAGACCTAATGATTCCACCAGTTCATACAGAGTAAGATAGATACGCAATAACACAATTCGTTTTGACTACGAGAATTGGATAATGAACTTGATTCTATTGCAAGACCAATCCTTTCCACGAATCTACCCTAGTGCGAACCAGGATGGACAATCAGCCTACAAATGAGATAGGATCATATCTCGAAGTATATTTTCTACGAATTTTCTCATCAAATTTTTCGTGAAAAGCAAGACACTTATTGTTCAATGCTTCAAATGGGTTGTTCTAAATAACTCTGGCAATCAGCAAAAAAGAAATTTGCCTTTGGCTACTTAATTCTCTATTTATTTTAATCAGTGAATATTAAGAGTGATTATCGAGTTCGCGAGATAGTTTTCGACGCAAAAATTCAATGATCATAACAAAATGTTCCACATTTATGAACCTGTCTTACATAAAATACAAATTATCTTTGTTTTGTACCATGAGATGTACTAGTCTGAACCTAGCATTGACTTTCTTAACTATTTCAATGAAAATAAGGAAAAGAAAGCATTTTCATCTTTCTTCTTTAGGATCTGAACTATTATAGAGATCAAACGCTTCATTGTTGTCGGAAACTGGCCTAGTTTTCCAAAACCTATTCAGTCAAAATGCCCGTGGTTCATATCGTAAATATGGTATGTTTCACTTACTGAATAAATGAACATCGTACTGCGACATCTAGTTGACCATGTTATTTGTTATCAAATTACCCTGTTCGGAACAAGTACAGAACAAACGTAAACGAAAGGAAGTAAGGAAAAAGAAACGTTCTCTTCTCAGAGCTGAACAACGTCAACAATCTGTGGCTGGGTGAGACACACATCTCTGAGTCATGTTCTTTACTGATTGCGCAATTTTCTGATAAGTTGCTTTTGCATCTGACTCATGTTGTACGTTATATAAACTGTAGTCTTTTGGCATTTTTTCACACTTTCGACTAAAAATAGAAGGGAATTTGACACATTTTCGTATCTTTCACTTTTATCTTAATAAAACTCGAAAATAATGTTCTCATTTCATCCGACAACCACAGCTGCTACTACATCCGCTTCAATGTTTACATTTTCTCGTCCGATTACATCACAAGCATCAAATATACCACTGTTTCAATTTGGTGGTAGTGGCGCACAGGGTGGTGCGACTGTCTCACCATTTGCCCCTCTTCCAGCAACGAATCAACCTGCTAACAACGCAAATTCAAGTATGGAAAACGTAGAGGATCTCATTGCTTAACTATAAGATTTCTTTTCTATTTCAGATGCTACTGGCTTGTTCCAGTTCGTAAGCGGTCAATGCGCACCGGCAGCACAAGTACCAAATTATTTTTTCACAAATCAAACAGGCACAACAATTAAATTCATTCCAGTAGCTTCACAAGGTAAACTTCATACCATACATTTTTTAAATAATCCATTTCGATTTTTTAGAGACTGAATATGTGCGTAAAACTAAGAAAATTGTAACTTCGGATGTAAAATATCAGTGCATATGTAATATAAAAGAGTATTCGAGTAAATCGATGGATGAGCTTCGATTAGAAGATTATCAATCAAATCGAAAGCTCCCCTCAGGTAATGCCTTGTTTTTCCCGTCTGAAAAATCATCCATTAATACTAAAGTCTCTTATTCTTTTAGCGTCGACCTCGGTTGCCTCAAATACATTGATCTTCAATGTCAATCCTCCAATTACAACCGCAGCGAAACCATTTAGTACTGCGACTACGACCAATAATATTTTCAATCCATCGGTGTCAACTGTAGCGAACCCTTTCAGTGTTGCGACTCCGACCAGTAATATTTTCAATCCATCGGTGTCAACTGTAGCGAACCCTTTCAGTACTGCGACTACGACCAGTAATATTTTCAATCCATCGGTGTCAACTGCAGCGAGCCCTTTCAGTACTGCGACTACGACCAGTAATATTTTCAATCCATCGGTGTCAACTGTAGCGAACCCTTTCAGTGTTGCGACTACGACCAGTAATATTTTCAATCCATCGGTGTCAACTGTAGCGAACCCTTTCAGTACTGCGACTACGACCAGTAATATTTTCAATCCATCGGTGTCAACTGCAGCGAGCCCTTTCAGTACTGCGACTACGACCAGTAATATTTTCAATCCATCGGTGTCAACTGTAGCGAACCCTTTCAGAACTGCGACTACGACCAGTAATATTTTCAATCCAGCAATGTCAACTACACCAATAACGACATTTCCGTGGTTAAAAAATGCTAGTTTAACACCAACTGCTCCAAATCTTAACCCATTCGGCATACAACCCGTAACTACAGGAGCTCCAATGGCAACGGCATCATCAACGCATCCATTTACTACTACGCCAGCTACAACATCCAGTGTTTTCACAGTTCCGTCAATATTTCCTGGTTTTCGTACACCTACCATATCGACGGTCAGTACGATCCCTTCAACTAATATCTCTCAGTCGTATACTGCACCGTTTCAATTCTCGCAAAGTTCATCGATTCTTAATCAACCATCAGTAATTCAATCAATATCTGTAACACAAACTCCGGCAATTGTGCCATCATCAATATCTTCAACGGCGGCATCAGAAACAGCTGCAATGAGTCAGCAACAGTTTCTTACCAAACTACTTCTCGATCCATACGGTAATCGTGGACGAAAAGAGTTTATCAATGCGGAATCAACCTCCTCGCCTAAGACATCCATTGTTGATTCAACTTTACATACAACGGTGTCGGCATCGACACCGATACCAGTTGTTCTTCCGGTCCATTCGAATTTCCAAAGAACGACTGCTCCACATTCATCAATTAACTTAGATTTCAAACTAAAACCTACTTCGTCAGTTTCAACATCACATGAAGATACGCAGTCACTCAATCAACAATCTAAATCGACGACAGAACCAAGTAAAAGTACACTGTCGGGGGGTTTTACTGACGAAGAAGAGGTTGTTTTACTTACTCGTACGAAACTATCCAAATTACATTTGTTAAATAGTACAATGAATCAGCCAAATACACTTCATTCACTGTATCCCCGACGAAGTTTAGCTGAATTGGAATCATTAACAAAATTATCGCGACTATCACCTCCAATTTCGACACCTTCCGAACAGACTGTTTTGCCAAAATCAGTCTCTCCAAACTTGGAACCTCAACCGAATATTGACCTGTCATCGTTCCGTTTACCAATCTTAACTCGTTTGAATTATTATATGAAACCGGATCTAGCCGAATTAGAAACACTATTTAATGATAAAGGTCAATGTTTGGTCAAACAATTCACTGTTGGAAACGACAAGTATGGTTCAGTGACATTTTATGGACAAATTAACGTTGCTGGACTTAATCTTGATGAAATAAGTAAGTTAATCTTTGCGAAAAACAATTTTACACCAACATATATCTTCTATTCATTCTCATTCTAGTTCAAATCAATCACCAAGAAGTTATTGTTTATCCCGATGATATAAGAAAACCAGCCGTCGGTGAAGAATTGAATCGTTCTGCTCGTATTACATTATTTGACGTCTATCCAATCGATCGAGCAACACGATCAAAAATAAGCGATATTGAACGAATCAGAGCGATGAATTACAGTGATCATTTACGTGAAACCACCGGAAAGTTCGATGGAGAATTCATCAACTACGATCCCATCGATGGATCGTGGACATTCATGGTATGAAAACTTCAATATTGCAGTGAAAGTTAATCTATACATGTTCTTCATTTCTTTATAGGTAAAACATTTTACTCGTTACGGTATCGATGAGAACGAAAAGTATACGAACCTCTAATTCTTTTAAGTTAGAAGCCGATAGGACGAATGACATCTCGTACTTAAAATATTGCTTTACTTTTTCTTGAATAAATTTCTTTGCAAAGACACGGTTTTTCAGAATTAGACAAGAGAGTAGTATACCCTGTAGAAGATTAGCTGTGAGTAGATCATACGTATAGATGATTTCAGAAGTAGATTTCATTTATCAGTTTCGAGTCAATCGCTTCTCTTTTTATTGACTAATCCATAGTCATATATCGTTCGAATCGTTGTTACTGAGCTTAGTGACAGATTAATTAATCATATTTATTCAGCAATAGAACTATTTTTAATTGTCATTGAAAACGACATGTCTATTGTATTGTAGAATATCAATGTGTAAATGAGGACAGAAAATGTGATATAAATCGAATGATTTGAACAAAAATGGTAAGTAATTATTTGTCATATTCAATCTATTTTAGCAACGACTTGCAAATCCCAAGTGATTATTTGGGTGTTAGAACTTCATTTACATATTTATTGACGACTGATCAAATAACAATAATACGTCAGATGTTTTTGTCGATGAACTTCAACAGATAAAGTTGATGTTAACCGATTCTTTAATCTGTTCGATTGCAATTCGAATCGACGAATGAACAATATCAGGTAAGTGAATTCATCTCACGATTAACTGAGTTCACTGATCCGTAAGTAATTTTCTGACTTGTACAACATATGTTTCTCTATTACCAATTCTGTTTCATTAACTATTTCTTATAGATAATAGCTCGGAGATATTTTCATTGTCGAATTCATTTCGAACAACCTCATTTGAGTTGTTGTTTTTGTTGTCCGATATGATGGAAATGATTGCTGGACAATCACGGAGATGTTTATGATAGGAATCAGTTTTTCATACTGAATCGTTCATGTTAATGAACTCGGTACTTATGCCATTGGCCATAGCAGAAAAAGTTTCGTAATTTAGTTCCTTCAATCTTTTGTTTCATCGAATCAATTCATTGTCAAGTGTCTCTTTACGTTTTTTGCAAGAAATCAATGCCACATTGTTTCTATGGCGTATGCGAAAACAGATTTTTCATCATCGATTCTTTTTCAGTCAGTGAACGCGGTGAAAAGTTCATGTTCGTAAGTACAAACTCTCAGCTTCTACAATGTTCGATGTTGTCTTCTGTATGATATTAATAAATGACTCGATTTGAAATGTTCATCAAAAACAATCTATGCTCTTCTCTTTATTCCACTCGATGACTGAAAGAGATCTTTGTCTGAAAAAATTCTAATTAAGAACAAAGGAAAAAAGAAGTCAACATATGTCGTTCTTTCTCGTGCTATTCATAAGTACGGATTGACTGGTGATGGTCGATGATATTGATTCTTAACTGACATGTTCGTACTGATTGTCAGTTGATGATTTCTTTGTTCAAATTCTGATGACTTGTCATTGACAAATAATCCATGGACAGGCGACCAACCTTCTCATCGTGGCGCGAAGAAAGGCAAAAAAAAACTGTCATTACTTTAGTTTTTTTCCTCTCTTCTCTTCTTCCCTATTGATCTTAAAGGAACTATCGAAGATTGCTATTAATTCTCTTCCTTTATCGAAGAGAGAAAAATGCATTAGTCGATCCCGTTCTGCTTTTTCTTTCCTTTTCTGTTTCTCTGACTCCCGACTATCTACTTTTAGATAATGATAGAAGAAGCCATACTATGATTCCAATCGACAAACGAGTGTGCACACTAGTACAACTAATAGAATACATAACGATAGAAGAGCGCCAATGATGACGATGATGATTGATCGATATTATAGAGAAGCAATGTTGTTTTTTGCTTCTGCTACTACTAGTTTGCGTCATTGACCTGCATGTGCGACGACAGATCTATGTATCGCCATTAGCCAAACTCGAATTCATTCGAGATGAACTAAGTAAGTCGAAGATTGATGAAATGCATGGTTTGCTCATGAATGTTTTCTTAGAAATCGAATGGCTTTCTCTCGACATTCACTTCGACGTGTTCTTGGTGATATGGTTCATCGTCAGAATCCAAAAGCTGATTCTCTCAATACCACTCCTCCTGAACATGACAAAAATCTGCATAAATCACAAAAGAAAATCGATCGAAATTCAATTATCAGCAATGGTTCTTTATCGGTAAGAATGATGTTCTTTTTTGCTTGTTCGTGTAAATAAACAATGATTATCTGTTAGTTACCTCAGACAAGTTATGAACGATTACATAAAAACGAACAAGAAGTATGCAAATCATTGAATTATCTTGATCAAGTCTTGACACATAACAAACTGGAGATTCTTCCGAGCATCGTTACATCGCTAATTGAGAACATTTTCGACATTGAAAGTGTATTGAAAGGTATATTTGAACATGAATCTGCAACATTCAGGTAAATTAACATTGAAGCATTACCATCAGTTGAACGTATTTCAATGAATTTAGAGCACATCTACTCAATGACGTCTATTCTCTCCTCGCAGATCTAATCGACTGGTCTGATCGATTCCTTCTGGCCAAATCAATAAATCCCGATGAAAAATACAAAAAACTAACTCGTGATCTTATCCAAGCGATCAAAGTAGGCGGAAACGAACTAAATCACGATCCTCTTCTCTTCTTCCTGTAGAATTGCATTTTATTTGCTAATGATGCATCTTCAATTCAAAGCGCAGAGACACGTTCTGGTTCGATACAAAGTTTTCACTCATCGAACAGGTACATTTCGTTTTCTCTATCGATTATTTCATCGAATTCTTCGTATGTTTAGTTATAATGATGAATCCGCACCTGTCCTTCCTCCAAAACGCGACAAACCTTCGATCAATTCTTCCACAACCATTGTCTCCAATCGAATACGACCTAACGGTAGTACAAATTCCGTTCCGAGAAAGATCCACCCAGATAAAGATAACGATCAATGTATACAACTTATTGTCGATGATATCAATCAGATCGTCGAGAAATACACACGTGAATTAGATGATGCGATACGTACGAAAACTACGGCTCGTTCCCCTTCAGCTGAACAACTATTCGATCAGAATTGTTCGATAACAATGACAGCACCTTGCCATCAACATCCTCAAAATGCTGATACATTATACGAAACTCAAGTTTCGAAAATCATCAAAAGCACAGTAACGAAAACGACAGTTAAAAATGGCCATGAGATAATTGATCAAAAACAATCATGTCAGCTTTATAACGAAACCGATTGTTCGATTCAGTCGCCCAATGGAACTTTCCAAACGCAAAAATTTACATTCATCAATCGAGAAAAGATCAACAACGAAGACGAACAGCAGAAATCATTCGTCACATCTCAAAATCGACAGTTAAATCTCGCCAAAGCCGAAGACGGCAGTAATGAACCACCACCGTTACCGCCCAAACGAAAGACAGGTTATTACTTCCTCTCTAACATCGGAAACGGACGTAGAAAATTGCTTTTTCTTTCAACTAGTTGAGTTCTACTTGATTGGATTAAAACTCGGAAACAGTTCTTCACCATTTTCTTTTTCCTGTTCCGTTTTTTAGCTCGAGCGTACATGTCCCTATTTGATCGGTATGATCAACATGTCGCGGAAAATTTCCTTCGTGATACGTGTTCCGTACCAACACCTCAACGACGGTTTGAAGACTTATTCGAACAAATGCAAGAACACTTCCAACAGATGCAAATCTTTCCCAATTTGGATGAATCGCTGAGAATAAAACTGAAAAACACCGACAAATCCAGTGACTCCGTAAGTTATAGATGGACCCGATATTCTCGTCAATAAATTGCCATTCATTTAGCTGAAAGACATGGACGAATCATTTACATGTAAAAATCCATTGAAAATTGACTATCACAGTGATCTTTTCCTGGAAAATATTTCCCATTTACTTGTCTTTAATCTGGTAAGTGTGATGGGTTTCGTTTGCATAACTCCGTAGGCATATCTTACTCTAGAACGAAAATCCGTCATTACGCGGTGGTTCTATCGATGCGTTGATCATCCGAGCAACATCTCCCGATAAAAAAGGTTCGATTTTACTTACTGAAATCGTCGATTGTGTGATGTTGATGATGTATTCTGTAGATTTCGTTTATCAAGAAGCGTTTCTAACTACCTATCGTACATTTGTCTCTCCGAGTGATTTAGTTGAAAAATTAATTCAACGTTATACGTTCTTTTCCCAATTTGAAACGAAGAAGAAGATATCGCGATATGCGTTTTCACTTCTCATTCGAGTCATCGATGAAATCGAGTAACATACACCATGTTTATTTTTCCGAGAATTCACTCACAATTTCATGTATTTAGTAACGAACTAACGGAAGATTTAATGGAATCTCTTTCGAATTTTGTTACGAATCTAATTCGTCAAGGTGAACTTCAACTAGGGAAACTTCTACGACGGAAATCTCTCGAACGTTTTACAAAATTCCCGCCATCATCGGAACAAACTCCGCAAGATATTCTCATTATACAAAACTCAATTTCTTCCAAACGAGCGACGTTACTTGATTTTCACGCCAGTGATATTAGTGAACAATTAACTCTACTGGATTCAGAATTATTTCTCAAAATCCAACTATCTGAAATCTTATACATGTCAATTGAAAAAGGAGAAGAATATTCACCGAATTTAGCCGCTTTCACCGAACATTTCAACAATATCTCCTATTGGTGAGATGTTCGAATGGTTGGAATCCATAGATCTTTCATTCATTTCTTGCAGGGTCCGATCACGAATCCTCGAACAAAACTCGCAGAAACAACGTGAAATTCATTTTGAAAAGTTCTTGAAAATATTAAAAGTAAGAATACGATACTTTCAATGAAGCGAGAGATTGACTTAACCTAGCTAATATATAGCCAGACAGTAGACTGGATTTGTTATGGCTCGACTACTCTCTTGCGTTACTACATAAATAAATCAGGTTTCGCTTATGAGAGTATTAGACATTGCCTTGAAGAACACGTTGTAATCGTAAGACATGTCGTCTGTTTAGCATTTACGGCGATTAAATAACTTCAATTCATATTTGGCCATACTCTCCGCTTTGGATTGTGGCCCGTTAAAACGATTGCATTGGTCGAAGAGTATTATTGACGTAAGAAACTTCTTCTCTCAATATTTCATTTTTACATTCGTTCATGTAGTCAATATCAGAACACGCCGGACTTATTGACAGCACTGGATCATTTAAAAACTACCGCGAAGCATTGAATGCATCGGTTGGACAACCGTGTATACCTTACATGTAAGTCAATCGACTAGATGTTATAGTTTTCAGTACGCAGTTTTCTAGTGGATTGATTCTGTCGGATTTAACCTTTGTTCATATTGGTAATACGGATTATTTGCCGGATGGTCGAACAGTTAATTTTTGGAAACGGTGGCAACAATTTACTATTTTACATAAACTTCGTTACTGTCGAAAATGGTAATTGTTCATGAAAAGTTCTGCCGATGAAAATCTCGTTGTTATCTGTTTTAGGGAACATAAATTCATTCGTAACGATCGTATATTGTATTTTTTTAATAACTTCGATGATTATATGAATGAAGATGCACAATGGATTCAATCAGAGAAAATCAAGCCCCGACAAAAATCTAATCCATATGCTTAGGAATCGAGTTGAGATGGTTTTGTCTATCTGTCAGATATTTTCTCTTCGTTACAGTGACAACAAAACTAAACACGAAACATCGTCGTTGATCTATTTGTGTCTATCATAGCTTTTCAGTCCCTTCCGAATTCAATCTTTTAAAACAGACTATTCTGTGTATCATTGTTGTTTTCTTTTTTGTTGGATTTTACATATTTTATTGAACTTAGAAACGAATAATAAAATGAGGTGTTTTCTTCTATTGATCAGATTGAAGTTCGAATGAAAGCAACGAAATTAACAAACGTGTGTTTGTATAGATTATTGTCACTATCAACTTGCAGATTCGATGTACGTTCCGCAATATTGGCGCGTGATCTTACTAAAAGTTTTGTTTCTGTTATTGTTTAGAAAAAAACGGCGGCATCGAAGGATTTACTTGCAGAGTATGAAAAGAAACGGGATTTTAAGAAAACAAATGAACCTAAACCAACAGAAGCTCAGCCTGAAATGAATCAACATCGATTTGTTGTACAGGAGCATCACGCCTCGATGTTACATTTTGATTTTCGACTTGAATTAAACGGTGTTATGAAAAGGTACATTTGAAATTTCTGCTTCACGAACAATAACTTTCATACATGTCTTTTGCAGCTGGTAGGTCGATAGAACGATGGAAGATTATTATTAAACTATGATTTACACAGGTCAGTGCCGAAAGGACCAAGTTTAAATCCTCGAGATAAACGTCTAGCAATTATGGTTGAAGATCATCCAATTGAGTATATGAATTTTCAAGGAACTATTCCAAACGGAGAATATGGCGCAGGTTTGTTAAAACTCAACATAATCCGTAATGCAAAATTTCCTTCTGATAGGCGAAGTACGAACGTGGGATATTGGAACATATGAGTCGTTGGATGACAATGATGATATGAATGCGGGTATTGATAAAGGCAAATTAACCTTTCGACTTCATGGCAAGAAATTGAAAGGCGAATTTCACATGGTTCGTTCGCGATTCGGCAAAACTCAACGAGATAATCAATGGTTGTTGATGAAAACGAACGATCAATTTGCTGATGAACATTTTGTACTCGATCGTATCCTTGATTATGGTTCACGACGAGATCTGCAAACAGCAAAGATTACTACTGGAAGTGAAAAATGTCCACAAGCTACATCCGCATTGCCCAAGCGAACGAAAAGAAAGTCATAAATAGTTGTATAGGCGTCATATTAAGCAATCATAGGTTTGTTGCACGTAATAAACGACTTATACTACTCTCGATCATTTTCCTTTCGAGTCTAATTTGATTATCCGAAAGGTTGTGAAAGTATGTTCATTGTTAGTGTATATTTGGCAATAAGGATACGCAAAGAAATACTCAAAAGCAAGCACGACAATTGAGAAATAACCAAAGAAACGAGATGAATGAGAGAAAGAAGTGTCAAACAGTACGAGAAATGAAGAAATGAACAGTTAACAGATCAATGGACGAAAAAAGAGAATGAGAGCAAATGAAACATGATTTTTCTACTAGACGTATGTAATGAAAGAAACATTTTGTACAAACGAGAGAAGAAAAAAAACCGAAAACAAGAATAATTCATATTCAATCAAACAGATTTATACATCATGTCAATTCCAATTGGTAAAAATAATGCGTGAACAACAACAAATAACAACAATCATACAATGTATTGCTGGCTCATCGATGTAAGATTGCACAACGAAGCGCATGCGCAAGAGTATATGTATATATGAAAAGAAAACAAAAGAAAAAAAATACTGTCGTATCCTATCTTAATATTCATTTCTAGTTGCACATTATGATCATGTTTACAGAAAGAAAAATACAGGTAAATACTAAAAAAAAACGAAAGAAACACAAGTTGTAAGATTGGTCATGTATGTATAGATGAGAGAGAGAGAGAGAGAGAGAGAGAAAAAGACAAGAGAAAGGTTTGGGAGAAGGCACCGATAAGTAAATCATAGTGTGCAGAAAAGAAATATTCACAAGAAATCGATTTATTGCTGCCAATATGATGGTGGGATCGATGGATGCATTTGTTCCATGAAATTTGCTCCATCAATCGACGAAGATTCTGTTGGCATTAAGATTTGAGCTTGAGAAGTCATTAGGTTCATATTTCCATTATGATCTTCAGATTTTTCTTCTTCACGACGACGTAAACATGCAGCTTTTGGATTCAGGTTTCGTTCTAAAACACAAGAGTTCTCATTTCAAACAACGAACCTATCCTGATCACTTCCTCTTACCTCGAACTTGTTGTTCAAGTGTTGTGATCAAATTAACTGCTTGTTGAAGTACACCCAGTTTAGTAACTGGTTTATCATTTCGCATATGAATGGCACACATACGGCCGAGTTCTTTAAATGCATCGTTGATGTCTCGAACACGTAATCTAAAATCATATTGATGAAGATTTTCCCTCGAAACAGAAATCGGTTCATACGTACCGTTCGCGAGCGTTATTTGCTGCGCGTCGATCTTTCTCCCGACGTTCGCGTTCTTCAGGTGTTTCATTTGGATCAATACTCTCTTCCGACGGTGGTCCACCACGCATGTACGATAAATTTAAATGACTATTTGGACTTAATGTCAATGAACTTCAATAGACAAGAGAAACAATCAAATCGATGAGCATAAAACTTCATTTGTCCTTACTTTCGTAATTTTGTTGACGAGGACGATATTGGTCCTGCATGTGTTCCACTCGCACCACCAACAGCAATTGTCAATGGTGCCGCATTCTCTTCTGATATATCATGTCGAAGATTGAAGTCGTTTAGTTTACCTGTAGTTATTTGAGTCGCACCATTGGTTGCTGGCGGTTTATTCTCAACGTTAACTTTAACTTTGTCAAGACATTCAAGCTTCAAATCTGGATTCATCGATGTATGGTTGGCATCATTCGATGATGTCGATGAAGATGAAGATGCTGGATTGCCATCTGAAATTGTATCTATGAGAGCACAAGCATGTATCGATGAAAACAAACTTACAATTTAAGTATGGATCATGATGTCGACTTCGGGCAGAGATATCCGATGTCGTCGTTGTTGTCGTTGGTGGATGACTGAGGAAATTTGAATATGGTCCAGTGGAATGTGGATGATGATAGCCAGGATAATAGTGATGAAAATCATTTGCTCGAAACGTATCATCTACATCTAATCTTGGCGGCTAGAAATAATAAACATTGAAAGTTTTGTTTTTCTTGAGGAAAATCCAAATCAAACGAATAATCAAAAGAAGTCTACATCCCATTATTCCCGAAATCATATTCGTGTGTCTATAGACAAACCTCATTTAAATTAAGTAAACAATATGAGTCGTCAGATAGATCGATTAAAGATGTCTGAGAGTTAGAAGGAAATGAAATATTCGAAATCGACCTCCAATCATCGATACTTACAAGTGGATGATACGTCTGTGCTGCATTGATCCATGGTTGACTAGATCCTATAAACAACAAAAAAAGTCTATAAATATTCAGTAGCTCTTTTGAGTGAGAAGATTTCTATTCTTTTTCTTCTCGATTAACATACCATTTACTGGTGGTGATGCGACAGGTGTTGATGCTGATGTTGAATAGGGATGTTCATTGGGATAAATCTAAATAAACAATCAAGTGTCAAGTCTCTTCTTCTAGTGAAGAAGTTTTCTCTAATAGCATACAGATTGCAACGCTTTGCCGAGTGTTTCTCCAGTTTGTACTGTTTGTTCATTGCCATTACTCGTGTACGGCGTTGGTACTTGTGGTCGAAAACTTGCCATTGATGGTAAACATGTGCCATTGGCATCAGTAAATGTACCGTGTTCACTAGGAAGATAAGTTCCTGGTGGTCCTATCCATGGATGAGCATTCTGACCATCTAATCAAAGATAACTTCCTCTACATCTGATCAATCGATCGAGCTGCTACTCACCGACGAAATAATTGCTTTCATTTCCATAGACTGACTTTCCTGTTGGATATCGTGCCGAATTTTCTGGATTGTAATCCTCTCCTGTATAAACCTAATATAAAGAAAAAGAACGATTGTATAAGAGATCGATAACAAATGTCTTTAGCATATTATCATCTAACTTGTTTTGATTGATCTCATGTGTAAATACTTTCCAATAAATCACCGAAGTACTCTGATGATTATAGATTCCATATAAACTAAATCAATTCGAGCGCGTTTTCTTTTCTCTCATTCTCGATTCTGATCTTTCTTTTTTTCTAAGAGAAACATCGAAGAATAACACATTTGTCAGTAATAAATCTCGTTCTATAAATATACGTATCTCGATAGAATGAAGTTTTGATGATGACTTCATGAAAGAGAAAACATGCCGTATACGTTTGCTCATCACTAAAATCAACAGTCTCAGATTGACGACGTATCAATTTGAAGAAGAAGGAAAAAAATTCGATCACCCACTGATTTCTATGTTGGCTAATCAAGAGAGAAAGGTTCGTTTGTTTGTGCTCACTCGGCACGAGATCAAAGGACGTGCGATCGCAATCCATGCTGACATTCACATCGGCTCGATTGAGCAAATGAGAATGTGTTGATTAGCATTATCTTTTCTTCTCGATTCGATCAATTGCCAATATAGACACATCCCTACACCCTCGAAAAAGAAAACGCCGAGAAATCCTTTCGTTTCTTTCTTCATGTCAAGGTATAAATTATAATCCCAAAGATCTTTTCGCTTTCTTCAAATCAAACAGAACAATACCTGATAGGATGGTCGTGAGTAGTAAAACATCTATTGAAAATCAAATGAATTTATCACAGTTGGTCGATGACGTCAAAATGAGAAAGATGTTTAATTGACTTCTGATTATTGTGTCAAATAAACTCGATGTATAACATAACTTGAGAAGGCCAAGAGAAAAAAAGCCAAGAAAGTTGATCGATGTAGAAGACCTTTCACTGGAACAACGAGATATCCTTATCTTACGATGTGTTAACTAGAGGCGGGATACGAACAGGAAAGAGAGCAAGAAATGAGACGTATATAAAAAAAATCATCATCATTCTCTCTCTCTCTTCTCCTCGTCTCTCTTTCCCTTCATCGTTGCCTTTTTTTTGTTTGCATCGGAAGATAGAGAGAATGAGAGAGAGAGAAAGAAGGTGAAATAATAAATATAAAGACAAAAGCTTATATCTCAAACAGGCATCGCGCTCGTCCGGGCGAATGAATAAATCCAGTAACTGAAGATAAACAACTGTATTCGAAGGAATATAATTAGAAAGAACGAACTTCCATCCTTAGATTAATTTTGCTTATTCCTTAAGCTACATATCTCATTAGACTTTTTTTAATATATATGCATGTTTATATCGTCAAACAATTACACAAGCTTGTTTCTTCTTTTGTATATACATACGCACACACACACACATAAAGTCGATTAACGCATCTTATTTTCTTTCTTTTTTTTACTCATTTATCATTGTCGGAAACGAGCAATAGTAACAATCGAATATCTATTATCATATCTCACGACAAGCGAGAGAGCGTTCGCCTTTATTATATTGTTTGTCCTTTTTTTTTTACATTCACCGCTAAATGCATATATTATGTTTACAGAGAGTAAAAGCTCGCAGCGCAGCTGGAAAGCTCGTTCGTGTGCCATCGAATGTAGATAAACATGACTATTAATTTTATCACATAGAAGAGTTCGGTCAGACAATACATATAATCATATGTATAGAAGAAAGAATCCGCTCGATGCAGTGAATTTTTCTCATTCCGTTCGAAATTCATTTCATTCTTCCAGCTGGTGCCTGAAATGACTGATGTGATGTCACAAGTGAACCGTGAGTTTCTTTTTCTTTCGATTTGAAAAAAAAACGAAGAAAAAGAAATGACTTTCTCCTATCTATCTCTTTCTCTCTTCATCGAGTAAATTAACAAAGTTGTCTACTGACAAAAAAAAGATGTCGTTATGTCAGAAACAACGACAGCAAATAATTATATCAATTACTCACACGTCAACATTCAATGTCGCAAATAAAGATAAAGATATGTCTACGTTTCTATATACAAAAGAAAAAAAATTAGAAGAAAATTTTTTTACCAAATACGGTTCATAATGAAGCAAGGTCATTGCTAGTATTGTCTTCAGCGATGCCCGACGAATACGTACAAATGTGAATGTGTTCGATGATCAATACGGCACTCGTGTGACTCGCGTTCTCTTCTTTTTCTCCTCTTTCCCTCTCGATTGGCGTGCGCGTTCAATTTGGACGAGTGAATTTTTTTAAAATGAGAATGGAAAAGAATGAACGATGGACATGTATGAATGTGTTCGCTTGATCTTAACCAGATCGCTCGCATGTATAAGGAAAGCAATAAATATCTAATTCATTCCTCACTAATTTCACCGAACGTTTAAATAATCAGACAAAGTGACAAGAGAATGTTTCATGACAAAAACTTACATTCGTCGGTCGGCGAACTTTTTCATTAAGTTTATCTAAAAATAAACCAAAATCAATGATAATTAAGCAAAGAAACAAAGAAAAGTCCTCTACCGGAATATGTCAAATCATTTGTTGATGTTCTTGTTGTCTAAAATAAGAGAAAATGTATTAATCATCATTGGCTAGACAATGAAAAATAGCCTACCGAATTCGATGCTGGAAAGTCACTCGAACGATCTAAGTAAAATCAATATACATTAAAAACTCGTTCGTTACTACTTTGTTCGAAATATACTTAATGGTTCGGATGTGATAAATGGATGGAGAATATCACGATTGCTGTAATTACCGTCGTAGATCTACAAAGGAAAATAAGATTTCACCGATTCGTCAGGTTTTTTTCATTACCGGCTCGTCGTAAGTTGCTGATGGTGTCCAAAATTCTGAAAATTTCATTCCAAATATCATTCCTACTGTGAACAAGCGATTGAAAGACTCACCTTTGTTAGCATTAGCTGGATAAATACCTTCGGCATTGGTCGAAGCGGGAGGAATTTGAGATCCATTTGGAAAATGAATTGTTGAGGGTAACATCTGTACAAACGAAGGAAGAACTGTATTATTTACATATTTAAATCAAATGAGATGATATACCGATGAAGGTAATGCAGAAGATGATGAAGGATGGGCAACGTTGTTAGGAAAATGACTTCGGTGTTTCACCTACACATTAGAAATCTTTGTCTTTTTTCCTTTTGAATGAAAAAGGAAACTTACAGCATTGAGATCGAGAAGATCACTAAGTTCTTTATTATTGTGTAAATTCATTTTCTTCGTCGTTTTCTTGCCGTTAGTTAATATCAAATTCTCGATATTCTGTTGATCATTGATTGAAACAAACAATAAACAAGCGAGCAGACAGAGACAATACTCATTCGAGAGAAATGACGAACAAGACAAAGGAGCTGATAGAGGGCGCCAGGAATCGAGTCAATATCGATGATAACGATCGATATACGATGAGATTTCTGCCAGATATTCGTATTCACATGATTTACATTTAGATAAATGTTTTTATGTCTTTCAAAGCACAATGACAATGATGATGGAAGTGCGACACTTTATATTAATAATAATAATAATAATCTATTTCCGTTGCCTGTTCATTAGAATCGATGAATCTTTATTAGATGAAAAAAGTAGAGCTTTTTTTATTGATGAGCTCATGAGAGTGCTTCTAGAAGGTTTGCCCGTGCAGATTGGTTCGGATATTTTTCGTCTTGAATAAATACGAAGGTTGTGCACAAAAACTAACAGTGATTTTTTCCTTCGACGTCTCCTGTAAGTAAATGGAAAAGAACGACGAGACGGCGTTCGCCTCCTCTTCTCCTTTCTTTTACTCCGAAAAAAAACAAGAGTAGAAGAAAGAAACAGAACATAGAGCGCGGTCACATTTTTTCTTGTTGAACTACTATTCATTTACATTGAATGATGTCGCTTACTGAGGAACGTATCAATGAAATGAAAGAAATCTTCTCAATGGTTGACGACGATGGTGATGGTTCCATCACTCGACCCCAACTTGGAATGTGCCTACGAGCAATGCAATATTCGATCAGCAACCAGGAAATCAATTCTTTAATGAAAAAGTTCGATTCAGACAAAACTGATCGTATAAACTTCCCTCAATTACTCCAAATCATAGCGGCTACTCATCAACCAAGTTTAAACCAACAGACGCAGTCGATTCTGTCAGCATTGAAACTCTTCGATACAAACAACGATGGTAAGGAGAAAAATACTCTCGATTGATTTATTTCGACTTTTGTTTTTAAATGTCTACATAGAAACAATATCCGAAAATGATTTTCGTTTTCTAATGCAACAAACAGGTGAACCATTATCAAAGGATTCGGTTGACGACATGATTAAATCAACTGATGCACGAACATCGAATGGTCGGATACAATATCGTAAACTTGTTTCGACGATCATTCATTTATGAAATTTCATTGGATATGGGAAGAATTTTATTTGCATTACCGCCGCTTTGCAAATATTCAATTTGTAAATTGATGATATGATAACGTAATTGCGCGATAGTTTTTTCATATTCTTTTAATTTTGTTTTCAATTTTGAATTATTCTCGTGTAAATCGTTATTGTACAGTTTCCATTCATCTAAAAGAATCCGATAGCGTTGATCGTAAGTTAACTTGACTTGTTCAAGTTGCTTTTGATGCTCATCGATCAATATGATTTGTTGTTGGTTCTGTTTGGCGATCTAAAACGATTTGCTGAGGAAAGTAAACGATTGAAGTGGAATTTGGACATTACTTGATCGTAGAGACGATGAATTTCATCGTTGTATTTGCGCTTTGCTTCATCGAAATGTTGAAGATTTAATGTAGTTTTGCCGTGTTTGGCGAGATATTGACTGCATTTATCATTAGCACGTGTTAATTCTTCAATTTTCTGTTCGTATGTACGTCGTTCATCGTTGTTTAACTAGACAAAAGCTTTGATTTCTCTGGAAAGGCGAACAAAACGCTCACTTGCTGCTGCTGTTGTTGTTGTTGAACTACTTTGAATTTTTCTTCATATTCCGCGATAATTTCATTCTAAATCAAACAACTTTCAATACCGTCTCTATCTTTCGAAGGAATTCATTTACTCTTTCGTTGTTAAACTCTTCTTGCTTAGCAAGAATCAAACCACGTACGACTTGTTTGTTTTTCTCTAAAACTTGCTCGTATTGATGGACATATTCATCTTCAATCTGTTGAATCTTTTTCCGATACTCATTTTCCTTTTCAACTAACGACTTCTTCACTTGTTCTTTGAATGAAACGACTTTCAGCTGGAAACTATCGATCATTTGTTGTTTCAATTCTGGTAGTTCATTCTTAAGTTTCATTAGTTCAGCTAAATATTGATCGCGTTCAACGGTAACCTGATTCAGTTGATCATTTGGAACAGTTTTTGTTAATAAAGACAAACGATCATTCATATCGTGTTGAAGATTGTCATAATCGAATTTCAAACTGTTAAATTCCATTTGTTTAGTGTTGAGCTTCAATTTGTAATCATCCAGTTCACCTTGCAATTGTTTTATTTTCCTATCGTCATCGGGAAAATCCTTGAAACGAGATGAATGAAATGACAAGTTCGAAAATGAGTAAGAGAATTACGGTCTGAAGTTGAAGAGAGATCATAGAAGGTCGTTTGGATAGATCTGCAATCGATTTTTCATATTGAAGTTTTTCAGCTGAGTGAATTTGTTCACGTTCATCGAATTGAATTTGTAATCGCTTCAATTGATCAGTTAATTGAATGTTGACTCTGTTTAACTCATCGATTTGTTTTTGAACTTCATTGTTTGGTTCCTGAGAAAGAAATTTGTCTCACTTCGTCAACAAAGTTGGTTGATCTTACCGTTTGAGTAACATTGTTTAGCATTGATGGTTTTTTACTCGTTATTGAGAGTCGTTCGTTCTCGACCTGTATTCGATCCAGATTTTCTTGAAGATTTCGTTCATTTGAACGAAGTTCATCGATTTGCTGATCGGCGTGACATTTTTCATCGTAGATCGTTTCGTACATTTGTTTCAGTGTTAACATTTCGATCTGCTGTTCACTGGTTTTCATCGTTAATTGTTCAATTTTTGTTTCATATTCCAGACGAAGAGAGAAAAGATTCTGTTCGTATTTTTCATTCAATTCGTTGATTTTGCTCTCGAAATCGGACGTCGTTTTCCGATAGATTTCTTCATTGGTCATATAAGTCGCCAGACGTTGACGAAGACTTTCATTCTCTTGTTGACAGAGATGATGATCGTCTGCTCTTGGACTAAGAATAACGTACAATCTTGATATAGAACAGAAGAAAACGGATGGTATTACTTTTCATTTGGTACAAGTTCTTCTTCTTCTTCGTCATCATCGTCGAAAACATGATCATCATTTTCTGTATTCGATAAAGAATGACTATCGAATGCATTGACTAGCATTTGTTGAATCTCCTCTTGATTCTCAAACTCTTCTTCACATGTGGATAGATCATGCTGATGGTCATTTATGACATTGGCAATATCAGGATTCAGTATTAAACTGACACCTGAATTACTGATGCTGTCCATGATAGGAATTCAACTGAATTTTGACGACACTTATCTACGTTCATTTATACGTTCTTTTTCAAACAAAGACAAAAATGTTTTATCAGTGAAGTCGAACGACATCTGTGTTTTCATTGATTAACCGTCGTCATAGTACTCGATGGTTATAATGGCGAAAAGACTTCAGTGTACATCGAATAAATTTTATTCATCGTCTCTGTTCACTTCAAATTAATCAAATGAGCACACCGCGACCGCCACCACGACCAGCTGCGCCTAGGCCAGTCGCACCTAGACCTGCTGCTAATCAACCGACTGGGCCGCGGCGTCCTGGTGCTCCGTCGCAAACAGGTTCACCAGCTTTACGACCGAATCTTCCAGGTTCAACATCAGCTTCTCGACCACGTGATAACAGACTTAATACATCAGCGAATAAACCCGTTGTTGCAAGTCCAGTACCAGGTAGAATTCTTCTCTAGATTCTGATGAAATTGACACGTTTTTGTTTTATAGTCGTCAAATCAGCAACTGTACGAGAAGTGTCGGAGAATGCTCAATGTAGGATTTGAATGAAGAACGCACGCGCGAGAGAGAGAGAGAGAAATAATGTTTGCGATTGTAGATTTACCATCCAATATTCATTCAATTTTCATTTCATCTGCGACGCAACAAGCATTACAAATCTGCGTCGATGAAGATGTTACTCAAGATAACAACTGGAAACTGGTTGATAAAGAAGTTCTCCTGAAAGATATTGAAACTCTTGGACAAGGTTCAAACTTTTATGAATTTCAACAACAAATACAAGTAAACGCTTTTTATAATCATCCATGTCATCTCATACATATCTTACCTATAGGATTATCCAGATAATGAAATCGCTTTGGTCTACGATTATGATTACTTTTACTCACAAAACTTCTGTATGAAGAAAAACGACTTCTATCCTTTGTTATTCTTTTCGTTTTAGTAATCTGCCTCGATCCTTTGCTAAAAAGTTACATTGAGAATGTGAGTTATACAACATAAAATTCATCGACAATTGCATCGTTCGTATTTTTAGTCTCCAGCAACATTACCCGTACAAGAGGACGATAATACCGAACAGTATGTTCCACCTGAACCGAAGATTTGGGTTTCCCTTGGAAGTGAAATAGAAATTGAAAATGAACGTTTAATCGTCAATCGAGCATTGGTAGGAAACCATGTTCTCTGGCAGCATCACTTTGTTCATGTGCGTGTGTTTTGATATAGAAACGTTTCAAAATCAAAGTTCCACTACGTCCAACGGCAACAGCAACGCCAAGTGAAAAGTTTAAAGATGTCGATCCAGATATCGAACGGAAGAAAAATTTTGTTAGCATCGATCAATATGAAGACAAACAATTTGATATGAAAAAAATGGAACTTGACTCTGCCGTTCAGGTAGGACGACTTTGGTTTCCATGTATGGACTTTACGTCGTATGATGATCAATTTGAAATGAGTAGGCAGCTGCTGAATACCGAGAAAATGCAGCTCAAACGATTTGGCGATATCCAAAGAACCAATGGACACAATACGAACCACGAACATTGAACGAAGAAGAACAAAAGAAAGCTATGAGTGATAATCACTTGATTGAGATGGTTATGAACTCTCAAGATTTGTATGCGACTATGGATGTGAATCTCATTTTTAGTATTGTATTCATGTAGTTTCAAAGAAGCTCTTCAGCAAAACGTCATTCACAATCCATTCTATCTTGATTGGAGTGAACTTGGTGGTGATCTTGAAGGCTTAGGTGGACCAGGCGATTCACATCTCAAAGTATAGTTTCCATTCGTTGAAAAATAAGAATTTTTATTTTTCATTATCTTGCCTAACTTTAGGAGTATCAATCGTTTTCATCTATCAAACAATCACGAGGTATGATCGTGACATGTGTTCAATGGCATCCAACAATACGAGGTTACTTAGAAGATCTTTGGTTTAGATCAACTAGGCTTCATTTCTAGGAATAATTGCTGTTTCACTTGCTGCGGGACAAGGATTTGATGAACGAGTTGAACTTATCAGTAAAACCACATCATCGCCATCGCTCATTTTCATTTGGTCATTTATTGATCCAATTCAACCGAAAGTAAATTTGAGATATCATCGTGATTCTCTTTCATCAAAACTTGAAATTTAGTTATATCTCGAAGCACCAGATGACATTCAATGCTTTCAGTTTTCACCCACCGATCCACATGTAATAGCTGGCGGTTGTGTCAACGGGCAAGTTGTTATGTGGGATATCAAAGAATATGAAGATCGTATACGGAATCCACGCGCCGATCATCGTGATAAAGACTTATTTATTGTAAGAATATGCTGCTCGATATGTTTCACACATAATCTGCATCTATATTTGTCTTTAGCCTGGCTTTGAAGATGAAAGTTTTTTTCAAACACCTTACCTTCGTTATTGCGCTGTATCAAGCATTGAACATGGACATTCGGAACCCATCACGGACCTTCAGTGGATCCCGGATCATTTTCAAGTCTGAATAGTTTTTCATTTGAAAAGTCTAGAATCATTTTACTTCTAGATTACCACACAAGGCTTACCGACGGAAAATCTTTCGGGAAATTGTTCTCAAATAATGACGTGCTCTTTCGATAGGTATGTCACATGTATTCGTCAGATTAATTGCAAAATAGAACTCGATTGTTTAGTCAAGTTCTTCTCTGGGAAACACGTCCACCACGAGGTGGTCCTAAACCATTATCAAAAAAAGAACGAGAAATTCTCAATCCAATGGGCGTTCCCTTGACATTTAAACATTTAGATCTTATCTGGCGACCGTTTCTTCGAGTAATTTTGAAGTTATTTGCAATACGCCTGTGTGCAACATTTGTGTCTATATGTTTTTAGTTACAATTACAAAGTCCTGAAGCTGGCCAAGTTGATTTTGCTCCACGAAAGTTTTCCATTCGTGAGAGTCAAGGTGATCGTGACGCTCGTATGTACTGACAACATTTTCAATACTTCCTTCGACAGATTCTTTTTCCTTCTAGTAAATAAAGAAGATTATACATTTGAGAAGAAAAAGGAGCCAACTGGCGGTCAGTTTGTCAATCCAGTCGATGATGGAAATAAAACGATATCACAAGGGAAAGCGAAAATTCTCCAAAGTATCGACACATTCTTCTACGTTGGTACTGAGGTAAGTTTGTCAGTATGGTTTTCGAAGTTTTATTTCATGATGAAGAAATACAAAGAAAACAATTCATCTTAAACGAAGTAGTCCAGGACGACGATTATGAAAAAATCGCCGATTCCGGTAGTAGAGATCGTCGTCGTGATAAGATGGTCCATAACTTGAAGTACGAGCATTTTCCAGTAGTAACTGTACTTGTTTCATCAGATATGGATCCTCAGCCTCGTCGATATCATCAATATCATTCGGATGCATTGAAGTATCCAGTCGATACGCATTGGTTGAAATAAAACAAGAGATTGATAATAGAAATATTACAGCGATTGATTTGAACAACATGACGTCTAGTGAAAAAGTTCCCAACTAAGTAGAAAAGATTTCAGATCCCAAGCGTTATATATTCTCTCTCTCTGTTCACTTAATTTCCTGTAAATAGACAAGGCAGGATGCAATTTGTCGTTTTTACTTCTTTGTAATTCATCAAGGACAGATCTTGACTTTTAAAGAAATGAAATTATGATTTCTCATCTCTTTTTAATGACTAGGATGGTCAATTAGTTTATCAAGATTGGATACCACAAAAAGAGAATGATTCCGCGAAATTCACTAGTAAGCGACGAAGTGTTTCCTCTAAAGTATAGCTAAGATAACGTTCTTGCTTGTAGCACCGAAAGCAGCTTGGTCGGCTATTGTTCTCGACGGTCCTGTCGTTGCGTTGAAACGCTCGCCGTTTTTCAAAGATGTGTTAATTATCGCAGGCGGTTGGATGTTTCAAATCTGGCGAGAAAAAGTTCATGTAAGTAGAAATTCTCCTTCCTGAAAAATACAATACTTCACTGAATTCGCATATTGGCAGTCAAGGAACAAAGGCAATTTTCTAATAGATTTCTTTTCAATTGCAAGTGAAAGCTGATTCCGATGAAATCATAAACGGAAACAGTTCGTGTACAGGTCAATGAGGTTATCTCTGAACTTCCCGTCAACAAAATCATGTTAGATATGACACATGTTCGGTTGATAACTACGCAAATTGTTTATGACAAAAACGAGTTTTCAATTGAGCCTTCTTCTTTATAGTCTGGTTCACTTTTGCATACATCACCGATGAAAGAGAAGATCACTGATGTCGAATGGTCTCCAACCCGACCAGGTGTTTTTTATGTGGCCAAACAAAACGGAAGCATTGACGTATGGGATGTTATCGATCGAACACATGCTCCATCCATATCTCAGTCCATTTCGAATACTGCTATAACGTATCTCAGTATAAAAACAATATCTTGTAAAGAAAAGAAATTATTTCTCTGAACACAATCATAGAATATCGTTCTGTTTTTCTCTGTAGCCAAACAACAGCTTCTTGCAGCAGGAGATAGCAACGGCACACTTCATATACTTGAAGTTCCCCAATCATTGAGACAACCGATCAATCAAGAACTACAAGGTAAATAATCAGATGATTCGGATAGACGAATAACGGTTGTTAATGATGATCCTTATAGTCGTAACCAATTACTTCACACGTGAAACTGAACGTCGGTCATTTGTTAAACATCGTTGGAATCTACGTGAAGAGGAGAAACGTGAAAAGGATCGGTTAGCAGCGATGAAAATTGGTATTGCTCCAAGCCATATACCTACTCAAGAAGAAATTGATATTCGAATGAAGAATGAGTACAATGAATTCATTCAATTCGAATTCGGTGTTCTGCGTGAAATGGGTCTACGTGATGAGAATGAAGCTCCTGTTATCATACCAGCAAATTAACACACGTATAATCTTCGTTTTATATAAATAATCATAACAGACATACGCCCACACACTTTTTTTACATTAAAAAATAAATCTGACAGTAAAAATAATTGACATTGTATATTCAATTACTCTTTGATTTGTTTAATTCATTAATATCTAAAACTTTCTCTCCATCGGATTCCCAAGGTTTCATTCCGTGTCCCGGCCATCGTAGCACAAGTAAATCTGTTGATGATGCGAATTCTTCAGGAGCGTTCTCATCCGGTAATGGAGTTAAAACAAAATATTCCACTGAACCCTGATCATCGGTGAACAGTTCCGTAGATAATTCTTGCACTTTTTCATATTTGTCCTTTGTTTTATTGTCATTTTCATGAAAAAATTCGTCTAGCGATGGATACAATGATGTGTACGATGGATTCGCTTCCATTGCTTCTTGAACAACTTTTTCGATATGCTTTTCTTCTACTGGATCAAGTACCAGTGTCATGAGACCACGTATCAATTGACTTTCTGGTGATATATTACTCATTAATTGTGGTATTGTTGTCATTTTCTTAATGTTCGATGCTTTGATTTTCTCGTAGACTTCGAGAATTTTGGATAGAGCAATACCAGAAACACCACCGAGAAGTTTGCCGCCGACACTTCCAACAACACCACCGACTGTGGCACCAAGGATAGGAACTGGGATCAATATTGTGCCAACTACTGTTCCAGCTGTTCCTCCGGCTATCTAAAAAGTTGAAAACAGATGAGATTTTATCAAAATTTATGCTCGTACTGTTCCCGATGCTGATGTGATTCGTCGCACGACATATTTTTTCAACGCCACATCGCTTAAACTTCCTTTTTTTCGTTCATTTCTCTTTTTTCTTATATCAATAAATGCTGCAATCGATTCGACCGTGGTCAAGATCATTCCAGATCCAATCGCACTAAGAAACTGTCCAAATGTTCGTACACCGACCATTGCAATATCTTTAACAATCAAAGCGGTCGGATCGACAATTAGTAATGTCGCTGATTTTTCTTTAACCAAGCTGCGAAATTTGATAATCTGTTCCGAGTAATGTTCACCTGTCCGACACCATCGTGCCCAATGTTCACAATTATTTCCGATCAACGAATAACCACGTTTACCAAGCTGAGAAAACGCTCGTTGTAACGTTTCTTCATTTGAGAAACACGAAATATTATCGTAATGATGTAAATAGACATCTTCACTTGTACTCTTCAAGTTTACCGACCATTCGCTTTCAATAATTGCTGCTATGTAGACCGAACCTTTCATTAATGCAGTACGAGCATGTTCTAATGTATTGAAATAATGTATTACACGAAGATAATTAGTTCGTGCTTCACAAACGATACCATGATGAGCGTAGTAGAAGTCAGTTTTATAGAAACTCACGTGATCACCTGGTTTCAATTGGTTCAAATCGGTAATTTTCTCTTTACGAGTCTTTTGAAAGCGTTTCTCATGATGAGTCAATACTCGAACTACGTCTAGAATGACAAATCGATATTCGATGCATATTTGACATTCAACAAACGAAACTTGCCGGTGATTTGTTCTTTCAAATGAGGAACTAGTCGATGTCGATCGATCATATCTGCAACAAATAAACAAGTAGCAATCGATTGTTTTTCCGTTGATTCTCAGCAGAAAGAAAACAAACGAGTTTTACATAGTCGAGGGTACAGCGAACAACAGAACAGAAAAGAAAGAAAAAGCTCCATCCTGTTGGTCGGAAGTCGATGCGCTAGTATTTATCCCTTTTTGATTCTTCGTCATCGTGAAGGATAAAGAAGATAGCAATGATTAATCTTCAGCTGCTGCAACTTTCCACTGAAAAAATATCAATACATCAAGATTGCTATCGATTATTATTAACGGATAGAGGAGAAAATTTACAAAAAAAAACAAGACATACACTTTGCAGAAGATCGCTTAAGTTTTAGTATTACTGCTGGTAACGGTAGTTAATGATGAAGATGAAGATTCTGTTCCCCGAAAGTCTGGTACCAAATCTTTAACTTTAAGACGCATGTCTGCTAGCCGTTTTTCCCGTTCACGTTCTTTTTTTCCTTCAACAGGATATTGTCGCCAAATGATAAGAGCATTTTTCAACAGTCTCTTCACATTATGCTCTCTTGCTAGATCGTCTAAACGCCAAAGACGAAGAATTTCTGTTTGAGTATAATCTTGCCAGATTTTAAACGTGTTGATCACTAAACGATTCATGTAGTGTCTTTCGGCACGTTCTTCGGCGATTTCTGTTTGTTGCTTGTATCGCTGCCATGAAGTAAAATATCGGCGATAGAGTAAATGTTTATAAAAGTCTTCAGCTCGCGCTGTTTTGATATCGATATCGTGTCGAATGGTTTCATGCCAAACATTGAACGTACGTTGGATAAGAACATGATTATGGTGTTCTTCAGCAGCTTGAATGTGTTCATGACGAATAGCTATCAGTTTTTTCAAAGGGTTGATACCGAAATATCGCATTCGATAGAGCCTAGAGATTGGATCAATGATGTAAATGCAGCTTTTTGAAAATTCATCTTATCTTACCGGCAATGTGCATCGGCTTTTTCAGATAAAACGCGTAAACGCTCTTCGAATTGTTTTCGTTCGACTTCACGTTCTTTTTCTAAACGTCGCTTTTCGCGTGCTTCTTCTGCTTTCAAGCGTTTTTCTTCTTCTTCTTGACGAACTTTCTCCTCCATCATTTCTATACAGAAAATACAGATCGCATTCGAAAATCAACATCGAGATTCTCATACGTTGTATTTTCGCTAATTTTTCTTCTTCAATCGCTCGTCGTTTCGTTTCACGTTCAGTTTTCATTTCGTAGCGTTTGCGTGCCCGTTCTTCCATATTCCACAATATCATTTCGCCTCTAGTCGACGGCCGATCAGTAACCACCGTTTGATTACTATGAAAACGAATTCAGTCAAACGAAATATTCCTCTTCGTTCTCGCTGAATTTACTCTAATCGACTTGTATTCAATTGTTTTTGTAATTCACCACGATTATGTGCTTGAATAAGAGCAGTGGCATGACGTCGGTCGGTAACTAACTGTTTCCGTTGTTTTTCTTCCATTTCGGTCTAAAACAATACTATTAATTATATTCATTCCAGAAAGATTAAACATTCACTTGTTGTGCTTTGAGTACTTCGAGATTTGACAGCTGATTGTGCAGAACCTGTTGATCTTGCTGATATTTAAGTTCTTCTATCATTCTTTGTTGGTCTAAGGAGATATCTGATTCGAATGTAAACATATAAAAGGATGAAACGGACCTTTAAGTAAACGATTCTGCTCTTTCAGCATTTTCATTTGCGCATTATAACGATTTTCAAAGGTGTTCATTACACGTGTTGCTGATTTGTGTTCCGCCATTTCCGAGCGAATACGTCTTTCACGTTGCTTCTTTTTACTTAAATCCTCGTCACTACTTGATAATTGATCGAAATCAAGATGCATACGACGTGTATCTGTTGGCAATACCAATTCCAGATTTGTCCTACAACAAGATATTGATCGTATCGATTTGGTTCATGAAGTTCGATAATATTACTTTTGCTCAGATTCTTCGTGTTCATTTCTCGGTGATGAGATTTGAAAGAAATCATCCAGTTTAATATCCGAATGTGCTCGTGTTGTTAACGATGATTTGTCACCGACCGGTACTGCTGAGCGTGATCGTGACGTTATAGACGACGGACGTGATGCTATCGACACTCGTCGTGTTTTTAATTGTTGACGTGTGGTTGAATTCGTCGTTGCAGGTTGTGATGGAAATGGCGGATGTTCTTGCTGTTGTTGTTCATTTCCCCAAAGTTTTCCAGTTGAGGCAGCATCCAGAAACGAATCGATCTTTCGTTTGGTTGCCTCTTGTTCATGTTTTAAATTTTTAGCTATACGCTCATTACGAATAAAGATTTGCCAGGTAATCATTGATCTAGATAAACAGAAGGCGATATCACTTGGTGATGTCATCTGGTATTACTTTCGTAATAGTGTTCGTTCATAATGTAAACTTGCTTGTTGCATTTTCATTGAAAAGACTTTCATTTCAGTCATATGCACTTCAGTTTCTTCTTCGAGTTTTTTCGTTCGTACTGTGCTTCGCCAATAATTAAACGATCTAAACATGCAGATTTCCGTAGAAGAAACTGTACGTAAAGGTGAGACATACTGGAACAACAATTTCCAATCAGCTAGCGCTGCTGCCCGACCCATTTGTAAGCGTCGCTCCGAGACCACGTGCAACCATGCCGAAAAATGTTTTTGTAGAATCTAAATTGAGAATTCGTCTGTTATTTGTATGGAAAGTCTGCAACGAGCGCATACTGTTAGAGATTTCATTCGAATGAAATCATCAACAAGTGTTTGTAGTCGTTTTTCCCTTAGTTCATTTTGTTCTTTGAGAGCGATCTCTTTTAGTTTGTGTAACTCTTCTTCTTTACGAGTTCGTTCTTGTTCTGCTTTTGTTCGTTCATATCTCGCTTGTTCATACTCTCGTTGACTGTAATGAAAACATTTAATATAGAAGAATTGTATCGTTTCCTTCCTACTGTTTTCGTTGGTCGTCTTCTTGTAAACGTTTTTCGTTCATTTCTCGTCGAATTTCTACAACATGTCGTTCGATCATTTCTTCCTCTTGCTTTGCTTTCAAAGCTCGTTCACGTTCTTCCTGTAGAAAGAACTCAAGATTCATTGGTGTACGAAGAAATAATCATTTACTTTCAGAACAACGAGACGAGCTTGTGCTTCAGCTTCTTTCTTCGCTTGTGCTTGTTTTCGTTTTGCTTCGCGTTCTCGCTGCATTTTCTCATGATTTTCCTTTACCTAGAGAAAACAACGATACTTGATACGAACGAACATAACATTTTCGAGACCTGTCGATGTCGTTCTTCAATTTTTGTTTGAATATCAACTGTCGTTGGTTTTGTTTGTTCAATTGCATTCAATTGCTGGCGAGTTAGTACTTCTTTGCTTCGTAAATCTGAATGACTTCATGATGAAACTGTCGACTCAAATGAATCAGAATGTTTACCGTGAAGAATATCTTTGACTAGTTCACTTTCATCATGAGTTTCATAATAAAGACTTGGATCTTTGTATGTCAGCAGATCTTTTGGTTCACGCAGGAATTCGAGTTGTTGATCGTCGTCATCGAAACTGAGATTACACGCTTGTTTGACAGATCGAACGTTCGTTTCAGCTATATGTTCATCTTCGCTATCATCGAGACCGGCTTCTAGACGAAGCTTTTCATTAAGCCATTCATCAAGAATTTCTCGTGCTTCTGAAAAATCACCCGAAAACAAAGAAACCGTTAAAAATGACCAGACTACTTTGGTCTACCTGTATAGGTATTATCAGTTGCTTTAGCGTAGACAGTTGCTTGATTGACAAGTACCTTTCCTGTTTGTCGGCCAGATGAACGGGGGAAAACACTTTCCACAGCAGTGGATGATGCACGTTCTACTTGCCGTAACCAAGTGGTAATATCATCTAAAATCAGTTTAGGACATTGAGTTATTGAAATTCTTCAACTTTTCTCGTTACCATTTTTTGTTGGTTTCGACGGTTTATCGAGCGCTGATTGACGTTTCTCCCATCGATACAAAGTCTTATGCGATGGTGCAGCCTCATTCATAGTTTATTCTGACCCAAATCTGATATCTGTCACACGAATAAATGCCCAAAAATATGACAAGGATTGAATAGATGAAAAGACGATAACAATTGGCAGGTATTTCATCGATATTTTCATTTCATACACCATCAATGACTCGGCTACTATGACCACACTCTTTTTTGCAACAAACATAAGATGTCGCTATCGTTTGATGAGATGTCATTATGTATGAACATTTAATCCGTTGAACTCTGACACTTGCGGGCTAAATCCAGAATTTAATACTGTGAAATGCGAATTATGTACCTAAGCTGATGCAATGTACTTTCTTTGAAAATGCCATCTCATTTGCTGTTGTCACTGCCGTCGGTGACAAAAAAGGATATTTTCGTACTTTATTGAATTAGCCCAACAGAACATCAGCTTCTCTATACAGTATATTACACCCATGTCTACGTCTCCTCATGAAAGAAACAATACTGAAGTAAAGTCATAGCTACAGTTACTTTTCAGAAAATGAAGATAGGTTATGAGAAAATAACGGCGCTTTCAGCATCTGGTTAGAGATTAATACGACTGATTGGCACGGTTGGATTATTGTGTACCCGACTTCTTGTCATCGTAGTGGGTTGTATTCGACATCTGGTGTATCGGCTGATAAATATACGAAACTCGTCTCGGAACGCTTTCGAAACGAGAAGATTCGTATAGAAGCTTGTTGATGCTGCGATATATAAGAGAAATTGATAAGCTAGATAACTGAAAAAGTTTTGCCAAGCAACTTGGTCCGAACTTTTCGTTGCTTTTAACGTTATTGCCGCATAAATATAATAAATTGGTGATGGTACTGCTGATATACAGTAAATAGTAACATCGACAACTAACATTCGTAATAATTGATAATCATATTGCTTAAGACGCACACCAAGATTTGAATTCGTTGTTAATTGACTGGTATTTACATTACCAACTGATGGTTGAACTCGTTGGCGCATTTGTTGAATGTTTTTCGCAGCAAGTATACTGAAAGTAACCATCATACTCGGTGGAATGATGGCGGCGATGATTATAGCATACGCAGCAAAGAAGTAAGGATACAAGCCCGACATAACGCATCGATTATTTTGAATCGTGTTAAATATAATTAAATGAACTGGTAAGATAAACCAGATAATGATAATAAAACAGATGACATAGAGAGCTATTCGTGGTCTCCCGAAAGCACGAGTATTGACATTCGGTGATGAAATTGCATAGCGGTCTACACATGCCATTCCGGTGCAGCAACGCGCCATGGTGAATATAGCAGAGATAAGATACTGACGAATTTTACAATATGGTTCACTGTATGTTAATGGATCTGTATGCGAAAGTGAATAGAGTGTTGTTGATAACGCAAAACAAAGAACCACTGTATGAAGAATATAAGCAGTGATCATATACATGCAGCAACTGCTCGTACGGAATGTTTTTTGTAAGAGTATGCACGCATTGAGAATATTCCCACCGCTGCCGAAAACGAGAAAAATCGGCATGAAAATTGTAGACATTCGAAATTGTACGGCGGAGAGAAGTACACTTAATGATTGTGTGGTAGTGTTTGACATTTCTTAATCAGAAAATTTTGCAAATGGTAATATGCGACAAGAGAACGAGAGAGATATCATCACGGAAATGAAGCTAGCCGTGCCTTCAAGTAGCAGGTGATGTTTGACAAATAAGATTTAAAGAAACTACTAGTTCTTTTACTCATCATCATAGAATGTGCATCAAAGTAAATCTGTTGAATAAATAGAACGTTCTTTCACATATTCTCCTACATTAAATATTCAAAATCTAAGTAATGTCAAGAATACATATTCTATAGAAAAAAATCTTTCCTTCTAAATATAGTAGCAAACTGGCATATATGACTCTTGATTGTTCTTAAAAATCTCATCATTATCATCTTTGTCAAACTTTTTTTATGATTAAATTGCTCATTCAATTATTAATGAGTTCAATGAATGTCCTGGAACACAAAGAAGACATCAGTTCAAACATAATTTTTCGTTTTCTCTCCATCTCGTCAACGCCGCATTTGTACAATGCACGTCATCTATTGATATATCAATGAACCAATAAAATCCAACTGAATCAGATATCACACATCTGATCTGAAAGAAGAAGCATGTCTTTATTTATTTTTATTTGATTTCTTGATTAAAAACGAATATTTTGCTAGGAGATATGATTACTATCACATGTTTGCATTTCGTTCGAGACAATATTTTTTCATAGATAAACCTAACATCTTCTCCTGTAAGTTTTCTCACGTTCCTTTCTATACTATCTGCATTTCGTTCTTGTATATTTTAGTTCTTTAACAATAAACAGTTATGAACCTACTTTTGTAGCCAATCCGATGGCGAAAAAAACAAAACTACCTACAGAACGTACTGATTTCTATAGAATTTCTTCTATCATATATTGTTTTGGTTATTTCTAGTCATATGTCTAAGTGACGACGACGATGATGAAGATAATAATAACCATGTGAATAGCAAATCTCGTACGACTCCTCTTAAACAAAAAGAAAGCGTAACGATTGTTAATAATTCTTCCAATGATGCATTGAATTGGGCTATTCATGAGAAAGATATTATTTATGTTTCTCCATTACCAATGAAATATTCAGACGTTTATAAAAAACCATTTGAAATCCGTTGTTCAAGTGTTTATTTCGGTCTCGTTCAGTTCAATGTTGAGTCTGAAGTTATCATGATGAAAGAAACAGAATTCGAAATGAAATTAACGGGTATGAAAATCATGATCATCAACATTCCATCGTTGAATTTCTTCTCTAGGTGGTTTCATGGATAATTTGAATATCAAATTAGCATACACGGATGTGATCAAGTTTTATTTTTCCTTCGAATCTCGTATTCCAGTTGCCTTTATTCATGTTCGCAATGAATTCGCCATACTCTTCGATCAAAAAATTCCGACATCAGATGAACACGGACGAGGATTTAATCCGGCCTCTAAAGGTTGATCAAATCAATGTCATCGTCATATTTTTATTTTGCTTATGCTTCTAGATGAAAAACGACGCCATATCATTTTTTGTCTAAAACCATTAACATCCGATTTGCAGAGAATTCATTTACCTACAATTTATCATTTTCTCAAGACAAAATCTCCAAAAACGGTAAATCCGATCTTTCGTTTGTTTTTGTTACATAAAGTTTATGTGATATTGCTCATAATAGGACATCTACTGCATCAGTGGTACACGAGCTGACGAATTGTATAACCTCACGCGCTTCTCAAAAGCCTCAGCACCAACGCCGAAGAAAACACCATTTGTACTCAATACAAACGATTTGTATGTCATTTTCTTTTCCATCCATGATTGATGAGACACAAATAGACAGTTATTCGAGTGAAGTCAGTCAACCGTGATAATGATCGATTGTTCATGAGAACAGCAAAGATCTTTATTTTTCGTTTAGGACTGCCAAAACAGTTGGATTAAACAATAATACTATTCGATTTGATCTTTCATCTGATGATTTGCATTGTTTGAATGAGGGTGAATTTCTCAATGACAATATTATCGACTTTTATCTACAGTAGGATTTCTCTATGGCGATAAATTGAGAATATGAGTCTTGATTTTATTTTAGGTATATCTATTATGAAAAGTTATCGGACGAAGATCGTCAACGCACTTACTTATTCAATTCATTCTTTTATAAACGATTGACACAGAAAGACAAACGTGACAATCCAGACATCTCGTAAGTTCATTATTGATTATCATTCCGAAGAGAAGTTCTATTTTGTTTTTTGTTTTGAAAATTCCTAGAGTAGCTGAACAACGGTATAATCGTGTAAAACGATGGCTTCGTGATGTTGATTTATTCGCTAAAAGTTATATTATCGTACCAATCAATCAAAACGCACATTGGTATATTGTTCTTATCCAAAATCTCAACAACGTTCCGACTGAAGGTGATCTAATCAGTGACGATGAAGACGACAGTCATGGTTAGAAGTTTATTCTTACGGAATATATTGAAACTCTTTTCCGTCTTTAGAGGATCTATCCAAGTCGAAGAAACGACGACGTTCATCCAGAATAATTCACCATACTGGTAGTACCAATGGACTTCGAAGTTCGTCACCCGCGAGTAAACAATACTTAACTGACGAGTTCGAAGATGCCGATGAAGTCGCATCGGACAATGATGTTCCCTTACAGCTCAATATTGAATCACTCGTCGGTCCGAAAAACAATTCCCTCTCTCCTGCAATCATCATCTTCGATTCATTACGCACGGACTCGAAAACTCGTGTCGCACCGACATTACGTGAATTTCTTCAGCTTGAATATGATCATAAGAAAACTCTACCTAGTGGATCATTAGCTCGTAAATTATTCAATGTGGACACAATACCAACGATTGAAGCTGGTGTACCTCAACAACGCAACTATTCCGATTGTGGTTTGTACGTCTTACAATATATCGAAAGTTTTTTTACGCATCTCTCTTCGACGGTAAATGTTCAATCGACAACGTTCACAAATTGGTGTGAAAAGAATCTTAAAGGTTCGATGAAACGTAAAGAAATTTTGAATGTTATTAATCAACATGTGATTACCAAAGATGAATAGAAACAAGGAATTCATTACTCGAATTATCCGTATTCGATTTCGTTTGTTCTTATTCTTGTTATCATGATGTTTAACATCAAATGTTACTTCTCTTTTCCTTGTTTCTCATGAAATTATACAAATTTTTTTCGTTAGAAAATGACTTCAACAAATACTTTGTGAATAGACCTTTTTAAAGTTACGATAATAAATAACAAAAGAGCCAATGCATCTAACCTACGCCATCAAATTCTATTTGCCGATATCAAAACAATGCAATAAATTCTCTTGTACAATTGTACAGTGTATGATGTAATATTGTCTTTTCATATAAATCCATATCGAAATTTCAATCAAAATAGGACATTTTTTTTCTCTTTATACACTATTGAGTTTAGTGAGTGTTTCTTTGTGCACATGTACTCATGCTATTACAAATATATTATTAGCTCAAATATGCGTTCGAAAAACGATGCATCAACTTGAATGTTCAACGTTTGATTACGTCTGTGTGCAACAAGTTAAAGAGAAGAGAAAAGAGCTCTGTACGACCTCTAAACAATACGCGGATGTCGAAGTATGATCGTTGAAAAAAAATTATGTATAACACAAAGAATTGACGAGAAGAGAGGTAATAGTGGCAGTATAGGAAGGAAGAACTAGGTGAAGTAATGACAAACGAAAGCGCTATACATTACTGAAGGTAGGAAACTGAACGAAGGAATAGAAGTTGTATCACATAAGAAAAAGGTCATGGTCTTCCGAAGAAGAAAAAAAAAGTTGTAATGTATAGAAAGAGGAAAGAACAGAGCACACTATTATCGACATATACAGTGACGGCAAGAAGAAGAAGAAAAAAACGTAAGAAGAAAGGGAGAAAAAAGTTTAATATCAACATTCAATAGAATGACTATCAGCTTCAATGTTCAACTGATACTTCTCTTACAAATAATCGTCTGTTCTACTTTTAGTAAGTATTACTTGACTTATCAGCAGAATGTCATTTATCTTCGGTCGTCAATAACTTTCAGTCCATGCTGCCCGTCATCATCGCCAAATCATTGATGGTACAAATCGTGTTGCAAATGTTCCCGCGTCACCGCCGTCGCAGAACTCTCAAGGACCTGTACAATTTAATAACATTCCGTACAATCCGCCGAGTAATCCGAACACTGTCGTAACAAACCAACAAATCATGCCTCAAACGCAGCAGCAGCAAACCGAAGTGATTCGTGGCCGTGGATTCTATAGTAGTCCCGGATTTCAACCTCCGACATTCACAGGTGCCAAACCAGCAGGATGGTTTGGGACTAGTTACGTCAATTGGGTATCAAATCAAAATGGCGAATTGGATAAGAATAAACTAGCGGCAGAAAAAAATGCGGCACCTAACAAGTAATTTCATATTCGATACTTTTGATTTTCTGTATTCATTCTTGAAAGTAGAGCTGTAGCTAATACTGCTCAAACACGGCACGATGGTGGACCACAATTTCTCGCTAAGATAGCCAGACAATATGCTAGTAAAGGTGAAAAGGCTTTCAATTTTGCTCCCAATGAAAGTAAGACTATTTGATTTATTATACATGAGATCCTAATTACTTAAATAGACCGCGAAGGCCGTGGTTCAGTTTGTTACAATCATGACAATTTCGATGGATATGTATACGGCCGATTCCCATGTCCATTGCCAGCGAGTACGGGCATGAATCAACTTGATCAATTCTGTTGTGGTTTGGCCAATTATCAATATTGTTGTAATGCTCAGTTCGTATTCATTGACATGTCTAATTATCCTTGAAGATAAGAAATGACTTTGTTGTCATTGTAGAGAATTTAGTCAATACCAACGTGGGGCGTTCAGTGATAATCACTATATGAATGATCAACGTTTTCCACGTCGATCTGTTTATTCGTCATCAACGAAACGAATACTTGCTGTGATTATACCTATTGCCAGTTTTGTTGTTCTCACAGGTATCGTTATTCTCGTCGTTTTGTATTATAAGAAGTTTCGAAAAGAACAAACTCGAACAAGAAAACCGTCTGGAGCCATTCGATTAGAAGATAACTATTCAAGTAAGAAATCCTTCAAAGTATAGATATCAACTGATTTTGACTTGCTTCTAGTTGTTCCACAAGATCCACCGGTGGACAAAGTGAGCTATGTTTCAGATGAACAATAAAAGATCTCTTTCTATATGTTTACTTCTCTACAATTGACTTTGTATATTCTCTCTCTCTCTCTGAGTTTTCGTTAGCTAGTCTTTATACGTTTACTACTCTTGAACAGTGTTCGTTTCTCGTTTTTTAATATATAGTTCTATTTGGTCTTTTTTTTTGTAAGATGAACCTATTCTAACTAACTATAATAAAGATAACATCCTATTGAATAGATTAAACCAATGAAGATGACGTGTTCGCACACCAATAACAAAAGTACAGATACAATTACAATTGTAAGAATCTTACTGGTGCAACTTTTATTAATTAATGTGTTCTACTTCGTTACTAATGAAAAAGATACAATAAGACGTAAATTATCCAAAGAAAACGTTCAATTTCTCTCTCTCAATGCTTTATAATGCAATTGACGATCTTTTTCGGCTTTAGCAAATATTGCTCGATTCTCTTGTGCTCGACGTGTTAAATACGGTAGAAGACGGTCAATGGGTCCATATGGTGCCAGTTTATAAGCATCATAGCCAACAGCAGCTATGTACAAATGAAAATATCAATCAGATTGATTTTTATGGGCAAAACAGATCATACCGAGTGGAAATGTAAGATAATCACACATGCCGAAGAGCGTGGCAAATGCAACGAGACCATCATTACGTTTCACATTCATTTCATCCATGCTAAAAGATATCAAATAGATTGATTTGGTGTTATAGAGTACACAAAAGTGGCAGAATATACGTTCGAAGAGCAAATTTCACTGTATCTTCATTGTGACTGGCAACGAAAACATGAAATTGATTAGGATGAGTTTTTGCGTTGTCAAGAACTTCTTTAAACACTTGATGATAGCACTGTGTTGTTGCAGCAAAATTTGGATGAATTGGATCGTTTGTATTCAGTTGTACTGCTCGTTTTCGTTCCTAAAAGTCAAGGTACGCACGTTCCTTTCGTATATTGATAGGTTAAAAGATAGGGAAAAGGTTAAATATAGAATAAACAATATACGTACCTGATCCATATAAGCACCTCGAACGAGTTTGAATCCAATCGAAAAACCCTTCGCTTTCGCTCGTGCTAAATCATTTCGGATTGTTTCAAGTGTTATCTGAAGTAAAAAGAACATACACATGTCTAAATCGATTAAGGTGAAACTTTTACTTTTCGATAACATTGATAGGTATTGTAGACAATTATACGGTCTCGATTGTATAATTCTTGTAGTTCCAAGACTAACTTATGAATAGCTGTCTGAAAATAGGATTGTTCGGCATCGATAAATACTCTTCCTTGATGCTGTTTTACTTCCTAGATAGAGATTCTTTGAGAATATTTCAGACGAATGAAGAATGCTTTACCTGCACAATACGATTTATTCGTTGTATGAGATGTTCTGTTTCGATCAATTCATGTTTGCTTATCTATCGTGAACAAAATCTTTTTAGGTACAAGATCAAATATCTTCCTTACAAGCGAGGACTTCGATGCCAGTTCGAATAGAGACTGTTGATCAGAGGGATTTTGTTCAACAACTTGATTTAATTTCTCAAGGACATCTGGTGAAATGAATGCGGTAAATTTAATCGCAGTAATGGCTGCTGGACCTGATAATTCCGATGCTGTTTGCACATTTTTCAAAGATTTTAACAAGTTCTCGTCGTAAATATTATGGTTCGATTGAACCGTGGTCACTCTAAAATGTAATGATCAAATCAAAGTTCGAGATTACTTTGTTGAAAATTCCTACTGATGATCAGTTGCCACATCCGATTCCATAGAATAATCGAGAATTAATCTAACACCATGCTGACTTAATCTTTCCACAATCGGTTTTAATTCGGACTTATCCGTTCCGGCAACAAAATGCCCATAGAGAGTTGAACGCATAATCGATTCGAACACATATTGGCCGAGAATTGTACGCGAGACATTCAACAACTGAGTAAGACGATTAACAAGCGATGTATACGAGCAGAGTTTGAAGACCGCCCAACCGCGATATAGTTCATATTTCGACTTGTATCCATACGCTGTCGTAATGGAATCAAATCGAACTTCATCGTTGGTTCTGGATGGATTCAACACCGATGAACGCATACATTGTTGGATAAAGACAACTGGAAAGGATTGCTTTCGTCTAATCAGTTTCGATAGCATGTTCGCACTAGCAATTTCGTTCTTTTCTTCCGTTCTTTATAACTAAACAAAAACTCGAATTATCTTATCAACGACCAGCTTAATCCTTGTTTGGCGTTTTGTTTTTTCGTTAAAGTTAAGCTTTTTAAAATAGTGAAAACAGATGTTTGTTCTATCACAAAACCATCATCAAAAATATTTTAGAGTATGATAAGCTTGGAAACAAATAATTACTCTATCAATACAGGAAAAGTACCCTGCACACTGTTCTCGCTGGCATCTGATTGATTTGAAATATACGCCATTCCTCAACTTTGAGACAACATTCGAAGTAGTTTACATACCACGTCTGCCAACAAAGGGTTAATACAAGACGCATGATTCTAGTGTGGAAGGATTTATGACGTTTATTTTATTGAAATGTGTCAAGAAGTTACAGAGTACATTTACACGATTTGTATAGGTGAGATGATGCAAAAAGGACTGAAATGGTTAATTAGTCGATTTGAAGATTCGATCTTTGAATGCTTGAAAGTGAAAACGACGATCTTTATCCGCTTTTTGAAAGATCGCACGATTCTCCTGAGCACGTCGAAATAAGTAGGGTTGCAAAGCTTCAATTGGCCCATAAGGTAAATATTTGTATGTCTGATACCCCGAATTTGCTAGAGCAAATGCAACATAATCGCTCATGCCATACAGTGATGCAAACGAAACAATTGACGAACCGCGACGAATATCAAAATCTTTCATTCTAAATTAGTCATGTCAATAAAGAACGAAAATAGCAATCTTTGACCTACTTTGCGATAGCATAACGAATGGTGTCTTCGTTGTGTGAAGCAATCATGACTCGAACTTGATTTGGCAAACGTTTAACCGTACTTTTCATGACTTCGTCGAAGCACGCATGATAAATCTGTGTTGTTGTCTCAAAATTCGCATTTATCGGATCGTCATAACTGTTTTCTCGGGCTAAACGACGCTCTTGCTCCATATAAGCGCCGCGAACAAGTTTGGCCGCAAAGATATAATTATACTTTTCCGCGAGAGCAAGATCACGTTTTAAACACATCAGTGTTTCCTAGAGAAATAAAACTTCATTCGTGAATGTCTCTTACTCGTTATTAAACTTACTTTTAAATAACACTGATAAGTTCCGTAGATAAAAGGAATATTGTTCTTATTGTAATATCGTTGCAGCTCAGTAGCGAGATAGTTGATCGCGTTTTGAAAGTATGTTTGTTCGGCATCGACCATAATGGAAATTTTGTACTGTACACATGCCTAAATGAACAATCATTATTCAGAGTATTTTCTCATGAGAATAGTTCGTTCGTTACTTGGGCGATTTTGTTCAGTCGTAATAGAAGTTGATAGATTTCTTTCAGTTCATCCGTTGTGAATCTAAGATTCGGGAAAATTTCCTTCTAAAAGGCAAGTTTTGTTCGATTTTTACGTACAAAAATCTATCTTTAGATACTCGATCTGTTGTATTCTGCAATTGAAGAGACTGTTGCAAACGTGTGACTGTTTTTCCACCGGTTTCATCCTGATTAATGATTTCAAATAACGCCGGTAGCACTTCTCGATTGTTTATTGATTTCAGCGCTGTATTCAACTTTTTTAATACACTCGGCCGAATCAACGCAGTAACTTTAATTGCAATCAAGTTGTTCACACCGCATATATCATGCGAAGTCTTAATACATTCAATAAACTTCACAGTGTTATCATCGTGCATACGTTGAACGTGATCCGACCTAAATGAACGATGTTGTTCAAAGAACGAGTGCTTTCAGAATACATACGATGCTGTGGAATTGGTATCATCACTTTCTACACTGTAATCTAAGATTGGATGAACATGATATTTTTGTAATCTATTTATCACCGGAATAATTTCTTGTGGACTTTCGCCACCAACAAAATGGCCGAAGGCAGTTAATTTCAAAACCTTGTGAAAAAACTTCTCGCCTAAAATTCGACGACCCCAGTATGCAATCTGAATACGAGTAAATTTCAGATTAACTACTTTCGGAAAAAGATACTTACCTTGTTTTGATTATTAACAAGGAAATTAATTGAGAATAAACGATAGACAAGATAACCGCGAAGGAGCTCGATGGTATATCGATAGCGATACGCGATTTGATACTGATTAAACTTTGTATCAAGAAACGGGTAATCTGGACGCGTTTCTTGCTTTTGATTTCCGTTTGGATTTGGAACGGAAGTAGTAGATGCATGAGAAATCGCCGTTGGGAAGAATTGAATTCTTCGGCATAGACAGATTGTCGACTTCGTCGGACAGAAATGTTTAATCTTAACGAGCAAATGAAAATCAGCTTTGCGTTTTCCGTTTCGAAAATTATAACCCATTGCCTTACTTTCAACATTGGATTTGTGTTCTGTTTGTTATGCAAGGAATGTGAATAACAGAAAAGGTTTTGAAGTGCTTGATGAAGCGATACAAAAAGACCGGGTGACTAATTCTCCCTCCAAGAGACTTTTTTCCCTTCGAAGCGTGGGTTGCGACGGTGAAGAATAGGAAAAATCGGTTATTCCGTCTTTCACAAATGGATGAAAAAACATGTTTTTCTCCTATGACGTTGCCAATCTGACGGAACGGGAGAAAGAAAAACATGCGGAAGTTATTACATTATCTATGTTCTCGATGAATAATGTTTTTGTGTTTTCAGTGAGATGAAAATCAATCAATTTGTATAACAAAAAGCCACTCGCCATCGGAATTCGATTTCTAATCATGGAAGTAGGGCACAATCAATCGATTGATAGGGATGCGTGGTGTAGCAATAATCTCGCGTCTTTTGATGAGAGGAAAGCGGCAACCATGATGCTTTTACATCTATTTTTATCAGCACGTGAAGAAAGTCTATTTCTGATGGCATTGATGTCATCTCCCACAAATGAATATGCTTTATGTATTCATCATATTTAAGGAGATCTCTTGTGAGAAAAAGTTGATCATGATGACATTTGTACCACGAAGGAATTCCGATTGTATTCGCGCAAAAAGAAATAACTTCAAATAAACATACTTGAGCTAGATTTTTCACTGTATTCTTTGTGAAATAATTGAAAATGGCGCGTATCTGACGAATATGTACATCTGATTTACAAGAGAAAAACAGCTCAATTGTATCCGAACGAATAACAAATATGTCCAATCGAAATTTCTGTGCTCCATTTCGATCGAATAATCCGATGGAGAACCCAAATCGTTGCAAATTACCTGCTATTAATAACGGACTAACAACACTAACGAATGCGAATTCATGGATGTGTAAACCACCATTGACAAATTCGTTCGTTCCACGAAAGAATAATGATAACTATCCCAATCGACCGAATTCATCTTTACAAATCAACTATGGATCAGCTCTGTGCAATACTCGAACATCTGCGTATGAAAATAGTAAAATCGTTTGTCCGACACGTGATATTGCTCCGTCGCAAAGATTTTCCTCGTCGCCATTAAATTCAAGAGCGTGTAGCGATGTACAACAAGTACCAACGGGAAAAGATTGCTCGGCTAAACAACTCAATGATAGTACCAAGATGATTGGTATTAGACAAGATATCGATAAGACTATGCAAATGAATCGTTCATCACGACCAATGACATCAGGTTCCAATAATTTAAATTATTCTTCTGAGACAAATGGCAATGTACCGAACCGACAGAAAATGGTCGTACGTGATCGTCAGTTAGCAAATGAAATTCTTCAAAAAGCAGGTATTACATCAACTTTAACGTCAAATGATTGCCTTGAAGTCATCACGGATTCGCCTGTAACTATGAACGAACCTGTGAATTGTGATCCAAATCCGTTGTGTATGAAGAAGCCAGCAGATTGTCAAGTAAATTTCATCTACTGACTGAAAAACGCACAAGCATTAGCATGTATCATTCCGTTTCTTTGAGGAATGCTATGAGCAATCGATTGTTGTTCGTCATTTACAACCGTAATTATTTCTTCTATGATTTTCGCTTCTTGCATTCTGTTTTAACTATCTAGACCACGACCTCCCATGCCACCACCAATCATCATTCGGTTTGAATGAAGTTGTTTCCGATTAAAATCGATATATTTTGATTCTATCTAGTGAGCGTTGTGCTCCTCAACCGCCGCCACAATCACCGATTGTTATCCGACAAATACCTCCTCGACCGTGCACACCACCAGCACTGATTATTCGTGAATGTCCACCACCCATGCTTGAAATGCAAGAACCGACTATTATCGAACGGGAGATTCCACCCCCACCGCTACCACCTCGACAGGTTATCGTCGAACGATTACCAACACCACCAGCGAAACCACGTCCGATCATCTTTGAAAAATGGCTTCCGTACGAGGAACCCGAAGATCGGCCATGTATCGTGGAAAAAGCTGTCACCAATGACACACCTCCACCGAAGAATGTCATCATTCAATACGAAGCACTGGAACCAAAAATTCAACTGCAATGTATCAATGAAGGTATATCGTACGTTGATCCCAAACAGTTTGTCACCCAGAAACCAAATGGAAATGCCGAAGTTTGTTATGTTGACCAACTGAACAACTTAGTCGGTACATGATGTTTTCCTCATCAATATTCTAGTTTTCCTCACTATAGCCTGATCACATCAAATGTCAACTAAGTCCTCAGACACTTGCTGCAATTGGCATTCAAAATGCTAATAACAAACAGAACACAAACGACAGATCATTTATCGCCCGTTCCAATCCTCCTTCTGTCTACCAACAAACTGGTCAACCTTCATGTAATCCATACATGTATCGGCAACAGCAGTCAAACAATCATAGTCTCTCAGCATCCATTGCTGGTTTATCTCAATGTTACAATACAAATCCACCGTTCCGACCAATTACTCAAGGTTTCACAAATTTCAATCGAGCCCAATACAATCCAGTATATTAACATACTTTCCGCTGCATGTATAAAATCGATTTTTCTATTTTAGTGGGCAACAACATACCAAGTATCATATACGAATAAAGCTCGAGGATTATGTCGTGCACGTTAACCGATCCATTCTCGTATCCGTGTTGATATCTCCCCGAGACATTCAATCTCAGTACAGCCGAGCGTATTTGTTTGCTTCGATTCTTAAAATAGCACTAATAAAAGTTAAAAAACGACTTTGAAGCATTGTATTTGATGAATACAATCATATTTACGCTCGTGTCATTGACTAGCGACATCTGAACGTACACTAATGCATTTAAAGCATCATTCTAGAATGATAAAGACATGAAAATTTTGTTTCAATATTGATATTTCTACTAAACATTTCAAAGAATTCGAGTTCGAATAAAAAGCAGGGATATTTTCATCCGATTTTCACACCAAATGAGAGTCTATCTATTGTCTAATAGACATTGATAATGGTAGCATTTATTGTGTTATTGATGTTTCTTTCAGACACATTATTACTCTTTTGATTATTCTATTTTTTTTGACAATATACTATTATTATAAAAAAACAAATTTTACAATTAATTTTCAACTTTTTCTATCGACCAATTATTGACAATCAGTCGCGAATACCAGTATCAAAATAATCTTCTTAAACATCAACACGGGCTTCAACACAGAAGGAAGCTCAAATAGATACATTTTAGGTAAGTGATTTTCATTTCATTTCAACGAATAAATCTCATTCAGATCAGTTAATTACAATAAGACTAAACAAATACCTCAGAAACGTTCGAGTTTAAGAGACTACATCCGATGACAACATGTTAGTTTCGCAAGAAAACTAAATAGAACTCGAAAATAGAAACTACTGTTAGTGAATATTTCTCGAAGTGTTTGAAGAAACGATGTTGATCTTGTCAAAACATAAGTCTATTGGTATCAACGACGAGATCAATCATGTCTATATACATATCTCATTATAGATTGAACAAGAAGTTTTCTTTTCTGATCATCATGATTTTATTAGATTCCATTTTCCGTTCTCTCTTGACTTGATGACATGCCGGGATTAGACAAACGAGGCGTATTTCTTTGGTAAATATTTTAAAATATAATGAATTGATTTCGTTTGTTTGATATATGTATACACATTTATCTATCTTTGATACGAAAATAATTTGTAAAAATGATGTTTGAACGACATCACATCTGTCATTATCCCACACAAATCTCTGCTTGCTTGTTTCTCTTATCAACGAGCGACATATATATATATATATTCTTAACTTTCTTAGTCTTGTTCTTCTTCGTTTTTCTTCTTCTTATTCTTGTTCTTCCTTCTTGTACACTCGTTAATTCATCTTTGAAATGAGGAGGGAACTGTGTGTCAAACTCGTCACTCGCGGCATCATCGGTGCTGGTTATATGCCTCCCTTCGCTTAGAAAAAAAAAAAGAAGAAAACCGACTAAGTAACAACAAAAGAAAAGATGACTGAGAGTGAAGAGTAGTAGAGTGCTAGATAGAAAGGAAGAAAAGAGATAAAGACGCAAGAAGATTATTTTGTTCACCTTCAAAAGTTCGAAGAAAACTTTTGTTTTCTTCCTCTCTTTCTTTCACATCACTCTGGTTCAATCAAAATATAAAAAAGAAATTGCGATGGAGTATATCTTTGATCTTGCTTCTTTTTCCATTAGAATGATGATAGAACACTGCAGTCGAGTTTCGTCTGCTATATATCAACAATCGCACTTCAATCTTTCATTAGACAATGATGATATTTTGCTATTGACATGAGAAAACAATAACGATGATGGACATTGGTCTCGTTTTGTCTATTCACATCATTTGTTAGT